CTTTAAACTTGAAAACAAGTGAAAAACATTTATTATATTGACCAACACATAAGTCATATGTGTTATTCTACTTATTACCAATTGGATTGAGGTAAAAATACATGTAAATTTATACGGGTTTTCTAGAATAAATTATATTTTTTGGGAAAAAAAAATTATATCATTACTTACTTATTTATTTAGTATTATTAGTAGAAAGATGAATTGAACGTTGCGACAGTTAAAAGAAAATTGCGAGCTGGAATGACTAACATGAAAGGGTTTGGTTTGGTAGTTATTTTCTGGATTCTGATAAATTATTATTAAAATTATAATTGTCAAAAAAAAAGGTTTCTGCCTTTCTGGTAAGGAGGAAAGGGAAAAGTGCATCTTGTGGAATAAAATGACAAAGTTTGTGGGGAGGTGGTTGTTTAAGGTAATTAATTTATGTGACGTTGGATGAGATCTACCAAGAGTACCTTTGGGTTTTTGGGGGAGCCGTATCAAATCTAGACAATTGTGCCCCAGCCGTCTCTTAATACTTACTATTTTTTTTTTTCCTTACTGTACTAGTAGACAAGTGAAAACACAGATCCGAGAGTACCATTTCTCACTGTACTAGTAGACAAATGAAAACGTGTTGATTCCTCCAAATTTTGGTGCCAATTCCCCAAATTCTTTTAGATGGTAGTATGGTACTCACTACTACTCCGTTAATTGCGATATGAATCTGTAAAATGCACACATCTTTTGCGCACCGTGGATCTGCCAATATGTATGTCATATCGTAATGCTAATATATAAACGACTCTATAAACTTTCAACGGCCGAACATAAAAGTTTTGATCATCATCTCCCATATTTGGCCTTTCATTTCCCTTCCTTCTTATCTCCTTCATGTTTTCCCCGATTCTATATTATTAATTCACATCCATCAACTTCAGTCTCACATCTATCTACTTCTTACTTCTACAATTGGGAAAGAAATGATACGACACGATATCGTCGAGTCTCAGAAAGCGATATGATATGATTGGTGGGGTTTTTATAGTTCCTCTAATCCGACTGCATGATTTTATAGTTTGTTCCTTTTGACTAACATTCAAGTACTCCATTAATCAAATTCCAAGTTGGCTGTTGGCTGCAAGTCTCGTCGCTCGTCTTGTCGTGTGTGGCTTATTCTTAATAATAAAGATATAATAATATTCCGATATTCATAAAATAGTTATTAGCTCATGATTTCATTGGGCGTTATTAATCTCTATGGGTAACAATGACAGACGTATATGCATGATTAGCGTTTCCTTCTTAATTTTATGTCCTTTTCGTTGGTTGATGCCCTCTGTTCTCCAAATTGAAATGCTTGAATAAAAAAAAAAAGTAGCAAAATCATGTTTTAGCATCCCAAGGTCTGTTTGGAATTTCTTTTCTTTGTATTTTTTCTAACCTTTTGAAAATGTTTTATCTTAACATATGTTTTACATTTCTAATGTAATTTTTTTTTTTGTTGACATTTTCAACATAAAATTTACACACTAAAAAACTATCCAAAATAGACAATGTTTGAAATTCTCGGCAAATTGAAGATGCAATTTGGTCGCTGTCAAAGCTATCTTACTAATTGGGAAACGTTTTTCTGTAGTTATGGATAGACCCAAATATATAGGAGATTTTGCCTAGTCATCGCAACTAAAAGATGCCCAGTAGATCTTTTTTTTGTTCCTTTACCAACACCATCCACGTTTTTGTTTAATTTCCTGCTAATTCAAACAATTTAAATATCCATAATCCAAAACGTAATATGATTGGGGATTGAAGTATATGTTTAATAAGTTAATTAGATGTTCAACTCAAAGAATGTTGAAAATGTGCCAATAGATTGATTATTATCATACTAATTAATAATTTCCTCATTGGTTACTATTAGCAATCACTTACTTCAGGTGTATGTTTAGTTTAACTACAAATCTCTTCACTGTCCAATAAAGCTAAGCATCTATACTTCATAAGTACCTGAACAAGATAACTCATTCGAAGAGCATATGAGTCGATATGTCCGAGTGGTTAAGGAGACAGACTTGAAATCTGTTGGGCTTCGCCCGCGCAGGTTCGAACCCTGCTGTCGACGTTAAATTTATTTTTTTATTGGTTTTAAATATTTGCTTCTTCACTGGACCTTGATTTTATGTAAAGCCTGGAGTAAATTTTTTTTTTTTTAATATTAGTTTCACTCCTATATGGCCATACAGATTAATTACTGAATGTTTGTCTCCTAAATTTTATGTAAAATCTAAAGTAATTTTTTTTTTTAGTATTTGCTTCTTCACTCCTAAATGGACATATAAATTAATTACTGAATGATTGTCTCATTAATTTTACGTAAATTCTAAAGTAATTTGTATTTTTTTTAGTAAATTGTTAAATTTCATTGCATCATAAGAACAACCAGCCATATACAAATTTAACATCAGACTATTACACTCATTTACTCAACCTAACATTAAAATTAAAGTATCGTATATCATCATTATTACCTTCCATACAATGTATATGAATTTTCTGCTTATTTTTTGCCTCAACAGTGCAAATCTTCCTTCAACATTCGAGAACTCCCGTGTGAATTTTCTGCAATTCCTCTTAGTCCATATATGATTCACAGTAGTATCAATCACAACAAACAATAGTTTCTGTGTAAATCTTTTCCCCTTCCAGTATTTCAACGAACTCTTTATTCTAGCTTCTAAACATAGTATAGGCGTATTTACTTTCAACCAAGAGGCTATACAGCTGATTAGCTCCTGCTAAAATTTACATTGAAAGAAAAGATCGTCAGTAGTTTATTAATTTATTCCATACATGCACAGAGTTCACATTTTAATGGGCCTTGCAGCAATCTGAGCTTCACCATCCTTTCCCGTGTCAACAGTCTGTCCTTCAACGCTAACCAGCATATGAAGCTGTGTTTGGGAATTGCAAAATTACACCAAAGGAGCTTGGAGGATACCTGCTTTGGTTTCTTCCCTATCAACCACAAATATTCAAATTTGGTTGTTTAAGGCTCGTGTCCATTTCCTGTCCATAATCCATTTACCTGCTCATCCTTTTAATTCATCTTTAATCCTCGTGAGGTTCTTCCAATGCCAGCTGATATCCAAGGGGGGGGAGGGGTCATAGTTCCGTACATTCTTCTTTTTTAAGTAACAAATGTGAATCTATGGGCTCTCCTTATTTGCTGTCAGGTCCTAGAGTTGCTTTCCAACTAATGTCTTATTCTATGCTCCTGGCTTCTTGATGTTTAACCTACCTTTGGGTTTACAGACTTTATCCCAGCCACCAGAGATCAACTCCTTCCACAGTCTTTAACACCCCACAGAAATTCTTGACACCTTCTTTCGACTTGTTGAATCATAGACTCCGGCATAAGAAGATTCCAGACCAATATACATGCAGATTTAGCAGTACAGAATTTATAAGCACCAACCTACCGGCGTATGAAAAATGTCTTGATGGGAAGCACCTTGTTCTGTCAGGATTTTATTAACAATTCCTTGGCAGTCTTCTTGAGTCCAAGAAGCGAGGGAAATATAAGCTCCTAAGTATCTTATAGGAAAGGATCCAATCTGAAACCCTAAGATTTCCTGAATTTTAGCTTTATGTTCCTCATTTACACCACCAAAGTATAGGTTCGATTTTTGCAAGTTTACATTTAAACATGTTGTCTTCGCGTATTCATACAAGTTTTCTTAATTTTCTTGATTGTACATAAACCAGCTTTACATATAACAACAACAACAACATACCCAGTATATTCCCAACTCGGTTGAGGTTTGGGGGGTCAAGATGTACGCAGCCTTACCCCTGTATTTCAATACAAAGAGGTTGTTTAAGTAGTACGACCCAAGATGCATTGGTGCACCGATATATTAATTTTCGGCAACTTCACCAAATTAAGAAGCGTCGGAATTTAAATGATTTATTTTGATCTAATTCATTATTAACACAAAACTGAAAGAGTTATCAATAATGACTCTTACAGCTCCATTTGCAATGGATAAACTAAACCAACTTCACATACTATTATAAATCATCTGTGAAACTGAGATTTGTAATTCTCAGTTTTTCACAAAGTGACTAATATTCGAAACCATTTTCAGCTTTCTTCTTGAACATTCTATTTAGGTATTCCATAACCAAAACAAAATTTCATGAGACATGGCGTTAACATATGTATTGCGCATATGTATACATTTTCACACATGGGCATACACACACAAATGCATATAATATTTTCTTGGTCCTAAAATTAGTTCAATTTGTACTAAAAATGAAAATATAAATTAGAAAATTATTTCAGAATAATAGAAAGCGTAATGTAAATGTGCAAAGCACATGGTTTTTAATGTTTTGAAATACATAATTGTAAGATAGCTTTTTCTTCACAAATATTGTGACTATATTGTTATTTCTAATACAAAATACATCATGTATGCAATATTATTTTTTATTTTTTCAAAAGTTATATGTATGCTAATCGCCTTTCATTTATTATTATTATTATTATCTTTTTATGCAAACAACTACAACTAGTAAAGTAACAATAATAAGGATATGTGACTTATTAGGGTGACTTTGGTTGAATTGGTTAGTTCTTACATTTGATAAAATATGTATTTCCTAGAGCATAAGGAATAATATTAGGGGGAAATACGTCAATGATATCAATAATAAGTGACTTAAAAAACATTCGAACTTTGTAAATACTCCCTCCGGTCCTTAATATAAAGTATTTTGATTTGTCTTAATTTTTCATCTAGTACTCATTTTTAATTGACGAAAAAACCTTAAAAATATATCATAACAATCAAGAGAACATAACGAATCTGAAAATATATTTTTAATATTTTTTGTCAATTAAAAATATGTATTAGGTCAAACCTGAAAAAAGTCAAAATGACTTATAATAATAAGGACCGGAGGGAGTATATTTTTTTGTCTAAAGAAAAAGTAATTTACATTAAGTTAATATTTGTATTACTTTTAGTAAAAAAAAACTTCAATAATGAAGATGAATTTGGGGACAAGGGAATATATATTATATATTATAATAATAATATAATTGCATAAAAGAAAGAGTGGCGTTATAATTCAGCAAAGATCCAATAGAATTTTGGTCGAGGACTGCACATTAGGACAGTAGCCCACGCGGAAAAGTTGTGGAGGCATCGGCGAAAAAATGGATCCCGACGGAGTGGCGAAAGCGTTCGTGGATCACTACTACTCCACTTTCGACAACAACCGGGCGGGGCTGGCTAACCTCTACCAAGACTCTTCCATGTTGACTTTCGAGGGTCAAAAGATTCAGGGCTCCAACAATATCGTCGCCAAGCTCACCAGCTTGCCTTTCCAGCAGTGCCAACACCTTATCTCCACCGTCGATTGCCAGCCCTCCGGTCCCGCCGGCGGTATGCTCGTTTTTGTCAGCGGTAATCTTCAGCTCGTCGGTGAATCTCACGCCCTTAAGTTTAGCCAGGTATGTATCTTCCCGGCCCAATTATTGAATTGGTTCATTTCTTTAATTTTTTTTTTAATCTCTATCTGGTGTTTGTAATTTCAATTTTAGGGTTTACAGATGTAATTTTGGTGTTATCACCCAATCTTATTTAAGCAAGGTCCTCCCTCCATTTGATTTTGGTATTTTAAAAGTCTTTCTGTGTTTTTGCTGAATCTCTAAACGTTCCAAACCAGAGCCTTATTGTGTTGCTTACTACGTTGTAAATTGTTTACCGGATCACTATTAGACATTAAATAAAAAGCAGCCTCAACTTTATCTGTAGTGATAAGAGTTTGACAGAACACAACTGTCGGATATAATCATAGAATCCACTCCTTATAATGGGGTTAAGACATAATTGTTGCTCTTGTTGATCAAAGAAATCTTACACTTAGGCTTGTGCTTTTCTGGATTCAGGAGTATTAAAGGTCTAGGGAGTGTTTCTTTTGTTCTACTACTTATGTTTTTGTCATGGATTGCGAGGTCAAAGTTTGTAAGGGAAATGTAGCAAATCCTTCAGGATATGAATAAATGTAAAAGTAAAATAGCTTTCTGTACATGCTCTGAAGGATGAAAGCCTTAACCCCCTCTGCATCTTGAGCTGTTTCTCTACTGGAACACAAGTTGTCTTGGAAATATCAAACACTGTCCAGGATATGCATTATTTGTTGAAGTTGTTTACCTCGGAAGCCTAATCAAAAGCCTCTTTGGCAAAACATAAAAATGATTAATGAGACCAAGGTAAGGTTAGTACTTAAGTTGCTCAAGTATGTTATAGGAACGAGCTGGATTTATGAAGGAAAGTCTGACTGTTAATAGGTGAAGTTATGGAAGTACCATTGAATCCCGATCAACTTTGGTTTTATAAAAGCAGAAAGTCTGAAATCTGAGACTGATGGTTATTACATAGGTTCTTACCCTGGGATTGGTTCTCATGGAAGGTATTTTTTTAAGGTTTCAAATTTTTTATGTGAGTGCGTTTGTTAATATTGATCACTTGCTTTCTAATTTGTGAAACGATTTGATGTACATCAAATTGATTCCTGAAATTGCTTTGGTTGCGTAATGGCTTTTGGTTATCCGAGTGTAAGCTAATGATTATTGGAGGTCCTCAGTTTTGTTTTGTTTTTTTTTTTTATTGTGTTCCTGACTTGGTGCAGATGTTCCATTTGATGCCAACTCCACAAGGAAGTTTCTATGTGTTCAATGACATTTTCCGCCTGAACTATGCCTGAGGAAAGTGATAGGATAAAACTGTAATTTTCATGTGATGTCTACTGTTGTTGCTGGAGTGTGTGTTTTAGAATTCCAACATGGTGTTTGAAAGTCAGATTTGTTCAGAAGAATGAGTAGTATTGATTGAGTATAAACTCTGTTTCTCTCCCTCATTTGGTTGATTTTGTTTACGCGATTCCAAATGTTTCAATTATTTGAACAGTTGTACATTGGTTTCGGATGAAATGGTGAACACAACACTGCCAAGGCTTCAAATGGTAAAGTTTTGGAGAATCTGATGGATAGAATGTTTAAAGATTGATGGTAACCTATAGTTGGCATATGCGTGCTACAGTTTGTCCCATAATGCCCGGGAGCCGAGATCTTCTTCTAACTTCTTCCTTGTTCGTTTGGGCACTTGTAGTTGAAATGGGGAAAAAATAAGAGCCATATTTGACCAGTCGGCTTCCTTAATTTACTCTAAGGAAACGATACGGTCCCGTCTTTTAGTTGAGCGGCAGGGCTGAGTTTGGTAATTCCCATAGGCCATAGCTTTGGGCTCTACTTGGGCTCAATTTCGAAGACGCACCACCGTTAGAGACAAAGACAATATTATAAATTTATGATGATGAGTAGTTGCTACATCAACAAAAAAAAAAAAATAATAAATAAAAATTAGAGTTTGAAAATATATCTAAATACTTACCAAAGGGAGCTCTGGGGTTCGATTTCGGAATGATAATGACTGAGGACCGTGAATTCAATTCAAACAATAATAAGTGTCAACAATAAAATTTGGTGATGTGTTCACTGAGTATGAATGTATGAGTAGTCTATGTAATGTAACTCGAAGAATTTGCTTTTGAAACTAGAATCTTTACCAGATGGCGATATTATAACTTGCAAACATAGAAGGATGATGTTACGAGTGGAAGACCTACAAAGTAAAGAGTAAGAAGTAATGAGAAGAAGGAAAAAAATGAAAAAGTAAAGAGGGAAGTGCGACTAATTTGGGGAGGAAAAAAGAATCTGAAGATTGTGGTATAGCTAAGGAAAGGAAACAGAGGTAATTAAAAACTTGCGAAGTGTGAATTGGAATCGGAATAGCTTCGTTAAGGAAAACAAGCAAACCGTCCGTTGGCCTTTTTGGAAATGGTACGGGTTATCTTCATTTGTAAATAAAGACTATCTCGTCTCCCAACCCAAACCCACTGGAAATAGGATTTAAGCGCTCCCAAAGTCTGAGTGTTGGAAAAACCCAACATCTTTGTTCCTCCATAACTTCTTTCCCCCCGTTTTAATCGATCATTATTACAGATTAATAGAGAGCAGAGAGAGAAAGAGAAACACACTCTTGTAGGAAGCAAAAGTAGTTTGGGAGGGAGACAAAAATGGCTGACTGGGGTCCGGTATTCATAGCACTGGTTCTGTTCATTCTGTTAACCCCGGGTCTGCTGATTCAGATCCCGGGTCACAACCGGATCGTGGAGTTTGGTACACTCAAGACCAGTGGGGCCTCCATTGTGGTGCATTCCATCCTCTACTTCGCACTCATCTGCATCTTCGTGTTGGCCATCGGCGTCCATGTTTACTTGGGTTAGCCCGCCCCAATCTGCTTCCCTGGCTGTTTCTTTTTTTTTTTTTTTTTTTCATTTTGTTTATGGACAGATGGGATTTGTAACTGTAAGACACGGATTTCATCTGGCGTTGCTCTGAGTTTTGGTTCTCTTGTTCCCCCAATTCATTCAATTATTTACATACATATATGCGCTTCCTTTTTCGTTTTTTTTTTTCTTTAATTTTTTCCCCTAAGAATATATATATCTTTGTGGGAGATTGTTTCGTACTATCAAAATAGTTGGGTATTCATATTAGTAGTAGACAAAAAGAATAGGAGGACTACATTAACAAGAATGGGAAGAAATGAAAGAGTTGAGAAAACGAAGGGACGACATCAGAGAAGACCTTTTGATTCTCTGATGCTGGTGGATTAGTTGAAAACACACTATTCATCTTCACAAACGGAAAAGAAACATAACCTATAGATATTCGGACTCACAATCAAATCAATCATCACCAACTAGGCCGCAGCAATTTGATTATTAGTATTAGATAACTACTACTATAAGCTACTGCAAATTTTTAAGAAGACCCGAATGTAACATCAAAACTTCCAAAAGAGAGTGATCAGCATGCTGTAAATTGAGAGTTACAAATTCAGTTGCAAGGTCCCAAAACAAAGATATACAGTACATATAAAATCCGTTAACTGTTGAGGGACCTTGGATATATAGATGTGGTCCGCAGGATTCGGGCATTGTAACTCCACAATACATATATCATTGATTGATCAGTAATGAAGTAGAACAATTATGATCCTGGTTGGATGGTTGCCCTGTATCTATGATATCTCTCAACTTTCTACCTATACCTCTTCTATTATCTAGTACTATTTAGACCCAGATACGGACGTCAAGAACAACGAGAAACAAGATAAGAAGCAAACCGTAGATAACGGCGTGCAACAAAATGGAGACGACGGTAGTCTTCATGCTTAAGAATTCCACGGGGTGGTGCTTTCCCGGAAGCTGGAGTAGCAGTCCTGGTGACAGGAATGTAAACAACGCTGTGGCTATCAAAGGACCCGCCCAGTTCTGCATCCTTTTCTTTTCTTATTTTAATCAACCAAATTTTGTCAACAAAAATGCTAAGAAGAATGACTAGGAACTCTCTCCAAACTATGTGGCGCAGCATCCAAACATAATGAATAAGAACTGGAGGGAGGAGGAGAAAGAAAGAAGAGAGGCCACTGATGATGGGTGTGGAATAAAATTGGGGGAAAAAGGGTGGCCTTTTTTTTGGGGGGTGGGGGATGTGTTTGACGAAATTAGGTGTGGGTTAAGTTAAATAATTAGTCACATCGGCCTCCCTTCACATCTCTGAAAAATCACTTCCATACACATATATGATATATATGTATAGTACGAGTACCACAATATAGTCACAACTTCCAAACTGTTAACGAGGTGATCACTTGATGGATTATACTGGACAATAATTTTGGGACAGAAAGTAATAAAATTACTCATTCCACAATTATACTATGCTTAATGTGTTGAACCATCACATCTTTTTTGTCATTGTTGGGAATATTAAGGGTTTATAACTCTTATGAAGAGTAATAGTAGTACTCCTACTGATGGTTTTTACAATGTCCAGGGAGGTCAAAGTAATTATTGATTATAGAGACAGAGTTGAAATCATCCGGACCGGAAGGAATCAGAATGAGATGCCCATAGCCATAATTAAAGTGGGAGAATTTTCAATATGGGCGCATAACTTTTATCTTTCTTTTGTTTTGTTTAGAAAAAACTTTCGGCTCCATTTTCTTACACAACATATGAGAGAGGAGGAGGAGGAAAACTCAAAAGCCGCAATTTATGTCTCGAAAACACTAATCATCCAACTAATCATCCATGGCTTTTTGTGGTGCACAAGTGCTTGGGCCTTAGTGGATCACCGATACTAGTACTACTACTATATTTAGCCGTAGGTTTAGAGATAAGGATGTCATAATGGCTGAAAACCACCTGGCTTAATTAGATCATCTGTTTCGATCAGTTTCTTGCTTTGTCCTAATCTCCACTATCAAATCTCTGGTTCAAATTTCAACACACAAATGAATGAATGTTGAGAAAATCTTCCAAACAGATGTTGTACTACGTAGCTAGACACATAAATAATGCAAGATTGTAATTTTATCGGGAAAACTATTATAAAATTAGAGGACCGTGATATTTTTCAGTATAAGATACAACAGAATTGTATAGTCAGACACATAAATAAGGCAAAATTGTAATTTTATCATAAAAATTATCACAAAATTAGAGAGCCATGATATTTTCTATTATAATAGGTGTATTGTTACACTAAAAAAAAGAGATACACTTGCTATATGGAATAATTTTTCAATTTTTCAAAATAATTGACCATGATCATTATGCATTTGACTTTTCAAAGCTCATCACCACAACAATGCTTCCTCATGTGGCACAACGCGTCCAGAATCTGGTTGCACTCAACTTACTCGCAAATTTACTTGTAAAAGAAAGAAGAATTGAACTAATCATTTTTCAAAGTGTTTAAGGAATTCCAGAAAGAAGACTTCTCATCCGCTATTTATATGTATAGTAATTATAGTACCTCATACATTCTTCTTCCAAAAGATTAGAAAGTTGGCGAATCACTGTGCGTGTTCATTTTTCAGAGGGTTGGGTTACGATGCTCCCCCGAAAGTTAGCATAAAAAGTTCACTGATTGGAGCTTTACACTACATCAGAATGGGGATTATACTTTGACCACTTAGAGTTTGACAAGACGGTCACCCACCAAAAACACTGATAAAGGAAAATTGCAAATAAACCATGAATTACCCACAGGAAGGTTTCTTTTTTTTTTTTTTTTTTTTTTTTCCCTATTCTAAATAAGAATAATAATGGTAAAATTTTCTACATGTCACTATGACCAAGTGAATTCAAAATCAAAATGCCAAATTAACCAAGTGGCCATTCACCATTTAAAAACCGGTTTGAGTATTGTTATGCGAGCAATTTTTTTTCTTGGATTGGTGACACCGTGGATGTGATTTTTTTCTTCCTGTTTTAACTATAAGACACAAACTAACACTAAAATTAGTTTAAATTTATGATCCATTTATTAGAATTGAAAGGAGTAATTTTGTTTTTTTTTATTGTTAATGACGGAGAATTCAATTTGGTGAGTATCTCGTAGATTTGCGGTGCGGGTGGCCAGTGATGTGGTTATGTGTGCGCATTAAAATACAAACAATTCGAATTGGATACTATATTTTGTAGTACATATAAACTGAAAATTTTTATTTTTATTTTAGAAAAAAAGCCCTCGAGATGAAGGAAGCCAAGAAAGAATATATGCTTTGATACAGTGGGAGGCAATTCTGAGTTCACTTTATGTTGTATGAATAAAAATATGCTCAACTTCAAATATCATTTTATTATTAAGCTAAAACTAGGAATAGTTTCTGAAGGAAAAGTTTTTTTAAACAAAAATACGATTCAAACACAAATATATATATATATATACACCCATTAAAAAAAAGAAAAAAAAATTCAATCGACAAGGAAAGTGCACATATATATATATATATATATGTAGGGAAAATCCCATAAAATCATGCATATCGGGGCTGATAATTCACGAGATTAAATCCAGGATTCAATAAGTTGGAAACGATACAAAGAATGGCGGATACAAGCAAAGTGAGTATAAGGAATGTGAACCAAATTTGTTTATTTATGGGAGTAATACTAGTAGTATTTTATTTGGGGTTAAGTTAACATATATATATACTAGTGATGTCTTGCGCGACCCTGGCCCAGTCTATCTGTAGATCTTAGAAATGTTTATATTTGAAAAAAATAAAATTTTGTATTTGGAGCGATATATTTTAGAAATTTTTGAAGGATTCAGAAATGTTTTATAAGTGTGATCATAGAAATATTTGTATTTCGCAAAAAAAAAAAATTGTATTTCGCCATGTATGTTTTAGAAATGTTTTATAAGTGTTACTTATTAAATATAAATAGTTTAATCGAATATATGTGTTGAAGTAAATATTAGATAAAATATAAAAGCATCCTAATAAATTTAAATATTAGTAAGATGATTTATTGATGTTCTCTATTGGTCGTGCCAAATCAATACTTAGTTTTGGAGATTTTTAATAGCTTCCGAAGGGTATACGCTTAAAACAAAATTGACACTTTGTAACAAAAAACCTAATTGATCAATTCAATTTAAAAAACCACTCTAGTTGAATGAAACATAAAGAAAAAATTAAAAAAAAAAAAACGTGTCACTTAAAGTGCAAAGGGAGATTTAGTAATTTAGTTATGGTTAGACAAAAGGGCAATTTAGTATTTTCTACATGCCACGTGGCAATCATATGAGGTGTTTGAAAGGGAGGTTTTTGTTTCTAATATAGTATGATATGATATGATATATATTTGGATGTGAAATAAATAAATTGTAGTAGTACGCCAGTATCTAAGTGCGGGTCACCCCATTCCATCGTTCACCCACCCCCCTTTTCACTCAATCTCTCACCCTCTACCTCCCTTTCTCCCGTTCTCCCACCTGTTTAATTAATTCTTTGACACTGCCGGCGGTGACCGGAATCCAGTGAGCTGCAGGCCGGAAAGGAAATGGCGGACTGGGGGCCGGTGGTGATCGGAGTGGTGCTGTTCATACTGCTGCAACCGGGTCTGCTGTTTCAGTTGCCCGGATACAACCGAAATGTGGAGTTCGGGGGGATGAAGACCAACGGCAAAGCCATCGCTGTTCACACCCTCATCTTCTTCGCCCTCTACACCATCCTCGTTCTCGCTGTTCATGTTCACATCTATACCGGTTAGGCTTAGTTCCAAGTTTCCTCATTATTCTATCATCTCTTCTCTCCCCCAAATGTAACTCATCATTTAATTTCCTCCATATGGTTGTTGTAATTTCTTCTTCCCCTTTTCTAATTACTACTACTACTACTAATTCCATCCCTACCACTTGCCACTTACTATAATTGATGAAATCTTATTAATTTGCCTTCTATATTTCTTTGTCTCACTACTTCAGATTCAGTTTTAATGTGATTTATGATTATGTTGCTGTGGTGATGATGGATTTGTGTGCTTTGTTAAAAAAATAAAAATAGAAGTGAAGGGGGGTACATCGGAAATCTGACAAGTCAATGGTATTGGGTGTGCAGCGAAAACAGAATCCACGTCTTATTTTTAATCTTCCAAGATTTGTCCGTTTGCTCCGACCATGTCCATGTTCTTCAGCGTGACTCCGTTAATAATTTACTACTCCCACATTTTGATTTATTATAGGTTTAACTCAGTATACATTTTTAATCGATGAAAAAATTTTAAAAATATTTTATAACAATCAAAAGAACACAGCGAATATGAAAAAATATTTTTAAAATTTTTTGACCAATTAAAATATATGCCAGGTGAAACCTAGAAAAAATCAAAATGATTTTGTAGCAGTATTCAGAAGAAGAAAGGTCTGGTGGCTTCACTAGCCTGAGACTTGAAATTTTTGACACTGATTTATTAGTAATATGTATTTTACAACTGATTTTGTTACTTGAATCGGCCTAAAATGTTAGTTAGTTAGGTTTTAGACTTTTGAGTAATTTGTCAGGCTTCTCATCCACTTCTATAATACTAGTGCGTAGTACTTAGTAGCCTTTTTTAAGTTTCAAGGGGTACTCTGAGATTCTGGATTTAGGGTGACATTTTTTTAGTTACTCTTGCTCGGTTATCCCCATTACTCTAAATCAGTGTTCAGTAGTTTGCAGTATACTTCCTCGGCTTCAAAATCAAAGGAATTATCGAAACTGGGTGGCTGCTTCATTTCTCACAACAACCCAATCCCTCATTTCATTGTTCATAGTTCATACCATCATGGGTTTTTGTTTATTTCTTCTTTATCATCACAGCAAGACACTTGACAACTATTATGTGTGTGTGGGTACTCCAGTTGCATCTTTAGGTTTACCATGACCTGAAAACATTTCCATTGACCACAATATCATCTGTAACAACATACCTATCTCCATTGTAAGAATACGCAATTTCATCATCTTACCATTCCACTTCCTGCCCTTGGTAGTCTGATACATATTTACAATATATGCCATAGTGTATTGAACTTTGCAAAACCACCATCAAATCCCAGAGCTGAAGCTTTTGTTGCAGGCTCTATCAACGTTACACCATCCATCCCGTCCCCTCCCCGGATTCACTAAGGTCACACTTTCCTTGGTTCTTTTTGGATGTGTTCAACAACTCAAGTTTGATGCATTATGTTCTCTAATCTATTCTTATCACCATTACTAAATGACCTGGTTGACGGCTATAGAATAATTTGACCTGTAAATACGGGAGCAAGAACCTACTCTTTCATGCCAGAGAAAACTACATACATACATCTCCTAGAGCAACCAAAAACAAACAGTAACACACTTGTAATACTACCTTTTATCTCAAATCTCATGAATTTGGTATTCCAGTGGCTACAGAAATAATAGAGCTCAGTCACTTATCATTATGTATGATTTTGCCGATTCAAATATGAGATACGGGGAAAAAAGAAAAGAAAAAACAAGTGGTTGATCATACGATGAATCGTGCATCAATCAACCAGTTCTTATATGAACACCAATTGCTACAATTAAGATGGTGTATATACAAAAATACAACACGGCGTGAACTAGAATGGAAATCCCACTGGTGTACATGTTCCCAAACTCCATGACTCTTGTTCTTGCCGGTAGCTGGAACAGAAGCCCGGGTGACAAGAGGATGAACATCGCCACCGCTACCACCACTGGTCCCCAATCTGTAGTCATTTCTTTCCCCTTTCTTCTTCTTTCTAATTGTCCCTCAAAAACCAGACAATCGAGAGACTTCGCTATGGGGAGTATGAATTAAATTGTGGAGGAATGTTTTGGTCTCTTGATGAGAGTAGAGTTTGATGAAGAGGCTGGGAAACAGAAAATGACAAATGAAGATGGAGGAAGGTGAGGGAATTTTGTAGTGATGAATTTCTTCGTGTGGAAGTATTAGAGAAGGAGGAATGCTATACTAAACTTGAATAGTAAGAGAAAGTAGATTTATGGAAGAAGCAAAAGGCATGCTTGCTTGCAGTTATGGTTAGTGGATTTTCTTTTTTTTTTTTTTGGGTTATTTTTATTTATTGTGTGACAATTAGCTAGATAACTGTTGAGTCATTGGCTTCCAATAATTGATGATTTCACGTTTGTTATGTTGCTTTTGTGAGGAGGATTGATGAAGGTGTAGGAGTCTCTCCAAGCCCTTTAATTTGATCACTTGCAATAGTAATGTTTATTTATTTAGATGATATATAAAAGACAGAATTCGGGGAAAACAAAAGGGAAGAAAAGCAAGAGGATTCATGGTGGTGGATGTTGCATGTGTAAAAGGCAAAAGCGTAAGAGAAGCACACAAGAAGAAGGTAGGTTGGTTTTTTCAAGTAAGAAATATATGCCTTTAACTTTGATGGGGTTGATTGATTGGCAATCTTTTTAAAAAGTTTGAATGCATTATAAGGCTGCTGCTTCTTATGTCATCTTCTCATCTTATCTTTGGAGGGGTTGCTTTAATTTACCTCATCAAACAGCATTACTACAAATTGTGTGAATGTGCATGATTTCATTCTTTATTTCTTGTCCACGTTTGTCCTGTTCATAATCCAAGTATTGCTATCCTTGACTAATTGGTGTTTTAATATTCACTATAGAACCATGTGGTGTTTCCCTTAACATCGTTTTGAAGAATTGTTGTTAAAATGGACCAGTAATGGATTAGTCGAAGTAGCCAGTCCACTTTTCATCGTATCAGCTAAAGGAGGTAATCCGATGAATTTAGCTTAATTTATTACTCTCTCGATTCTAAAATAAATATGGGGAGACAAAATATACATAGTTTAACAAGCATCCCCAAATGCTTATATCGAGCATAATCCCCCGAATTACGAATGAGACAACCGTTAGCCGGCCAATACTACCTACCTAACCGTGTCCATGCACGGCCGGCCCGAGGCGTTTTTGTCGTGACGACGAATATAGTTATTTAAAACACGGAAAATGTTATACAGGAGTCCACCTAAGGTTCTGGGAATGTATATACTCTTAACATTCTAAGATTACCTGGTTGAAGTTTTGAACCCAGGAAAAGAAAAGAGGAAAGAGGAATAGATGGCGGATTGGGGACCGGTGGTGATCGCGGTGGTGCTGTTCGTGTTATTAACGCCGGGACTTCTATTTCAGCTCCCAGGGAAGAGCCGAGCCATCGAATTCGCCAACTTCCAGACTAGCGGAGTCTCCATATTTGTACACACCATCATTTACTTCGGTCTCATCACTATCTTCCTGATTGCAATCGGAGTTCATATCACCACCGGTTAGAGACAACTCTCCCATCCCATCCTCCAGTGTCATTTACGGATCAATCCGCTTTTGCCTATGGGTTTGGTTTGTATGTGTTTACACTTGTTAGATTGGGATTCTATTTTAAGTTCTGGATGCAGGAATCATTTATCCTTCTATACCACCATCAGATGAAGAAGGCAGGTATTTTTTATTTTTTTTCTTCAGACAGGGGACCTCTGCTCTGATGTTGCCAAAATGTGGGACTCATCAAGAGATTAATTTGTGTATTGTTGTACATGAGTTAATCCACATGTTGTCCATTTTAGGATACTTCATCATTTTGTATTAGTTGTAGTAGTTACATATATACTGTATTTAAAAGAACATCCACATTCCATTTTTTCTCTGGCACAACCAAAGGAACATGTCTACAACTATTTAAAAGATGAACAAAAATTGGTCCTCCTTACAACCTGACGCCTAGTACAACCAGCCTCCATCATTTGGGTGCATGTTTTTTGTAAGTCCTAAACATTCTAAATACAACAACACCTAGTAGGGATGCAAATCAACATCCAATTTTCAACCCAAACTTTCCCTACACCATCTTCTCCGATCTTGTGTATGTATGAATAATGAATGCATCCGATACACAGATTCCGGCAAATACATAACCTGCTCTGGTGACAAGTTCCCTTCTTTCCCTCCAGTGGTGATCGGTCAGCCCAAGACTTCTTGGATTTCAAAAAAATCTCCAGCCTGCAATCGTCACCAGAAACCACACATTAACAAAAGACAATAGAGTTTCGGTTGCAGGTGTCCCCCTCAACTGCCACTACCGTCTGATTCTTCATTAATCTACGTACATTTGGAAACAACCAGTGAAACCGGAAAATGTCTTTTCAAAGTTTGAATAATGTAATAATGCAGGAAGGTCATCATTTGAAGAAGAGTGTGAAGTAAAATAGAACTTTTGGTACATTCAAATACCCCAAAACAGAGTAGGAGTAGGACGGGAAAGGAAGCCATCACCGGCGTGTGCCACACTAATTTCAACCAGTTAACCACTTAAAAGCAGTCATACTCGACGCATTTACACATTCACAACTACTCGTAGCTTCATCGAACTTCAAATTAATTAACTAACGAATGATAGTGATCATAAATTGGTCGCAACAAATAGCATTGCTCTGCAAATCCACTAATCTTCACATTACGAACGAATCACTGTGCTATTTTTAGACTTTTTATCTGAAAATGATCTCACATTCCTAAAGCCTTTCTTTGTTTTTGAAGTCCACAAAGTGACACACACACACACACACACACAGAGTTTGACGTTCAATTACTAGAAATGATCATCATTCATACCAACAAAAGAAAAGCAATAAAGCAAAACAAGGATTGGGTAATAAAAATGAAGACGTACCTGGGGGGAGGGGAGGGGAAGAGGAGTAACAAGGCCACAGAATGGTGCGGCCCAAAAGGGAGAGGAGACCCAGGAAGTAGAAGAGAAAGAGAAGCCCAACAACGAGAGGCATGAGGAAGAAGCCAATGGCGAAGGCGAGGGATCCAAAGAGCATGAGCGCCACGGAAACGCCGAGGAAGAGGGAGGCGAAGGCGGCGGGAGACGCCTGGGAAGATGATGATAAGGACGGGGACATGGAGATGATGGGGAGGGGAGGGGACCGGAGGATGTGAGAAATCATGGAACAAAGCTGGTATACAACCACCTTAGTTTGATCGTTGTAGTAATTAGTAACAAACCCAATATCCTCCTCCTCCTCCTCGTTTCCTTCTTCTTCTTGTACATGCTGCAAATCTGCTCCCCTCATGGTTCTGTGGTTTGTTGGTTCCTTTTTTGTTTGCTCTGTTCTTTATTATACAGACATCAGAGGGAGATGATAATGATGATGATGAAGAAGAGATATAGGTGTGAAAATGAGGAATTGCATCCGATTTGGGTATGTATAAATAAATACACAACACACCACACCAGGTGGGTAGGCACCCCCTGCTGTTCCTAAAAATAGATTCTGAAACTTCCAAAAGTCTGAAAAGAAGAAGGGATAGTAATAGGAGGACTGGAGGAGGAAGAGAAGTGGAAGAAGAAGAAGAAGAAGAACAAGGATAAGAATGAGGTTTTTTTTTTTTTTTATTAAAAAAAATGTAGTTTGTGAATTACGAGATCAAAGTGTGGGTGTGGGGGTGACATTGCAGCCGAAATCTAGCAGCCGCGTATGTGCCTGCAACTGATTGTTACCACTCGTCGCCCCATTGGCTGTTCAGAATATACTAACACTAATATAAATAAATCTACTAAATGTATGGCGGTGCAGTCAATTCACTCAAATGTGTTGGTATTTAATTAGCTGCTGTGATCTGGATAAGAAAACGTACAAAACCCCGGTCAAGGCTACGACCATCGCATGCTACCAGGCTTTGTTACATTGTTTCTTAGGGTTAAAGAAAGAATAACTTGGATCATCTCATATTGGTTACTCCAGTGGCAGCTTCATCCAATCAATACAACCTCATGAAACACTCATTATTCACTGTCTAATAAAAAAACATATAGTATCTGAATTAATCCCCCCCAAAAAAAAAACCAAAAAACAAACATATAGTATCTGAAATTCTGAAGGCGCCAATTGTACGACGACTCAAGTCGTTGGGGTATTTTAAAGTCGATGATGATGATAACTCAAATTGAGATCTTTTCCAACACAAACCCCCCATTAGGATGTGTAGTACAATTATTATCAGGAACTTAATTAATATGCTTAATTAGAATTCATACATAGATTAAGAAAAAAGAGAGGCAAATTTAATTGGGTGCAAGTCTAACACATACTTAACACTACTAATTACTAGTAGTAGACTGCGAAAAATTACTTAACCAACTATAGAGGGACCATGCACGTGGCCAAGAAAGCTAGCTAGCAAACACCACCATGAGTGTGATGATCACGATGAAGATGAAGAGTTGTTTGCTTGGACTTGAAGCCTAATCCTCTCCCGAACCGTAGAGATATAAGTGGCCGCCTTGATATCCACGCTTTCGTCCCCGTAATCCACCGCGTAACCTCGGCTGTTGTTGTCCTCCAGGGAAACGCTCATGTGCTTGGGCGGTTGGGGGCTGACTTGGTCCGGCTTTAGGAAGAACAATTCCACCCCTCCACCCGGCCTACCTCCGGTGGTGGTGGTGGTGGGCGGCGGCTTCCCTAGTCGGTGGTGATTGGCGGCGGCCGATGATCTACTGGTGTAGAATGACATCATTACCAGCTTGCCTTTGACACCCGATCCCTTCCCCCGCTGCTTCCGGCTGTTGCTTACCTGATCCATGCATATATTAATTAGTTACTATGTGGTTAGTTGTTTGTGATTTTAGCTGGCTGTTTTTTTTTTTTCTATCCAGTTTAAGGATACGGCCTCTATGGGTTTATATAGTGTGTTATATGTAACCACAGCACCACTCATTGCTGCTACCCTACACATTTTATTCTCTTGCTTCCTCAACACATTACTGCTTTGTACCCATTATATCATATATTGATATTTTTATTTTTAATACAAATTGAACTAAAAAAATAAAAAAATTAAACCGGTTCGACCCTTTTAGGATAGAGTGAGTTTTAGTATTATGTTTTTAACTCTAATATATATATATATATATATATATATATATCTCTTACTATATTAGAAACAAAAATCACACTTAAGAGAAAGCACCACCATTTGCCATGTGGTATTTCCACATCATATTTTTAAAATAAATTTTTATTTCCACATCTCCTGAACTTAAAAGGCAAATGCAGTCTAAATTCACCTCCACCTCCTATTTTCGCCAAAAAAACCACGGGTTCATAAAAAATTCAAATCTTCATTCCCATCTCCACGACAATCGACTCCCTAATCAATCCCTTCTCCACAATTAAAAAAAAAAAATTTCCTCATCAATCATCAATTGAGAGTATGTGGTGAAATATACTCCTTTCCTATTAGCATGTTTAATATTTTCATTAGTGATGATCAACTACATCTTAATCGAATAAAATTTCAACTTCAAAAAATATTCTCTTTACCTCTCTATATAAACACAAAAGGAAAAAAAAATTCCCATTGATCTTGCTTCGGCCGTTGTGATGGTGGCATTATAGGTATTAAAATTTAAATGATTTTATTTCCACAGATTATTGGTTTAGCTTTTATTATTTTTTATTTTTTCCGTTCAAGAATAGTGTTATTACTATTATTTTTATGCGTCCATCCGTTACAGCTACTGTAACCGTTGTCAGGTAATATAATGTGATTTCTTATTTGGTTAGTTAGCTTAGAATTTTTGTATGATTTTAGTTATGTTTGGATTGAATTGATTAATTGGGTTTTTATTACAAAGTGTGGTTTTTTAAATTTCTTTTTTATGTTTCATTCAATTAGAGTGGTTTTCTTTTTTTTTAATTATGGAGTCTCAGGTTTTCTTTCGTATATGGCCAGTTATGAAGTGTGTTTTTCTTTGTTTAATTGCTTTTGATTTTGTTTCATATTCCCAGTTGACCAATTATTATTATTATTATTATTATTATTATTATTATTATATTTACAAATGAAGCACGCTTTTTTTTGTTCGGGGTTTCAAGAATATACTTTTTTGGATTTAGTTTTTGGACTTTTTTTTAGTTTCTCATCATATAAATAGTTCAGGTCGCTTCTTCTAACTAATTTATGGGGAAGCCTTTTATGAATTTGAGGTGGAGAGGAAAGTAATGATGTTTTTACGTTTATTTGTGTTTTTATACATCATTTTTACCTACAGAAAAAAAAAATCTCAAATTTTAATGGGCGATCTTTTACTTTCTTTTTTTTTATTTGTCATGGTGAGGTGAGTTATTTTTTGCTATATCTTGAAACCTATGCAAATGTACATTATTTTCATTCTCATATTTGTGATCAACCAGTTTCAACAATTAACCAATTTTGAAATTGTATATTTGATATTTTACTACCTATAAAATTTTGGAAGAAATAGTTCCAACAATTAAGCGTATACCCGTTGGAGGAAGCTAACTACAAAGCTATTATAAATCTCCAAAACTAAGTACAGATTTGGCACAACCAATGGAGAACATCAATAAATTATCTTACTAATATTTAAACTTATTAGGATGTTTTTATATTTTGTCTAGCATTTACTTCAAGACATATATTTGATCAAATTTATTTATATTTAAGAAGTAGTGTTATAAAACATTTCTAAAATCTTCAAACATTTTTAAAACGTATTGGGTCAAATACAATTTATTTTTATGCCAAATACAAACATCACACTTATAAAACATTTCTAAATTCTTCAAATGTTTCTAAAATATATCGGGCCAAATACAAAATATTTTTTTTCCAGATATAAACATTTCTAAAATCTATAGATATAATGGGTCAGGGTCACGCAATCACTAGTATATAAAGGTACCGCCTTCTGCTGATGCCATAAAAAAATACACTTACCACTCTGTGTTTTGCATTTCTCATTGAATTAGTACTTTTATATCATCAGTACTCGTGTCATTTACTCCAAAGTCCAAACTAACACAAGTACGCACGTATAAATTCCTCATGTAGAAAATACGTTTCTTGAAAACTATTTTCATGCTCATGGGAAATGAGGAGGATGTATCAATTCGCTAAATATCAAGGAGTGAGGGGGCGGGAATAAAGGCGTGAAATATGTATATGTATATATATATGTACATACAATATTGAGATTCTCTCCTTCCAAATTATTGGCATGATCCACAAAATTAGTGATGATCATCAGGGAATATACAAATCCATATAAGTTTCTATGTTATGTGTGACCAGATTCCTCTTTTCTTTTCTTTATCAAGTGGATTGGGGAATATATTATAAGGTAGGCCTCCTCCTAAGTCCTAATTAATAATTATGTACACTTTTCCAGTTGTGTGGTGGTCCAATTGGTGGTTGTTGCATTCATCTTATGAAAACATTTACACTTATTCTACTTAAACATATATATATAATAATAATCGCTATCTTTTTTCTATTAATCACTTTGAGTTTGGCTTACTTTTTATTATAATAATTTAAAGCCGGTATACATACATGTAGTGAATAGTTCGAGAAGCTTCTGTCTCACCTAATTAATCTCTCTAATTCGTGTTGCTATTATTTGCTTACTCTCATATACCAGATGTCACGACTTAATTTGATCACTCTCCAACTTGGTACAAATGACACGTTTAATTTCCACACACATATATTCACAAAATGCAAAAACAATTTGGCTATTTCATGGCTCTCGACAATAATAATAGTTATAACAAAATTTTGAACATAAACTCCGGACACACATGGATTTTAGTTGGGATCGACTCATTTATTCCTTGGTTCACTTTTTAGACCGGATAAAACTAAACAAGGTGGAGAGCATCTCACAGAAAAAGGTGGTGAGGATCCTAACAATGAATATCGGATTTTCGGTGCTACTTCTGTGTTAAACTTTCCTTATGACAAGTTTTTGGGCGCATATCAATAAGTGTCACATGAAGGATACCATAATGTACTGTCTTTTACCGGCCTGAAGCTGTATGAATATTAATAAGAATAACAATATATACAAGAAAAAGTAAAAGCGAAAATTCATATCTATTTATTTATAATATTTTGCATTTGATGTTCAAATATTTAACATTAAAAACATAATTTAGATGGCTGACACGTCATTTTTTTTAAGTAATCTTGTAATGTTTTCTTTACAATGTATCACTACTAAATATATTATGGGCAAACTACATTTTACCCCTCGAGTTTTGGTTGAATCTATCATAAACCACCCGAGTTTTTGTAACACTACCATATATCCCCTTCACTTGACTCATCATCAACCTACGAAATACCTCCTTAATATACAAACACTATCATCAATTTTGTATAAAAGTTAAAAATACCCTTTAATCTATATATTTAGATTATACAGTATAAATGTTTTTCAAAACAATAAATCATAAGTTAAATTAAAAAAGTTTTCCATATTAATTCTTTTATAGTAATACATTTAAATAATAAAATTTTGGCACTAACGATACCATGTCTTTTGAAATAAAAATTATTTTCACAAATTAACTTTTTTTTAAAAAAAATCATAATAAGCTTATATTATTAATCATGGATTAACTTTCATATATTAACTTGTTATGATTAAATTTGAAAATGACAACTTAAGTCATTTTTATTTTTAATGATCAAAAAATGAAGAAAAACAAATCAAAAAGGAGAAAAGAAAATCAAGTGTATGTAAACCTGGATCATTTTTATCATTTTAATATTTAACCCCTTGTTTAGTGGGTATATGGTAGTATCAATCAAACTCGAAGGGTTTTTATCGTAGATTAGGACAAAACCCGGAGTGTAAAATGTAGTTCGCCCATATATTATTATTTATCCAAAATGAAATATTTTGTTCCAGCTTTTTTGAATAGCAACTGGCTTTTAGTTATGTGTGACTGGATACACGTACTTATCGGTAATTAAATGCTCCCTTCCCATAAAAAGAATTCATTTCTATTTTTTAGCTGAGTAAAATGTATTAAAAAAAAAAAAGAAAGAGAGGAAATATTCCCTCTATATATACTGGGGGAAAAAAATTGATATAAGAAAGAGAATATAGCACGATGATATTCCGGAGAAGCATCATTATTAGTTTCAAAGATACCGAGAACAACAAAAGGGATCAAGGCGAATTATTCTGCTGTTGAGGATATTTCTTTTTCTTTTTTCGCATACAGTACTTGATAATAATGCTTGTGCAATATATAATTGGATACGTGGAATAATTGCATTTCCTTTTTCTGTATTTTATTTGCCCCTATATCTCAGACACTGATCAACAAAGTAAGGTAAGTATATATGCCAAAGTGCAAGCTCTCCCAACTCATTCACTTTGGCAAACACAGGGATGTTGGAAGTAGATTTTTGCTGCTTAAAAGCCTTTGAGCCCAACTCCAACAACGAGCATCTACAGTACTATTACTTTAAATTCCCCCCCCCCCCACCCTACAGTAGATCACTTATAAGTTATACTACTACTGTCTTTTAAACAAAAAATTAAAGTTTTAGATTTGTACTGTTTTTAGTAGATAAATTATAAAACTAGATGTAATCTAAATTTTTAGGACATAGGTAATAACTTGCAGGGGCTCTATAAATTATTGTGCAGGGGATGTACATTTACATGTGTGTAGGTAGCTAAAGATATGCAGAGGAAACTTGCACAAATATTAGATACAAGTTACTGATTAATATTTTGCCTGCCCCCAAAAGAAAAAATAGTAACTTTTTAGTACTATTTGAAAATTAAATGTAGACTTTTTTTTTTTGACAAAAAATAGTACTCCTTCTGTTCTAAAATTATTGTTCAGTTTGAGATTTCACTTTTAGTACAATTTGAACTAAAAATGAAAACGCAAACTGGACAATAATTATGGGACGGAGGGAATACTATTTAATTATCATTCTTCAATAGAAATTCAGAGTGTAGCAGCGAGGTATCGTTTTGATTTTGTATAAAAAGAGGGGAACAAATTAATAACAAAGGAAGGCAGTGGGAGACCTAGGGACGAAACTAAATTGTGCCGAATCAAGGAAATAGTATAGTGATGGATTGAAGCTATGGTTAAGGATACATATGACTATGTCCTACGCAAGTAGTATGGAACAGAAACGAGAATTAGAATTAATGGCTCGCTTTTCCAGGAAAATGTACAGGACATTGATAAAAGTATTTGGATAGCTCCTCATATATACTCTCTATTTTTGTCGTCTTCTTTTTTTCATATAGAGAAGATAAGATATAAAGATAGATTCCATATTTCCTCTTGACGATTAGTCAAATATCATATCTCTCTCTATTTCTATAATGCATAGTGATAAAGACAAACGAGTATCTGGTACCCAACCAATGTAACATTCATTCTATGGAGATTTTTTTTCACTTTGATGCAAAGACTATAAATGTAGCATGTAATTAAACTACTCCCAATATTCGCATATTAATAGTCAATTCAATTTGTTCAGTTGTTTTCTAAGATAGCAATGTGACTAATTACACAGTGATTAACTGTTGGATATGATTTGGGGAAGATAAAACGAAACCAATTTTCGGTGATGGAGTGCTTGCTTTCGAAATCAATTTGTTCTATTTTCAGGGGGGGAGGTCCGGATGGGACATTATTATTGGTATGTGTCCGCGTTAATGTTTTTCCACATGAATGCAGTTAACAACACTGCTCTATCCAGGGGTGGGAGGGTTGGGTAAGGTGATTAGAGAATTAAAATAGAATATGGTTATTACCGAAAAGTCGAGGGTTCGATTTTTACTGTAGCCATCCAATTTATTAAAAAAAAATACTACTCTATCCATAATTATCTATTTTAAAATTTACTGCTAGCACAATGTAATTAAGTTAACAACATTAAATAAAAATTAAACCATTATTTCGAAACAATAAGAAAAAAATATCAGGTTGAAGGCAAGTTGTGGCGGCTTCGAATATTTTCACCAATAATTTAGAACATGAATCTTCATGTTGCATGGAGACGTTAATGGGACCACCATTTATGTCTCGTACTATATATATCTTCCATCTATCCGGCCCGGTAGCTCGCTGTTCCTTTTTTTCTTTTTTCTTTTTTTATTTTCCGATTTTTGAACTCGATATGAAAAGTTTTAGCTGCTTGCCCCAAAACTTAATTAGTGGATTTCCTAACTTGTTCAGATTTAATTAAGTTTATGGGGTGGTACTCATTCTCACTCGTTTTAATAATCTATTTTGTTGAATAATTGAAGTAATATAATAAAATGAATTGATTAAATCTGAAAGAGAGATAATGATGTTTTTGGGCTCGATATATAGTGTTACGTCAAGAGGCTCGGCCGCTGCTATTCGTACAGTAGTTTACACATCTTTCCCAGTGTCAATATTGCTTTATGATATTGATTCATATCTGTATATGTGCGTTTGTACTAAACCCCCGTGTTGGTTATGAAGGAATATTTGAAGTGCCGAGAAGCCATGCATATACTAAACACAACGGTCAAACAATAATTCCGCCATCAAGATCGTACGTATAACATAATGTCCACATAGATTAACTAGTGGCAGATCTATCCAAATGATCAAATTAATCATGCATTCAGAATATATTTAACTACTCAATTGGTAAGAGGATGGGTACAAAATCTCTGCCGGATCATATATTACTTATCAGTATCGGAACGAGAACTTTCAAATCGCGAGGTCAAAAATAAAATTATTCAATCGTCATCTGCCACATGCATGCGTGCACAAGCTTTCGTCTTTAATTTCCTCAACTGTATCGATCCCCTTTAAGGAGGAGATAGATTAAGGACCTAAAATTCCTCCTGATTGTTGAATTTTTATTTTTATTTATTTATTTGTTGGTTTATACGCATCCAGAGGAAGGAAAATAAAGCACACAACGACCTTCCCTACCCCCAACCAAAAGAGAGAGAGAGAGAGATGGGGAGATGGAAGAACCAAGGAAATGAATAAATGAGTTTGTATTATGGATATATAGGAACTGAACTGAAGTAGCTAGTATTCATCATTGACTGGGATCATCTCTTCGTCCAAGTTTACTAAGTAATATTGGGAACTAGCTAGCTAGACTGCTCTTACTAAATTTTTTTGGTACAAAGAGAGACACATTATGCATGACACAGTAAATTAAATTAAAATATTTTGGTAATAAGAGACATCAACAATGTTGTATTCCAACCACAGACGATTCACTCGAGGCGGTGAGTCGTTCAATTGCAATACACCCAATGGATGTATAATAGCTGTTGATGCCAGATAATCCGCAGAAATCTAGTAGGCTGCTAATTAAGTAGTATTAAGGTAGACATTTGTGGCAGCTAGTGTGTTGCTATACATATAATAATCAATGATGAGTGGGGAATTGTAAAATGAATGGATTATTAGTAGTAGCTAATTATATGGAAGGAGAGGATAAATATGCATCTGGTTGAGGATTTGCTCAAAGTTATCGGCGGGTTGGAGGGTGGGATGGGAGTGCATTCCCTGGTAAGTTGTCACCACAACACCTTCGTCTCCCGTCAGCCTTTGGACTTGTTTCTTCACCTCGCACCCTTGATGCGTGCATTTGTAGTAGCTCCTGCATATCCATCCATATATTTTTCATTCACCCCATTATCATATATTTCACCTAAGAGACAGACCTAGCCCTAATTAACCATCATCAATCCATCCCTCTATATACGTCATATGGCCTTTGCTCTCTACTTTTGGAGGGTTAATTTCCGTAACTTTTTTTTTTTTTAAAAAAAAAAAACTACAAAACATACATCATATTGATAAACCGAAAACGGTACTTATTTTAGTAGTGTACCATTTTTCTGCAACATTACTTGAATGATCAAAACGAAGGGGGTACTTAATCAATCAATCATCTCATCTTCCAAACATAATTTAACTACAAAATTACACATATACTACTACTTTATTAGCTACTGTTTATATGTGTTTGATTGCCTTTTTTATTATTTCACCTTAACATCTTTATAATTAGCTCATCCAAAGTGAAGCATGCTAGTCGTAGTCCTTCAATTTTCTATTTATGGATATATTGATCCTCCAAAGTATATTAATTATCTCTTTTTTCTTATTGTTCGATCCCAGTTACGATTCCCACCCTTTATCATCCGCAGTTACAATTGTTCGTAATCGACCAACCGGATATTTTGTTTGTTTGTGCCTTCTGTATTCAATTTTATTTTATTTTTTTTAAAAAAAAAAAGTAGAAGAAGAAGGAAAGTATCTGACTTGTGAATGTAAAAATCCATATAAATAAATCAACCCTAATCTTTTCCTTTTTAATTTTGAAACAGACCAGATCGGCCCTGCGGATTACGTAGTAAATAAAATTAAAGAAGAAGAAGTAGGGGATTAATTAATTTCATACCTGGGGAATTTGTTGTGCTTAACAGCCTTTTGACCATACTTCCTCCAGCGATAGCCATCATCCAGAATATCCACCCGGCTCCTTGTCTGGAAAGCAAATCTCTGCTGCTTCCTACTACTTCTTGTTTTCTTCTTCTTATAATTCGCAGCTGCTGCTTGATGATGATGATGATCAGGACCCTCAACACCATATTCGTTCATCAACATCTCATCACTATTCATTTTGGCTATTTGCGGCGATGGATGATCATCACTACTTGTGTCAACCATCTTAATCTTATTATTATTAAGTACTAAGTGATGATCTGGATTAAATTCTAATAATGGTGGAGACCCAAAGCAGTTACTAACACTACTACTATTTGTTGATGATGCTCCTATTACTACTTCTGAAGAAGAATGGATTGCAGAAGAAATCATCGTCGTGATAACCTAGCTACCAGAGATATGAATGAATTAAATAAATAAATCTGCGCTATATATTATTAGGTGATATGTATGTGGTAATGGGCAAGGAAAAGAGAGAACACATGTACCTATCTATTAATTGATTCACTACTGTGTTTTTCCTCCTTCAATTATGCACTCGTACATATATACATGGACTATAGGGTGGCTTTGGGGGGTGGCTAAGGTTGATTCTGGATTGGATAAAATTCAAGGGCTGCTAAGTAAAAAGTGTTAAGGGATCGTTTGGATTGTTTGATTTTTTCTTGTTTCCGCAATCCCTCCCCCAAAAAAAAAAAAAACTTCTTTTTGTTTTTGGTACATGAGACTTGGACATATTTTGTCACATTGTTTTGGTAACATGAATTTGTGACACATTATTACTTGTGGTTGCTTGTTTAGATTATCATTTTGGTTGGATACAACTTACAAATACGCACAAATATCCACCCAAATACTACATCACATATGGTTCGCAAAAGTAAGAAAGAAATGTCATCAATTCAGAAATGAAAAGGTCAAGTAAGATGTTAGTTATCCACACAAATATTAATACATGCGGTTCACCTAGTAGTAGTATTAGAAGGAGCTTCAGAAGTCAGAACCAATAGAGTAGTTAAATACGAGGGGTTTGATGTAGTTTCTCATTAATCCGATGGCCCGAAGGAACAATATTTCTTCATAGACCCGCATTTTCGTTTTGAGTGTGTTTTTACCAAAACTAGCAACTTTTTTCATAATACGTAGTATTATGTCCTATTTATGATTTATTTAGTCCGGGGTTGTGATTTGTGACTGTGGCGGCTAGTATAACTTCACAGTTGCAATAACTATTGGAGGGGTTTGGGTTAAAGATTGGGGGAGGGACATGTATCGGACATATCGGACATGTCCAATATGTATATATATATATATATATATATATATATATATATATAAAAGTAATAGCACAAATATATCGGACATGTATTTTCATAAAAATAAAAAAAATAGTTGGAAAAATAATAACATGGGATTGGATAATCAGTACGAACACATTAATTGGACAAGTATTTTTTTTATAGAAGAAAAAAAGAAAAAAAATGATTGTACAAATAATACAAACTTATTTAGACAAGAAATAAAAATAATTGGATAACTAATACAAAACGATTGGATAATCACTACGAACACATTGCATTACCGTGTTTCAAAGGAAAAAAAGATGATTGGATAAGCGGCATAAACAAAATGCATAATCAGTGTTAACGTATTGGACAATAATTTTTTTAAAACAAAAAAAAATGATTGGATAACCAGTACAACAATTTGGATAGACATATAAATCCATTGGATAACCAGTACACATAAGTTGGATAGGCATACAACCCAAATGGATAGATATCCAGTACAAACGAGTTAGATATCCAATACAAATAAATTGGATATGCATACAAACCTGTTGAATTACAACTACAAAACAAGTTGGATAGGTATACAAACCAAATGGATGGATATCCAATATAAAGAAGTTGGATATACAGTACAAACAAGTTGGATATGCATACAAACCCGTTGGATTACAACTACAAAACAAGTTGTATAGGCATACAAGTCAAATGGATAAACAATACAAACAAAATGGATAACCAGTTCGAACCAGTTGGATAATCAGTACGAACACAATGGATAACTAATTTAAAATGAGTTGGTTATCCATTTTCTTAAACTGGATATTCAATTAACCTTATTTCTGTCCATCGACATTTAGTCATTTTTAAGTTCGAAAACAATATTCTATATGGATCTTGTTGGATAAATCTCAAAAAATACAATAAAATTCATGTGTAAACACGTTTTCTAATTCTTTACGAATTGAGTTAGAGATTTTTTTGGAAGAGAGAAAAAAAGTAACAGGAACTAAATTTGCAAAATAGAAGAAGAGTTGAGAAAAAAGTATAATAACGACTAGTACTGCAAAAAATATAAGAGAGTGTCTACATGCTCTCGGATATACTGGATACAGACTCAAATTTTCGGTGCAATCATGACTGTATTTTAAAAGGGCAAGAAATAAGAGTGTAATTTTTTGGAACCGCAAACGCGTAAACATCTGAACCGGGAGAACCGTGGAAGAAGAGACCAGCAGACCGCGTGCGCAGTAGCAGAGTTTGAATACTTTTAAAGGACATTTGACTCCAAAAGAAAAGGACATTCCTTTTCTGAAAAAAAAAAAAAAAAACTTTATACTGTTTACCCAAATGGATTTGGTTAGCTGCTGCCTTCTGGATGATCCCTCCCATCCGCAGCCGGCAGCGCCGCCTCCTCCTTCCATCCCAGGTTTTGGGTTTTCTATTTTTAACTTCTACTACTACTTTTATCAAGAGTTTTGATGATAACAACATTATCGTCGTTCTATAAATAGTATTAACTTAAAGAGATTAAATTCAATTAAGAAAATAAGTATTTCGTTAGTTGAGTTAATTTGCAATGCATTCATTAATTATTTACTTTACCGGTAGTTCCTCGACTTACACGATTCAATTTATTGTCCAAATTGTTAAACTATGCTCACTCCATTCCAAAATATTTAAATAAGTGTAGTTTTAAAAATAAGAATTTTTTTTTAAAAAAAATGTCCTTTTCTAATTCCAATTCACTTTTTTGTCGAAAATTTTCAAACTTTCCCCTTAAAAAAAATAATACTATTAACAAGTATTTATTTTTATGGGATTAGTTAGAAATATTCTAATAATTTACCTATCATATTTAAGTATTTTTAAACTATGTATAAATTATCTAATGACAATTATTTTGAAATAGAAAGAATAATTTTGATATGATGTTTGTGAAAATTGTTATAACCTCTTGCTTCATTGAATTCTTGAATCCCCAAGACTATTCTAACATCTCTCAATGAAGCTGGGTAAATTCTGACATACTACCTCCGTCCCAAAAAAATAATCCATATTGAGTTTTGAGTTTTTTTTTTTTGTTTTTAATACAAATTTGAAAACTCAATATGAACTATTTTTTGGGACGCAGGGAGTATTACAATTCAGTTATTGAACTGAGAGTGGTGATCTTTTTTGTCTCAATTTTTTTTTCAATTTAAATTTCGTCCTTATTATTTTTCACATGAAAAAATCAGTCTTAATGTTTTCTTGAGTTCAAAATTAATCTTATTTGCCGAATATGGCAACCATTCCGAGCAGAAATATGTTTTCTTTTTAATTATTTTTAAGTAAGAAAAATATACTAAATTTTCCCTAACATTTTATAATTTATTAATTTTTACCGTGAAACCATCTTTTAATGGTGAAAAAAAAAAGTGAGTCCTCTATTTTATACTACCAAACAAAAATATTTTTAAAAAAAATACACCCATGATGTGGTCAAAATATCTTTTGTCAACAAGTAGTTTTTGGATTTTTTTTTTTTTCATATTACAGGATGTCCACCATTGGCAACAGTGACTAATCTCTCTCGCTTATGGTAGGCACCTTGATAGGTGGAATAACTGACTAAAATATTTAAAATTGTTCCATGACCATGACGAGATTCAAACCCTCGACCTATGATTAAAATTAGAGTCCTTATTACTCTACCACAATCCTTTCGTTTAATTTTTGGACTTTGACAATTGACATTACATGAAATGTAAAAGCGCGCTTGCCCTACAGCACACACATTTACGAGTTTAAAGCATGCACAATTCCACCAAAAGGCAAAACACACATTCCATGGTTACCTTCCCCAATCATTTCCCGAATTCCAAACTTATTTTCAGACTCAAAAATATTATCCAATTTGAATTTTTATTTTTAATACAATTTATACTTAAATGAAAAATATTTAAAGTGAAGTAGTGAACAGCCAATTTGGAACATAAGAAATTATATATATTTGAAAACAATTATTATTTGCTCCCATTCTCGAACTTTCTGAAAATTGGCTTTGGAACAAACAGATTACGCATATCTTCCAATTCAGGAACCCCCTTCCAATACCATTCATTTCCCTCACAAAGTTCACATGTAAGACTTCATCCTAGGCCTCACTAGAGATTGGGCACCATCCACATATATGGTGGTTCCGGTCATGTATCTCGCCCCATCACTGATCAAATAGATAACGGTTGATGCTAGGTCTTTCTCAACATCCAGCCATCTGTGCAGCGGCGCTGCTTCCTTTGTTAACCTCTCAGCCCTCTCCTTCCCTATATACCTGGGATATTCATCATCAAGGTGGAGTCCACGAGCGATTGTGTTCACTCTGATTTGGTACTTTCCAATCTCCATTGCGCATGTCTGGAAAAAACAAGAAATTCATCTGAAATCCGGATCAAGGACTTTTGACCGGCAGGCCGTTCGTTTGGTGCAGCATGAGACATGCCTTAACATTCATGTTTAGTCAATTAAAATGCAACCGCAGGAATAAAAAGTTGCAAAGTAAGAGTTAAGTCTCAACTTTGAAAGAAGCATACCAAGAAAGATACTGAATAAGCAATAAGCAAAATGCACCAGTAAGCATACAAAACTCAAACTACTATCCACAACCGATGCATCACAAAATAATGCTTCTTAAATACAATTTCATTACTAAAGCAGTACTTGGGATTCAGCAAGCAAATAAGCAAGGATTTTTCCTTACCCTAACTAGTTGCTGTATTCCAGCCAAACAAGAACCATATGCCGCAGCTCCTTGATAAAGACCTCTTTCAGCCCCAATTATGGAATTCAAAAAAACAATAGAACCTCCCGATTTCTGATCCCTCATTTGCTTGCCAACAGCTTGCATCAAATACCATCCAGCCATAAAGTTTATTTTCACTATCTTTTTGAATTCCCCTTCAGTTACACTCAGAGGATTTTCCATCTTTCCTGTTGCATTTGATTACAAGTCGAACTTCATACACATTGCAATGTACAGAAATCAGTATGCAGTAAAAACAGCCTCATCTATGCCAAAAGGTTCTTAAACGAATTTCTTCATTCTGTTTTCTTTCTGCATTTATTTGATCATCCAGCATTTTTCTGGATTAATTCCACTATCAGTCAATTTCATTTTCCAGACAGCTAAGGGAATTGTCCAGAGAATTTACGAACTCAGAACCGCAAACATTGAGAAAGACCACACCTTTGAAAGAAGAATGTTAAAACCAAAACGAAAAACGAGAAAAGACGAAGAAAATTGAATGAGAATAATGACTTAGATGCATGAACTTTGCTACCACACAACTGCAAGTTTCAGTTACACTTGAAATTTCATAGTCTAACCAACTAGAAAAGAAAGATGATTTAATTCTTTAAAGAAAAATCGGATTACTGTCATGAAAACTTTTCCAGCAGACCTAAATGGTGGTGATCCCTGGAATCAGATTGGGCAATATTGAATTTTCCCAGTAAACCTTCCTTGGCTAGTTTAGACTATAACTTGAAGTGTCTCAATTTGGCGCATTTTTCAAGAATAAGGTAAAAAAGATTGATATATTTCTCATGGTAGAGCATTAGAAGTAAGATTTGAGTTGATTATCAGCATTCAGCAATATATTATCACTCCACTAAACTGCAATAAAGACACATCACGGTAATATGAACATGCTAGTACTACTAGCATTTAAATACAATTAGATAGCCAAGCAACCGATATTTATGAAAAGCTGGTGTACATGCACCTCTACCTAACCAAACCATGTCCTCAGCCAAGATTCTTTCACACTAAAAACAAAAGTTTCAAACCACACACTTGATCTCTTCAAGTGATGCCACATTCACTGGAAAATGTCATGTAACTCATGTTCATTGTTGACCAACGTCCAAACGTTTACATGTTTGACAAGTCAAAGGAAAAAAAAGAAGTCATTGTTCTACCAATCTTAAAGACTTGAACCTAATACAAAATTCAAAAATTAGAACAAAGAAGGGACTAACATAAAGAACCAACATATCCAATCCAAACGGCAAAACCGACCTGCTTTGTTCAGTATCACATTCACCTGCTCCTTCATCTTAAATTGTTCATAAAAGTGAACTAGAAACAATCGTCTTCCACATATTTTTGCTCAATATAACGGAAAATAAAAAATAGTAATGACAAAGTAGAGTTTGGTCCCTCGAACGGAGTGGTCCATGAATTAGTTAGAATATAAAACAGCAACGGCATTAATTATAAAGCATGGACTTTTGGTTAGTTCATACTGAAAGGGGTCCATGAATAGCGGAGTTTGGTACCTTCGTAAGAATAACAGTGAACAAAAGCATCTAACTTTCCAAGGATGACGGTGGCCTTGATGACGGCCTCATCGAAAACGGGTGCCCTGTCATCCTCCATGTCCAGACCGACCACCTCAGGGAAGAAGCCGACGTCCTTTTCCGAACGTTTCATGTCATCGACGGCAGCCCTCAATTGACTCTCATTGCCCATCAATACTAACCTAAATTAGACAGACAAAAAAAAAAGAAAAAGAAAGTAAAGGATGATTAGCAAAGAGGGGGAAAAGTAGGGAGGCAGCATGCAGAGGGGGGGGGGATTGGGGGAAATTACCGGCAACCGCGGAGAGCCAAATGGCGGGCGATGTGGAGGGAGATGCTGTCACCATTGGAGGTGAGTAAGACTGTCTTGGTAACAGGGACTTTCTTCTCCGGCTCCGTCATCCGGTAAGTGAGAAATACTGAGGGAAAGAATGAATCCTAAAAAGAAAAAAGAAAAAAGGGATCCAACACAATCCGGGAAGCAAAAAGAAGATCCGGATCCGGGTGGTTGGAATTGGAATGGAAATGGCTGGTTGGATCAATGTCTCCTCAAAACAAAATGGGTAATATTTATTGCTGTGGTGTGTTGGGCTGGAAATTGGATTTAAATAATACCAGGAGTTAGGACTCGGAAAAAAATATTACTACATCCGTCTCAAAAAATAGTTGACAATAAATTTTTAAATTTATAAAAATAATATAAAATTCAAAACTCAATATGAACTATTTTTTGTGGGACGGAACAAAGTTTTTAAAAATTTGTAATATTATTAATAATATATAGGATAATATAGTATTTTCTAATTTTATGCAAAAATTAATCTGTTTCAAAAGTATCCTTCGATTTGGATTTTCAAATTTTAGTAAAATCTGGCAGAGAAAGTACTAATATTTTTTGAGGTTCAAGTTGAAAGAAGTTTCAGAGCAATCCACCAATGATTACCTCCAAGTTGAAGCCTAACTTCAGCTCTGAACTTGTGCGCCGAATTGTTGGTGGTAACCAAACCCCCAATGGAAAATGGAAACAACTTTAACTTCTACACGTATGTTTGTTTCGTTCTTTTAGTATGTGTTTTTAGGTGGTTTTTATATTGAAAATGTAAAAAAATATATTGAAAATGTAAAAAAATATGCTGGGATAAGACATTTATTATTTAAATATTTTAAAATACCATAAAAAAAACCTGACAAACAAAGCAAAGTTCCCGATTTTTTTTTTGTCTTCTGGGCAGTCAAGATATAATAATGAGATGTAAGTTAGTAGTGACGGTGAAGTATTATGCTCCCTCTTTATCTCATAGAAAGGTGTTATTGTGTAAATGGAGCCATAACTTATGGTGAAATATTTGCTGACAATGAGTTTCTCTGTACTAACAAGTAAGGATCATTTTCTCTCATTGTGGGACACCGCCATACATATACAGTGACATATTACCCCTTTCTTTTGTACGTTTTGTAACCCAACAAGTGAAGCTACAGGCTGATTATATTAATCAAAAAAAACAAAGGCGCGGGGTTGGTCCAAAATTGAAACTTCTAGGAGTATGGAATGTCAAGTGGAGCCATCGTCCACTAGACTTTGAAATTTGAAGGAGTGAAGTGGTCAATATGTCAACCCCAGTCCAAAAACTGTATATATATGTTCCAAACAAATAAAATGAAAAGCAAAGCTCCCTGTTATCCATCACACCACTTACAAGTTTTTTTGAATTAATTAAAATACATATTGACTCATATCTATTAATATCTCACTCTTATTATTCAGACAATCTGGCTAATTCTATATATTTCTATATAATTTTCTTCTATTATAAAGACGTAAAGGCACTCTTTCCTATCGCAGTCCCAATCTACTACAACTCCGTATGTTAAAGTCTTTTCTTCTCTTTTTCTTTTTTTTTTTAACACCATGTTCTTGAGATTTTGTACCCTCATAATGCAATGGTTTAATTCCTTCAGGCATTACTCTCTTTCATTATACCAAAAAAACTTTTAAAAAAAAGTTTTGTGGTCGGACCACAATCTTAAACTACTACTAATTATTATTAGGCCACAACAAAGCAATGTAAGTGCAATTTTTTTTTATTTTCAAGTAAATAACAAAATTTATTATTTTGTTCGTCTTAAAATAATTTTACAATTTGGATTTTTAATTCTTTTTGTTCAAAGTATATTAAAGTAAAAAATTCAAAGTGGACATAATTTTAAAACAGAGATACTTCCCGTTCCAATTGTAAACATGTTAATTTTGTGGACCGGGCAAAGTCACTGGCCGACCTGTATAGAAAATACCATAAAGGACAGTAAGCATACAAGAAACTCTTTTTTTTTTTTTTTTTTTTGTCCGGAGAAAGAAAAAAAAGAGTTACAAATTGGTGTTAGCTAGCTAGGCTTTCGTGTCGGCCAAATATTTCATACAATCTTAAAATCAATTGATCAGTTCTACCAAACATTATTAGTATACCAAACAACCAAATCACGTGAAATCACATATTCATTCATATTATCAGTGAGTTAAACGTATTCATGCATATTAATTGCATGTACCATATCAAGGATTGAAACCTAATCAATTTGTTGTAGTATTTTTTTTGAATTTTTTTTTTGGGGACGGAGAGGGAGTATAAAACAAAACAAAAACTGTGAGCGGGTGTATACGCCAACAAAACACAATTAGGCAAAACAAAAGCCTAAAGGAGCTTACGAGTGTTGATCAGGCCCTAAAGAGAGGCCTGTTACAGTGTTTATGTCTTGGACCGGTGACTTATCCTTTAATCTCTCTTTTTCTTTTTTAGGCCCAAAGCAAAGACTGAATTTCAATTCCAATTCCAGCAACCACCCCCCGGCAATCGTCCGCCGCGACCAGACTTGAGCGGCCGAATCCCGATTGGGTGGTCCGTTTTTTTACGTTCTGAAATTTTTGAATTCACTTAGGCTTTCCTTTTACCCAAGGGTTAGTGTTAGTAAGAGTAGACTTTTGTTCTTGCTCCCAGGAAGGAACTCTGGTCTCTCTATTGGTTTATTGCGAGTTTTTTTGAATTTGACGTTGCATTTCGCACTACAGTACTTGTTCCCCAATTATACTTCTCATAGTCTCATATCCATCTCCTCTATTATTTATCACTGTTCAATGTTTGTGTACATTCCGTGTGTTGTGTGCTTTGAAGTTTTTGTTTCTTGGCCTTGTCCCCGAAATTTTGTTGAATTGATTTTGCTGTTGAATGACATCATCCCATTTTCTCTATCCATTTTGTTCGAAGTTGTTCTTATTTCATAGTTTTTCTGACATAAAGGCTGGAAACTGCTTGCAATTCTGTGGATTATTTTTGTTGGGAAAGCCTATGATATTTGTCTTGCACTGTGATTGAACTCTCCAGGGGCACAAGTTGGCACATAAATCAAAATTCCAATAATACAGAGGAAATAAGAAGTTTTGTATGCTATTTTTTGGGATTTTCGAATGTGAAATTAGAAATGTATGCTTACCCTTGGGGCTGGCTTGCAAGTTCCTACACCTGCTACGCCCAACTAGATGAACCCTTATGCAATGTCACTACTTCCCATGTTCCCACCCAATTCTTCTGTTAACTGACTCCACAAAGTGAAACTCAGCTGTAAAAGATCGTTAGATGGGAAGCACTCCGGTTGGGCACCAGCTGGCCGTGTCTGCCGTTAGTTGGCAGACAGAGAAGATGACTATGCCATTTCTACGCCGGACAAACTTCAGGTAAGTTTTTTAGCTTTCCCTCCTGTGCATAATTTTTTATTGTCTAAAAATTTAATATTGTGATTTTAACTTAATGCCACTTTTTCTTAATGCTGCAGTGCGAACACGAGAACTTATGTTGCACATAGAGTTTGCTGTGAGCATTCTTGCTTTGAAGTAAGGCTTTCATTTCCCCAAACTTTACCACTTTATGATTGTTGGTTTGATATGTCGTGCTCACCTAAAACATGATACTCTAATTCAATGAGCCATCGATTGTAATTGGTTAAGGTAGAAACGACATTGAAGATAGTAAACCACTTTATGATTGTTGGTTTGATACCGTGATAGTAAACCACTTGAAGGTAGAAACAAAAAATTGCTGAGCGAAAGCTAAGAATATCTAATTTTGTATTGTAACAATTTTCATGAAGGGTGACGATATTCAAAGTTACCAATTCCGAACTGATTTTGGTTGGACATTAGTGGCATTTGCTCATGAGTTCAAATGATGTTAAACAATCAATCAGATGTATGCCACGTGAGTGGATACAGAAAGTTAGTACCTCTGAATTTGCTCCTCATGCAGGTAAATGATGTCGCTTACCGACCTCCCGGAACAAAAGTCAACCTCCTTGATGACGTGAGCCTATCCCTTCGCGAGAAAAGGTAATAGCCAGAATTCTTTGCTAGTCTAGTATGAAATTATGTTCCTCGAGCAGTGTGTTAGTTTTTATTCTCTATTAGTCTTGTAACCTACCAGAGGAAACTCTAGTCATTCTAATAGGTAACACTTATGGAGTGATGATGATCGCAACTATTGAACTATGGCTTTTAGTTCCTCACATGAAATCTACCATTGGTTGCTATTGTTGTAATAATACCTGTTTTGTAAAACTTGAACCGAAGAATGACTGTCACGTGTTACTATTCAAAGGGGCTATGAATTTCTAGCTTCAAGTATCATTACTCCCCTGGAAATTCTAAGTTCATCTTTGGCAATTGTCTCAAATTTCGACAATGTACAAGTCTTGTTCATGATACAATCAGTTCTCTCTCTCTCTCTCTCTCTCTCTCTCTCTCTCCCCCCCCCCTCTTTTTCCCTCCTTTGAATTAAATAATAATTGAAAGTCAATTTGATCAATGATTTTCACAGGTTTGGCTTGATATATGGACGGAGTGGTAGCGGAAAAACGACCCTTTTACAGGTGCTGAATCTGTAAACTCATTTTCTTTTTATGTCCTGGGACTTTTTAATGATGTCCTTAAGCTTTACATGTAAATTATACTTGCATCTTTTATATTCTCAGCTGATTGCAGGGTTTAGTAAGCCCACATCAGGCTCCATTCATGTTCAAAGATATGGTGATGATGGCCATCCTACTGGATCTCCTAAGAATTTAGATTCAAATAAAGTTGGTTTTGTCTTCCAATTTCCTGAAAGGTACTGACATTTCTGTCCAATTTTGAAAGTTTCTCGCTAATATAGGCATACTTCTCCAACTTGCTAAAATGTTGGCAACATTATACATTTTGTATTAGGTACTTTGTGGCAGAGAATGTTCTGGATGAAGTCACCTTTGGCTGGCCAAGACAAAGAGGGGGTAGTCAGTTGAAAGAGCTGCTTGCTTTGAGACTTCAAAAAGCTTTTACTTCGGTATATAATGTCACTGAGTTTATCCAAGCAGTTTCTGGTTGTATGGATTTGTGAAACATAGACTTTGTAAACCATGTCAGTGATAGCAGTCCTGTGATCGTTGTCCTTGCCAGGTTGGTCTAATTGGAATTCCACTGGATCAAGATCCACAATCACTTAGTGGTGGTTATAAACGTCGGCTTGCACTAGCTATTCAGTTGGTAAGACGTGGTTATCGGTTGTTGATGAATCTCCTGTTCTATCCATATTATGCCTGCAACAGGTTGAACTTTAAAGTTATGCCTGTTCACATTATTTGAGATGAGTTTTGTTTTGTTTAACTCAGGTACAATCTCCAGATTTGTTGTTACTGGATGAGCCTCTTGCTGGCCTTGGTAAGACGATGCAGTTTTTAAAATTGACTCCAGTGTTATGTGTTGCTGTTTTCGAGTTAGGAGACTTTTAAATTTACTCTACTCATTCGGTGCATCTTCCTAAAAGAACTTATGTGCTTCTTCTTTGAGTAATTAGTCCTACATTCCCGCCTAATTTCCAAATTATGGAATTCCAGATTGGAAAGCTCGTGCAGATGTTGTAAAACTCTTGAATAATCTAAAGAAGGAACTCACGTTACTCACAGTCAGCCATGACCTGAAGTAAGTCCTCAATTTGTTATTTTCTAACCTATCCTCCTTTCATGTATTTCACGTTTTACAAAGAAGTGATCATTTGAGGTCTGCAATTAATGATGAAGAAACTGCTATTTAAATTGTAGAGAGTTGTCACCCTTAGTAGACCAATCATGGAGGATGGAAATGGGTGGAATACTTAAAGCTGTGCCGCCACCAGTTTAGATCCTTAGTGTTTAACCCCACCTTAAGCAATGCAACTTGTAAACAGACAAGGTACAGTTATGGAACTGTGTAATAGTTTGTGGCTGCAATTTCAACTTTGATGAATGTTAATATTTCCAGGGGGGGCAACAGTATTTGGGAGGCAACAGTATCAAATAAAGTTCATTCAGTGCCTGATCTTACGTCCCCCAAAAACCTGTAGGGAAAGTTGAAATGCCTTGGCATCATCAATCCTCACTGTTTACCTTGATAGTTCCTCTGGGTTCCTTTGTTCCCAAAGTTGTTGAATTGAGCTGATTGTAAATTAACCTCTGGTATGATGAGGTCACTTTTTCTGTGCACATATATGTAGAGTTGACATAAATACATATTGTTACTATTGTGACAAAAAATTGTCTGAAAATTTTAATGCAATAAGTTATGTTTAATAGTACACACGCGCGCGCACACACACAAGGAGATCCAAAGGATCATTATTCACCAAACCGAAGTTCAAACATCATCATCTATAGACAAGTACACAATAGCACTGCAGAATAAGAAAACATATAGACTGAAGAGACATTGAGAGGTAGGGACCCTTCTGAGCATCTATGCTCTACAGCTCCAGCACCAAGTCTGCATCACAAAGAAACAGGAGGAATGAGAATTTTACATAGAATGGCATTACTGTTAGTGGTGGCAGGCTAAGCCGCATGCGTCTGTCCAGTTACTTACAGTCAACTTCTGTTTTAATCCAGCGCTCCTTGTTCAGCATTGTCCCTTGACTGTTTATCATTTGAGAATCTGGTGTAGAATTGAATATTTCCTTCTTAATACTGCCAATCTCAGTAGGCCTTTTCTTTTCTCGTTCTTCTGCATTAGAGATGTTGGCCTTACCTGAAACTTTTGTGATTTTCTCTTTCTTTGACATGGTTAATTGCTTCTGTGGTATCATTTCTTCTGGATGTACTTTTCCGTGAAAGAATTTAGGATTTAGGACCTGCAGGCATCATCATGAGTAACTCGTAATACTCAAAATGTTGTGTTCTTGAAGTTACAGTCCAAATAATGATTTACCATGCTCAATCCACACATAAAATGGTCTTTACATACCTGCAATCTGTGTTGTGACTTATCTCGTCAGATATTAAATATACTTGTGACTCATAAAAGAAAGAAGGAAATTTTCAGTTGCAACCAATCATTATAAACTCTAAGCGGTTTTAAAGTCCAAAGAGCAAGAGCAAAGTCTGGGATCATGCAATTAAGCTTAGTAATTCGTCAAACAAGATATGACAAAGCCAACCTTGGGGCTATCAATTTGGCACTGCAGCCTTATATTTAAGAACCCCATGTTTGGTTTTCTTATCTCGTCTTAAAAGGTTAACTTTCCGTTCAATTTATGTGGGTTTATGAGGAGAAGATGTACTTTGCAGCACCAACCTTTGGGAATTTCTTCTTGATTGCTCTAGGTTTAGTTGCTTGTTCATTGCAATCAGTGGAACCGGTTGTACAACTCATTGCTGTTGAATGGGCTCTCTTTAGAATATTCTTCACGAAACGCGTTGCATAGCCTTTCTTTTGTTGTTTATCGGGAGAATTGCATTTGTTAACAGAGTTCTCCGGATTTCTGTCACTCATGCTGAAGAACTCCTCGAGTGACATCTTTTCTTTCTTTGATCCTATATCTGCTACTGGCAATTCAATTGAATCGCCAATTAGATACTTTTGAAGTGGATAATTAGCTGAATACCTCTCATCTGTATTTCCATCCTTCATCTGCTCGTTGCTATAGCTAACGATGGTTACTTGGCTGCTTCTTCCTGACGATTCATCGTTAACCTCTTTGGCCTCATCACTTAGGAACTTCTCTATCTCCTTGTTTATGAGCATCACTTCATCTTCAATGATGTTTATCATTTTGTCATTTGAGTTCTGAAAAGACATGGAGAACGTTGGTGTTGGTGGGTACTTGTCAATTGATTCTGAACCAAAAGTGCCAATTGCCAGAAAGCCATGGAAGAACTCATCATGTGAATCTTTTTCATGGATCTCATCTCCAATTTCCTTTGTTATGTTTAATAACTCTGAACATTTCTTGTTGGATTGTATTGGCCGTGTGAAGCCATAAGTTGATTCAGCAGGGAACAACTGCTCATCAAGTAATGTCCTTGCTGAATAGGAAGCGGGATTTTCTGAAACCAAAATTGTGAAGATTTTGAACTTAGACTAGGATTTATTCCGGCATGTTATGCACTTCTTGTATTAATTTTGGGGAATATAATGATTGTGCTCTAGAATCTAGACACTATACAAATAAAGACAATAGAACAGCTTAGCCATTCCTAAGCCATTTGTCAGTTCTTATGATTCACTTAGCCAATTGTCTTATTCATCATTTTGAAGGAGTTTGACTATTGTTTCTGATTTTCTGAAATGATCAAGCAGAATTTAGCTCCTATGCTGATCTAGTATGCCATTTTCACAGTCCTCTAGATGATGACATTGGTGATACTTAGATATGTATTAGGTAGAATATTGAAAGCTTTATATATGTTGCAGTAGCTTTAGTAAGCAAAAGAAACAAAGGAGTGAGTTACCGGTGAAAGTCGTTGACTGCTCTCTACCCGTGTGGCGTAGTTTCCGGTGCATCCATCCTAATAACTGTGGAAACATGAGCATATAAATCTGTTTTGCAGATGTTAATGAACTTTAAGAGATGTGGACTAACCTTCATTGTGAACCTTCTTTGGAGAGGTTGCTGAAAGATTTCTGAAGCTTTGCTGTATACAAATTGGGAAGATAAGACTTGTTGTAGTAGGGAAACGTGATATATCTTATAATCATAATTGACAATGAGTGATAGATAATTTAGAGATTTCCTGGAATTGTCTCAGATAGAACTGAATGGAGCAAAAACATTCAGAAACGTACAAGACCCGGTTGGTCATCCTGGTATGAAACCAAATCAAGGAATGGGCTGCAGACCCACATGTAGGAGTTGTTGCATAAAGCTGATTTGAAAACCTAATAATCCCTGAATGACAAATATGCTGGGTATCTTCGATAATAGTGCCTTTAAAGTTACTATATTTGTTTGGAAGGACCTTTCCCTACTAGAAACATATCTATGTGTACCATGTTTGGTGTATGAGCACATCGGAATTATCAAAACCATCTATGGTTTTCTATACCAGTACATTGGTGGGGGCAATATTTATTGAATTTCTTGCAGTTGCAAAGATTACTTGATTCCTCCACTGATATATTATATGTAAGCCAGGCCTTCAATGGGGGATCTTGGACCATATTATGGCGTGACAACTGATTGGTGGTTTTGTTGGAGATTTTATTTATTTAAATATAAAATTCTGAATTCAAGATTTAGATATGTTGATAAACTTATGCACCAATAGCCATCACATGTTAGCACTTGGCAGTTTTGAGAATAGAAATTCACACGTTGTTTTGCAAATTGTTTGACTAATAGTAATACTTATAATGAAAAATCTTGGTAATGTTTTGATATGGGGCTTCTGATTAGTGAATGAGTGGATGCTTCAAGGATTGTACTGTGCATGTACTGCCTCACTTCGTTTTTACAATGCATGAAAGTGCATGGAAGAGATCTTATGGAATGAAAACAAAAAGGAGATATCTATTGGTTGATGGATAATTAGTTAATGTAGACGAGATTTGCATACTGCGCAGCCCTTGAATGAGTATGAACTATGAAGAATAGCATATGTAAAGCATGTAATGGTTTGGGAAAATGGATTTCTGCACAAGAACTAGGCAATGTTAGCCTGTTTTGGTTCATTAATTTTCTCTGACTTGAAGCTTCCAAGTCTTTTCTTCTTTGATGCAGTATAGGAACTTGCAGTAGACCCCAAAAGAAAAGAAAAAAAAAAAGAAAAGAAAGCAGTATCTCATGGAAAGCAGGTAGCTGTTGTAAAACTCATTGGAAGAAAGAACTTATGTCATTTCAGTGAGTGATAAAGAGTGAAAGATGGAGTAGTTAATTAATGCTTAATGAAGACCATACATACAGATGGAGATTTCTCGCAATAAGTGATTTTCCATTAGTCACCTAATGATGGATGATTATTCAGTCTTGTTCAAACAGTTGATAGTCCTTTACTTAGTGATTTTGGCAAGTTGGGGAGCCATGACGTGGTTGGAGGGGAAGCTCATCAAGTCAAAGTTAGTGTTGGTTTTGGAGTAACATGCTCAACCAAATGTGTAAAAGATTAGATTAGAGAGGCAATAATTTTCCCAAAGTTAGTGCCAGATTCAATGGTAATGGACCCAAAACGGGTTATTCAGTCAAATCTTGTCCTAAACATAAAGAAAGGTAAGACCATTGACATATAATCTGGGGATGGAAGAAATCAAAAAGAAGATTCGGGTGAGTACATAAATGTTCCATTAGCAACCAATTAGGAGCAAGGTTAAAACTTGGTGCACTCGGCGGGTTTTGTGTATAAAAGGAACTAATCTTACAACGAGTACCTCTACTCTGATATTTTCGAGTAAACGGGGAAGTACTCCATCTGTGTGTTTGACGAAGGCAAATCTCGATGGCACCGAGTCAACGGTCGTTTAGGATGGAGAGGTTAGCACTCTGATGCCAAAGTCAGTATAGTGAGAGAAAATAATCAAAATACATATTTAGAGAAAAAGTAAGGAGTATGAATTAATCCTTTGAAATAAATTTCTTATATGATATTATTTAGAGTGTCTCCAAAAGTGGGACCTATAAATAAATGATGGACTGACATAGGCTTTGGGCCTTTACCATGCGGCCCAATAACCCAATCAGAATTCTTCGTTGGGCTTTAATCAGAAATGGGCACCATCAGTGTTAGAAACTAGGAGAGTAATCTGACAAGAAGTAACAAAATAGTGTTTTTTTTTTTCTTAGTGCAAGATGCAAAATATGCATTTTATAGCCAAAATAGAGATGGTGGGTTGGCAATGGAGTGGAGTAGATAAAAGTAATCTAGAAATTCGGGTCGATGGATGGTAGCTGTATGATATAAACTACTAGAAAACAAAAGGGTAAATGACATTGTTTGATTGCCCCTTTAAACCCCTTTTTAGGCCGGCAAAAGCCATACTCGGATTGGAAGCCAAACGAATGCAAAAGGACGGACAGAGAGATCGATGTTTGGGTGAGTTGGGGGGATGAAGAGATTATGGATACATTATAATGACCACTTGGAATTGGATGAATGGCTTCACTTCACTACTCTAGGAAATTCATCCACCAAAAAGGAGGAAAAAATTACTAAAAATGACACAACACCATATTGGACTCTGCCTGTGAGAGAATAGTGATTTGAATAAAATCTTCACCTCCACGTTGGAATTTTTTTTTTTTTCATACTGCGTACGGTATCCTAAATACATTGTACTCAGACTAATCCGCACCGAGTCAAGTCAGTCTCGAAGGGAAAATTTTTTTAATATTGATCTTTCCATTCACGAGACTCGAACCTGAGATATCGCTCAAGTAAACTAAAACACCTTACCACTTTAGTCAAACAAATGTTGGTCATGTTGGAAGAGTTTATACCGCTCAGAAGGAGACTCATCCTTGGTCCATAACCCAGAGCCCAAATGTAAAGAATAGAAAGAGAATTCACCTCAAAAATTAAATATACTCCGCATTTTTCGTAGAATAATATTATTTTGCTTCTTTTTAGAAATAAAGTTTTTTTAAAAAAATCACAATAACGTGCTTGGTGATATGAAAATGACTAATATCAACCTTTGTGAAATTTTGATCATACTATTTCATTCATTGACAGTGACACACATGTACAAGTAAATAAATGAAGGTAGATCTTTCTTCATAAAGAATTGAGACAATGAGTCATAATTTGGTGGTGTATATTCTAAAACCTAAACCCTCCTCAAAGTCAAGCAATGAAGTTTGGCCTTCTAAATATAGGAGTAGTAATAATAAGTAATAAGCACGTTAACTTTGGTGTGTTCAAAATAAAACCGTGATTATTACCAGAGTTAATATCAAAAACACCTTTTAGGTTTAACTCACTGTTTAAAACACCCTTACAATTAATGAAAATATCAAAAATATCTTTCATTGGCAAATTAATTATCAAAAGGGTCCGCTGACGACTGAAAACTGATTTATGAGCCTGAATTCCGTAAAAAACGTGTCGGAAAGATTTAATTTTTTTATTAAAAAATAGAATAAAATTAAATGTCCACTTATAAATCTAAAATTCAGCTTTTGATGTCTCGCAAGAAGTTGGATTTAAGAAGTTGTTGTTTGATTTTATTAGAGTTTTTTCGAAAATTTCAGGAGAATTCTTTTATGTGGTACAAGCTTTTTTTGACACTTTTTTAACTGAATTCATGTGCAAACATCAATTTTCAGAATATCCATTTGACAATTGACTTACCAATTTAGAGATTCTTGGTTTTTTTTTTAAAAAAAAAAATAGTAACGATATTTTAGATAATCAGCTTAATCTCGGGGGTGTTTTTGATAACTAATATTGACGTAAAACAAACGAAGGCGATTCGTAATTTGGAACACGTCATCTACCAAAATATCATTTCGTGGTCAATTCCAGTTTCCAAGATTACTATTTCCCGGTGAAAGTCCAATCTGCTTCCGCCTCATCGGAGCTCCGAATCTTTTGCTTCCGACTCCCAATTTCCCTTCCACGCCCTTCCCATCTTCTTTGATTGATTGGCTAATTGAATGGGGACGGAAATTTCGGAGCCATTGCTCCTCCAGCTCCCGGCGGATGAGACCCCTCCTGAACCTGAACATCATTCCGGGATTGGGCAAAATATCCCGTCTTGGAAAGAACAGATAACTCTGCGTGGGCTGGTGGTCAGCGCTTTGTTGGGAACTCTATTCTGTATTATCACCCACAAGCTGAATCTGACCGTCGGGATCATACCCTCCCTCAACGTTGCTGCTGGATTGTTGGGTTTCTTCTTTGTCAAGACCTGGACTACTCTCTCTTCCAAATTGGGATTTTCGTTTCGCCCTTTTACTCCCCAGGAAAACACCGTTATTCAGACCTGCGTTGTTGCCTGTTATGGCCTCGCTTTTAGTGGTATTCTTTCACCTCTTTCTCTCTTTTTCTTGCTTCTACTCGTGCTTTATTAATTATTACGATCCCTAATTGATTGATTTAATACGTTGTTGCGGGGTCTTTCCTGGTGTCAGTACTTTGCATTACACTAATATAACAAGCTGGATTGTAATTGCTTTCAAGTTTTTTGGAGTTGATTATGGAGGTTGGGAAAAATGATCCATCTTAGCTCTGAAGCCTGGACACTTTCTGCAGTGCACATCTTTTCTTTTCTTTTTTTTTTTTTTGTATCCTCATGCTATTAATTAATTCTCTCAGTGCCATCATCTTCGCTAGTGAGGAAGTTGTATTCAAAACTTAAAGAATCATATCTAAATTGCTATGTGATATCCAAGACAGTAATTGTGTTCCTTCTCTTTTTTCTTTTCTTTTTTTTTTTTTTTTGGTGGATTTTGGAAAGTTGACTATGTAAGTTTAAATCGTTTTGCTTTCTCTAGATGATGGCATAGGTTCCATTTTTTTAATGAACCGTCTCACTACACTGTGCTTGATGAGAAGTGAATTCATAATTTTCTCCTTCCATATGATTGCTTATACTCCTTACCTCCATATTATTAGGTGGTTTTGGTTCTTACATGCTTTCTATGGATGAGAAAACATACAAACTCATTGGTGAAGACTATCCTGGTAATCGGGCTGAAGATGTAAAGAACCCTGGATTATTGTGGATGATGGGTTTTATGTTTGTTGTCAGTTTCCTTGGGCTTTTTAGCCTTGTTCCTCTTCGCAAGGTAACCAACCATTGTGCTTGACCTCAACATCGCACTAAGCTAGCCTTTGACATCGTATTTGTCTTCATCATGTTCTTTTTTGCATAATTGCTGCTAAAATTTTATATCTATTCCCCCATCCAATCATGCATTTCTAAAAATGTTATTACACTAGATCTACCATGCCTTTTGCGGATAAAGATTAAGTTCTGATTTAGGGGTTGATGATTATGACTCAAGTTGCACTGATCTCTCCATTTCGTGTCTGTGAGCATAGAGAATGACTTGTCTGTTTCACCACTGTATTATGTGTATTTCTTTCTTATACCATTTTTTCGCATTATACTCAGGTTATGGTCATGGATTATAAACTTACTTACCCCAGTGGGACAGCAACAGCTATGTTGATCAATAGCTTCCACACAAGTACTGGAGCTGAACTTGCAAGGCAAGCAACAATTCATAGTTCAACAATTTCTGTTATTAAATCGCATCCTTACAAACTGAATTTTCATGGCCGATATGGATTCTTTCCAGGAAACAAGTGGCGTCGCTCGGTAAATATTTGAGTATTAGCTTCTGCTGGAGCTTCTTCAAATGGTTTTTCAGCGGTATAGGGGATGCATGTGGATTTGATAATTTCCCTAGCCTCGGGTTGACATTGTTCAAGAACACGTAAGCTTTTTGTCCGATTCCATAATAATGCCTGCTCTTGTATTTCGTATTTTCGTAGGCACACACATTTTGTGCAAAAATTTTCACTTCGCACAGACTCAAACATTTTCGTAATTTATTTTACTGTTGATTAGACACAGCACAGAAGATAGTCTTCTTTGGGGACGTTTTATTCGTATGAGTTGTGAGCTTTGTCTCTTGCTCCTTTCAGCTTCTACTTTGATTTTAGCCCTACCTACGTTGGATGTGGTCTTATATGCCCTCATATTGTCAACTGTTCCACTCTTCTTGGAGCTATAATATCGTGGGGGTTTCTTTGGCCGTTCATTTCCCGGCATGCTGGTGACTGGTACCCTGCTGGCCTCGGCAGCAATGACTTTAAAGGTCTCTATGGTTACAAGGTATGATGAAAGAGCCAATGCATGTATAAGTTGAGGAAAAGAGATTTTAGGAAAAATTCTTAAAACTCTTTTCTTTTAATGTTTTATCATCTATGACATAATACATATTTTGAATTTCGCTGCAATTTACATAGTCATTGTACAAGGGACGTTGCAAAATCATATTTTGTCTCAAATTTGAGGAATATGTTGGGTATGTTATCTATAATTTCAGGATTTAGCTACATAGGGCATGACCTAAATGGATGCTGTCTTATATTAACAGGGGATGTTCCACTTGGATTTTCAATTGATTTCCTTCGTCTTTGATAGCGTACTGCTGTGTTTTGCAGATTATAGAAACAAGATATCGCCTATCTGTTTTGTTGCTAGATCAAAATTTCTCTGCTCAAACCTCTTACTCTGTTACAAATTGTGCACATCATCATTTTCAGTAAAGGATCTGATGCTCTGATTGTGTTTTTGGATGCAGGTTTTCATTGCTATTTCGCTTATTCTGGGTGATGGGCTTTACAATCTGATTAAGATAATAGCAATAACTGTGAAGGAGATGTGCAAAAATGGTACCAAGGATAAGGATCTTCCTGTTTTCAAAGAGGTTCTGGGTAAGAAGCGTTTGATCTATTTCACCTTTTTCCTGGCAGTTGGTAATAAATTTAATTATCGTTTGTGAGCTCTCGTCTTCCATCCATTTGTCCCCTATTGGTAAATATTGCGGTCTGCATCTGCATGCCTCCCTCTGCAACATAAAATGCTGATATCTTCTTACTATTTTGTTCTGATACCATGTATTTTACTGTTGAACAGATGGTGAGGCTTCAAAGTTACTACTTGAGCAGAAAAGGCGAGACGAAGTGTTCTTAAAAGACAGGATCCCATTTTGGTTTGCTGCTTCTGGATATGTCTGTCTGGCAGCAATATCCACAGCCACTATACCGATCATATTTCCACCCATAAAGTGGTATCTAGTCTTTTGTGCATATATTATTGCTCCTGCCCTCGCCTTCTGTAACTCTTACGGAACTGGGCTCACTGACTGGAGCTTGGCTTCCACGTATGGCAAGATCGGCCTTTTCATATTTTCTTCTCTGGTCGGAAGCAATGGTGGTGTCATAGCGGGGCTTGCAGCTTGTGGGGTCATGATGTCTATTGTCTCAACCGCAGCTGATCTGATGCAAGATTTCAAGACGGGTTACCTCACAATGTCCTCGGCCAAATCCATGTTTGTGAGCCAACTTGTTGGGACAGCCATGGGATGTGTGATTGCCCCTCTGACGTTCTGGATGTTCTGGACTGCTTTTGACATTGGCACGCCTGATAGCCCCTACAAAGCACCCTATGCTGTGATTTACAGGGAAATGGCCATCTTGGGAGTTCAAGGCTTCTCTGAACTCCCAAAGCATTGCCTCGCCCTGTGCTTGGTTTTCTTTGTCGCGGCTATAGCCATCAACTTGTTGAGGGACGTAACGCCTAAGAGGATTTCACAGTTCATCCCAATACCGATGGCGATGGCAGTGCCCTTCTACATAGGGGCATATTTTGCGATTGACATGTTTGTGGGAACGGTTATATTGTTTGTGTGGGAGAGGATTAACAGGAAGGAAGCAGAGGACTATGCAGGTGCAGTGGCATCTGGTTTGATTTGTGGAGATGGGATATGGACAATACCGTCTGCGGTGCTTTCAATCTTTAGGGTTGATCCTCCAATTTGCATGTACTTTGGTCCATCTTCAAGTAGCTGATGAGAATTGGGGGGTCATGTCCCCCATGGGAGTCAAAACTTGTATGTAATGTATAAAACATCACTTTTTTTTTTTTTTCTCCTTTTTGCTGTGTATTCCTGATACATGTATGTATGATTCTGTTGTACATTCTCTTACTTATAGTGTTATTTTTGTGGGATGCACAGAGAAGAAGTGGCTCATTTCACTCTCACAAATTCACAATCTCTTTTTATCTTGAAGCCCAAAACTACCTGTAATAATAAAGAACAGAAAAGCCTGGTATAATAATAATAATTTAAAAAAGCGAATGGACCAGTCAAAACTCCCAAAAAAAAAAAAAAAAAAAATCTACATTCATTACAATTATGGGGAGTAATAATAACTGGTTAATTACTAATGACTATCGGAGAAGGTTCTTACAAACTTGAGGGAGGTGCTTATCACAAAAAAAAAAAAAAGGTTTGTATTTGTATTTGCTCTGCGGGGAAGAGAAAACATTGCAAGTAAAGCCGCAGGGAATAGCTTTCTAGTGGAAAAGGAAAGACTGGGAAGAGCAGGCTTTTACGAAGAAGAAGAAGAAGCATCTCATTTGCCTGATCCCCGGCCGAGAGGTAGATGTCCCTTGTGAAATCTTCTACGCCTTTGACTGTGTATTTTTATGATTCACAATCAAGATCACACATATATATATATATGTATATCTTTCCTCCCATGATTTGATAATTTTTCCATCCATCCTGCAGCTCGCTTGGTTTGCCGGAGATGACGAGACTTCTGAAACCGCCTTCAGTAATCCATGCTAGGTTACCTGCCTCCCTCCTCCGCTTGCTTTCCGTTGCCGCTCTTTTCGCCCTCGTCGTTTTCGCCATTCAGTACTCTTCCTTCACCGGTTCCCTTCACTCCCACTTTGCCCTAATTCACTTCATTAATCTTGCTCCCTTCCTTCCCCATTCCCACATGTTTCAACTTAAGATGATTAATCCGTTCCCATTGTCGGCAGGCCACACTATCGACCCCCAGACCGCGATGGTACACCTAAACCCGTCTCTGCAAGAACAGATTTCAATCCTATCTGATTTTCAATCTAGCCTCCAGCAATGCGTGGTTCGTTACATCTCTTCTATGTTTTACTTTATTTAAAGTGTTTCCGCATGATAATCCAACTGCAAGATTTGATTCCTATTGTTGACTTCACTTGGTGATACTAAGACTTACTCCCTCTGTCCCGAAACTGTCCAACAAATTGGACAATTTCTCTTTGGTACGGGGGGACTTTTACTTTTTCGGTTTTCTTCTTCTACTAAGGCTTTGGTTTTAGTATATGACACTCAAACTGATACAATTTTAAGATTCCATTCTGTCCTCACAGCAGAACTAGGACTTGTTCTTTTGTTTTTCTTCTTTGACTCGGGCCTTCACATTGTTATATTGCACTTCGATGAGCATATGTCTGACTTAACAAGTTAGTAAGTTATGATGGTTCCAGCAAGAGTCTGTCCCCCAACTTGGAAAAATTCCGTTAAGTTATGTGGTAAATCTGGTAAGTGACAACGACGTCTTTATTTATCAAAAGGATGCCCAAAATTCTTGATGTGAATGTGCTAAACATATACTTATCTTATGAATTGAGGATATGTTATTCATTGAGGAAACTCCCTCTGGCAAACAGAACCTTGTAAGTATATTGTTTGATGATGATTTTCAGTAAATTAATCTTCACCCTTATAACTGTCTTTAGGCCAACAGGGGACTAGGACTCACTGCTCATATTATTGACCACTGCAAACTGGTACTCAAGTTTCCTCCAGGAACCAACAGCACTTGGGTTTGTTCATTTACTATTATACGCTTTCCATTAAGAATGCACTAATTGCATTATCCTGTCAACCATAATAATCCAATGAAGATCAGCACTTTGAATGCCCTTGATGTTCTCTGCAGTATAATGCACAGTTTAAGATCTATGAACCTTTGGAGTATAATTACGATGTTTGTGAAGCCATTCTGCTCTGGGAACAGGTTTGCCACATAGCACTCTGTATTTCATTCTTTCTTTCTTTCTGTATTTTATTATTATTTTTGTTTTTTGGTTTTTTCTTTTTTTTCTTTGTAGCTGATCAGAACTAAGTACATTAAGTTTGATTGACCAAATGAAATGCAGTACCGCAACATGACGACTGTTCTAACCAGAGAATATCTGGATGCTCGACCTGATGGCTGGTTAGACTATGCCGCGAAACGAATAGCACAGTTGTATGTTCCATTTCAGTACTTTTCATTTTTGTTTATTTGTCTTAGCTGTTTGTTCTTTGATTTTTTTTCCCCCTCTTTTTTTCATTCAGTTAATTATGGAAAATGAATTCTTCATGTACTCGTTAAGCATTCTTATTCTTTAATTAACTTCTCTTGTCCATGTCCACAGGGGTGCAGACAAATGCTATAACAGAACTCTTTGTGAAGAACATCTTAATTTACTTTTACCGGAAAAACCCCCTTTTCATCCTCGGCAGTTTCAAACTTGTGCAGTTGTCGGTAATTCAGGGGACCTATTAAAGACTGAGTTTGGTAAGGAAATAGATAGTCATGATGCTGTTATACGAGACAATGAGGCACCGGTGAATGAGGTATATTTGTCTTTCATGAAAACCCTTTAAAATCTGATCAAGTGCAAGGGTTTCCTTTTTTTTCTTGATGGGATTTGAAAGTTTCAGACATCCATCTATTTCTGGTCTGGCATGTGAATTCGTTTAATTTTTTGCATTATTTTTTGGCGTTTCCAGAAATATGCTCGGTATGTTGGTCTGAAAAGGGATTTTCGCTTGGTAGTTAGGGGTGCAGCTCGTAACATGGTTACCATTCTAAACGGATCAGGTCAGTTACCCTATTGCTATCTTGTTCTTGCTGAACTTGTCAACACCTTTTTGAATATGCTGCTTCTCTCTCTCGATGTGTGTCGTATGTGTTTGTTTACATGCAATGACCTCTGTTTATGTGTGTGTGTGTGTGTGTGTCTGTGTGTGTATCCCGATCACTGCAACTCTTATTGTGTAAGGCTTTTCCTTTGCTTTGTGATGTTGTTGGGGATTGATAATTATGAATAGTTTAATCCAAGTCCTCTTGAATGTTAGGGGAAAACTGCATGAGGAAGTTTTTTGTTTTTTCCCCTCTTTTCCCCTGATAAGCATACTTGTGATGATTTTAGCTTCATTTTCTGTGTGGCACTGATGTTTTCATCTTTCTTGATATAAAGAGGACACTGATCAGAACTTACACTTTACCTTGTTTTGCAGCGGACGAGGTGCTAATTATTAAAAGTGTCACTCATAGAGATTTCAATAATATGATCAAGGTATTATTTTGTGAAATGAAAATTCCTTTTCTGACCCTGATAATAAATAGCAAGTCTTGGATGAGATTGATGTTCAAATTCGTAGAATCTATAAACTGCTGATCTCATTAGGAATTGAATTATGTTCTCAGTTCTGAAATCTAAGGAACTTTCTAGTTGGTATAGATCAGCTTCTGGAACTAGTACTAGTGCTGTTTGCTCTTGGAAGAGAAAGGATTAACTTATCAAACTTGCGTATGCTCCTCCAAACACTTACCTAAGCTCTAATTTTTTTTTTTCTTTTGGCTGCAGCGCATTCCGAACCCTGTATATCTCTTCCAAGGTATTGTCTTGCGTCGAGGTGCCAAAGGAACTGGTATGAAATCCATAGAACTAGCACTTTCCATGTGTGACACTGTTGACATCTATGGATTCACTGTGGATCCGGGGTACACAGAATGGTTCGTTCATATTCTTCTGCAGGATCTATATTTTTACTCCTATGACTGATTCCTTAAAAATGTCACTATCATTCTTTGAAAGTCCTTTTTCCACTGACAAACACTGAAAGAATCCTTTTTTTTTCAGGACCCGTTATTTTTCTGAACCTAAGAAAGGGCATAACCCTCTTCAAGGAAGAGCATATTATCAACTCTTGGAATGCCTTGGTGTAAGGAGTTTCCTCCATCATTTGCTTTTCTTAGATCTAATAAAAAGACTTATGATACATAGACCCACGTAGTGGGATATCCACGAAGTTGTTGCCGCTGTATTCGTTTCTGTGTTTGATGCTCTCTATTCAAAACAAATGATGTACGCATTTCAGGTTATTAGGATCCATTCCCCGATGAGATCAGAAAGAAAGCAAGACTGGTCTGACGTACCCAGTCGAGAAATGATACAGAAAGCTCATTCAGCGGCTTTACGGTTGAAAAGAAGTCAATCTGACCAACAAGAACGTGGCGGACTGGGACGGTTTGGTAGCTGTAAAGTATGGGGCCATGCCGGTGACTATAGCAATGCTGGTCCCATTTCTGGATCTCCTGATATGAGCGATGTTCGGAAAAATTCGAATTACAGCAAATGGGAAGTTATGTCATTTGAAAGCTTGAGAAAAGAAGCGAGGGATCATTTTCAGGAGATGGCAGGTGTCTCTCTGTACAAAATGGATGGAAACAAGTTGGATGATCTTGTATGTGTTAAACATGAACTGAAATCAGAGGCATGAGGAAGAAACTTGAGGTTCTGTTAATTTTGATGCTATTGAACTGTTTACGGGAAGCTAAATTGATGATTATGGTTCAACTTACCATCAATTAACATAACATGCGGTCTTGATGCACTGCACTTAGCGTCATGCGTTGAAGTATGATCAAGCTGCATTTACAGGCACTTGGACGCCCTCCAAGAGGCAATTGGGTTTGTTTTGAGTTGTTTGCAGATCAGTTGATAAACCCCCTTCTGTCTTGTTGTAAGATTTATTGGTAGGTGAAAATTGGTGGTATTAAATACTGCCATATTACTGATCTTTCATGTGTGCAGCTCCAATTGACAATGTAAAAGTTCTATAAATATCTTACATTATTTTTTCCATTTTATACACTTATTTCTTGCTCTCAACTCCCTTCATCTCGAAATCATTGTTCAGGATTTTCATTTCTAGTACTAAGTGTAATAAAAGTGAAAACAATTACTTTGGAACATAAGGAGTACAATTTAAAGATATTAATTCTGGCGATTGTGATCGTAGTTTTGTGGATTGCTAGTGACTGATAATGACACAGAAGAAAAACTAACTTGATCATCGAATTTACCATAAATTGCATTACCATAAATTGCATAACATTACTGACAAAGAAGATTAAAGTAAGATTAAGAAGGCAGTTGTGAAGAAGAAAGACTAAAATAATAAAATGTAACTCTTTTAGTACAAATTCAAAACTCAATATCGATTATTCCTTTGGAACAGATGAGTGTTTATCAAGAATAAACATTGGTAAGAAAGAAGGTAGTTTTGATTAGCAGGAGAAGCAATGGTGATTGCTTTAACCTTGAATGTATTTGAGATACAAAATATTATAAATGTAAGCCAAAAATAAAATCATCTATAAGCTGTTCTAGAAAGCTCGCCATGACACACTAAAGTCACACACACTCAAATTGCAACGATCTGTGATATTAACTTCGCATCAAACAACAGAAACAGCAAGACCTTTCGGACATGTATGGATCATATCACCATGACACCATGCTTTATCAAATTAACATATATATTCCCATTCAAAAGAAGGTAACCGCTATATAATTAATATGATGAGACACAAATAATCTTTTAAACCATCATTACAAAATGATCCAATTACAACAACAATGTTACATATATCTTGTCTGCTTGTCTGCAGATCATGACCTCTATGATCTATTCTCCCAAACTCGGTCTTACTAATTCTCATCAACATAATGTTGTAACATATCACCTCGAACACCTAAGACAAGCGTCATATGCATAAACCAAAAGTTGTTGTTTATGAGTGACGCCTGAGGTGTTAATTCTCAATCAAAAAGGGACGAAAAACCACATCAACCACAGCTCAGAAAGGCTTGTCAGCACACATTTGACTCGGATACAATTGAACCATTTCCCGATTTACTTCCCAGTAAAACAGTTGGGGGATCGCTCTCAAAAAATGTCGAATGAAGACACCTGACACATTGTTCTGCTTCACTGTCGTTCACTATTAACGAGATATTTACCTGATTCACAGGAAAATTACTCATTGATCCAGCAACACATCCAAAAGTATCAAATATTTATGTCGCTTGCTGCTTGATTAACATTATCTTACATGACACTACTTTAAGAATTGATCAGATCTGAATTTAATCCCAACCCAACTCAAAATGAAAGGAGGAAAAGGAAAATAAATTTCGAAAACCAAGAGCAATTACCTTTGATGCACCTTGTGAAATCATCTGAACATTCACTCCATTAGCCCGGAAAACATGGAAAACCTGTCTCAAGAAGAAAAAAAATCATGATATTGCATAACAACATTTTACATACAAATCACAAGCCAAGAAACAGAGGAGAGTCTAGTTGCTTTCAGACAAAACACCAAGCAGAAAACTGTTAAACTCAAAGGGACAACAGTAAATGGTTAGTGGTAAATATGAAGTAAAATGACAAGATGAATATCTAACCTTTTCCAAAATCAGTGAAGATCTCTGCACATTCCCAATCAGAGAAATGATCGATCTGTGCTGAAGAAGATTGACGACTGCAATTTTCTCTAGTTCTTCTACAACGTGATCAAGCTCCTGCTAAAATTAGTGGTTATACCTCAGTCGTAGACAACAATAATCAAAGTTGCATAGTTCTAGAAAATAATTCTAACACATCCATTTCACATAGAAAACATATAAAATTGGAATACCATGCATCCCAACAATAAAGGTATTACCTGCTGTATCAGTTCTCGACTCCAGAGCTTTGAAGGATCCAATGTCAAAGATATACTGACTTCACTAGTGGCCACAACATCAACTGATATGCCCAAATCTTCAAAGATAGAGAAAACCTGATTTCATGCAGCATCAAAACTACGTTCGATTAGGTAATAAAATAACAAAAGGTGTGGAAACCACCTATTGGGAATATGCTTGACTTTTACCTTGGCCAGAAATCCGAATTGACCAAGCATACGAGTGCTAACAATGTCCAACATAGTTACATTCCGTTTCACAACAATGCTTGTTAATACAGCCTAGGAAAATAGTACAAAATACTAGATTATATAACGATAATTAGTCAAAAGAAATCATAAGTTGGGCAAGGAAGCGTTACTTTACCCTACTCATGTCTCTATCTTTAGTTATAAGGGTGCCAGGAGCCATAGGATTATATGAGTTTTTTACCCTGACGGGTATGTTAGCTTCCCTAGCTGGCCTCATGGACTGTGGGTGAAGGACCTGCAAAAAGAAAAACTTAATATGTTCAATCTTCATCATTTTTGGTTAACATTACAAAAACAATTAGTCCAGATTCTTTAAATGATTATCTTCTACTCATATCAACAACAAAAAGAGGCATCTGACCAGGGACTGCAAACAGTTTACTTTAAAAAAAATCATCATACCTGTGCACCAAAGTATGCAAGTTCAGCAGCCTCATCAAAGGTTAGGAATGGGACTGGTTCTGCTCCAGGGTATATATTGGGATCACATGTCAAAACACCATCAACATCTTTCCACACCTGAGAATTAAATATGACAATAAACCCATCAAATCTCACCCTGAAAGCATCAAATAGCCGTCTAAAGACGGGAAAATGTCTCATAGTAACACGTGTTTGAAATGAACGAAAATCTAAATGTGCTTTCCATGCGCTAATGCATGTGAGAATCAAATAATACCATTAAGAAGTCAAAATGACACTAAATTTGCTGCTTCAAGTAGAAACGGTTAAGATTGAGGATGATTGGCTAATGACATCAGCTTTGAATGTATTAGTAGGCATTGACTAACCTGAATTTCACGCAAACCCAATGCTTTGCCTAGGGTTGTTGCAGTTAAATCACTACCGCCCCTGCCCAATGTAGTCACTGCACAAGTTCTCCAACCCTACAACTCAAAAGAGAACCAAAAGAAAATGTCAACAGACTACGCAGAGATAAAGGGTTGGCAAACAGGTAATGCTTTGATCGAGGTAGCAATCATGTTGCACTTGAAGAATCTATACATTCTTAAAACCCCCAACTTTTGAACCATGTTCATGTTACCCAGATATAAAAGGTCCTATTCATCAACATTTCAATAGAGGTGAAATTTGTTGTATTAGGTCCAAGTCGTGAAACAAATGCCACCCTGTGACATATAACACCCACAAAAGGATATAAAAGGAAAGGACCTTTCCAAGAAAGCCAGTCACTATTGGGATCGCAGGATCATTAAGCCAATCATCATGTAATCTTTTTGCAACCGCTGGATAAGTGGCTTCTAATATATCCGCATTAGTAAAGTCGTCTGTTGTTATGAATCCAATGTCAAACGCATCATACTGCATAAAGATACATATGACCATGAGATCAATATAGTAAACCTGCACACGTGACCATAATTTGAAAATTTAAACAAGACATACTTGGCGAGCCTTCACTGCGATTTTGTTCAAGTACGCTGCAAAAATCCTTGTAGACATGCACTCTCCAAATGAAACCAAATAGTCCCTAGTACGAGGGGTGAGCTCTTTCATCATGGCAATACCTTTCAAAAGCTGCTCCAACTCATCTAGGTGCCCTGCATAACATATTTACAGGAGCACAACAATCGATTACATTAATCCACATGCTTTTACCCAAAAAAAAGGAAGTAAAAAAGTTTTTCCTATCATTGGTGATATGTAGCGATGCATAAAAACTGAAGTCTGCAAGGTTCAATGAAGTTTCATAAAGTTGTAACTGCATATTTAACAGTATTCAAAGAAAGCAGATTGCATCAAAAGCATCTTAAATATCCAACCCAAAGGACAGAAATGGTTCTGAAAAATAGAGACTAATGATTCCATCCATCCAAAAATTTTCCATCATGGAAAGTTGAAGACGTCAAACATTTGATGCATGAGAGAAAAGCACTAACGGGCCAAATTATTACTACAATAGCCGCTTGTACAGTGACAAAATCATAGAAATCTAGAGAAGGGAAAGCTGTTGTTGACTACAAAGGAGGAGGAAAAAACTCACTTGAGATTATGGCACTATCAACCCCAAGTTCATTTACAGTCCTACACACAAACGACATTGTGAGACATGAAGTGAGGCCAAAGAAAGGATATAGCTCAAAAGACTTTTAGTTCCACAAACCTGAGATGCAAGTTCTTGATGAAGTCCAGCTCTTTGAGCCCATCGACATTTGAAGCACCACAAGTGACAGCCTTCTCTCCAGCCTGGATCAACAAAATTTAGACTTGAGAAATGCATATCCGTTAGATGTAGACAAGAGTGCAAGATTTCCAATGTGTTCTCTCTAAAATTTCTAAGAAAATCTAAGTGAAGACATGTACCAGCAAAAGATTGTTAGTTGTCTTCCCCATGGCAGAGAGAACAATTATAGGCCTCTCTTCAGGGAAGCTGCATATAAGTTCGGCAACCTCTCTCATCCTTTCGGCCGAGGCAACTGATGAACCACCAAACTTCATGACACAAGTAAACTCATTATCTTGCGATGTATAGTTATCGGTTTCTCCACATTCAAGCACACTTGCATTTGTTGAACCACGATGATACTTGACAGAAACATCCCCAGGACGCCGCTGACATGAAACCTTAAGTAACAAAGGACGCCTCCTTGTTCGGGCGGGAAAATAAGAGGAATCCAAGGGGAAGGGAAGACCAAAATTCCGTATCTGTCTTTGTTGTAACCAAAGAGGTTGAAAATATGGAGATTTAACTCCAACAGGTGGGTTAAAGGTATGCATTGAAGACGTAGCCATTGAATAGTTAGTAAGTTCGACAAATGAAGCAAACTCTTTTACTGCCTTTCAGCTGACAGGGAAATGAATGATGTTAACCTCTCCAATACGCTGTCTTCAGCAGCATTCAACCATGCAGTTAAAAACCAACCTATCCTATTGAATACAACCAAAAGAAACACCTGCACCAGCAAAAAGAAATATATACATCAAACTGTCATTCAAGTAAACAAAAACAGAGCAAGGAATAAGAATCAAGGAGTCCCATCCGGAACAAAGTCATACAAAAAGTACTTGTATAAAAATGTTTACAAATCCATAACAGCCTAAACAATATGTATTCTTTCAAAACAAAATTTTCCTGTCATAGGGCCAGGCTTTTTGGATCACATCTTTACAGAGTGTTAGACACAGAGTCCAAATTCATACATGCGGGGGCATGTATGGATGGATGCAGTAACAAGTAAAGTCTTCATCAATACGTGGGGGATTAGCTCCACTATTGGGATCACAGGTGCGACAAGGTGTTGACTGAGGTCATAAGTTCACATAAAAGGTATATTGCACAAGTATATACTGACAGACAGACAGGCTACATGATTGAACCTCGGAATCACAACACAAGTTCTCGTGTATGTTTAAAAGAATGTGATAAAATGAAAACCCCTCCGTCCCAAAATTATTGTCCAGTTTGAGATTTCACTTTTAGTACAATTAGAACTAAAAATGAAAACCCAAACTGGACAATAATTATGGGACGGAGGGAGTAACATGTAAAAGTGTTTTGTGGACAAGCCCTGTTACCCTAACGTAGTTGAATGCTAAGTAAGGTTCAAATATATTCATCATATCTGCGCAAATTTGGCGCCATTTGACCGAGAAATAGCATAAGAAAAAATGTCAAACATAAGGCAGACCATGAATAAGCAGCAGCCAAATAGATTTCTTTAAAAAAAAAAGAAAGGAAAAGAATAATAACAATGGTAGGGAACAGAAAGGAGGAGCAGAAGGCTTCGGATATAATAGAATACCTTGGTAATTGATAGCCGGAATGCAGCAGCTTCGCCAAAACAGAATGGAATTGAAAGGAAAGAGAGATCTGAGGTGGGGGAGCAAATGTAAAGGCAGAATATTGGGGATTGAAGGCAATATTGGCGGCGGCGGTGGCAGCGCGGCGGAGGAATGAAAAGCCAACGGTAAAAGGCCTCCCCGCGGCGCCAACCTTGTTTTGGCCTTTTTGGCTAAAAACCTCAAAACAACAAAACCCCCCAAAAGTCTCTCTCCTCCCGTAAAGCGGTTTGGTTTAGTGTGTGAAATTTTTTAGAAGTGATGATCATGAGTTTTTATATACATACACCTTCATTCAAACAAAAATTACCATTTTTCTTTTCTTCTCTGTTCTAGTATATACTGTCTGTTTTTACTGCCCTTCCAAAATTAAATAAACTTTTTCCCTTAAAAAAAAAACACACTAGTAGCTTTGGTTATGGTTGTATTTTGTGTTTTTATTAAATTTCTTATTATTAATCCAAAAATATCTGTAAACACTTGAAAATCAAAGCCCATTTATTTACACGCATGTTTTTTGACTCTTTGTGTTTCGAAGAGTCCTCCATTTCCTTTTCTTTTCCCGGTTCTTGTTTTTTCCTTTTTCAGTCGGGAGTGGAATCACACGTGCCTATTGGATCGCAGGAACCAACCATTTCTTTTCTTAAGTTAAATTAATCCTCTATTAATCAATTTATTCTAGGGTTGTTAATGAACCGAGTCAAGCCAAGTACTCGAGTTCGAGTTCGACAAAAAATTTGGAGCTCGTATTCGAGTTCGAACTCGGTCGAACATCTAAATTGAAATTTGATTTTAGCTCGAAATAAAAACAAATAGCTCACGCTCGGCTCGATTGGCTCGAGTTTTTGTTTCTCATAAAAATTAAGCTCGAATGCTTGATAATATTGAGCTCGAATAAATTTTAATGCTTGTCATTTTTAATTCAACAAGTTCAATCTATATATTCTATGAGCAAAATACTTTGACAAATCATTAAAAATATGTATATGCTATTATTACATCTTCAAAATATAAAGGACAATAATTTTTAAGAAATAAAAAAAAAAGTTTTCATGAATTATATATTATTCATAATAAAAATAAAATAATTATAATAAGTTCGAATAGGCTCAACGAGCTCTCGAATCAAGTATATTGATACTCGTGTTCGACTCGTCTATCTAATTGAACTATTCAAATTCAGTTCGAATTCAGTCAAAAACGAATTCAAACCAAACTTTGACCAATCGTAAATTGCTCGCGAAGTGATTGGTTCGTTGACAACCCTAATATATTCTCTATTAACTACTACAAAAAAAAATTAAAAAAAAAAACTAATAATAATACTTTTCTTTGATCCTAACTCGGGGCCAACACAAAAAATTGTTGGGGATTTTGATCCCCTCTACACATAAATCGCTGGAAGTTTACTCACTCAACAACACACGCAGCAGATTAAAAGCTGTATTTTTAAAACCGGATCGACCCGGACGGTTCGACTGGTTAGCCCAGGAACCGGACAAGTCTCCAAGCCGAGTTACATATATTAACCGGAAGAGTAAGGAACCGGTCAAAACCAGTCAAACTCGCGGTTGAACCGCGAACCGCACTAACCCGGTCGACCGCGGTTTGTGCTTTTTTCCCCAAATTTTGGACGCTAAAAATTTTCGGCTTCCCAAGATTCCCTCTACCGTTTTATTTTCCCTCAAAAGGAATAAAAAATAAATATGGAAACTATATAAAAGATTTTTTCTTACTTTTCATACTTTTCATATTGTAAAAACTAAAAACTTAATGTAAGAAAGCCCTGGTAAAAAAAAAAAGAATGGATACGGGATAAATTTTTTCCCCTTCCACCGTTGGGAAAGGTGAGCGCCTCCTCCGCCGGCCATCGATGTTCATCCCAAATTCACTATCTACATGCAAACTTTGATCATACCAACTTCGATCTAGTCTCCGATTGCAACTTCCTTTCTTCACTTCTGGCTTTGCTAGAAAGATTTTTAATCAAGACTATTGTTTAAGGTTGAGTTTGTTCGATTCGATTGAGATGTTTGCTCCCTGTTCAAGTGCCGTCAGTGCCTTTTGATTTGTCCTACATTCATTTGCTGGTATGTTGTTTTTAACTAATTAAATAGATCTACTAAAATGTGTTGAGTATGATGATTACCGATGGTCATGATTTGCATTAGACAAGTTGAAGCTATCACTTTCTTTAATGATTCTTGAATTAATGATGTTCTCTTGCTCCTTTTTTTTTCTTAATTCTTTGGCTCGTTTTTTTTTTTTTTTGGGATCTACAATTTTCGGGTGCCTTACTTGATTTTGCCTTAATTCGAATCAACTTCCGTTGATGGTTTATACTTTATAATGTTTATTCTCTCTGTTTTTTTCTTCTTTATTTTTTTTGAAGTCTTTGGCTCTACAATTTTCGATTGGCTACTTGATTATGCCTTGATTTGAATCAACTTCCATTGATAGTTTATAATGATATAAACATGTCGTCTTTAAGCTCATTCATCTTACTTAATTTGGTTCTTTCATAAATCAATTATGGGTTATTTGTTAACTTTGTTTCTTTTTTCTTTCGATAGTCTATCAATTTATCTTTATATTTTTTCTGTAACTTCTTGTGAGTAATTTTTTTTTTTATCATATATGTCCTCACTTCTCTGTATGATGTAACATGCACACATGGAAGCAAGATGCTTAAGCTATATTCTTTTTCTTTTTTTTCATGAGCTCCTATACCTTTATGTTCTATGACATTTTTTTTTCTATGCTTAACAATGCTTTGTCTTTGGATTGACTTTTACTTGTTCTTGTATAGTTAATTGACCATAGAAGGAGGTAATTCACATTCAATTCCAAGTACAGAAGATTTGATCACATCGTCACAAGGTCATCGAAGAAAACAAGACTTGGCATGGAAATATGCCACTGAAGGTGTGAATAATGAAGGGAAAATGAAGCAGCACCTTGCTGGAATTAAAGGTGATGTTTCCTCATGCAAAAAAGTTCCTTCCCGAGTGAGGGAGTTAATGCTCAATTCCTTGAAAGAAAATACTAAAAAAGCAAAAGAGAAGAAAGGGGATTTTGGAATCAATTTTGATGAACAATTCAATGATATTCAAGAAATTCATCCTTCTACACCTAATGGGAAAGTAATAGCAAGCATTGAGGGGCTGAAAAATACAAAAAGGAAGAACAACCATGGTAGTATTGAGCCCTACTTGTCAGGTAAAGGTATTGATTTATCTCAGCCAAGTATCAAGTCTTGTATGCAAAGTAAGGAAAAAAAAATTGCAAACTGATATGGCTGTAGCTATGTGGTTTTATGAAGCATGTATCCCTTTTAATGCTGTTAATTCACCTTATTTTCGGCAAGCAGTAGCAAGCATAGCAAGTATGGGTCATGGTTACACGGGTCCTAGTTACCATGCACTTAGGGTGAATTTGTTAAATGATGCTAAAAAGCAAGTTCAATTACTTGTTGATAGTTTCCGAAATCAGTGGGCAATGACTGGATGTACACTTATGGGTGATGGATGGAAAGATAAAACACAAAGATGCTTGATCAATTTGACTGGATGTACACTTATGGGTGATGGATGGAAAGATAAAACACAAAGATGCTTGATCAATTTTCTTGTTTATTGTCCTACGGGCATTGTGTTTATTAAATCTATGGATGTTTCAAATGTGGAGTCTAATGCTGAGACATTATGTAACTTGTTTGCTGAAATTGTTGAATTAGTTGGGGTTGATAATGTTGTTCATCTAGTTACTGACAATGCTAGTAACTATAAGGCTGCTGGAAAGTTACTTTCAGATAAGTATTCATCGATAAGTTGGTCTCCTTGTACAGCACATTGTCTCAATTTAGCTCTTAAGGATATTGGTGAGTTGCCAAAAATTAGCTGACACAATCATTTTTGCCTCTAGGGTCACTAAATATGTGTATAGTCGCAAGTGGATACTTGGCTCGTTGAGGGAAAGATCCAGTTGGAAGGAGATTCTTTGTCCGGCTGAAACTAGATTTGGCACCACATTTATAGCGCTCAAAAGCCTTTATGATCACAGAGAACATTTGGAGGCTTTAGTAATTCATCCAAAATTCAAAAAGGAAAAAAATAAGAAAGCCGTGGATGTGAAGGACATTGTTCTCAGTGATGACTTTTGGAAATCTTGTTTGATAAATGTGAAAATCATGGGTCCGGTCATGAGGTTGCTGTGTATATGTGATTCGGATGAAAAACCCTCACTGGGTTATGTTTATGATGGCATGTGGAGGATAGTTAATGGCATCAAGACAATGTTCAACAACAATGAAAAGTTGTACAAGCCTTACATTGACATAATTGAGAGTAGGTGGGATGCCATGTTGAAGAAAGATCTCCATGCAGCAGCGTTTTGGTTAAATCTGGAATTTCAATATGAGGAGAACACTCGTTGTAATTCACCAGAAATTTGGAAAAGCTTGTTTATAGTATTAGAGAAGTTTAAAATTATCAGCCTCGATGGAGGAGATCTCAACCTTTACAACAAAAAGTAAATCATTTGGGACAGATTTTGCTCAAAGAACATATAACTCTTCTCGTCCAGGTAAAATTTGAACTTTCTTTTCTTTAATTTCTTTGAATTAGAGCTTTATATTTTAATATATTTACAACTAATGTATTGTTGTCTTTTATCATGATAATTTGCATAGATTCCTGGTGGAAAATGTTTGGTGTTGACACTCCAAACTTGCAAAAGGTGGCTATTAGACTTTTGAGTCAAACTGCATCTTCTTCTGGATGTGAACGCAATTGGAGTGTATTTGATCACATCCATACAAAGAAAAGGAACAGACTGGAGCATGAAAGGCTATGTAATCTTGTCTATGTGCAGTACAACCTTCGTTTGAAAAATAGGTTGTCAAAGAATCTCCTTTTTTGTTTATAATTAAATTTTGTCTTGACTGATTACTAAGAGTTTCAGTTTTTGTTCAGGCTTGAATATAGGAAAAGATCTTATGATCCTGTTGATTATGAATCGATTTTTGATAGAACTGAATTCTGGATTATTGAAGATCAACCCGAGGGAGAGCTTAACATGGAAGAATTGGAGGATATGATGGAAGATGAGTACCCTATAGATGACGAAGAAAGCGAAGCATCCTTCCAATTAAGTGAGAACTTGATATCTATTGTGATTTTTTGAGTTACTTTTCTTTTAACTTTTTTAGTTAGACATACATTTCATGTTTCTTTTATGTTTAGGAAAAAAGAGATCTGTGGTTATTGTTGAAGATGAAGAAAATGGTGAAGATGATTCTCAGGCAGACTTGTTCTTCTTTCAAGTTGAAGATGGTGATATGGAAATCTTTGACTAAATTATGTCAAAGATTAAACTAATGCTTTTGCTTTTATATATGGTAGGCCGATTAGATGCTATTCCTTTTGCATATAAGTAGATTAGATATTCTTTTGGATATAAATGTATAGCATTGAAAATTCTTTCGGCCCTTTTGGATATATGATAAGTGGACTTAGGGATGCCTGATGTCTTAGCATTTTAGAGGACATTCATATGCATGTGATGTGTTGGTTTTGGAACAGGTACTCATGAAGAGAAATATAGTAGGCATGTAGTAATTAAGTTGGCATTCCATCACATGTAATGATGATATGAATGTTAGTACTTGATGGTATTATATTCTAGTGAACTCAAAGGCTCATTTTGAGTTCATAACATGCAGCCATTGTACTTTATTATTTTGTTCTTAGACAGCAACTTATTGGTTGTATTATTGAAAATCATTTTGAAGTTTTTCTTTTGACTTTGTGAAGGGTAAATGGATAAGGAATTTTTTTTATTATTATTAACAAATATATAATATATAAATTAATTTTTAATAATTTAAAATTATTTATTACGTATTTATGACGTCACTGGTTTTTTAAAGTGGTTGAATTGGTGTAACCCGGTAACCCGGTAATCCAGTTACTTCACCGAGTCGCTTCTCGGTCCGGTTTTCAAAACATAGAATTTAAAAGTAAACAACCAAGCAAAACACAACAAGAAGCACAAACACAACTTACGTTGTTCGATATCCCATAGATCTACGTCCACAGGAATAGTACCACTTTCTACTAGTATAAGAATAGAAGAGTTTAAAAATGTGGAGCCTCTCTCAACACACTATGTCTCTCTCCATCAATTCTACCATTACACTCTCTCAAAGTGTTTCCCATTACTCACTACATATGCTCCGGGGAAAAAAGATGCACATCACTACACAAAGAAGTAAAACTATGAGAGAATCTCCACTCAATTCAATCCTAATTTTACCCCACTTACTCAAGAGTTCTCTCTCAATTGAGTGGCTACATATTGCCTCTCTTCTCCCTAAAATGATTACAGTACAAACATTTCTCATTTATACTAAAACCAACACAAAACCCTACTAACCTATTGGACTCAATAGGCTCAATACTCACCATGGGCTTGGGAATTTGAGGAAAAACCCAACAAAAAATTGATTAATTTATAAAATAATAATTTTTGAAGAATCTTCTATATAAATATAGGTTCTCACAATTTGATAAATTAATAAATACCTAAAATTATAGATTAGATTTAAAGATTAACTTAGATTTTAACTTAAGTATCTTTGTTATGTTTCCGGTTATCATGTTGTTTGCCATTAAAAAATTATAATGTTATGGCTAGAGTTTCAACGGACTTTTTTTGATATAAAAATAATAAATATTTGTATTCTCTTACTTAATATAAAAAAAAAAACTATTGTCTTATAATTTTATTTTTTATTAGTCCAATTGTAATTTCAATCTCTTAAAGTTGAGAAATATAAGAAATCATTACACAAAATTTATCTATTTGAATAAGTAAGTTTCATGTATGAAAAAGTAATTTATACGGAATAGGAAAAAAAGGAAGAAAAAAATCTTGAAGAAGATGAATAGTGAAAAAGAGGATGATTAATAAAAAAAAAAAATGGTGATAAAGATAGAAAAAAAAATAGTTATAGAAATTAGAAAGAATTACATATGATAAACTTATTTAATAATTAAATTCATTAAAAAAGAAAAAGAATACAAAACTTGAGATGGGTAATAAGAATCCTGAAAAACTATCTTATTTTCTTTGATTTTAGTATTCTTTTTAATTTCTTCGATATCTTAAATTGAATCAAACATAAGATTTTAAAACTAAGGAAAAAAGAATACCTTCTTTGGCCATTATCCATGACAACCAAATGGGCCCTAATTATTTTATTTCTCACATAACATCCAAATCCACAAAATAAATTGGCTAAACTCCTTCAAATTTCCATCAAAATTAATTTTAGTCCAATTTTGTTTTTCTCTCTATCATTTCGAGATAGATAGAGTACATATAATCTCAGTAATTGCAACATTATCAACACATTTGTGTAATATCTAGTGATTATTATATCATTTTTCACCCCCCCTTACAGTAATTATTTTTTCTATTGAAACTTCATGTGTTGTTATGAATTAAAAGATTTCCAACATCCCAATAATCTAAAAGATTTCCTATTATGTTAAGTCATGTGAAAAGATTAATATTCAATAAGTTAAATCCAGTATTCATCACCTTTTGATTTTGTGACACCGTCTTCTGCAATAAGTTTTGGTGGAGTGAAAGTGATTGATTTTCCTTTTATCTTGTATCTTCCAGGACTTAAAGACTTGCTGCTCTCTCCAATCTCAAATGTGGAGGATAGTGCAGCTGTTGCAGTTGTCACCATATGAGAGTTTACTTTTGAAAGGTGCGTGGTTGTGTTTTTTAAATTTCACACACAATGATTTGTAAAAGTTAGTATCACGTACCGACAAAAAAAAAGTTTTCAATTTGAATATGAACAATTAAATTTGAGTATTTTCACCTGATGATGTAGTAGTGATTTTCAATGGTTGGGTACAAAATGAGGCTGAGAATCTTGATTTTTTGGATTTTTTTTGAGTTTTTCCCTTGTTACTGCTCTCCCCAGTTTCAAATGTGGAAGCGGTAGCCATAATGGGAGTTGTGTTGGTATCAAATTTTGCTGTTGAATGTGCTGCAAATTGTTTCAAACTCATATATATTCACATGGAAAAGTCATTGGAATGTTTATGAAACTTATGTGAATGTGACATTTTACCTGCCAAGTAGTTCTTTTCAATTTTTTGGAACTTTTTGAGTCTGATAATACTGTGCTCTTGCTTTTCTGAGATGTTCCCTTTTTTCTTTCTGTTGGTATCGTGAGTGTTGTTACATTTGGAGCAACAGAATCTGAATACAAAAGAGGAGTATGTAATGTAGACATGATGCATTTGAAAGTAGCAAGAAGTGCTTATGGAATTAGTAGTTATTGAAAAGAGTCGTACCATTCGTAATATCATTCATTGCTGATCTTTCATCGTTAGTCTTGCAGTGGGTACGTGTTTTATCAAAGGAAGTGTCGAAAGCTTCATGGAAACTTTGTTGCCGGTAACTTGGACTTTTGGTCTGATTGACAAAGAAGAAGCCACCAAAGGTTCTTTGCGACGGGATTATGCTGGATTTGTTTGGTGTTGAGTTCTCGTCATTCCGAGATTTTTTGTCCTTACATCTCTTTACATCCAATATTTTTTTCCGTCTCATTCTTGCTTTGGCAGCAATTTTTGCATCCATTGTAGATAAGAAGTTAACAACTGTATATGGAGTTCTGTAAAAGTATTGGTTTTGTATCTTTATACAACAATATTATATTTGTGTTGAGATACAATTTAAAAATTGAATTTTGATGAAACATGCAAACGTGGGGAGTGGTTTTCTCCCAATTCGGAACTGCATGCTTGTTTGGAAACTGAAAATGTAATTTTTTTCATTCACGCATTTATTATTATTATTATTTAATTCAAAATCATGAGCATAATGCATTTGGAGTTAAGTTAATCCTTGAGAAAATATTAACTTCGTGTTTGATATGTAGAGTTGAAGAAGATAAGCACTCCTAATGTCAATTTCTTGAGTTCCTATATCCGGTTACAATTTGAATATATTGGTTTCAAAAAACATATGCAAAATTGTCTAAACTCCAAACATACTTCCTAGTTTGAAAGTGGATATTCAATTTATAGTTTCCTCGAGCTCTATATTTTTACTAAACAAATGTAGTTCCTCGAAACCTGTTTTAACAAATTAATCTCCAAGTACAAAACTTGAAATTAATGTATTGTTTTAGTAGATTTAAGGGGATTGTTTTCTTTGACCCGGAGCAACATATTATGAAGACTATTGTCACCTACTTAGAATGACTAATACATTTTGACTATGTGAAGCATGACTGGGAACACCTTAGGCTAGGCCCTGATTTTGAACCTAATGCTATTTCACCGAAGTTGACATAGCTACTACAATATTTTGTCAAAAATGCTAAACTAATTTCTGGATTGTCATAGCATCAAAGGAGCAAAAAAAAAAAAAACGCAAAATCATCAGAAAAACGTCTCTTTTTTCATTGATTAAACAAATCCACTGAGGAGAGGAAGAAAAAAAAACATAGCTGCTATCATACGAAGGACTGAATCTTCATGATACTAACAGAAATAGTCTTTAAGAAAACAAATATCAAACTTTGTCTGAAACGAAAATACAAAAACATAGAAACATCCTTAATGAACTATGAAAAAAAGCTTAAACTTGCAGAATGCATAGGAAAAGTGGTGGATTTGGTGATCAGCTACACTGCAGACTTTCTCTTGAACACTTTCTCTGTCTTCATAACACTCTTTCTCTTCGGCAAAGTTGACGCCACACTTGGTGCTCCAAGCTCTTGCATATCAACCTCATTTTCCTTGGCTTGTGGATTGTCTTTTCATCATGAACCGCAAATTTCTCTGGTGTGCTATATTGTTCATCATTGACCACTTTTTTGTTGACATCTGGATCATTTTCTTTATCATCAACCAGGCTGGTACGAACAAGTGGACTATTTGCCATGTTTGGATCTGGTTGAGAGCCTAGGACCTCTCCATCATTGGAAGAGATAGTTCTCTACAGTTGATAATTGTTACAACAATTATGAAAATACATGGACACAATTCATGACATTCCAATATCTAAAATCACTTTACTAAACATAACCAATCCAAAAAATAGGTCCTTTACAGAAGTTTTGTAACTCATTTATTGTATCAAAAGATAGTACATATAAAGTGATAAGGTTTGAAAAGGTTAGAACCTGTTTAGGGTTGGTAATTGTCTTGTACTTCTTTAGCCATTTTTCATCATCAACAACACGCACTGCAGTATACATGTGGGAATTATGCACCACATTGAACTTGTTGACAGAAACCCTGAATAGTAGGGTTTTGCCAATCAGGCTCATCACCTTAGGAGGAAATGTTTCTACATTCCCATACTGTCAAACAAATTTAGAATTAAAATTAATGTAAGCAGCAAAGGTATTAATGATAGTTGTAATAAAAACAGAAAAGAATCTGAATAAAAAAGGGAAATAACTAACCTTTTCTCTCAACTGATAGGCACTTTTTCCAATGAGGCGAAACATATCTTTATCAAAGATTGTTACGATCATAATTCCAGTTGAATCAACAACAATGGTTTGAACTTTGAATCTAAAAATTTATATGTATTGCAGATCCACGATAGACAAAAGACGTTTAGCCAAATAGAAAGTTTAAAACTTAATTTAATTAAATAGGTAGTACCTTAGAAAAGCTACAATTTTGTTGGTCGGACAACGAGGACAGTTAAACTGTCCAGTTGAAAATTGGTCATCCGCTATAGGACCATCAGATTTTATGACATCAAAATCAACCTTTCTATTGCACTTCTTGCAAGCAACGTAGAACCAATCATCATCTTGAATTATGTCAACAATTTTACCCATAGTAACACAATGACAAGCCTGGTTTCAACGGTTGAAAAAGTAATCAACAAACATAAAGGAAATATGTAGTTAAAAATGTATATGAAGAATATTCTAACCTCCCCAACATTCTTGATGCCATCAACAGTAATCAATTCAGCATCTTTCATGAAGGACTCAAGAGTTCCATAGGATGTCATTGTGGATAGTAGGGACAATGACTTTCCAGTGTCATGTTGGTTATTAACATTATCCATCCTATGTACATAAATTATAAAATTAAGGAGATATTATCAAACATAAGAAACCTTCATGAAAACAATGAACAGTTCGAAACGTTGATACATCAGATTATACATGAGTTTGAAATCTCGAATTACATCCATATCAGTGTCGAGATAGATTTTGCCATTAAGTTTTGAGGTGGTGATGGACAATTGACCTGCCAATTTAACAGGTTGTTAAATAAAGTGCATCTAAGTCATAATGATGAAAGTATTATGAATTTGATTTTAAAGAATAATAATAATACCATTCCATGTACCACATTTCACAAACTGGACAATGAGTACCACATCGGTTTTATTTTCAGACCCTAAGTAGTCTACAACTTGTTGAGCATGGGTGTCCCATAGGAGTACCTTAATTTTCTCATTCCTATTGAATTTGAAACATCGCAGCATTAACATTGTGTAATGGATTGACAAATATGCAGAAACGAATTAAAAGGTAAACCAACGTCCTCTAAATCTTCAAGTTCGACCAGCAACTTCTTTTGTTCCTTATCATCTTTAACCTCGCATATGAGGTCTCCTTTGGCTACAATTCGCCCAATAAGATATGTAATAATTAAGAGAATTTGATGTACATTAGACATAATAACACCCTTCTAATTGAAGAATTTAAAATAAACATTGAGATGAAAGTGGTTACAAACAAAGAAAACTTTAGAAACCATGATCCATGGAAACATAATCATATTCCTGCATTTTTAGCTAAGCCATTTAAGCTCACTATTGTGAAAGAGAAAAATAAAAGGTACAAATAGAATGCAACGATTTTAAATTAATGTGATATGAACTCATTTACAATTATGCTATCTTGAGAAGTCAATAGCAGTAAAGCAAAGTACCCGAAATTCAACATTCTATAAAAAATTTTAGATTTTGTTTTTGTCAAATTGCATCAATAAAGGATCAGACAGAGAATAACTAATTTATGATCCCATCACACAGATAAAAAACATGAAAGAAAATTACTTAGTTGAAGCAGATGAAAAAGTTTAACTATTATACCCCCAGTATTATACCTGAAACAACAAAATTACAAGTAACAACAGTGGCAGATGGAAAATTAAAACATGATGGCAGCTGCCATTTAAATTGAGATGAAATAGATGAAAGTGATTATGTACCAACCAAGAAATCTGGATCGTTTTTGCCCTCTTTGATAATTTCAAAAGGTTCAAAGTTGAACACTGGGTAGGGTAAGATGTCGAAAGGATCTACCGACTTAACATGAGTACTCCTATATAGTTGTATTTTCCAACTGTGTTTAGAAGCTTTCCAGAAACCGTAATTCATAGTAACACCATAATTTGATATGAGTTTAGTATCTCCTTCCCGAAGAATCGTCTCAAACTTTCCCATACTCTGTTTCTTAGCTTGTGCCTCGATTGTTGACCCCTACAAATTATAGATTCCGTTGAAGCAATTAAAATGGTCTTTTGAAATTGTGAATTTTTTCGACTGAAAAAACTCTGAAAACTTTATACCCAGAAAAATACTCCCCCAAAAAAAAAAACCTCAGGAAAAAAATCTTTGTGCCACTAATTTGCAAAAGCTAAATGAGTGATAAATACCTTCGAATCCACCAAAACCATTTCGATTGAAGTTGTTTAAGAAGGATTGTACTTGTTGGGCTGCTTCCAAATACTCATAATTCGCACAAGTAGAGCTCCATTATTCTCATGTGATGTGATATCATCAATAAAAAACATGTCGGCCGTCATAGCTCGGACTGGATTCATGATTTTTTTTGCTGGAATTGCTTGTATGATGATGTAGATGAAGTGTTTGACAAAAGAGGCAGGCTTGTATTTATAGAGAAGCCTCAATCTTTCTCATCAACTGAGATCCAAAAACTGACCACGTTCGTAAATTTCATTTTTTATGGATAAAATGATGAATCGTGCTTCCGTTTTGGCGATTCACAGAATCGGTCGTGGGTTGGGAACTTCGAATTGAGAGTGAGCTAAAAAACGATGAATTGTGATCATCATCATGTTCTCCGACCAAAAAGCCCCTTCGCTGGTTTGGGATTTTTTGTTTTTTTTTTTTGGTTTGGGATTTGGATTTTAAAGAAGATCATGGGTTGATGGTTAAGGACAGATCGTGGATATTTTGGTTAATTGTTTTGTAGAAGCAATTAATCCGGAATTACTGTAGGAGTTTGTTAATAGATATAGTAATTTAGTTTCTCTTTACTATTTACTATGAGAAGTGATTTGATCGTGGATATTTTGGTAAGTTGATTTGTAGAAACAATTAATCGGGTTTGTTAATAGATGTAGAAATTTAGTTCCCCTTTACTATTTATAGATAGAGTAATTTAGTTACCCTTTACTATTTATTATGAGAAGTGATTTAGGCGGGAATTGGGTGTAAGAAAACTTGTCAAGTCAGCTTTTGGAATGCTGTTGGGTTTTCCCATAATAGGATATATAGAAGATTGGATGACTCTAGAAAATGTTTTAACAAAATCACAAGAAAATACAAACTTATAAATAAACAAAATGCAAATGGTCGGATTATTTTTAATTTTTCGAAGGAATATTATTGTGAAGAATGGATGGTGAATTTAAAACTAGCAAGGAAGGGTTGTCTTCACTATTTTTATTTTTATTTTTTTAAAGAAGGTTTGTTATCACGTTGGAATGAAAAAAGTATAGATCATTCACCAAAAAAAAAAAAAAGTAGATCCAAACTAAGGGGAGAGGCGATTCATTCAGTAATGGTTTCCTTGTAGATGAGATTAGATCTTCAAAAATAAAAAAATAAAAAAAATAAAAAAATTCCCCCGACCGGAGATGCATCATCATCATAGGCTCGAGCTGAGCTAACCACCTCCTCCTATGATTCATTTGATCTCCCACCACTGGGCATACTCTACTCCCTCTCATCAACAACTTTCTAAACCAAGAATCCTCTCTCTGCTGTAAAATACAGTATTAATTACAAATTTAATCAAAACCCCCAAACATGGGCTCTACCCAGTCCGCCCAAGTCCCCTCCTCCTCCTCCTCCGACGACGACGACGAGGACGACCCAGAAGAACACGAAGAAGAAGAAGAAGGAGAACACGACCATGATTCGAATCTAATTATGAACAACACCCACCACGGTGGCGTCTCTGATGGGGGTCCACTCCTCAAGAAAGTTCTTCAAACCCAGGAGCCCGAAATGTTACCTTGCCATTCTTCGGCTTCCCCTCTTTCCCCTCAGCTCTCCTCTTTGGGCACTCCCCGACTTGGACCCTCCATCAAGGTGTGGGACCCTTACAATGTCTTGGCTCCTCCTCCCTTATCCTCCTCCTCCTCCCCGGATGTGTCCCGCCTGCTCATGGACGACGACCCTCACCCACCACCCCCCATCTCCACCCAGGTCTTTCTCATTTCTCACGGTGAGTGTCTTATGAATTTGCGCCCTGATTTGATCTCCGGCAGGTCCCCCGAAGCTGCCCTTACTCCTAACGGCAAGCGCCAGGCTAGGGCTCTCGCCGTCTTCTTCAAGTCCCAGGGTGTCAGATTCAATGCCGTTTATTCCTCGCCCTTGGATCGGGCTCGTGCCACTGCCGCACTCCTCTGCCAGGTCTATAACAAACACCACCTTCATTCCTTTCAATTTGGACTTTATTCTTCCAATTTCCAGTTTTCTTCATTCCATTTGCTCATATTTTTCGATTAGATCACAATCACAGTGTATTATTGCATGATGCGTCATCGACTCCCTTTATGCTAATAATTACCCAAATTTCCGATAGATGTGCTACATTGCTATATACAAAGTTCACACCCATGTTACGAATTTGTATGTGTCTGTGTTCATTTTTTTTGTTATAACATCCTCTAACTAGATGCACACTAATCAAATCAACTCGAACTGATTTTGAAAAGTTATTTACAAAGTCAATGGAGGCATTGAGTTCCTGCTTCAACCTGATCACACCGCCCCATAATTGAGTTTGAAACATGATTCATCCTTGTTAAGAGAGTATGGAGCTCAACGCAACCTGCTAGCAATAATATCTAGGAGCTCAGCTTGAGTTGGTTCCAACACTAGATTGAGCTAACTTTTTAAGGTATAAAAAACCAAAAGGCCCAATTTCTTTTTATCTGCCATTGGAGCTTAGAGACTTTTCCGGTGTTAGATGCCCTAGAATTACCTTCCAACCACTAAGTGCTTAATGCTGAGTTTGTCAATAAATTGGCTATGTTTTATGTCACTCAAGATCTTGTATCACACAGTTTGACGCTTCTTTTTTCGGACTTCATAGAAAAGAAAGGATTTGTGATTTGACTAAATAGACCGGTATAGTTTTTCTTGCTTAGGAAGATAACCTTCGATGCTGCTTGCTTGTAGATTCAGGGAATGTAAATGGTTTCATCAAACATTTGGTGGCTCCTTGACCCTGCCATCCTCCAGTGTTTTCTACCTTTGTTGATCCTTGAGGTTGCATAGTGTTTGTGTATCTTTGGAATATTTTTCCACTGCATGTTTGCGAATCATAGCATTCTGAACATCTTGCTATTACATGGAGGAAAGAAAAGTGTTTTAAGATTTATGTTTGTTCCTCTGAATGGTCTTGCATCTATTTCTTTGGTTCGAGGATCTTTTTATTGTTACAATCTGGGAAAAAGCATGATTCATAATATTTTAATTTTGGTTTCAGGAATTGAATTTTTCAGAGGAACAGATACAATCTTCAGATGCATTGATGGAAATGAGTCAGGGTCATTGGGAGGGTTGTCACCGATCCGAAATATATACTGCCGAAACGCTGAGCTTAATGGATCGGCTACAGCCGGATTTTGCAGCACCGTCTGGAGAATCATTGAGGCAGGTGGAATTCCGAATGGTTCAGTTCCTAAATGGAACTATTTTGGCATTGCCTGAGAAATTCAGAGCAGATTTTTCACCTCCAGATTCTCAGACCGAGATGCAAGTTGGTTTCCCACGTGCACGTGGATTCACAAACTCCATTCACGACCCAAATCCACCATCTCATTGGACGGGGCATGGACATCGGATGCCGGGTCTGTCACGAAAAAAGTCTGGTAAAAGTAGGCTTCAAGTAGTGACGACAACCGGAGACCACGAAGCTGACGATGAGATGTCTCCTCGACCACCACCGCTTCCATTGAACAACCACGGGGAACCGGTTCGTGAAATGAACTTGGTGAGGAATAACTCGACGTGTGTGGCTGTTTTCACGCATGCAGTGCCCATAAAGTGTCTGGTCACAGGGATACTTGGGTGCAGCGCAGTCATGTCGCATAAAATATGCATAGAAGATTCTTCAGTTACAGTTTTGCAGCACTCGTGGAAAATGGGATGGCAAATCAAAAGATTGAATGATACTGCGCACCTCAGGCTGCTGTAGTACGCTTGTGAGTTGAATTTGTAAGATTTTTGAAGTCACATTGTATCCCATGGGTTGGTTGGTGAGGGCAGATGTCAAATTCACATTGTGTCCAATGGGTTGGTTTGGTCTGGGCAGATGCTGATGGGTCGGGTTACCCCGGGGTCACACATGGGCGACGTGGTGATCGCACTTGGATAAAAGAGAGAGTTGGTGTTTGCGCTTGTCGGACACACTTCATGCGCCAAGTGAGGATGAGATTCATTTGGGTTAAGTATATTAGTTAGTGTTTTGTTAGCTATGTAGGTTTCCATATTTTTTTTGATTAATCAGATTATTGGAACATGTATGGGATTCAAGTGTTGGGGGGGGAACCTCTTGAAACTACTGTGTTGGGGGAATGAGAAGTATTACTGTGATACTGAGTTTCATGTGTAAGGCATACACAGTTTTGTTGTGCCACTGTTAGATTAGGTTGAAAGTGGTTGATGATCATGTATACAATAATGTGGTATTTTACGATATGACCAATTGTATGATTCGACCTAATTTAGTGGAAGGTAACTCATTGCAAGTTTGCAACTTTGTTTGTGATTGTATTCCGGAAGTGATGAATAAGGTGTGTTGATCGAAATGCTGACGACTTTTATTTTCTCTGTAGGATACTTTTCTCGAAGTTACTGGTCCTAACACAAGAACTACTCAATTTTTTACTTTTTTTTTTTTTGAATGAAATTTTTTACTCCCTCCATTCTGAAGTACATGACGTTTTAGGATTTGATAAATTTTTTTAAATCTATGTCGTTTTCACAAATCAGAGCATATTTGACCACTTTTTACTAATATTACCTTTGCATTAGAAATGAAATAATATTTATAATAAATTTTTATTGATATATGATGAATTGTATAGACAATAAATATGGATATTTTTGTATTTTAACTACATAATTAATATTTTATTGGTTTGATTATTTCTCTAGAAAGACATAATAAAAAAAATGGAGGGAGTACATGATACTAAGGCTTTGTTTGTTTGGTTTGCTTGATGGATTTTTTAAATTCATTTATGATTAATTGTCTCATCCCAACATACTTTTTTACATTTTCAATATACTTTTTTACATTTTCAATACTAAAAAACACCTAAAAATACACAATAAAAAAAAAAACAAACATGCCTAAGTAATTGGGAGTAAATTTTGAAATGGGGAGTGAGAGCTGACCGTAAAATTGACGCAGACAGCTGCAAAGAATAATAAACAATAGCACCACCATTGATAGTCCCAATGGCCCAATAGAAAGAAGAGAGAGAAAAAAAGGCGGAGTATATATAATAAAGAAAGAAAAGGCGTGGAGTCCAAAAACACACAGAAGAGCTGCTTCATTTTGGACCTGCGACTGTGGGAGTTTAGAGAGAGAATTCGGGTGGGTGGGTGCTGCTCCTATATTCTTGCCCTAATTTTTCTCTCTTCCTCACCGGCCTCCGACCACCATGGCTGACCTCTCCTCCTACCGCCGTCAACCTCTCATCCCTTCCTACCTTTACAATTCTTCCTTTTCTTCTCATTTGGCTGCTTCCAAAACCCTTGCTTCTTCCTCCCCTGCTCTCCCTGCCCTTTCCCCTACTCCTGCCCCTTCCCCTCCGGCCAATGCTTCATTTGTCATTCCCTCTCCCTCGGAGCCCCCTTTTGGCAAGATCGAGTTGTACTCTCCCGCCTTCTACACTGCCTGTACCTTTGGTGGTATCCTCAGCTGTGGTCTCACTCACATGGCCGTCACTCCTCTTGACCTTGTCAAGTGCAATATGCAGGTAGATCTGATCTCTCTTTCCCTTTTCTTTTTCCCTTCGTGTTTTTCAATTTGTTTTCCATTTTCTACGCTCGATCCGTGTCTTTGTGTTCCCATCTCATAGTATTTTAGGAATTCTTAGATCAGATCAAGCTTACGGAGGGTAAACAAAAGCAATGATCACGTTAGATTTATTTTTCTTTCGTTTTTACTTGTTTGCTCTTGTTTTCTACCAATCAATACCCAAATAAACGGGCCGGAAGCGTCCCATGCCCTGTCTTTGGCAGGCCGGTGGATGGATATATTCTGTACTCTTTTCTGTGAGTCACCATTTGTGACTAGCTTTTTTGGTTCATCCTATGTGTCAGTTTTAAACTGGCTTTTTACTACATATGTGATGTTGCTTCCTGGTGATGTTAGCTTTGCTACCGCTTTATGTTTTGTAGTTTATGAACTTAAGTTGGAAATCTTTGCCTTGAGATGGATTACAGATTATCCGCTGATTTTATATGCATTTGATATGCCCTCCAAATGTGGTTTTGATTGATGATTATTTCGTAGATCGACCCTGCTAAGTACAAGAGCATCTCATCTGGTTTCGGAGTGTTGCTGAAAGAACAAGGAGCTAGGGGCTTCTTCAGGGGATGGGTGCCAACCCTGCTTGGCTACAGTGCTCAGGGTGCCTGCAAATTTGGATTCTATGAGTTCTTCAAGAAGTATTACTCCGACATTGCTGGACCCGAGTATGCTGCCAAATATAAGACTCTGATCTATCTTGCTGGTTCTGCTTCTGCTGAAGTTATTGCCGATATTGCTCTTTGCCCCTTTGAGGCCGTGAAAGTCCGCGTCCAGACTCAACCTGGTTTTGCAAGGGGATTATCTGATGGGCTTCCTAAGTTTGTCAGATCTGAAGGTGCACTTGGGTAAGTATCCTTGTCGTGATCCCTTGTACGTGCCACGATTTGGAAGGAAATCAAGTTTTGACTCTGTCTTAATCTTTTCAGGCTGTACAAGGGCTTGGTTCCTCTTTGGGGACGTCAAATTCCTTGTGAGTTGATTTTCTCTATTTATTTCTGTCGTTGGATGAGTCTTCTGTGATTACTGCACACAAATTTTTAACTTGTCTTTGTTAACTTCCTTGAATTACCTTGGGGGCGTGCTTGAACGAGTTTTCAATGGTTGGTGCACGTAAATTTTTAACTTCTATTGGCTAACGTTATATTATATTAGGGGTTTGGTTAACTTCCATTGGCTAACATTTTATTATATTAGGGGTGTGGTTGGTTTGATTTCAGACACTGGAATTAGAAGCCTCCTTTTGTGAGAAAAATCGGTCAATACCTTTTGAATTAGTGTCAATCCTGAAAAAACCTCAAACACACCCTGATGCAATCTCCTTATTGAGATTTGCAGTTATAATGGTTTCTTGACATTTGATGATTCTAGTTTGCTAAAACTTTTTTTTTAAGGATTATGGAGGAACTTCCAAAATGACAGTTCTTTCTGTTATTTCTGCCTTTTGTATCTTTTTGTTATTTCTGGTCCTTTGTATACCTTTTCTGCACAATTTGCTGATTTTCAATTGTACTGTGAAGTTTTTGGCATGGTGTAGTAATTTTTCCATTTTATTAGACACCCCATTTCCTATCTGCTGATTGTGCCCTGTCTGAATGCATTGCATTTGACATTCATGTGGAAGGTGTATTAGACAGTTCTGTGGAAGATCTGTTCTGGATGTACCTAATTGTCTTATATAGTACCCTTTCTCCTGAAATAACACTGTGACTTGCTTGTGGTCCAATGCTAAGTATTCTATATGGGGTGTTTTGGCTTAATTGCTGTGATTTGAGCCACTTGACCGAGATTTAGGCAAAAAAAATTTATTAGCTTACCTTGTTTTACAGAATTCATTGGAATTTTCTCATTCTCTGCAAGATTGTGTCTAAAATTTCTTTCCTCTCATGAGGCAACCCTTCCCAAAAGGGGCAAAACTAATGAAAACAATAAACATCTGGGCTTTCTAGGTGATTCATTTATGAGTGATTTATGTTGTGCAATTTGAGTTATTGTAAGTAGAGCTTATCCTCCAGAAACCACTGATGAATTTAAAATTTTGATATTTTCTGCTTTACGACTCATTTACTAAATGGCATGTGGTATTGCATCAATAGGTTTGGAAAACATTGGTTCTTTCTCTGTCATATCTTCCAAGTGTTCCTTGCAGTTGATACACTCCTCTGACAGTGTAATCTTACAGAAACTAGTGCTAATATAAACAATTTGTATTTGCAGATACAATGATGAAGTTTGCATCATTTGAGACCATCGTGGAAATGATCTATAAGTATGCTATCCCCACACCTAAAAGTGAATGCAGCAAACCTCTGCAACTTGGTGTGAGTTTTGCAGGTGGATATGTCGCTGGTGTCTTCTGTGCCATTGTATCTCACCCTGCCGATAACCTTGTCTCTTTCCTGAACAATGCCAAGGGTGCCACCGTCGGTGATGTGAGTTTTGATTTGAACAGCTTCCCGGGTCTTTGACAACTTCCTTACCTGTAATTTCAGTATGGATTTTCACCCCTTTTCTTTTTATCAGGCTGTGAAAAAGATGGGACTATTGGGTCTTTTCACCCGAGGGCTTCCTCTCCGTATCGTCATGATTGGAACCCTCACTGGGGCCCAGTGGGGAATTTATGATGCTTTCAAAGTCTTTGTTGGACTGTAAGTCTTTGTTTCCATTATCATGTAAAATATATGCTTACCTTTTGCTTTGAAAGGTTGGTAAATTGTTGGTGTTCTTTTTCAGGCCAACCACTGGTGGTGTTACCCCTCCTGCTGCTCCCGAGCCTGCTAAGGCTTAGGATCATAAGCCTCAAGGACCGGAAAATAAATTTTGAATAGCATATGGGATGTGATGCCCTATGAGTGTTAATTGTTTTTGCAATTACATAGATTTCTGACAGTTTTAAGTTTTGGATGATTTTATCGGCCTTAGTTTTAAACTCGAATGAAGTTTTTTTTTTTTTTTTTTTTGGTAGAATAGAAGCAGACGGGGTAATGATAACTATCTACACTACTAATGGCTCAGAAATAATGGGCAGAATTTTTTACCTACATTTGTCAAGACTTACAAGCGCTTTTGCCCATTCTAGAATGAATCTGTTGTTTGTTTATGCCTCTCCTTTCTCCCCAGATATGTCATGCGAAAATTCTTGTCATTTGTATGGTCTCTTGAAGATTGTTTCTAATGCATTCAATGTCTAATCTGTGTAGATGATTGTCATTTACTATTTCAATGCAGCAGCAGCTGGTGATTTTACATTGAAACTTTCAATTGCATTCTTCTTCATCTTTCCCTTTCACCCCTATGAGCACCTACTGCCTCCAAAATAAAAGAAATACTAAATAGGCTAAACTGAAACCAAAATCAAAATAGGATGCCATGCTTGGTCTCCTTTGATCTCAATTATTTGTTTGCATTTTCCATGTAGCTTCTCTCTTTTTCTTGGCAAAGGAGAAACTAAAAAAATTGAAATAAGGAACCCAAAATTTTCAAATTCTGAGCATATCCAGTACCTTCAACCCTGACTCTTTACTTGTATCCCTTAACACACAGCATGACTGTTTACATGTTTACATACTGCTTCAGGCCAAATGGTAGACACATATAGGTATGTATTGCACAAGTTTATACCAGAAGGTAAAATATTCGGTAACAAATTTTTAGCTTACAACATTTGACTTGAACAAAAATCTAATTCAACAGCAAAACAAGGATGCTTATTACCATTAGGCTGTATTACCTTGCAGCATCCGCTTATTATTATTCCCTAAAGTCCTATTTACCCCCCCATTTCAGAATATGCTGTTTATATTTCAGAAGAAGAAATCATCAAAAGACAGGTTATCGATCGATCCAAAGTTTGTATTATGTCCTCCAACCCTCGAGTAATCAGTCATTGCCCCACCTAGAAAATCAAGCGGGGAGTCATTTGAGAAGGATGTAGTATCGTAGATGAACGACATTCCAGCAGTCTCATCCGCTGCAGCCGCAGGGAACAACATTTCTGGAAAGTAAGCCCCGGTTCCCATTGCATTTGCCTCAACTTCAGGTTGCTGTCCTGGCACAACATTAGTCATGGCTGCTTCACCAACAGTGCCTTGTGGTTCATGTCCATATAGGACGACATCTGCAGCTTTTCTTGCACGAATGACCTGTGTCATTTGACAGAAAGCTCAGCAGCAGGTTAAATGAAGACAAAGTTGTTGGAATGGACAAAACTGTGATTGATCATGTTAATAATAACTTACATAATTGCCATTCACACAATCCTGATACATTGCTAGAAAGTCTCCGTGCTTCAAGCCATGAGTTTTGACCAAACTTCCTGTAAGGGAAATTAAAAGGTTTATATTTTTGTGATGCTAATATGCCACCACATTTCGTGCACAAAATTACAAGATGCTCTTAAGGCTATACCTGTATTCTCAAGGATATACATTCTGCTGTTGTTATTAGGCCAAAATCTGCGAAATGATCTAATTCAGTATGATTCCAAGACATATCAATTTAGTGCAATGCACCACAATGATATCTGGAAGAAGAGCTTTTTCCACGAGGCAAAGCCTTGTCTGGTTTTTTACATTTCAGATTCTTGAGGAAAAAAAAAAAGGTGTGACTTTGCATCTTAAAACATTAATCTTCCGAAAGGTTTTTATATTCCCAACTGTCAAAAGGGCTCGATTGAGGTTTGCAGTACATGACACTAAATGTAGGTCCTAAACGTGACACTAATGTATCTGCAACACTAACCAGGAAAAATTGAGGCAGACATACATACCTGAACCTGAGTCTCCAGACATGCTTACCATCCATATCATCCATGGTTATGGACATCCCTTCTTTGTTTTCAAGTGCAGGAAGATATTCCTCTGCTGCTTTCTAAAATCATGCACATCAACCAATAAAAATCAGCATGTTAAGACGGTTGTGCAGTGCTGTGGAAATATACTTAACAGGGCCAAATGATGCATACTAGCCAGGAAAAAAAAGAAACTCCAAATGCCAACCTTGGGAAGCACAATTCGCCTGAGAGGACCAACATCGCTTCTTTGGAGCTCCTTCTCAAAGAGAAACTTAAGCCTTATGGGATCAATTTCCTAGTAAAGCAAATAGCATATAAAATCATCAGTTTCCTAGTACAAGGATAACACAAGTTATTTTGCAAAGGAAAAGGAAATTTTGTTAAAAATTCCCACAGATACCAAACGTTTAATAGCATGAGGTGATATCAATAATAATAGGAGGCGCACACGCACGGTGATACATCCTTAATCGGAATGTCGGTAATGTTAAAGAAGTATAGTCAAAAAGCAGAAAGTATCTGCCGCAAAAGAAAAAAGTGTAGGCGTTACCTTTGCACCACTTTAAGTGAATTGAAGACATCATTAAATATTAGAATATGTGAAGCGCCGCATTGACGAGGCTATTGTTGGCCATCATTATCATGACAATGTGACGCCATCACATACAATACACGACACAAATCAACTCATACAAAAGGCGGCAGTACCTATAAAAGAATTTGCGACGTGAGACAATGACGAGCCTATTGCCCCCCATCATCTTCATTCGTCACAACAATGTGACACTATCACATACAATACCCGATGACAAAGCGACTCATATAGAAGGTGGCTGTCCTACAAAAGATTGTCTGATTTGTAATTTTTTTGGGTTGGGAGGTGGGGGGGGGGTGTAATCCTGACTGATTACAATAGGGAAGATATGTGGTCTTAATATGGCTGAAATACTATTAACCGCCGCTAACATGTCCTAATACGTCATAGAAAGTCATCAAAATGTCGCAACAACCAGTAGCTCGATGGCATTTACTTAAAAGTAATCTGAGGATTGGCAGACTACGAATGCCGCTAAAAAATATCTGATCAAAAGCTTTAAGAAGGAGCAAAAGAGGGGAACGAATGGCAATAAGAGTGAAAGATACAAGTATCAGAATCTTATTGTTACGAGTTGGTTTTCCCTGAAAATAGTGATTGCGATACACTTTGTACATCCTGAACTATATAATGAAGCAATGAGGGAAGAATACAGAAGTTATCTGCCACCATGCAAATGGGAGAGAGGGAATCCATGTTTGATTTCTTCTCATTAGGAGTCACAGTTTGTAATCATCAAAGATGTAAACTGGAGAATGAATGAGCTGTGAATTGTTGATAATATCAAACACACTGTCAGTGCAGTAAACAAGACACATCTCGTGTGATGTCCCTTTATGACTGAGAAGATACGCCCGCTATAACAATTGGAAAAATGGAACTCCAGAAACGGTGTAAAAAGTAAAAAATAAAAAGACCATTCAAAAAAAAAAAGAAAAAAAAAAAGATGCAGAATAGTTAAACAACATACACAAAAGAAACACGGTGAACAAGAAAGGGGATTCCATGTAAATGACACAAGTGGAAATGGAAAAGGGGTGCAACTAGGTGGTGCAAATTTCCCGGCACATCGGATGAACCTGCATTATGGGAAGTGAGCTTGATGTTGATTTAAGTAGGTTAGGGAGGGTGATGTATGGAGTGTGATTAGCGACATGATTTTTAGAAGATGACACTGACTTCTTCTTGTTCTATTTTTGATGGGGGAAAATCATGTAAACAGAAACAGTCAGAGGAATTTGATGAATGAAATGGTGTTGTGACAAGACAAATGTTGGGAGGGATGGATTCTGAGATGGGAGTTCCTGGTGGTCATCAAACCAAAGTTCAAAAAGTACAAAATTGGACAAACCTTCCTCTTTTTTTTTTTTTTTTTTTTTTTGAAATGGGTACAACGTGTAGTTTGATTTTTGATGCACTACTACTACTACTACGTAGATACATAGTCTAGCTCCCTCCATCTTCAAAAAAGAAAAAGAGAAAAGGGTAGACTCGAAATCCCACAGCTCGGCCCACAAACCACTACAACCCAAAATTGTTCTTTTGAGTAAACCAAAGCCCACCACACTGCAGAAACAAACACTTCACAAAAAGGAAAACCCAACCAAATCATGTTTAGACAAACCGCAAGCCGACAAATATTATTTGGCACTGTAGAATTCAATGTATTTCATTTATAGTCCAATTCAAGCAACTAAAATTAAACTGATTACTTAGTTGAATTTTATTCCTCCACGCTATAACGTTAATTCCCAAAAAAAAAAAAAAATCTTATAAAAAATGCTTCTTAAAACATTAAAATATTGGCATAAGTGAAGCGGTTTAATTTTTTCCCTGAATAATTTTAGGTTAGAATATATAAATTGGTGGGGATTCCAAAAAACCACAAAAATCAAAATCCAATTTAAGGAGTTTGGAATGAATATGCAACTTTTTTTTTGGGGGATGGATCGGAAAACCATTGATACTTGGGAAATCAAACACACACACACACACACAAAAGAAGGGAAAACATTAATTAGTACCGTATGATATAATAGGGGAAAAGGAAAACAAATAAAACAAAAGTAGTAAACCATCAAAGAGTGATAACTATTAGTACTAAATTAATTACAAGTTTAAAAAAGAGGAATTCAATTTTGACATCCGTAGTTTTTTTTAAAAAAATTTCTCCTTAAAGAACAACCGAAAAAAAAAAGAAAAGAAAAGAAAAGAAAAGAAAGAGGGGGGAGGGGAACTCACACGTGGGGGGGGAAGGGGGGGAGAGTCCAGGGTGGAGAAGGGCAATCGGAGAGTGGTCATCGACGCCCTCTTGCTCCTGCTGTACCTCTTCCTCCTCATCATCATCCCATTCCTCCATAGCCCACCATCCGCCGCCGCCGCCGCCGGAGCCACATTGTTCTCAGCCGGAGCCGCCAAGGAGGGTTCACCGGCCTGGTGGACATAGTTAGCGTTGAGGAGCAGTGGGTTATTATTTGCGAGAGTGTTGTGGGTTGCAACGAAGCAGCTATCCACCGCCATCACATCCTTGTTGACTTGCTGCTTGTCTCCAGTTGCCGCACCATACCCATAGCCTCCGCCTTCCATTTTTTTTTTTTTGTGTGTATATAAATAAATGAACTCTTTTTTGTTTCTTCTTTTTTTTGAAGGTGCAGGTGATGAATGATGGCAGGTGTAATGTTTGTAAAGGCAAATTAATGAATGAATGAATGAAGGATGGGATGTAGCTTCGGAGGTGTAGTAGCTAGTATTATCAAGTGATCGGTGGAAGAAGAAGAAGAAGGCCGGGGGGAAGATTAATGGGAGGTGGTGTAAGGTGGTCAAATTGGGAATGGTGCGCGGTGGGGGATTAGGAGCTTTGTAAAATGTGACGCTGGGGGGTTGGCTTTTCTTTTCTTTCTTAGTATTTTTTTTTTTCCCCCAATTCCTTGCTTCTCTTTTTCAGCAGCAGCTTTTTTTGTTCCAAAGTTTGCTAAATCCTACTACTACCACCAGTAGTAAGCTTGGTGTGAAATTTATTGGTTGGTTAATTTTGTTCTTGGATTTCTGGGGTTCTTTGTTTTTTGTTGCACAAACAGTAGCAGCTAGCGGCAAACTGAGAGTTGTGTGTGTGTGTGTGTGCGCGCGCGAGGGGAACTAAGAGAGGGTGGTGGCTAGCAGAGTAAATGGCGTGGTGCAAGGGAGTTGGGGAGATTGCCAATTATTATTATTTATGACACACTCACACACATACACACACAGGAGAAGAAGAAGAAGTAAAAAAAAAACAAAAAACAAAAAAAAGGCAAAACTAAGCGGCAAAATGGAGGTGGATGATGCAATGGGTTGGTTATGGGATGAGTGTGTGTAGCAGTAGATGGTGGTGAATTTTTTTTTTGTTGTTATTCGCTCGGGCACAAACACAATGGAGTTTGGACTGTCTCGGATATGGAGAGAACCAACAATCAAACCCATATGAAATGTGACATAATTTAATTTGTTTCTTCATTCATCCAAAATTAAAAAGTGGCTTAATTACTCCTTATTAATTGTGTTGATGACATGGACTACTACTTAATTAGTACGTACTGATCATCCATCATCCCAAGCTTTACTAGTACTACTCCCTCCCAATTTCGTTTAATGAATGCGAGTGACGACTCCTTAAATTTATATTGAATGCCTATAGTGTGTGTGATTTATGAACCCAATTTGATGATGATCCCAAATGAATCCATCTTAATTAATCTGGTGTGTTGAATTAATTTTACCTCACTGCAATCTTTGGTGCAATATAGTATTAATTCATGAATGATCATTGAAGGTTTTTTTTTAAAAAATTAATAGAGCTCGATCGAGTGGATTCATGGCGTGCGACGGAAATGGTAGAGAATTAATTAATTAGAAAGCCATGGAAGGCAAAATTGGAGTAAAGCAATAAGACATAAGTAGAAGAAGAAGAAGAAGAGGTGGTGGTGGGCAGATGGAGAGTGAAGAGGAAAGCCAGGTGTTGAAATGTTTCTGCCACCTTTTCTTTGTAGTAATTCTTTTTCTAATTGAATTTTGAGTTTTGCTTACCTTTACCACCCAACCCATACATGGATCATCTCCCATGCAAATGCAACCTCTTTCGGTTCCCCTCCCATCATCTTCTCCTTTATTTCTCTCTTAGCCCCCCCTTCCCCAGCGTTGGAGTTTCCGTCAACACACACACACACACACGCTCACACACACACACTCTCACGCACTCACACACACAGTCTTTCCATACATCCATCATACGCATACATCACTCATCATCACCTGCATTCAACTTCCATCCACAAATACATACATATATGCATACATTGCGCCATTTTTATATTAACATAATTAATATTCCAATCAGGCTTTTCCATTTATAAACCTTCACTTAATGATATTAGTTCCATTCCACCCGAATCATACTCAGATATTAATTGAAGGGTGGTATATACTATTCATTATCTTTTCACTTCGGACGTCCCACATAATTATTATCGCAATAAAATACTCGTGCACCATTTTGTATGTAACGCATTTTATAGTAACCGTTAAAAATTTACACGTGTCTTTTTACATATTATCATAATTTGACTCCTACTTTAACTTATATCCGAAAGGACTATAATATATCTTGAGGTTAAAAAACAAGACACGCGTCAAAAATAATAGTAAAGATTCACATCCTAATGTAATGTAATAAATATTCGTGTACGAAGACATAATTATTCATAGTGAGAAATGGGAAAACAAGAAATCACGCAAAATTGGAGAAAAAAAAATTTAATTGACAATAGATTACCTGATAGAAGAATTGCAACGAGATGAACATACACACAACATTGGAAATTCCTTACGAAGAATGAATTATTGATTAATGTTCATATATTTAATTCAAACCAAAAAGAAAAAAAAAAAAAAGGAAGAAGAGGAAGAAGAAAGGGGATTTAGCCTTAGGTACGTACGAAGTGATAGAAAGCGGCAATGATACATCATGCATGGAGGGGGGTATAGTAGTCTATGATGCAAGTAAGTACGTACGTACGTACCTATGTACGGCTTCGATGCGTAATAATAATAATATTATTATAATATTACACCACGTGATCTAGCGGTCGCAGATTACAAGCTGTCACCTGACCTGATGCAGGATTTAGCGTATTAATTATTCCCCACCCATTCTTTACATTTTGATCCCCCAATTTCCTCCCATCTTCACTTTTAACCCTTTTCCAATTTGTTTATACTTGTTTCAATTTTTGGGTATACATATGTATAATTTTCCCCCAAAAAAAGATTTCATTTTTCCCTCTCTGGATCTTCTTCTCTATTCATCGAAATTGTTCTTCCTATAATTCTTTTTTATTCTCCTCTTCTTCTTTTTTTAATTATTTTTTTAGAAAACGCCCAAGACTTAGGATTTACAAAACATCCCTATAGGCTATAGATATGGAACGATGGACATGTCTTTTTATCATTAGGAATTTAATTGCCGGCTCATGTGAATGTGACATTCTTCTTGTTGACAAGTATGCATAGTGTATTATAGTATACATAAATGGGCCTAAAACTCGCAGGCAAGCCCAAACTATTAGGATTCAGATTAGTTGTTTACAGGGTGGGCCTACAGCATAATGAATTTTGCTTATACATATGCAAACAGTTCCCTTTTTCTTCTGGTCCCATTTGGCTAGGCAACACAGAAAATAACAGTAGAGTAGTACCGTACATTGTTTAGAGAGAGGGAGGACTCCAGAAATATCCAGTCCAATTTGCTGGTTGTGTAAAAAACTTGATCCAATTGAAAACATAATACATGGTTACAAAAAAAAAATAGGCCACCTTGGTATTCACCATTATGACTTATTCATAAAAATTATACGTAATGTTCATACAAATTGAGAAACTCTTATTAAATTAATTTTGTGAACTATAAATGTTCATACTCTTTTTATGATATATTTACGGTAACAATCATACTTTTACTAAAAATATGTATCTAAATTTCACAATTTTTATTAATAATTAGATGATTAATCTCAAATAAAAAGTTCAAACACCATATTCATATTCATGATAATGTTAACGAGTATTACGGGTACAAAAACTAAAAAATATTAGTAAATTATTTAAGAATTCATATTTTTAAAAAATAAAAAATAAAAAATTAGATGATCCCAATAAGAATAGAACCCTCCATCTCCTAATTATAACCATCTTCCCTACTCACCTCACCTAACCCTCCCATCCATTTAAGAACTCATATATTCATATTAATTTTACGAAAAATTTATAAATTAAAATAATATTGTTTATGGCATATATATAAATATATCAAAATTTAATAATTGTGTTTAATTGCTAGAAATTAGTATTTAAAAATTTTGTGGTATTCGAAATGTGTACAGACTAGAGAGAATGGAGCAATTTGAAATAATGTTTTAATTAATTTTGATTACATAGATGGTATTGATTGGATAAAGTGTAGTAGAAATAGTAGAAAGTGTAGTAGAAATGGTATTGATTGTATTATAAGTTGCCCCTTCACACAGCCACCAGTGACCGAGTGCTGACCAGAGCCAAAAGCCCAAACTCCAAATATAATATAAGTAAAGGAAAACAAACGGCTTTTCTGGTGGTGGTGATTAGGAATTTGGGCGAGGGATTCTTTGCCACACTCCTCCTCCTCCTCCTTTCTTCTTCCTCATCAATTCATCATCATCAGGAGGAGCAACAGTACAAAGTTAAAACAGTGGTGTGAAGTCTGTGATGATGATGCTGATGAGTTAAATGAGTGTCCAATTTGCCATCTTCTTCTAATCCTTCTTTTTTTTTTTTTTTTTTTTTTTTAACTTTTTACTCCAAAATCACTATCTCTCTCTTGTACTGGATAATAGAGAGTGCTACTTACTTACATTGGGTCTGCTGGGCATATACAGTACTACTAAAACAGTATTCATTCATAATTACCAAAACTATCTCTACTCCCTACTTCTTGTACTGCCACCTCCTCACCCCCCCCTTTTCTCCAAAGCTCTCTCTCTCTCTCCCTCAGTCATCATCATCAGATTCATCCCCTTTCCTTTACTTTCTCTAACATCATCACCCATTCTATCCACACCCAAAAGTCAAATTTACAACCTCTCATTCTCATCAAATTCTTACTTACTTTGGTTTTTCTTCTTTTTCTGCTTCAGATCTGTATCATCCTCATTCTTCACCTTCCTAGATCTGATCTGTCTTCTTCATCCCCCATTTCCCCAGGATTCTTTGAGCTTCAGATCTGGTTTTGTTTATCAGTCTGCCGCCTGTGTTTTGGCTCTGTCTGTATTTTGAGTTAAAAAGGGTCGATCTCGCCGGATCAGCCCTTGACCTGGGCTGCGTCCTCTTTGTGCGTTGCTCCACTCCTCGGCCCACTCCAAAGTTCCAGTCTTTATTCTTCCTCTCTGAATAAACAAGTTTCAATCTCCCTCATTTCACCATCGCCCATCGTTTCCTATCGGATCTCCTTTTAAACATGTGTTTGTTTCATGCGGAGGGGATGATCAATTACTTCCCCGAGGAAGTCCTAGAGCATGTTTTTCACTTTCTATCGTCCCACCGTGACCGGAACTCCGTATCCTTGGTCTGCAAGTCCTGGTACCGGGTCGAGAGATTTAGCCGGGAAAGGGTGTTTATCGGAAACTGCTACGCCATTAGCCCTGAAAGGCTACTCTCCAGGTTTCCGAGGTTAAAGTCGTTGACTTTGAAAGGTAAGCCCCATTTCGCCGACTTTAATCTCATCCCATATGACTGGGGTGCTTACCTCCACCCTTGGGTTCAATCCATGGTGGATGCCCATCTCAATCTTGAGGAGCTTAGGTTGAAGAGAATGGTGGTTTCGGATGACAGCCTTGAGCTTCTCTCTCGTTCTTTCCCTAATTTCAAATCATTGGTTTTGGTTAGCTGTGAAGGGTTCACCACTGATGGTCTTGCTGCCATTGCTTCTAATTGCAGGTTCTTTATCTCATTCCCTTTAACCGCCCCCCATTTTGCCATTTTGCTTATGGCTTATAACCTTTTATACCTTTTCATTTAATACACACTCACAAGATGGGAAGCAAGCTACAGATGCCACTATTATTATTCTGTATTGTGATGGATGGGCAATTCCCCAACTGACCAATTTACACCCCTACTTATTTCAATCTTGTTTTTATAAATACTAGCTACAACTAAACTGCCTCTTCTCAGTATGTTGAGCTTATTATTTCAATTATGTATGCAGTCACCATTTTTTTATGAGTCATGCTGGGTAAGTGAAGAATACGTAAACCCTAGATGTTTGTTGCATTGGCCCACGTCCTCTACTGTACCGAAATCAGACCTGTTATTCAGATTTGGTTATAATCTTTTTGTAAATTCACTGACAACAGCATTTGTGAACAAATTTGTTAGCATGATCCTAGCTTAGTGGTTCTACTATATCACTCGATATGGAGTCTTATTTGTAGATTACATCTTTCCGTGTTTGATTGTGGTTGCTGTAGCAATATGTGATCCTGATATGACCTAGGTGTAAATTATACCAGCTGTTGGCCTGCATCCTTTATTCACATTTGGTTATAATATCCATGCCAAATCACAAATATTTTGCCGTCTACCTCGCTTAGTTGTATCTATATGGTATTTGTGCTCATACTATGTACTGGAAATGTGGTCACCTTGGTTGCTGGGAACATGAAAGAGAATTGTCAATTTCTCATTTTGTTGGATTTACTTATATATATTTTTTTGGTGTGGAATATAGGTACCTAAGGGAGCTGGACTTGCAAGAGAATGAGGTTGAGGAACGGAAAAGGCAGTGGCTAAGCTGCTTCCCAGATAGCTGCACGTCCCTTGTTTCGTTGAACTTTGCATGCCTCAAGGGAGAAGTTAGTGTAGCTGCTCTCGAGAGGCTCGTGGCGAGATGCCAGAATCTCAGAAGTCTTAGGTTGAACCATACTGTGCCACTTGAAGCCCTTCAAAAAATCCTTGTGAATGCGCCTCATTTGGTGGACTTGGGGACAGGATCCTTTGTCCAAGATGTCGATTCAGAAATCTACATGAAGTTGAGTAATACCCTTCAGAAAACTACATCTATTAGGAGCTTGTCAGGATTCCTTGAAGTTGATTCCCGATGCATGCGTGTGATCTATCCAGTGTGTTCCAATTTGACCTCGTTGAACTTGAGCTATGCGCCAGGAATTCACAGTGCGGAACTTGTGAATGTAATTCGGCATTGCAAGAAAGTTGAACGACTATGGGTTCGATCTCTTCTTTCAACTTTATGCTTGCAGTTCCATCTTCGTTGTCTTACCCTTTCCATGGTTAAAAGTGGCTTATAACAAATTAAATGATTATCGTGCAGATTCTTGACACCATTGGTGATGAAGGGCTCTCTGTTGTGGCTTCCACTTGTAAAGAATTGCAGGAGTTGAGGGTTTTTCCATCTGATCTCCATGGAATTGGTTACTACAAGCCTGTAACGGAAGCAGGCTTGGTTGCCGTATCTTCTGGCTGCCCCAAGTTGAATTCAATACTCTACTTCTGCCAGCAGATGACTAACGCAGCACTGATAACCGTAGCAAAAAACTGTCCGAATTTTGTTAGATTCAGACTCTGCACTATTAACCCTGTCGTGCCAGATGCTGTCACTCAGCTGCCACTCGATGAGGGGTTTGGGGCGATTGTGCAATCTTGCAAGGGTCTTAAGCGGTTGTCAGTTTCTGGCCTTTTAACTGACCAGGTGTTTCTTTACATAGGAATGTATGCCGAGCAGCTAGAAATGCTCTCCATAGCATTTGCCGGAGAGAGCGACAAGGGAATGCTCTACGTTCTGAATGGGTGCAAGAAACTTAAAAAGCTGGAAATCAGGGACAGCCCTTTTGGCAACATGGCACTTCTAGCGGACGTGGGAAAGTATGAAACAATGCGATCCCTTTGGATGTCGTCCTGCGAAGTGACCTTGGGAGCATGCAAGACCTTAGCAAGGAAAATGCCAAGGATTAATGTGGAAATCATCAATGAAGGAGGCGACCAAGACGACACTTTGAGCCCTGATGACGACACGCACAAAGTGGAGAAGATGTACTTGTATCGATCATTGGTTGGGCCAAGGAAAGATGCGCCAGATTTTGTGTGGACTTTGTGACCAGAACAACTGGAAGAAATCCATTTCAAATGCATGATTACCATTGCTTGCTTGTTATCCCCATTTGTGTAGCTATCCCTTTACCGAATGTTTGTGGGTTATCTTCATTCTTGAGTGGACTGATTAGACTTTGCTCATGTTATAATTTTTGAAATTTAATCTTTGTGGGTTTATTATCTAAAGACATTTTTATGTTTATTTTGGATTTTATGGTGGTTGCGATACATTGGTGGCACAGACTGATGGAATACTCAATAAGAAGATTAGTTAGAATCAGATACTTTTAAGTTGTCTGGTGAATTAAGGCCATGCTAATGTTAAGATAGGACACGCTACACAACCTTTGGAGGTGAATGTTTATATGGACTAAGATGAACAGGAAGTGATCGGATGTGGACGGTTTGATTATCTAAAACATTCTTCCAACAGCACATATTGTGAGTGATACCAGACCTTTTCTTTCTTTCTGATTCTGAAGACTTTCATTCCAGAGTCCAGACCACTTATAATTTTTTTTCTGAGTAAAGAAAGTTCATGGCAGAACTACAAATGGGATGTGATGATAAAGTGGTGGTAACCATTTGCAAAAAAATGTGAAGTTAAATAGTTGATTTCCATTTATCTAAAATTAGTTGCGAGCAAGAACAAAATTTGCGTACGGGGTGGAAAGTATGGGGAATCAGCACATCCAACACATCAGCAGCTACAAAAGTTTACCGACTTATCTTTCAGCCAGCAGTTTATTTTATTAACCACGCCTATGCACGATGAATGATACAAGCAATGTATAGAGAGTGGAAAAAAGAAGAAAGGAGAGAAGCATGGTGATAAGAAAGTAATCATAATAATACTTCATATTTCACAAATGAAATAAATAAAGGGGTTTACCTTCACGCAGATGAACCCTTTGGGAAAAGAAGCAGAATACAATCTTCTTTACAATAAAGGTAACAGTTTCTAACAATTCAACAAATAATATTGATGAATTGGCTTTACATCCACAAAGATACATTATCCCGTCGCGATATAAAATACCTCCAGTTTAATTAATTTTTTTTCCCGATCACAAGTCAAATGCATGACAATGGGAAGAAAGAAGCTCAGAAGCAGCATTCCTCCAAAAGACAACAGCAACAAAGCGCAGCCAAACTGTAATCATGTCCAACAAGGGGAATACCAAAATAATCATCATACAGTTAATGCATGAGATAAGATATGGTTTGATACAGGAAATCAAGGGTAAAAAATTTCAGCAAATAACTCGAAAAGGCAAAGAGAGCCATGAAAGAGAGTAAAGCATTCATTGCCAAGAAACCTAAGGTTTGATGCTCAGGCATGGAAACAGCCTCTTTCTCATTCTAAAGTACCTCGATTAAATCCGAACATGCAAACTGAAAAAAACACTAGATGGCTGAGTGTAAACTGAACAGATTGAACATTGTCATTTGCAACTTTTAATAATTTATTAGATAGGCAATTAAACCGTCACTACCTAAATGACAGGACAGAAGAAGATTCAAAGTCATTCTGTGAAAGGAAATTCTCAAGTAGAACTTCATCATCAAAAATCAAATCTAATATGTATTCCGATCAAAATGGAACATAGCAAATTCAAAAGAAAAAGAAGAAGAAGAAGAAGAAGAAATGCTCACCAGCCGCGGAGGAAAGAGAAACAGCCAGAAGAGTCATGATCGCAGTGGTGATGATCGTGATGGTAGACATAGGAAGGAGGCGGCGGGGGTTGAAATAAGCTTGGTAAGCTCCAGGTTGGGGGTGAGGAGGAGGCGGGGGAGGATAAGGATAACCGTCATAAGGTGGGGGTGGGGGATAAGCTTCGTAGGGTGCGGGCGGAGGCGGAGGCGGTGCTGATGGGTATCCCGGCGGGGGAGGAGCATAGGGTGTCCCTACGATCGGAACTAATCAGAGTAAATTGAGACGCGAATTCAAACACACACAAAAAGAAACAGGCATCGAAAGTGATCCCAAAGATATATAAATATGAAACCAAGTAAAAAAGAAAAAGAGGAACAAAAACCCTAATGAATCGACGACATCAATAGACAATAGCAGGGGAGGGAGAGCAAGGAGGATAAGAATGATGAAGAAGCAGAGAGTTACCTGGAGGTGGGTAGGATTGGTAACTCATTGTTCCTCAAAAAAATGGCTGGATTTCCGTCTCACATAGGCGATCTCCGGCCAGACTAGGAGAAGAATACGGCGAGTGAAGCCAGATCAAAACGGCAGAGCAGAGACAACACACAAAGCGGGGAGACCAAAGAAGTCTAAATACTACTATTACTGGCTCCATTTCTCTCAATTCAATAAAGAACTTTTAAAATTCAATTTTACTTAGCATTAGTTAATTTTATCATTGAATCCTCTAATATTATATCACCATCTTAGAACATTTATAATTGGATCCAACCCTCAATATCACATATTAATTAATACATTAATAATAACGAAAAAAAATATTAGATAAATCACTAAAAAGCTAACCAATTAAACTATATTATTATTCTCACCAAATTCCCTTCGTCTTCTTCTTCTTAAATCTTAGTTAATCAAATAAAGTTTTAATGCTATTTTTTCCCTACCTCTCCGTTGCAAAACTTCAGCTAAAAGCTTCCCCCTCTTCACATTTATAGGGAGATAAAAGTTCAATCAAATTAGAATTATGTAATAGGAGTATTATGCTTTTCTTTTTCCTTTTTTTTTTTTTTTGTTGTTGAAAATATTAGGAACTTTCCTTGGGCAAAACGTGACGTGTCTGGCGGCATCCAATAAATTGTGGAATAATAAGTTAGGGGTACAAACCAGAAACACTTTAAGCATCCAAGAAAATAAGAAGACAATGACAAAGCCCAGAAAGTCAGAAACAAAGGAATGCACAAGCTCAGAACTGCATAGTTCTTGCGGTTTAGTCTGTTCCAACTTTTCTGGTTATTCCCTTCTTCTTCCCATCATTTGAGAGAGATCTGAAATGAGTTCAAGCGCTACGGACTGAGCCACAGCTTTAAACCACTCCGCACTCACACTTAATTATCAACCCCCCTACAATACTCCGCCATTACAAACCATGGGTTATACTTCTCTTTCCCTCCCGGATTGGGGCCTAACTACCCTGCTTTAAGTTTACCACACGTTATTGCCTCCCATTTTACCACAAACATCAGTATTTTTAAAAAATTCAAATCAAACTCAAAATCGAATCACAAAACTGTTCTAAAAACGTTAAAAGTAAAATAATAAATCAAGTTTACAACTCAACCCATTGATGCCGAAATGAGTTTTTTTAACTATCTTGGCTATGTCAAAACTGAAACTAGGTTTGAGCCAGCAACAGTCCTACAGAAACACGATGCCCAGAGGTTTGAGTGAGTGGAAATGCTACATTTTCCTCCGAGATTCAGCGCTTCTTCTTGCTTGCTTTCGTAACGTTGGATTTGGATGGGGTTGCAACCAAGTACACAAACAAGGTCACGATTGAGATAACAGAGACTAAGGATCCATATTTTGCCAACAACCTCTGCAATTAGTACACGAGATCTAGTTAGCAAACACAGTCAAAATGTCTCAAGGATGCATATCCTAGCAGCACTTAACCAAGCTTCATCTATATTCTACTACAACCCAAATTAATTGATCTAAAACCACCACATTGTTAGCAACCAGAGCACCATACTGATATCAATAACCACAGAAATCTAGGATTTGCCACTTTTAAATCCAACTAACAATAAAAGAATTCGTACCTTGACCTGTACAATATCAAGTGCCACAGCAATCAGGAAATTCCATGCAGAGAATCCAAGTAAGAGTCAGTTAGATTTTTTATCTTATTTTTTAAAAAGAAGAAACAAGTACATATTTCATAACTAAAGGTTTTTTTCACGACTTACCCACTCAAACTTCTTCTCTGGAGGCCTATCAGCAAGTAAGTCGAGGGGCATGATAGGAGTTGAGTATGCCTCCTGCAACGGAAATAAATAAATTAGAGGATACCCTTGCCGAAGGAGGGGGAAGAGAGTGCAGAATGATAGTTGTGATAAAAGACTTCGAGTATCAGACCTGCGGAGTTGCCTTGGTAGGTATACGGTAAGTGATCAGAGCTGGTGCCCCATAAAACAGGGTCTTTGTTTTGGCTTCCAATTCAAAGGAATGCGACAGAACACCCCCACTGCAGGCACACAAGAGAAATAAACAATTAATAAGCAAAAAAAAAGTCTTAATAAAAAACTTATCCTGAGCACAAGATGAAAACTCACGCGTCAAGCCTTTCCCATGACATCGAGGTATTGCCGCTGACAACATCAAAGGTATCTGGAGACCAGCTATCGTCATTAAGAGAAATATCATATGCAGTCCTGCAAGAGATAGATTACCGTTACAATGGGCTGATAGAAAAAACAAACAACGGGGATAAATTAACCAGGCCAAGCAGGGGAAAAGGAAAAATATTGTGTCACTTCTGATTACCACAAAATAATTGGAAGAAGTAACATGCAGCTTTTGAAAAGTTGCAGGTGTAATCATCAATCCAAACGTATACATAACTTCCTAAATAGTGAAAGAATTATATTAAAAAAAACATTAAAAAAAATCCACATCTGGGTGTTGGTTAAAGGTTCTTAACCCTCAAACTTCCTACAACAATGCTTCATTGTACATATCATCAACACACGAATGATGAGCTAGTTTAACTAGCTACTCCAAATGGATGGGTAGATTTGGCCCCTACGAGTCTTTATATGTTCAAGAAAAGATATCTCACGTATCACACTTTCACACCAACTGTGAGAATACCAAGGAAAGTCCTATAACATCACAATAGTAGGAAACAAACCAGATGTGAACACAAGCATCAAGGTGTTTCTTCATTACCAGCAGCATAGAAAAAGTCTGCCTTGACCAATAAACTACCAGATTTCATTCCTAGTAACAGTAAAGGCAGCTTTGGGAACTAAAAATTTCTGGTTGTTTAAAAGGCTATAAACTGGTTAATGTGATCACCAGAGCAAAAATAGCTTTCATATCTAAATTTGGTATCCTGAACAAAATTACCTTTAACATCTACAAGGTAATTATGATTGCACACGGATAAGCCAAAGACTAAAAACTAATTATCCTGTGATAAGTGATAACACTAGCCCAAAAAGTTAGGAGCAATCAAATCGGCAAGATGCAATAAAAACGGATTGTCACATCTATACTATCTGCTTTTTGTAGAATTTCAACCCAAAATTTACATAAATCACAAAATCTTGGCATACAACAAGAAAGCATTGTGAACATATAGATCATATTACGCCATCATGTTCTGTCATAAACCACAACTGCGTCAATGACAGAAATCACAACATCAACGATTCTGGAGAAAAATGGCAAACACCTTGGTTGGGTAGTTAAATTTATTTCATTAATTAAAAGACTTTAATTAAAATCCTGAGTTAGAGCAGCAATAATTACTAATAGAACTACTTCAATAAGTAAACGCATCTTCAAAGTAATAATAATTTTTGTAAGGGGAAAAAAAGGGAAAAAGAAGTCAACAAGGAAACCATTAAAAGTATATTAATAACAATTTCATTACTCAGAATCCGAATATTCAATTTGAGCCGAGCAGATCGTGTAAAGTGCAGACCATCGGAGATCTGAGTTGAAATTAAAGAAAAAAATTATGGGAAAAGAAGGAAACTTACGCAGTTCCTTGGTTGTAGATGTCGATGGAGACAGAAACGCGCTCGGAGCCGGACTTTAGCCTTGTGAGGATGGGCTTCTTGTGAGCTACGAGGAATGGTCCGTCAGAAGCGGAGGCCGCCGTCGATGCTACCAGAATCAGCACCGCCGCTAGGCAGATCAGATAAAAGTTCGCCATGTCCGGTCTAATTCAGCTGCTAATGGTATCGGTTCACCGGCTGGCCGGGAGGGTCGTTCAGATTTGTTCTTTGGAATTTACCGATTGACAGAAAACACTCTGGTAGTTGTCAGCCTTCGCTTTGATTTTTAGCAGTACCACAGCCAGTGCTTGGACCGGGCTTCTGGGCCCAATTTTCGAATACTCTTTACAATGCAAGCTCTGGGCTCAATTGTCTTTCATTAGTAGTATCATTTTGGAGGTTCATCATTAATTAATGTGTTTATACGAACAGGCTTTTTTTATTAAAAAAAAAAAAACGCCGGGAACCCGTCATATATGAATAAAAACTTATGTCCGCTGAGTGCCCAAGTATTGTTAAACCAGTCCAATAGTTTTGCTTGACTTAATCCTAGATTTTTTTTTTGACAACCTTAATCCTAGATTTAGAAGTTTTAGTCCTTTTTCTTTGGGTACTTTTGTTCAAATTCTTGGCACTCTGATGCATTTCAAGTAACACATATTTGTTTTTTTAGATTTTGTCTTTAAATATAACTTAACATAACCCTTAGAGTACATAAAGTGAATTTTTTAGAAAAAATTATTTTTAAATGTAGTAGAGTTGTAGTAAGAAATACTGGTTTTATTAGTGGAAATCCATTAATAATGAATGGGCGGATGAATTATGGATGTCACACGGGTTCTCCGACCAAAAAAATTTCCAAAAAAAGATGTGGACAAAAATAATTTTTTTTTCTATTTTTAGTGGACAAAATTAGTTGTCTCGGATTTGCCAACTCTGTATTTATCCATTTTGTAGTAATCCGAATCTACCCAATAGAATTGATTCATCACATAGTACAAAATGAATAGATTCGAATTTGGCAAATCCGAGACAACTAGATTTGTCCACACTATTCCAGGACATATATTTTTGTCCAGATCCTTCCATTGAAATTATTTGGGTAAAAAACTCATTTATGCCTATAGAGAGAGGGAGAACTATGCCTTTGCATTATTTTCTGCTGAGAAAGCAATAGATATGTACAGCCCACTTTCATCATAATTCATTACATTTTGATCAGCTGATAATGTCGAAGTACTTGGGATCTCCTGGGAAATGGTATTCAACCTTCAACTGCAGACACAAAACCAAACATAAAATGAATCAGTAGGCATACATAAATGTTCATATATCAGCCAAGCACACTTCCAATGATAGAGTCAGCTCAAAAGGCCTGGGCAAGTATGGTTTTGTCATTCTACTTTCACTACGTTTTACAACTTTTATTTGAAAAGTTTCATCTTTAAAGCGTGAAAACACTGAACAGATTGCAACCTGTATTGAACCTTATTACTACTAGGTGTTTTACAACACCAAGAGCTTATAAACCCATCACCATTTTGACTTAAGTATGACCGACATGATCAAACACCACAAATGGAGAATCGCCATTTAGCATAACAATCTAAGCAGCAAATCAGGTTAAAAAGAAAAACTAGCTCACATGCAAACTTAAAGATTTCAATGCTTCTGGAAATTCGGATAGCTATCATGTTGGTATATTTCAAAATACTCCTGGCAACAAAGTACAAGCATATTCCAATGTCTCTAAGGGAGAACCAACATACCTTGCCCTCATCAGCATCTAAATGTCTCTGAGGGAAAACCACCTTCATATCATTGTATAGATAGAATCGCCTTCCATCTTTGTTCTGTTTCATGCTACTTTGTGCCATGGGTGATAGAGAATCCAGTGGGCGAATGTGAGCAGATTTTGTACTTTTTTTGGGCGGTGGACACAGAAAATGAAGGTGAAGTGCATAACGCAGAGAACCAGCACAGGTAGTATTCCCGTTCACTTTTGAACAAGGATGTTGTTGAGCTTTTCCATCAATCTCGCTGCATTTCTTATTACAACTCTGACATGTAACTCCCTTTCTGTCAGTAGCAGCATCAAGGTCACTCATTTGTCCTCCTGAACTCCCCTTTCCCTCCAGTGTCATGTCTGCGTATTCCGGTCTCTCCTTTTGACAGGCGGTATTTGACCCCGCAGAGGCCAAGGTCATTTTCTGACGCAAGAAAGTCTGATTGACCCAAGTGGACTTCAGCAATTAACAAAAAAAAAAGAAATTGTAGGGGGGGTGGGGGGGGGGGAATATTTACACTCGGCACAATAAGGAGAAAAGATTGAAGTTTTTTGGACAGAATACGTATAACACTCGTGTGTAAATTTGTCTTAACGGCTATTCTCTAGGAATGAAAACGGAGATTCCCATTTCAATAGTATCAAAATTCTTATGTAACTTCATCGCTTCAATCAGACAGGCATATGAAGAGAGTAAATTGGTAGATAAAATCTTTTTTACACCTCACCTTGGTACCAGCAGGCATATCACCCAAATCATAGTTGCAAAGGAAAGTGTGGACAGGTGTCTTCTCAGGGTTGCTCAACACCTGTGGAGATCAATTCCAAGATGCAGTCAGTAGAAAACAATCAGGCATGACATTGCTGAAAAAGCATTGTTTCGATGATTTTATATATATATATATAAACCCAAATGTGCTAGTAGAGAAGAGAGGCAGAACGATTCAAGATAACAGTCCAGAACTCCGAAAAACACCCAAAAAACAAAGATTTAAACCCCATCAGGCATTAAATAATAACAAACCCCCCAAAAAAAAAAAAAAAAGAAGGAAATACTGAAATGCAGAATAATAAGCTAAGTTTGCATGCATGCACCCATTCACTTATCCCCCGGGCAAGAAGTACAGTACCAATTGTATCCGCCCCTTTACAGGAATGCGTAGATGGCTCTTGCTGCTTTTGATTGAATCATCCCCATCAGCTCCGACAATGTGCCCCCTGTTGTTCGATTGTGAATTTCCCGCAAGGTTGATGGATGCATAGTAGAGCAGTAAATTATCTCCATCAACACTGACAACTGAGAAAGGAAGTTTCTGTGCTTTAGGAGAAAAATTGCCCCCACTTATGCTAAGGACAGCAAGAAATCCGCCTATTATCTGCAGATTCCACCCATCAAAAAATAGATGATAGGACACTAATAGACAAGATTTGAAATATATCATTTCCAGTATGAGAAGTAGGAACTGAATTTAAACCTGACTGAGCTTTCCAGTAGGAAGCCGACCAGACAGTAGTGATTCTTCAAATGAACCAACCAATGATCTTCTAACAGGAAATCCCCTCAAGCTTCTACAAAATTTCATGCAATTGGATGATGATGTCCCAAGCTCTTGACAAAGAGGCCAACTCTTTCCAGAATGAGCTTCGATTGATGATGATTGCATACCACTTTTGAGAAACCCAAAATCATCATCATACGAGGTGCTTGGTATCCCACAATCCTCTTCTCTGCAACAGGACATGATCCTACTAGATGCATCCTCCTTGAAAGGACACTCAAAGGTTTCCAAGATCCTCGTTTCTTTTCCAACATTTAGCCCTTTTTGAGAGACGCTCACTTTTGCTTCAAGTTTAGGACGAAGAGGAGACAAACAAAGAGGAGAAGCAATATCATTCTGTGTGAGGTTTGGTACTTCCAAAGCCGATGATCTAACATTCCACAATCCTCCTCCTAAACAATCAAGGCCAGATGAAGGGAGGCAACCGAGTGGGGTCACCTCCTTCTCCTCTAGCACTGGGCCATCTGTAAACCAAAACGAGTCATCTTGATTATAGTAAGCAGCACATTTCTCATTCTGGCAAGAAAATTCGGGCAAGGGAGAAACCTGCGAATTGGAATGTTTCTTTCTACCAATGTTTGCTTTTTTAAAATCCTGCCCTACATGAGGGGAATAACAGCCACCTGCAGAATGAGAATTAGTCTGACAAGTGCTCTTACCAATGTCTAAAGGTTCACCGCTGAACTGCTCAGGTAAAAGTGTATTGCTCAAGGGGGACAATAAACGTTTCCTAACTAACGATCCCTCAAACTCATTCTCATCCAAAATGGCACCAACAGCACCGTTATGAATAGAACTGTTGTTTGTATTACAAATGCCTATTGTTCCAACAACTTCACGGAGCTTATTCACATTGGCAGTAGATTCAAAACCAACAATTCTAGAGGCAGGAGTACTGTGAGGATCCTTTGTGCCAGCCAATGACGAGGTAATCCTGTCCCTAAAAGTGAAGCTTGAGACACGATGAAAACCAGTGGCAGCATCTACTGTTTGCGGCCCACATGAACTGCTGCCAAACAATTCCAATCCTTCCAATGAGGTCTTAACCCTAAATTCTCCGGAAGAAAGAGAGACGGACTCTCCAAATAAACAGCGACTCACACCATCAACTACGCTTCCACTGCCATCCAAATTATCCGTTCCATCCTCAGGCAAAGCTTCCCCAGATGAAACTTTTTGTAGCAATCCCATAAGTAGTATAAAATCGGTAAACGAACACTATCTGACAACTAAGCCTTTATCGGGTTCAGCTACACTCTCGCCCAGTGTATCTCAAACTCAAACAAAGAACAACACTTAAAAGGCCAAAACGAAGGACACAAACATCTTTCTATCTCAGTTTCTGTTTAAGGGTTTAAACAAGCAGGGAGGCAACAACATGCAGTGAATTCTGTACCATAATTTCTTCTACATTGCAATGGCAGCTACTCAACGTATTATCAAACAGAACGGGGGCTGAAATTAAAATGAAACGAGCACAAGTGAATCGTCCGCATCGTCATCTGTTGATATAAAACAGTAACAGAAATCAATCAATAGTTGTTATCGCAGGCATAACTCCAGAACGCGAGATTAAAATCCATGGGGAGAAAATTAAGCCAATATAAATTTATAAAAAAAAAAATCCAAATAAAAAATAAAAATTCAAGAAACGATCAGCACTATTCAGCACATAAATAGTGACGAAAGATGATTATTACCATTGGCACAGCAGTTTCAAATGACTGCATTATCATCGCAAATAAGATACAAACTCAAAAGAAGAAATTGAATAGGGAGAACCCAAAACGCACCGATCAGATATGGGCAAATGTTTGTTGCTCTGTTGGAAAAAATATAAATAGAGAATTTGGGTTTGGATAAAAATTCAAGGGGGGAATTTATAAGATCATCATTTCTTCTTCTTCTCCTCTCTTATATCCAAGAATCCCTTCGTCTAATAATATATATTTTCCGAAGAATTTGATGCTTTCCTCAACAAGAAAGATGGAGGAAGAAAAAGAGAGAGAGAGAGAGAGAGAGAGAAAACAGTGAACAAAAATTTTAAACAAACGCTTCTTTTATTTTTATTTTTTAAAAAAAAAAATTAATTAATTAATTCGAAACGGAGAACATAACCGATGATGGGAGGTGTATAGGGTTTTTTTGGAGGTTCAAAAGCCCAAACGAAAAATGAAAACCCAAACGACCAATTCTGGGCTCAATTTTTTTTTCCAAGCGGTCGATATTACACAAGGCCCAACATGTCTGCTACATGAATAGGGAGAGGAACGTCATGAGGACGTCCTCTCTCTTCGTCTCTTCGTCTTAATGTCAAAAAAAAACAACAAAATAATAATCCAATGCTATGAGGAGCTTTTACAGACCTTAATCCTATCACACGACAAGACTCACATACTATATAGTATTGCATATACTAACAAATAACAAGTGACTTACAAACATTTTTAGCAAAAATGGTTACTAGGCCAGACCGGCCCAAGTACAAGAACCACATATCCACAAGCTCCAAATCAAACTTCAGTATAGCAAAAGGACAAGCTCCTTGTTACAGAGGTACTGCCAACAAGGCCAATGACATCAACTGTGCCTGAGTTCGAGTGGCAGATACTAGAGAACTAGGAGGCCTAAAATGGTCTAGCTGCCGCTTCCATCATCTTCTTGACTCGTGTCAGTTTCTGGAGTTCCCTTAGGACCTACATTCCAAAGATTTAAGTGAAACAAAATACAAACAAACCTATCCTGGGCCAACTACACAGCCACATGATGAGAGGAACAGATGCCAAAAACCCTCAAGGCCACGTTTTCTCCGGAGCAAAATATTAGCTTCCACAGCTATTCTTACCATTTTGACACATTTAGATGACACAATCATTCCTACTTCCTACCTTTCAGCTTTTAAGAGTAGTTTTGTCCAAAAAAAAAAAACAAAAATCACCTAAGGAAGCCGAGTTTTCTTTTTTGGCTCCAGCGGTAACACCATCCCGCAAGGTTTCTCATTGATCAACATTTGTGAAAAGAAAGAGCAAAAAAAAGACGGTGGAAATCTTACCTCCAATGCTATATCTTCAACAGTGAGCTCATCAAGATCCTGGTAACCTAATTTAGATGCTATTCCTGTTGCAAAAGGAACAGCAGTTAAACACAGAGAATCTACTTCAAATGAGCCAAGATAACCCCATCGAGAATGAAATTTTTTACTTAGGAGAGACACGGTTGAATCTGCTGCGGCGTATCCAGTTTGGCTCTTTTCATATAGTCTGGTTAGCTGCATCAATACCTGTAACGACTCAGGTAATTTAGAATCTAGGTGACTGAATGACATTCAAAATCAGATTGAATCTTCACTGTTTGAGGATCACTCAGCACAGTTATTCTACTAAACTGGATTTAATATGTAACACACCTCTGAATGAGATGATTTTGAGTTTGTCGACTCCAATGACTTGGAAAGTTGAATGAAATTATCTTCTGCCAAAACTTCTCTGGCTATCATATCTAAAGGAACATCAATCCATATCGAAATCCCATGTCTTAAAAGTGCCCTGTATGGATAATAATACAAGAAAAGTAGGACAAGAGTATGAGAAACATTGCAGTCTGGAAGAAGGATGGTTAAATTGCCAAAGGAAATCACCACAATAAAACAGAAAATCCAAATTTCTTACAAATTGGACACGCTTTGGACAGCACCATTTCCAGCGCTAACAATGAGGCGTCCCATGGACGACAATTGCTTCAGTACCTCCGTCTGCCATCGTTGAAGTCAAGAGTATAGTCAATCATTCCCTCACCCGATTATTAGAGAATAAATTCCACGAGAAGACAAGAATGTCTGTCAGGCTCATATAAGAGGCACGATTGCAATGACATTCACCTCTGATTCTCGAAACCCCTCCTCATCAAGGTCAACCAGTGAACGGGCACTTGATTTCACACCAGTAGCTTCTTCAACCAGACTATCACTGCATGAATGAGTCGCATCCCAGAAAAGCGAAAAGCACATCAGCGGGGCGCCTTTTTGGAATCAAGAGAATAACATCATTCCAACCAGATCGTTCAATTTACTATTAAAGAGGAGGGGGGGATGGGGGTGGGGTGGGGGATTGATTCTTGGGGTACCTGTCGAAGAAATAGTACCGCAATGCATCAGCGAGAAGTTTCCCCACATTAGACTTGATAGAACAGTTCATCCCTTGGGTTGATGGGAAAAAAAAATGAGTTCCTAGGACATTCATTTTGGCACCTAAACAATGATATGTGAAGAAAATAAATTATTAGCCCCAAAATTAAAACTCACCTATAAGAAAAACAGAAGTTCCTCTCAACACGGGGGAGATCTCAGTTGCCGCCTTCTGATTTCATCAATATAAAAACAGTCAACACCTAAATAATCAAATGGTTCCACCATGAAGAGTTGGCTAATTAATCATATTCCGCAATCACATTCTATCAGAAACTTTCATCCAAGTTCAAACACATTGTATGGTTTTTCTTCAAAGCAGGCTCTCTCGTACACACATATATGTTCTATTCATGTTTTAAATTTTTATTCTAAAAAAAAAGAAAAATTCAGAAGAAAGGAGCAATAGATAAAAATATAAAATCATAAAAGGAAAAAAAAAAAAAAAAAAAAGGAGATGAGGCCAAGATCAAACCTTGACCAAGAGTGACGAAGAATCATGGGGAGGGTTGGCAGCATTGCCCGCCTCAGCAGTAGCAGCATCTACAGTATCTATCCAAACACCCAAAAAAATTAGAACTTAAAAAAGAAACCACAGAAAATGAAGAAAGCCCAACAAGTTAAATAGAGTAAACTGACCAGAGGAAGAAGAAGAAGAAGAAGCGGTGGTGAGGAAGGGCCTTGCTGTTCTTCTTCCGACAGAAGATGAAGAAAAGGGAAGGTGGGGTCCACGAGACCATCTCCAAGAAGCAGCAACAGGTTTGAGAGTAGGAAGACGACGAGAAGTCAAGCCATAATCGGCAAACTGTACCGGTAATTTGCAACCTAGTACTTCCATGTCCCTCCTCCTCCTCTTACTGATGATTATGATGATAAAAATTATCTTCAGCAGTTTCTTTTTTCTTTTTTAGTTAATATATATATACCTGCGCCCTTCATTTTCTTTTCTTTCGCTCACTCGTTTTCCTTTACTACCCTTATTAACTCCTTTACGCAAACATTCTGTCATGTTACCTTTTAAGTTTTCGGTCCTGCGTATGTCATTCGTCAGGAAGAAAAATTCAGAACCTCAGCAACTCTTACTCTTTTTCCTTTTTTTTTTCTTTTGTTCTTGTTCTTGTTTTGGTTTAGGGATTATCGGACTGTTAATTAATTCTAAATGTCCGGTTTTGCACTACACAGTACACTCTCATCAGAAATCCTAAGAAATTCCGATGATAAACAGCGCACCTACCCCTTCTTGCTTTCCTTACCTACCCAAAAAAAATAAAAAAAAATACATCCCATACACATTTTGAGGACTGCCAAAATGTCCACCTATTAACTCATACCATATTTTTTATGGGCTATATAACACACTACCATAATCCGGCCAATATAAATGTATATAATTATATAGATATATATATATATATATATGTATATCTTCCTCACCTTTCACTAGAATACGTTAACTACTAAAAGTAGTTGTACAAGGCAAAATTGTGGTAACCGGAAAAAAAAATTATTAAAGGAAAAAAAAAAATCAGATAACATCCGTAAGCAATTACAATATTTACAAGCAGGCAATGGCAGAGCTAGCAAGAAGTAGAGTTCTCCCACCAATGAATTCAAACAGAGAACAAGTGTTTGTGTTGCAGGGCAGACCCTCAACATTCCTCTCACGGAGCGCCGCATGGATCATTTTAAACAAATGAGCAACCAAACAAACAACAGGTTGTCAGTCACCAGCTTCTGCCTGTTTTACCTGCATTGCAACAACTGAAGTTACAGCTACACCGTTCTCAATTTAACTACGGAATGATGCCACCCCTGATAACTAAACCAAAAACACAGACTACGCCTCAGGACTTCCTGACACCTCAGGACGAGTAAGGATCCCCCAATACAGCAACGTAACAGTGGAAAATTCATGGCCAAAATGTGTCCATATTCAACAGAAGATGAAAGATCCACAGGCAAACATTACAAAAACATAGCATCAAGGTGCAAAGGTGATAGGAAACAAGCTAATCACACACTTCCAGCTTCAATTTCATCATAGATAAGCTGTCGTGAAAAGAACAATTCGATATCAAATACCATAGTTGTCTTACCTCTCATCTGCCTAGATTGGACGCAAGCTCAGTAATTACGGTTGCTGACTTCAAGTTAGACATAGAAATAGGTGTTAAAGGAGGCGAAGGTAATTGTTCTGCCTTTCCTTTTATCTCATGGGATTCCAATAGCTGGGTCACGTGTGCTGCAACTCTGTGTTTACTAGAAGGTATGGAGAAACTTCGAGGAACAGTCAGGGGAGGAGTGGGAAGTGGAGATCCTGTGTTCGACGTCAAGACAGAACTCCTGTTAGTTGGAGACACTTCACGATGCCTGTTACTCAAAGGAGCAGAGTGCCCCATTGCACTAGAAGAACTTGCTAATTTGCCACCTGAACCACCAGGAGGAGGAGGCCGAGGGAGTTCATGGAGCTCACTTATCTTAGGGGAAGATGCAAGAGGAGGTGAAACACTCTGGGAGGCATTCAATGTTGAAGACGGCTGAGAGGTTGATATTCTCAAAAGAACGCCAGAAACTGCTTGTGGTAGTTCTGTAGTGCCAATGGGCCCACTGCCGGATATCAGAGGCTTGCTAGATGATGGCTTACTCAACAACGGACCAGAGAAAGCTTGTCTTTTAACTTTCTTGGCATCATGTCCATTGAGCATATCAAGTTGCGGATGTGAAATCCCTTCCGTTAAGGGGGAGGGAAGAGGAATAGATGCATTATTATTATGGTCACCATCTTTTATTCCAGAGTACAATTTGGAAACAGAGCGTGTCGCCAAGTTATCATCGATAAATCTTCTGGCCTTCTCGGCATCGAGTGGTGACGAGTGCCACAAATTGCTAGCACTGTTGCCACTGACACTAGCGATATTGGAGTGAAGGGTAGAACTGGTTGTCCTTGGATTTGATGAATTCCTTGCATCAGCAGGAGTTGGTAGCGCATATGCATGAACTTTCTGAATTGATGATGTCTGCACTTCTCTGATTCTTTCAGTTGGATCAAGCTTGTCTGGATATAGTGGAGCAGAGTAGCTGCTCACTCGACCTTTCCTATTAATACCTTGGTCCCCCCCTTTCTTTTTCCCGAATATCTGGAAAGTCGATAAGATATAATATCATATATCAGAAACACCTTAACACAAATAACCAGAAAAGAAATCCCATCATCAGAAAAACAGCATTAGAAGGATATTAAAAAAACGCAACATTTATGATGTGATTAACCTGTATTTAGCAACCAGTCCATCCACTCAATCTTAATAACCTAACGAATAGAGTAGGGTACTAAAATAGAATAAAAAAGGGAACGACTGAAATTGCCCAAACATGCCCTAAGTCAAACTCTTTACCTCTGTATCATCCAATCCCGAAATCTGAGGAACCGGAGCATCCACCCAGTTCATATCCAACTGTTACCATGATGGAAAGACACATTAGAGTTCAAAAAAAAATGTACCGGGAGAAATGGGAGAGGATGAGCAGTTACATGAATAAAGCTACTTCGCATTAACAGTTTCATAGATTGAATGCAAATCTTCCCAATAAGACATAGTCCATGAATAAGTAAAATACTTCCTCAACCAAGCTAAATAATTATCACATTCCACCGAAAAAATTTAGCTGAAGAACCTAACCTCCATTGAGTTCCTTGAGATGCCTGTGTTATCATTTTCTTGACTATTTTGAATGTTGTCAAAACTCAACTCGCCATCATAACTAGTATCATCACTGTTACTGCTATCCTGCACATCTTCGACCTCATCCAATTCACTAAGTTGATAATCAATATGTTGATTTTGTGCAACATTTCTCATGTATGGCTCAACTGCTTCAAGAGATTTAAGTCCCCTGCGGAAAAAAATGAGCTGTTCCCGAGCAGCACAACCAAAAAAAAAAAAAAAAGAAAAAAAGAAGATAATTAGCAACCGAAACCAAAAAGGTCAAGCAATCAGTCTAAATAAATTTATCACCTGAGCTGCATGGTGACGAGCAGCTTGAGTTAGAAGGCTACGACACTGCCCTTGTTTCAATGACTCTACACGGAAAACACACAGCCTAGCAACTTCATCATACTCTTCACGAGCTGCTTGTATTTGCTGTGGGGTAGTGCTTTCCGTTTTTCCACTTTTTGACTTTCCTTTATCGCCACGTTGTGCCACCATATGTTCATATATGCACCTGAGAACCATATAAAACCATGATAATAATGCTCAGAGAAATGCAAGGGGACAATTGGGGCATGATGCAAAAACTTTACACAAAAAGCTAACCTTTTCTCATCGCACTGTTGTTTCATTTCCTGCATCAGCAACAGAAAGAAATTAACAAGATTCCATCACAAGCCATTATACAAAGACTTCCGGAGCAGTTCCTCAAATCAGAAACACCAAATTAATAGACAATAGTATTCAACTCCACCTCTGGGTGTGCAGTAAAAAAATGCCAAGAGCCCACAGAAGTAAAACCCAAAATTATTATGATGGGAAAATATCATCCGAACTTCCAGAATAAATTACAATAAGAAAATGTGAAGTATCTCAATTTAGGCTTCTTAAAGGTTATTTACACAAAAACAAAAATGAAAAGCATGCACGTTCGCTAGCTTTTTAAGAAGTAGTATTCTTAAACTCTGCTTCAAAATAAACTTCTCTTGATGGCTTTTCCAAGTTATAACCTACATTTTGTTGAGAACTTTAAACTCTAAGTAAGTATTATCCTCCTAATGGCCAATTTAACATATAAACCAAAGACAAATGACATTGCTCCCTATCATATATGCACTTTAAACAGAACCTACTAATTAACCAAAGTGATGCGGGGAGAAAAGAGAGGGGGAAATGAACAGAATCAAAGCAGTGGGCAACAATAAACTAGAGAGATCATACAGACAAACCTCTACTTTACGAAGCTCCGAAAGAAGTGACTCCGACGGGTTGGTTATGGTTAGGATAACATGAGAACGCTGAAATGGAGATATGACTGTGAGTACCAAGTTAAAGGGGAGGATACGGATCTAACCTGCTGCTTCCTAAACAGGAAGAAAAAACAGGGGACAAGAATGACAAATGAACTCACATAACCATCGACAAGCTTCTGGAGCTCAAGCTGGACATTTCCCAGTATTGACAATGCTTTTCCTGCATCGCGAAGGAAATCACACATGGCACAAGATAACACATTTATGCTTTCAGATTATCATAAAAAGATACTAGTGAAAACAAACAAGAGGCATTTAGTTACCACATTCTCCATCACTATCCAATGCGGTTGTCTCAAGCAGACAATTTCCCATCTCCAGTAGAGACTCTGAAAATTCTAGAAATTGACAAGGTTTGAACAGGTAAGAAGATTTGGATTGTGCTGTTTGGGGGGGGGGGTATAACCAAAGTGCTACTGGACATAAATTCTCAAGCGCAATGCATCATAAGCAATAAAAGAAGAAGAAAATAAATTCAATGATTCTATGTGATACAAGTTCTCTCTAATTTCTGACAGGAAAAAAATGTAAGACCTAGTTCAGCTTACAGAATAGATCAAGCCAGTACCATAAGCACTATTTGTGGTTGCAGCGGCAGCAGAAAGTAAGGTATCACAACATTCTCTCATCTCTTTCATATCCTGCCCCAACACCAAAACAATATACACACTAAGCAGGCAGCAAGCACCGTCAATAATTTTTTTAAAAAAAAATGAAAAAGCTGAAATGATTGAAGGATATCCAGCTAATATGTTAGATGAATACGCATTCATTGTTAAGAATATGACATCTTAAACCCTAAGTAAAAAAATCAGAAAATAGAATGAATTGCGGCATTGATACATTAAATGAGATTGAAAGCAATCCAACCAAATGCTTGGGGAATAGAGAAGGTAAAACAAAATTCGACATTAAAACCCTAAACCAGAGGCAAGAAAAAGAATGGAGTATAACAAAGAAAAAAAATTAAAACCTGGGAGGCCTGAGAGAGGGCTTCCAAATGGCCCAAAGCTTGGTGATGACTATGATCCTTCTTCTCCTTTGCAGCAACATCGGAACTAGTCTTGTGAAGTGAAAGCTTCTTGAGCTGCTTCCCCAGAGAAGACTTCATTATAATCTACACCCCCTCTTACAGAAAATAAGAAAAAAGAAATGGAAAAATCTCTTTGTCCAAAAACTCCCCCGATTCCCCTCGTGCAAAATCCAAGACAATTGCGCCTCCAAGCTTCTATACTTTTCAAACAAAGAAGATCAACCAGCCAATTTGGGAAGCAAGTTGAAAATTTCTATTTCCAATTCCAATTTTTTCCTTCGTCGCGAATTTTTATTTTATTTTTACTTTTTCTTTCTTTTGAAAATATAAAAATTCGGTCTCGAACTTCGTTTCTACTGGTCAGTGCGTGCGTGCGTGCGTGCGTGTTTTTCCCTTTGCAGTATGCGCCATTGCGGTTAAAAACAGGAGACAGTCTACTCGTGACACGTGTCCCCGTTCAATCAGTAAATTAGTAGTAATTTCAGTGGTCAAAACTCAAAACTTAAGTAAATTCCGGTTGCAGGCCTCAAAAACTGTTTTTGTTCTTTAACTTTGCCCGCTCACACTTTTAGTTTGGGCTTTGCAACCCACCAACACTCTTCTGGGCTGTTCATAAAAGTTAGTATTTAATTCTGAATTAGAAACACCGAATTCATAGGACATCATTTCTCCTTTCCTACCAAAAGAAATGTGCTCCAAGATCAAGGCAACGCCAACTCCAGCCAGAGAACTTGGCCCGGACAAACCAACTTGGCGATGGACCAAGTCAGGAGTCTTCTCCACAACATCGGTCTACACAGTCATCAACAAAACAACCTGCAACCGGAAGAACCGATTTGGAAAGCAGTGTGGAACTGGAAAGGCCCCAAGAGAATCAAGTTGTTTCTTTGATCATTCGCCGCAAAATCGCTGCTCACAAACGCCGAGAGAAGGCGCCGCTATATCTCAGACGATGACGCTTGTGGTTTTTGCGACAAAACAGAATCGCTCTTCCATCTTTTCCGAGACTGCCCAAAATCAAACCAAATCTGGAACCTCCTCCAGCCTAACACCCCCACCCAATTTTTAGATTGACAGAGATTGGACAAATTGGTTCACCACTAATCTAATTGCTTCTTCCCGGCGGACTCCTTAGCAAAACTAGCATTCACGTACGCTTCGGGATGGCATATTTTGTCAACGCCTCTCGACACTACTTTACAAAAAACTGCACTAGATTGGCCTAGCACAACTCACCCTCGATAAGTTATTTTGTATCTAAGATTCGGCTTCCTCTGCATATAAAAAATAAATTAAAAAAAAGAAACACCAAATTCATTAACCATTTACAGAATAAACAATAAATTAACTTTTATTACTTATGTTTTATATTGCAGTTTCAATACCACTTAATTCGTTAGAAGTTAATTTTTTTGTTATCAAACATTCTTAAATGAAAAAGAGTTTAACCAAATAATTTTAAGCATTAAGTAGCGTTATCAAATAAGTCCAATTTGTAAAGTGTTTTGTTGTTCTTTATCAGGGACAATGACTATTTTACTCGTTGAATTATAAACATCTTGATAAGTGAGACGACTGCACATGAAATTCAAGGATATCTATGTTCTAGGCGAAATTCTAACTTCTGACCAATAAAGATGATAGAATTTTAGCACCTACTCATGTCCTCGCCGAATATCTTTACTGATCTTTTTCGTTTTTCTTTAAATAGTTGAATAAAATTATTATTTGTCAAAGGAAAATTTAATTTAAAAATATTTTATTATATTTTATTGGTTTCATGCTATGATTTAAAAACTTGGACCGAATCTAGCAGTCGAGCATGTTTGACCAAAGTTAAAGGCTTTTGCGATCTAATTTCGATAAATAATCGGTAAATTAAAAAAATCGATCAAATCCGGATAAAACTGCAGTTCGACTAGGAACTGGTACTGTTGAATCGGATTTTTAAAATTTTGGGAAAAAAATTATTTAATATAATCGGTTTTTAGAGGTTTCGAAGGCCGATTCGAACCGGTGAATCAATAATCCATATAAGTTTCCGGTTCGCCTTTTGATCGATTTTTTAAAACATAGATTTTATACTAATTACAATTTACATGACCCAAAAAGGGGATTGTTGATCTCGTCAAATCACAATGGTAAGTATTTTGTTTTTCATGGAAAAAAAAATTATTCCTCACAAATTAATTTGTGCTTGTGTTATATAACCTATGCCAAAAAAAATAAGTTCACATTGAGATTTGATATTTGCACTAGTTTTAATATAAATTTAAAAATTCAATGTGAAATATTTTTCTGGGACTTAGGAGTAATTGTTTGTGTCTTTCTAGCGTCTTTTCTAACACCATTATAAATTTACTTGGAACAGGTGAAGTATGAGATAGATTTATGGTGCACACATATGGAAGGAAAAACACCCTCACATATATCTACTTATAATAAAGTGCGGAAGCACTTTTTGCATACGATTAAAGGTAAGTTGAAGATTGTAAGCGCTGATGTGACTAGCTTAGGTTGGACCACTTCTTCTCTTTTTTGTGTTCTCTTCTTTTTTTTGTGGTGACAACTTGTTTCGGTTGCCAATTTCTTCTATGTCTTAATTTAGGGTATACATGTTTGCCTTGAGCTATTCACTGGAAGTGTGTAAACGAATTCCAATTTTTGATTTCCCTTTGTTCCTTTCGTCTGTATCATCATCGAAGAAAAGAGAAAGCTACTAGGTGTTGGATTCTCCATTTCTTTATTCACTTTGTCAAAAGTTAGTTTATAGTACTCCTCTGGATATTCTCTTAGATTTAAAACATGTATTTACCCAAAATTTGGATTCGATTGTGTTGGTGCTTGCGTTCAGTTTCTTTGATTGAAAAATTCTTGTTGGCTTGGAGTTCTTTTTGATTTGCATTTAAGACGTATTTATGGTCATGTCAGATGTTCAATTAGTTGGAGTTTAATTAGTTGCATATAAGGTGTTTGATTTTATTTCGCCTTTAGGATAGTTGGAATGAACATTGACAATCTGATGCATGTGTCTAGAAAAGCCAAAAATTCCTATTCGAGTGCATATGATTAATTGGATTCACCTCTTGAGATGTTAAATTGGTATCAATTCGATCTCATGTCATCCTCCATCCTACGAGTTTATTCTATTTCAAAAACGGAAAAAAAAAAATTAATTTTCATTTCAACAATTTGAATTTGCAACACACAAAAAAATTGTGTTATGAAAAGAAAATTCGACAGAAAGGTTAGCTGGAGGTTCCCCTTTCTATTCTGTTAGTCTCCTTTTCCATGAGTTAGATGTTTCGCTTTGTCTCAAAATAGAGAGTGACTTGGTTTCATGTAAAGTGTTTGATTATATGCACATTAAAGTGTTTGATTTGGTAATTGAAGTTTGGTTATAGGGAAGTGGGAGAAAGCACTGTTCATATATAATTTCATAGGTCAAAGAATAAAAGTTATTGAATGTTAGTGTATTGGAGGCGTTATTTTAAGTCAGGTTTCATCAACAACAATGACATTTTATAACAAGTGCACCCATCCAGTTTGGCCAGGGATTCAGCATAGTGTAGGGCAGCCCATTTTAGCATGTGGCGGATTCAAGCTCCTGTCGAAATAGTCCTACTCCCTTTGCCTCCTGTCTGGGTGTTTGGGCTGAATGTGAAGTCGCTGTGATTGCACCGTTGAAAAAAATGGTGGTGTTCTGTTATGCGAGAGCATTGACTGGACTGTTATTTATCATCAATATGTAATTTTGTCACCCAAAAAAAAAAATTTATTATATTGTATTATAAGACTAGCTTCCTCTACTTTTACTGAAACTAACAAAGGCAATAAATAAATGACCAAATCAGTTCCCTATAATTCTACATACGTATCTTCATTTTTTCGTGTGTTCCATCATTGGATCAAATAAATCTCTTTATTTTTGGTTCGTGGTTTGCAAAATTAAGGAGGTGAGATCATTAGGTATTGGACATATTTCAAATGTTATCTTGATTTCTGTGTTTGTGTGCTTTCATATGTTTTGAAATTGATTTTTTTATAGTACTATGATGTTCTTATGAACACCTTGCTATAAGTTCTTAGCAAGTAAAACACACGGCTGCACATTTTGATTGGCGGGTTTGCATTGATCTATGTGTCTGATAATTATTTTTTTAAATTTTTTAAAATTAATATTTATTTTAAGCAAATAATAAATGAGAAATGTGTTTGATTTTGACTTGCACATTCAACGTGCTCATTCAATCTTTGTATAAATAAGGTGTTTGATTTCGACTGTAATATGCGAGCAAATATGTATAAATAAGGTATCTATAAAGAGGGTTCATATCAGTGTGAACGATACTATATTGCCTTCAGCTCTGTGTGTTCCGGTTTAGCTCACACGTTCAGTCGCTTTGCAACACAAATTAATATATAGACCATCTTTTGTTCGGCTTGAATATCCAAGCGAACATGTGTAAGTAAGACATGCATAAGAGATCATATAAGTGCGAACGGCATTTCCATGTCCTTCGATTCCATGAGCTCGACTTTGTCTCGCACATTTGGCTGCTGTTAATCTTGATAGATATCATTAAAAAAATATTTTTTGTATAGATATTTTTGACATACGAAATGTTTTTTAATTTATATTAGATAGAAAAATATATTACTATCCATGTTCAAAAAAAAAAAGAGCCTAATTTTAGAAATGTAAATCTTAAAAGTGGACTTATGAGATTAATACAACTTAAATTGATTATCAAATTGATAAATAGTCATGAAACTTTATTTAATTTTCCATACGAAGTTTTTGATTTTCAAGATAAAGTCATCTAATTTTTATATTCTAATTTTTTAAATCAGAATATTTTTCTGTGACGAAAGTAGTATCTTAACAAAATAAGATAAAAGCTAGATAAAAATAAAAACAAAAACAAAACAAAACAAAGGAAAAAAAAAAAAAAAGGAGAAAAGGCACACAACACAACAGGCGCGCATACTCCGGCGTCCCGCCTAAGAACTCCCAAGTCCTGCATCTTATTTGCCAAGACGAAGGTCCCAATTGCAAGTTGGTGAATTTCATTTCAGCATCTTTAAAGACAAAACCATCGAAATACACCGCTTACTACAACTGGGAGGGGTTATTGTCTGTGTGTGTGTGTGTGCGTCCCTATTTATTTACGATTAGCCTTTCAAAAACCCCGGAACTCTTAGATTAGTAAGGAAGCAAGCACTGTAACAAGAAATTATTATGGTCTAGATAGAGCTTCGTATGAATGAGGGGCAGAGCAGTAGAAAAAGGAACCTGGAGAAATGCAAATTCATTCTTCCTTTCTCAGTCAATGGACGTAGGAGATGTAATCAATTTAAAAGTGGAAAGGGAGATACTCCAGAGAGTGAATAACACCCCCTCCTACCTAATTTCTGGAAAACAATAATATGTACAAGGACAACTTGTTTTACACTGGCAGCAATTCTAACCCCCACACCAATTACTCAAGCTATATAATCTGTTTGTTAGACAAATTACTACTCACACACACACACACCATGAAGTCACATGTACTTGGTGGGAGTAGGGAACTTTTTGACACGAACTCAATCTGGTGGTGTGGGAAACAGACACTGCTCATACTGCTGCTGCACCTGTTATTGGTGCTGTATAAGCTCCGGAATAAGCTTGAGCAGGAAAGACAACTCCCTCTGTGAAAACACAGGCCGGCTGCTTTCCTTTGTAGTAGGAACTAATAATTCCGAGTCTTCATCCTCTCCTCCGTCTTGCTTCTTATCATTTCCCCCGGGACTCATCAAGTTGGACACTGCATCCGTGATTTGTTCTACAAAATCCACAATCACACCCTCCACGCCCATCAGGTGTTGCATGTACACCGCCTCCGGCACATTACTGAGTTCATGATTAACCATATCATTATTAGTACAAGTTCTCCTTCAATACCTGAATTCAATCATAATGACATAAGAGTACACATAATACTAAGCCATAATGTACAAAACTACTCACTTCAACTGGCCATAAGTCATTAGACATAGCTTGGATTCTTTGATCTTGTTCACTGCCCCTGGATTCCTGAATATGGCTTTCACCGCGCACACAATCCCTTGCAACCCACCTTCCAAGCTTAATTTTATGGCTTCCTCCAATGAATTCCTCCTCACATCCGTGTATATCTCTGTCCCTCCATTTGTCAAGAAAAACACCTGCTTCCCCATCCAGGATCATTATTATTCACTTAATTATCACCATCAGTCACCCCCCCCCCCCAAAAAAAAGCAAGAGGAACGGCAGCGTTTATGTTTACTCACCGGATAGTTAGACTGGAGCTTCCGAACGAGCAAAGCAGCGTCTGGTTGAAAAGAAGAGAAAACAATAGGGCGGTCGCCGGCGTGATCAAAGACGACTCCTAAGATGCACCTAAGGGTCCACACAAGATGCTCCTCCTCATACACAATGTTATCGTCAAACTTTAACTCGATGTTAAATCCCAATCTCGGGTTCACCTGTGTGAACACCTCTTCCAAAGTGCACAGAGAATCGTCCGTCTCCACATTCCAACTCATGAGTCTGCCCTCTTTTGATTTTCTCAACAATGATTTCCCGACCTTTCCCGCTTCCTTCTGGAGGCCGTACCCCATAAACTCACACAGACTTAACTCTGTGACTCTCCTTTCCTGCACCGCATCCTGGAAAAACCAATTTCAGTTCAATTTTAATTTTTGTCACACTCCCCTGTATTTCTAAGCAAATTATGTAGTGTGCTACATATATACAGTAAATGATGATTTTTGAAAGAAAAAAGAAAAAATGGAATGCAGCCCAAATGTGGGAAAGAAGCAACAATAAGAGCGAGAGAGAAAGGCTTACATTTTCTTCAGTAAGAATAAAGTTGTCGTGGAATATGACGGGGATGCCATCGCTGGTGACCTGCAAAATAACCATTTTTTCCCGTCTAAGCCTTCTCTTCATCTTCCCATTCTTTTAACAACTAAGTATTTCCCTTTTTCTTTTCTTTATAAATTGTTGGAAAGTAAATTGCAAAAGCGCACGAGGAGAAAAAAAAAAAAAAAAGAAGGAAAAATATCCATCAGTATCACTACTTGAGGAGGGAAAACTAGAAAATGTCAACAGAGAAACAGGGGAAGGCTAACATACTAAAATAAAAGAACAAAAAGCCATAACCAATGATGATCGATCGATTAAAAATGCCTCCTTACAACATACATGAATCAAAAATAGTAGTAGTATTAATTAAAGTTATGTGTAAATTTATTTATCCTAACAACTAAAAAGAAAGAATGAGAAACAACGATTAGGAGTAGATAGATAAAATTGTTACATCAATTAGGACAGGCGTAATAACGACGTATGCGGCGGGGGGAGTACGCAAGGACAAGCTGGGGTCATCCGAGTCACGTGTTTCTATCCACTTTTTCAGCTTTTTCTTCTTTTTTTTTCTTATAATTTTAGAAAAAAATTCCAATTCGTTCCAAGCAACAAACAAACAAAAGTACTAGTAATATGTACGTGGAAACACACAAGCAAAAGGAAGGAGGATTCAGGAAAAATTAAAAGGGGGCGGACCTGAACGTCAAACTCGACGAAATCAACCGGGAATTTGGCGGCGGTATTGAAAGAAAGAATTGAATTTTCCTTGATAGCTTTCATTCTCCGATCCGTAGATTGCAATATATTCATCCCGTTTCCCCTGTGTCCGATCACCAGAAATTTAGCCGGCTTCCAAACTGATCTTCCCACCTCCCCCGCTGAATCATCCATCCACATCACGTTAATTTATCATTTCAAAGTTTTACCAAAAACATGGGGACAAAAAATCAAAAATAAAAATGGGACGACGATACACATGCTTTAAACAATTAATAATAACAAGGGAGGGATTAATATGGATTACCTTTTGGAAAGCGGGTGGAGTAGAGGGCATTCTCAGGGACTTGATCAAGATTGGGTACGTCGGAGACGTGAACGGCTTTAAGTGCGGCCATCTATATATATTTTTTAAAATTAATTTTCTGGAGGAAAGCAATGGCAAGGGAAACGAAGAAGAAAGAAGCAGTAGGTTAGAGGTGCAATGCAATCTAGATGGGAGAGATGATAAAAAACGAAAAAAGAAAATGGAATTTAGAGAGAGAGAGAGAGAATACGGATTTGGTTTATTTGTTCTTACACGATTTGGGGGGTTCTCTCCCCTTTCTATATATATATATATATATATATATATACAAACACTTCTGACCAAAGAGCATGGATGGATTTAGGACAACAAATAATACTGCTATGCCATGACCATTGACGAACTCATTTAAGGAATACTTTTTGTGGGAATTGTATTCCCCCAAAAAAAAGCACAAACCCTGGAATATTCCAGTTTTGGCGCCTCATATGCCATTGGGATTTTGGATATTCCTTCCTCTCTTCCTCTTTCCCTCCTCTTTCCTCCCCATTCCAAATCTTTTAACACTATTTTTTTTTAAAACGAGATTTTGACATTTTTGTTAGGTTTTTATTTAGTGGGAGTATTTCATTTTCTCTTCTCTTTTTTCTTTTTTCGCTTTTTCTTAAAAAGAAATTGCAGAATTTTTTTTCATTTGAATAGTAGGTCCTGGGACATAAATTCTTATATTAATTTTAATATTCGGCTCTGTTTTAAAATTATTATACAGTTATAATTTTTTAGTTTTAATAAGAGCGGAGATGATATTTTATAGAGTACAAAAGAAAGGAACAATTTACACGAGGAATCTAGCACGGATGGGACTTCACCCAATTAAAGGAAAAATTCCCGCACATTATATTAACTTCATCAACTTAATGAGGGATTCGCATGATGCTCGTGGAGGTTTTCCCACGGTATGATATTTAATCCATCTCAAAATAATAATTTATTTAACTTGAATTTGTAATTTACATTAAATACCTTGATTATTACTCCTCAATATGAGGTTAATGTATTCACATACAAAATGCTACGCTTAAGTAGTGGAATTCGGGCACTCATCTTTTGAGGTACTAATATTATTATAATATTTTGTCTGTCTCAAAATAATTATCTGATTTTCAATTTCAATACAATTTAAAATACAAAATAAAAAAATTTAAATTAGAAAATCATTATACGACAGAGAAAGTACTTTGAAAAAATTGATAATTATGAAGTTTTTGTTTTGTGGGGAGGCCACATTTCAGGAAAAAAAAAAAAAAAACAGGTCACGTCCATTGAAAAATCGAAAGAAACACGTAAAGGATATGTAACAACACGTAGGTGTCAATTTTTGTTGCGACAGGTTAATAAAAAAAACAATAAAATAAAAGAAAAAAACAGGTAGGTGGTGGGGGAGGGAAATCCAGAAACAGCTGGAACACAAGAAACAGATAGGAGGAGGGAGGGGGTCCAAGCTCCATTTCAAACTTCAAATGGAACAATAATAATAAATAATGTATAAGAAACAACTCATAGGAGTTAGTTGTGTACAAATCAAAAGAAAATGAGTCATGACCACCTCGGCATCGTATCGACTCCGATAAGAAGAAGAAGATGGAAAAATATTTATTTTTATTTCTTTTTTTGAGGAGCAAGAAAATGGAAAAGTGGAATCCAGAGAGATATATAGAGGAGTATTGTATGATGTAATCCTTTTAGTTAACCACACTTGGGTGACACAAACAAAAAGTGTCATCCATTTTATCTACATCATAAGAAAGAAATATTAACTGTACGCATAAAGTTATAAATCATTCCCTGAGTTTTAGTAATATTTACATTTTTCCCATTTTACAGGGTTTATCATTTGCAAAACTTGCATTGCCTGAAAAAAACCGTGTTAACTTCCCACAATAAGTTACAAATGATATGCAAAGTTTATTAAAAGTTTTAAAGACCTTTATACCGCCTCAGTAACCTTTTTAAAAATTGACAACAGAAATAGATTGAAAAAAAGAAAAAAGGCCATTATTATTTTTTTTTGTCAATTCTTTAGACGCCATAGATACCACCGTACATTAGTAGGAATCCTCTATGCCACTTTCATATGACGTGCTCCGTTGCACAATCTAATTATATTTTTTAAATCATATGATCTATGTAAATATATATTTTAAACACATATTTTCAATGTAAATTGCATTCATATTGTTATTTTATTTTTTGTATCAATTTTTTATTTCTAATGAAAATGGTATATTGTTTTTCAATTTTTTTAACTATGAAAATTAAATAAATAGTTCATAACCAAAAAAAAATGAATACATCTAATATATACGACTTCAAAAAAGAAACTTATTGTGAATAGTGTAAATATTAACATAAACGATAGAATTCGTATAAAATTTTAAAGCCGTCAATCTAAAATCACAAAAAAAAATCCACTAACTTATACTAATTTAATTTGAAACTATAACACAATACTGTGGTTTTTTTTTTCGCCGATCACATCAAAAAAAAAAACCCTTAGATATGGGGTTATTCGTCCATCGGCGTTGATTGGACGTGGCAAAAGCGAATGTTAGAGACACTTCCTCGTTATTCCCTTCCATCAATCGTCGGTATTATATCAACCTTCGCCTATCGGCATATAAACAACGGTGAGCTAGGGTTTTAGGAATGTGATGGTGAAATTTCAAATTTCATACCGTTTTTTATTTTTTAATCATTAATGATTCGTGAATTTTCAATTATGGTATAGATAGTGATATGGTTAGTGAATTCCCTCTTTTGTTATTATAAAGTCGTAGTCTATTGGATTGAAAGATTCATATCATCAATCTTGAAGGAAATACTTGAAAAAAAAAAAAAAGACTTAGGTAAGGCCCAAAACCTAAAATGTGGGATGGTGCACTGTTGGTAGTGCATACAACTGTTTATCTTCTCGAGCGTGAAATGTAAAAATTGATGATCGATCAATATGTATACTATTAGAACCTGCAATATTGGAGTTCCGCTCAATTGATCGCTTTAACGATCGTGTCTAATAGGGAAAAAATATATCACATTAACGAAACAATTAAGAAAAAAACAGACAACGCAGTCTAACAATAGAGAGAAAATAGAGATATAGCATATGATAGTAGTATCTACTGCAAGTTTTAGCCTGGCCTCACAAGCAGCAGGGTTTCATGGAGCAATAACTGACATAAAAATAACAAAAGTGGGAACAATGGTTTAATTGAAACAGCATGATAGTTATTGAAAACTTCGCCTGGGAGGTTGTGAACAGAAATGCATTCTTTAAGATTCCATTTTCTTATCGGTCCTAGAGCTCCTTTTCTACTTGGAGAAAAATATATACAAACGAAATAATTAACCAACGGAACGATATAGAAGGTAATGTTCACAATTTCATATAGCCAACTGACGTTACTTTGCAACTATTTCAAAAGTTGAACGAATCTTAAATCAATTTGATAGCTCTTTACTTGGTTCCACAACGAATATCATTTGTGCAACAGTGGCTCTATGCATTAATGAGTCTGTAGCAAAAATAATGTTAATTAGAGATTGAAAAATAAAAGTTAGTTTGTGATCTTTATTTTCATCAAGAAATTAAGTATTAGCTATCACAAGAGATTTCTCACGTAACTGACTATAAAAGCAACGAAACATGATATAGTCGAACTTGCAAATGTGTTAAAGATAATGAGCTCTGTTCAAGATAGTTATCCGCTCAAAAACACCTACATCAACATAAATGATCCCTGATATAAAAGCACAATGATGTCTGTTCATACAAGAAGGAAAATGTAGTATCACAAGTAATCGAGGTCCAATTGCCAAAGGACCATAACGCTGGGGATAGAATATAATAGTTCGCTCTTAAAAAAAGGGGGAAAAAAAAAAGAGGGTGTTATTATTCTGTATTAAAAAAGTTGGGAAAAAATAAATGGGAAGTGAGGTGGATCCAAGCGGCGGATGCGGATAGCTGACTCCGCCTCCCCGCAAACTTTGGGGTCGTCCTCGGTTTGCCCGTCACATGCACACACATGCTGAATTGGTGATTGAATTGAAATCTCACCGCTTAATCCTCATCTCTCTCCATCAATAATTACCACAGCGAACCTAGTTGTTTCATTTCAACCCCCTCCTGTTCCTCCTTTCTAAAGGCCCACCCAACCTTTTATCTTAGCCCAACTTTAACCACCTAACTTCTGTTTTCCCCTACCACCCCGTATGCCTACTTCCCGTTATTATTATTAGCCCAACACTCCCGCTTCCTGATTGAATGAATGAATTTGAACTCAAAATTAAAAAAGGAAATTAAAAAGAAGGGAGAAATGTCGGTTTGACAGCTATTGTGTATATATATTGCCTACTCTAGGTGTGGTTTCAGGCAACATCGTAGTTGTGTGGTTTCAGGCAACATCATTTGATGTAAAGAGTTGTTGACGGATTTGTACTAGGCACAACTCAAGCTTAGCTATAAGGTTGTAATCATGAGCTACGTTAGTTTCTTCTCTTCATTTATGATACCTTATGTTTGTTGCTTGTATGTTTGAGTTACATTTGTAGTGCCATAAGAATCTCTTTCCTCACAAGAATGCCTCTGACAACAACATCACAGTTGCACTTTCTAACTTCTTCAAATTGAAAAACCCCTCACTCTCTTGAGAGAAATCACATTGTCATTTATAGTTCTTGTACAGGAGGAATTCAGCATCAGGTCTGTGTGGCTTGCTCCACCCCCCAACCATTAGAAAAAGAAAAAAAATAAAATAAAATAAAATAAAAAATTACGAAATACCCACAAACCCTAACCCTCCCTTTTTTAACTTATACATACATCATCTTCCTGTTTTTCCCATTCATCCCTCCCCCACATACAGCCATCAATATTAAAAATTCATTCCTTTTGGCCAGGGCAGGGATTTCCACAGCAACAACCATCACACCAACACCTACTACACTAATCCCACACTTGTACAGTTTACCAACACCAACAACAACAACAACATCCGCAGGAAACACACACACACACACACACACAAAACCAGGAAACCATCCACCCCGCGGTAACATTATCCACAACAGCAACCCAACTGCTTCAAATCTAGCCCATCCATCATCATAACATTACACAAACAACAAATTAGTGGCGATGACTTTTGACAAATTTCCTGACCTCTTCTGTTTCCCTTCACGCCAAATCTTCCTCCATGGTAGTCAAATCAAATACACTGCCATCATAGCCTGTCAAAAGCATTAAAACTCCATGTCGTCCCCTACTCTATGTAGGACGGGCAGTGCTCAAACTACTGCCACTGCTGCTCCCCCCGCCGTTTAAGTTTTGTTCGTTCATTCTTGATGCCAAGGCGAGCACTTCAGGTGACATTTCCCAGCTTCCGCTTTTTCTGCCCCAACTGGAGCGTCGGGGGTGAATTCCAACTCGGTCACCTTCATCCACTGTAGTCCTTATCTCAGGAGAAGATATGTTACCCATTCCACCATCCTTAAAGTTCAGCCCATCATTGTCACTGAATTGGCCCTCTGGATTATCTGATAGTGGACCAACGTCCCCCCAAACTGCTTTCCGGCCCATTTCTATATCATCATTGGCCTTACCCATATTTGGGCTCACAAATCCGCCTCCAACTGATCGGCCCGGCGGTAAAGTGGGCTCCCTCGGGACCTTAGCTCTGAAGTTGTTCTTAGATGGCAGAATCGAAGAGCAAAATATCTCCTTAAAATTCTGCACTACTCCTTTGTTGTAGGGATTTGCACGCCGATCGTACCGATATCTGAAATTCTCGTAAGTTGTCTGCCAAAAGCATGTCAAAACTGTGTCACCGTGATTGCATCTTACGTCCATATTACATACAAAACAACTACTCTTATCATAACAGATTAAATCTCTTAAAATTGAGGAAATTTTCAATCAACACTAACCTGATTTGTACTGATTAGATATAAGTGGAATGCCGTAAGACCGCCCACAAACCACACTGATATGAAAGTATACACTATTAGAACAATCGAAGCGGGAGTCTTGATCATTGCTTTCCATATTGTGGTCATTTCAGCATCCATGATCCTCGTAATGTAAACCCAGCAGAAACTAAAAACATATATACAGAGTAGAGTTGTCGAGAACACAAACATGAAGAAAAATCTGTAGTTTCTCTGCACCCAAAGGTTTTGAATGTATCAGGGCCCAGTGGCACCACAAATTTATTAAGGGAAATGATTGAACAAGACAATGTGTTAATCTAGGAAACATATATTAATAGACACCAGCTCTATCATTAACAGCAGGAGCGCCCTATTCACGCTAAAATAGTCTGAAAAAATGGTGCAAGTTTCAGCACTTGATAAGGATTTTAATACAAAGCTCCTAGAATTATGATCAGGAGAATATACACACAAATCCTAAAAGAAGAAGACTGACATCAGATGTTGAAAGGAACAACAGCTGCCGTATTTCATCCTAGTATTAGGAAAATGCAAATCAGACATTATTGTACCTCCTACTTTTGAAAACAAGTAAATAGTTCAATAGATTTGTAAATAAGCATTGAACTACAACCTGAAATTTTCACGACAATTTGTTAAGTAATTCAGCAAACCAAGAACAGAAAAAAAATTAAAAAAACAAATTCAGGCATCCAGCCAACCAAATTTGACTATTTCATGTTCTACGTTGATATGCAGTGACATCACAGAATTTTACAGAATCTCTGTAAAAGGGAAAAAAAATTAAGAATATATATTACCAGTCCAATGCACTGTCCAACCCATGGGCAGTGATGGTCAAATCGTTCCACACAATTATTGCATATTGAACAGTGCGAGCAGCGGGGAGGTCTGTAGAGCATGCACGTGTCACAATATTTGATCTTAACAGTAATGCCATTGACTTCAACTTCCTTAATACGAGGTAACCTCAATTGAGGGGTCTGCCCCCCGCCTTCTCCAATCCCTTCGTAGGTTTCTGGTTCAGGAGGGTGTGTATTACGAGGAATTATACCAGGATCTCTTCCAGAGGTTAGCAGAAGAAGAACTAAGACCTGCATGATCACAAACAGGACCACTATAAAAAAAGATTCATATTATCAAATGCAAAGATATTCTAAATATTAATGGTCAAATTAAGGACTGTATAATCGTCAAAGTTACTTTCGCTCCATTAAGTTTGTCCATCGTTCATTAAGTAACGCAAAGGGAGACATTGCCTTCGCCCATCCTTAAACAGGAACATACATATTTCAGACATATATAGTGAATGAGATAAATCACTCCTCACAAAATCTTTAAAAAAGGGGGAGAGGGGGGAAGAAAGGAAAAAGGATTTTCTATTTTCAAGCACACTTGTCAATCCAGTTCTGGGGAACAGAATTTACTCCGAAACGACCGTGGACTCTAAAACATCTCAGGCTTCACAATAATACGCAGGAAATAGTTTACAATTAGGCACGCAATGTTCAGCTTCAACTACGAAAGAGAACGTGCAAAGAGGTGCAAGGCGCGTTTTATGATTCCCGTGTGTTCCTTCTGCGTCTGTATGCATGCGAGAGGCCTAGAGAGTAGGAGCCATAAAAGGAAAGTGGGAGAGAAAATTACATAAAATGTGAAGACAATGGCGATGATCATTATAAGTAGTCCCAAGTGGTCTGAATAGACATCCATCAGCTTTCTAGCAACAAAAACACAGAAAACTGTGACGGGAGCCACAATGAGAAATATGGTCAGCGCCAGCGATCTTACATCAGGTCCAAATATAAACCTCCCTTGAAGGAAAAATATCTGCACGCATAAACAAATTAAAAAATTTCAAACTGTGTACAAGGTCAACAAAAGATGCCAAAATAGATAACAAATCCAAGACACCTGCAACAGATGAATGATAGGCCACGAAGTCTGAAGCCCTGAAGTTAAAAGTGTAAATTACAATCACATTCAACTGAAAAGACTCCTAAGTAATCAAGCTCATATCTCAAGTCATATCATGGCTCCGAAGTCAAACTAGTTGCTCAATGCCAAAAGTTTCAATTTTCTCACACGTCTCAAACATATTTTGGCTACTGCTAGAGAAACACAGAAGCCTTTAACTCAAAGATCTGTGATGATTACAGAAGATTTTAAAGAAAAATACATGACTAACAATAAACATCTATCACCATATAGGTTTAAGACAGCATTATATAAATCAAAAAGCTGAAGCCGAATGGGATAAAGGCTTACTACTGGTTGTTTCAAGTCTTCAAGATAATTGTGTCAAAAAAGTAAACTAACAAACCCAGATTAACATTGAAATACGGTTGATCTAGGTCTATATGTGGTTGAAAGATATAAATCCAGGGAACACCAACGCCAGCACATCACAGACCAACTCCCTCAGAATATCAAGACAAGCACACGACCTCTGATTGACCTATGCCCTCCGCGCCCAAAGAAAGATCTACTTGTGCTGAATTTGCCCTAAAAGAAGTCCTGAATTCACCTTTCTACTACTTGTCCACTTAAAAAGTCCACATTTACTTTCCCTTCAAAGAACAAATCTAGTGAACTTCAAATATCAATTCTTCGGTTTAGGTCTTATTTCTCTTGAAGAATAGACAGAAACACTTACGAAAAAAGTTTAATTTTGCTCTAGAATTATCAGGAGACAAGTTTATCAACAAGAGAATCACTTCCCAAGGTGTGACTTTCATGCACCCCAATAATGACCAACTACTAGCTAAGAACCAGCTCAATTAACTAAAAGCTACTCAAAATTCAAGAACAATATCAATCTTAATATAAAAAACAATAGGCCCTGAGCAGCACAACAACAGGCATTTCAATGATGCATTTTAAAAACCCCCCAGCAAAAAGGTAACTTTTATCCAAATTGACATCCACCAAAAGCACCCATCTTTCTTCTTTCCCTTACTATGAAAACCCTAACAATCAGCAGCACAATGTCACAACTTGAACTACGGTAGAGACAGTGAGTATGACTCGATAATGATCTACGTTAAAAAAAAAATTAAAAAAAAAAACAAAGAAACCCTAGACGGGATAAATCTCAGCAAATCAGAAAACTGAAGGGAAATGAAATAGAAGAACGGAAACTGACGTTGCTGCCTTTCCACGTCTGGAAAACCCGAACGTCATCGGACCCAATAGTAGATCCGGAAAGCGGATCAGGCCGCTTCGGCGGAGGAACCACGTACATTGTCCTCTAAATCTCGAAGCAGAATAAAGAAAAAAGAGAAGGCGAAGTTTACAATTGAGGGGAGAGTTTAAGCATGCAAATTAGTAGTGAAAGGAGTGATTTTTATTTTTCCCTCTTCTAAGCTCCTGGTTAGAAAAAATTCATGAGATTCCGGCAAAAGAGGCGGCGTACGACGGCGGGTTAAAGTAGCGTGGATTTGGGCCGACAAGCCATGAGGAAAAAGGTTTTGGGGTAAGCCTATGGCCATAAAGCAAAACGGGCAAAAGGAGAAAAATAATAATACATAAAAGTGACTTTTTGTTCATCTATTTTCCAAAATCGAAAAAAAAATAGTACTTCCTCCGGCTCACATTGTAAATTATTACCTACTGTAATTCATATTTTTTATTTTTCATTATAAATTAAATTGAAAACGAAAATTCAAATTTGAAACATAGAGGTAGCGTGGATTAAGGACATTAAGGACATCTTTGATTACAAGTTGATAACGGAGAAAGTTTGTAAATACTCCAAATAATTATTTTATAAAGGCAAGTGATATTGCTAAAGCAGAAATTAGCTTCAAGAACAAAATTGAATGATTTTTCCTATAATAGCCTTAACAAGTTAAACTTATCTATCTTTTCATTGGTAAATTCGATCTAATTACTCTTTAGAATATTTCCTTTTCAATTCTCCCTCTTTTTTATTCTCGCAACAGTAGAGGACAATGTACATGTTTTGCAACAAGTTGTTGCAACGAAGATAAAAAAAAAAAGAGGGTGATACTGTGAGTTTAAAGAGGGTATGGTATCTTCATTCTAATTAACACTGTGATTTTACAAGTTGTCAATACTTTCTTCGAGAGTGATAGTTAGAACTTAGAAGTAAAAAGAAATATATTTGACAATACATGTTTAGTTTACGATTAATAACTTAACAAGTTAAAAAAAAGAACACATACCTTGTACTATGACATTTATAATTTTTTTATCTATCTGTCCGATAAAAATGGTAACAAATGGTTGACAAACAGAGTGTTTATAATTTGAATGTTGATAAATACATGAAACAGTTTACTAAAAAGAAAAAAGAAAAAAGTGAGAAAAATGATGTACATTAAACTACATCTATTTATTTTTTATAATTTTATTTGGAATTTATGTATTTAAATTTATAGAAATAATTTAGATTAAAACCACGTTATCTCTCGTACATTTTAATTTGTGCATCATTATTCTTATAAAAAAATTTCAACCATTTTTGGGTGTGACAAAAATAAAAATAAGAAATTTGCTGGCATATACACAAAAAGGTTCCATGGTGTAGTGGTTAGCACTCTGGACTTTGAATCCAGCGACCTGGGTTCGACTCCCGGTGGGACCTTTTTAAAAAGAAGATTTTGCCTATTTTTAGTAATTTTTGTTTTGTTTTGTTTTGTTTTTTTTGTTTTTGTTTTGGGTTTAATAACAAGCTTTAAACGTTACTACTAATTTCTTTATTTCGATAAAGAAAGTATATACTGTATATAAAAGGGAAAAAAAAAACTCATATTTTGTACTCCCTCCGTCCCATAAATATTGTTCAGTTTGATTTTTCATTTTTAGTTTAAATGAAATCTCAAACTGAATAATAATTTTGAGATTAAAAGCTGGCTTCTTTAAAAAAAAAATACACTTTTCCTTTTATAAAAACACTGGTTTTTTCCTTCCTTGGTAACGCACGAGCAATGGCATTCTGAATGTCATTTACACACCAATGATGGTATACTGCATCTAAAGTACGAATATTTGTTCGAATAATTTTTTTTTCTAGTCATTTTTAGTGCATGTTTTGTTTTTTAAAAAAGTTACTTAAAATGCAAAAGGTGGATTAAAAATTCAAAAAACATCGAAAAAAAAACTTAGTTACATATTTCTTTTATATACTAGAATTTTAACGAACAATCTAATAGGCTTTTGTTATTTTTACTTGATATACTTAGAAATTGTTTTTTTTTTTTATTAATGCTATGAATACTATCATCATTGTTGCAAAAAAATCGAAAAAATTAAATTATTATTACGAATGGAAATCAAAATACGTCCACACTATCTTAATTTGTAGCATAATAAAAAGTTTATCTAAAAGGGTTATAGATCGGAGATACTCCCTTCGTCCCATAATTATTGTCCAGTTTGGGTTTTCATTTATAGTTCAAATTATACTAAAAGTGAAATCTGAAACTGGACAATAATTTTTGGGCAGAGGGAGTATCTAAAGTGATAAAACGGTACCATGATTCTTAATCTTAATTGATTCCTAACATTGAGTTTAATGAAATTAAATCATTACTACATTATTTTTTAAAAAGTTGTAGGTTGAATGTAAGAAATTCATTTTTAACCAAAAAAAAATTGCAAAAAATGAATTAAAAATAAAAATAGGGCGATCACAATTTAAAAAAATAATAAACAATTACCGAAACACAATCCTGCCATCTAATATCTTGTTATATTTTTTACGTTGCCACATTGCCACAGGACAGGAGTGCAATTAATTGAAAAACTAACTTAATGAGTGTTGCTTCTTCACTAATCTACCAAAAGTCATACATTATAGCTAGAAGGGTGACAACGATGAAAATAATGTACACGTACCCCTTCTTGCTTTAGATACGGTAAGGATCTATAACATATTATAAAATGCGATGTAATAATTTAAGTATTTTTTAATTAATATATAGATATCTTTTTTTAAAAAAAAAACCTTATAGCTAGGGGGAGGACAACGATGAAAGTACTGTAGACTTCCCCCTCTTGCTTTATATATTGCGAGGATATACAGTATGTTTATATAAAATTTAATCTTCATTAATTACTCTCAATACATTATATTTTGTCCATCATTGTCATTTGTCGCTGTTATGTGTAGTAGGGTCGGATGATATGTACATTGAACTTTGTCAATATACCATTTATCAAAAACTAACATTCCATCAATACCAAAATCATTTTTCATTCTTATTATTGTCGTGATTATAAAAACGATAGGCATAATCAGCACTACGTTGTTGCATTGAAAAATATAATTATCAAAAACTACACAATAAATATAACTTCTTATGTTTTGTTCATTCTCTACATAAGCCCATGGGGTTCCACCTCAAAACCAATTGGCAATGAGGGGAGTAGCCTATGGTGCTTATATACTGATACAAAGTGTCTCCAGACACCAATGTGGGATAAATACTTCAACACTCTCCCTCAAGCTCAACGGGCTTGGACTAAATCACCAGGGTCAGGAAATAAACCGTAGAATAACATCACGAGCCGCAGAATGACGTCGCGGACTTAAATTGGGCTACGGAATAACATCGAGGGCTTAAAATCACTACAGGCCGAGCCCGCTCTGATATCATAAAGAAGCCCATGGGGTTCCACCTCAAAACCAATTGGCAATGAGGGGAGTAGCCCATGGTGGTTATATACTGATACAAAGTGTCTCAAGACACCAATGTGGGATAAATAATTCAACATGCTCAACCATTAATTAAAAAACAAAACAAAAACATAGAAAAAAAGAAAGAATCTAATGATTACTATCATCGCGAGAGACTAAAATGTCTTGCTTATCAACTATCAAAGATATATAAATATATAAGCTTTGATAATAAATAGAAAATATACGAACAAGACAAATTTTAATAAGAGTGAACCTCAAAACAAGTCATCAACTTTTAATATATTTCTACTCTAGATCATCAATTAAATTTATTTATAACACAGGTTACCTTACTAAAGTTTTAATCTATTTCAGATTATTCTATTAATTTTGACCGTTAAATAGTGACGGAAATTAAAATAATTAGCTTTCCTTTTGAATAATTCTAAATTTTTAAAATTTATTTTCCTTTTGTATTTTAACTTCTAGACTATAAATTTTTTTTAAAAAAATTTAATAAATGAAGAAGAAAAATTCGAGTTAAAGTAAAGATGAAAATTAATAATTTACCATTTAAAAAAAAACTAAAAGAATTAGCTAAGACAAGTTGTTTCTTCTAGGTTATTTAATTTTTTTCAACTCGATTGAATTATTTAATTATTAATTTTTACGTTTGTTATTCCCTTATTTTTAATAATCTACAAGTTAATATACCAATGACAAATTAATTTTCAATTTTGTTTGTCATTTCTTATTCCCTTTTTTTTAATAATCTACAAGTTAATATACAAATGACAAATAAAAATTAATAATTAAATAATTCAATCGAGTTGAAAAAAATTAAATAACCTAGAAGAAACAACTTGTCTTAGCTAATTATTTTAATTTTTCTTTTTTGTTTAAAATGGTAAATTATTAATTTTCATGTTTACTTTAACTCGAATTTTTCTTCTTCATTTCTTAAATTTTTTTAAAAAAATTTTATGATCTTGAAGTTAAAATACAAAAGGAAAATAAATTTTTACAATTTAGAATTATACTACCAGTGTATACAAAGGAAGTATAAGAAGAAGAATTGTAAAAAAATAAAAATAAAAATTAAAAGATTAAAAAATAAAAAAAAATTAAAAAATAACAGAATAATCTGAAATGAATTTCCGTCACTATTTAACGGTCAAAATTAACAGAATAATCTGAAATGGATTAAAAATTTAGTAAGGTAACCTGTGTTACAAATAAATTTAATTAATGACCTAGAGTGGAAATATATTAAAGGTTGATTACTTGTTTTGAGGTACTCTTTTAATAATCAACAATTAAACAAAAGTATAAAAAAATCAATGATTTCTATTTCTTCAATTTTGTGAAATCACGAGTTATAGTTACACAACATATATTAAAATATTATAAATCATCGATAGTTTTCAAAGTACTAGTAGCAAAATAAATGTGTCTTCTTCTTTTTTATTTTGTTTATGAAAGAAGGAAACACAACTTGTTATAAGAGTTCGGGTTAAGAAATGTATTCTTTTAGAATCGTATTCTTCAATTTTTTATAAGAATTTTCTTTTTAATACATAATATAAACAACAAGTTTATTACATGGGCAGAGTCTAATGGACACGGGGATACTACTATTACTTGAAAGGCCTACTTATTACAACCTATAATTAATGGGGCTTAAGGGGACGTTGGTGGAATTTGAACACTCACCACATTGGGGTTACCTGTGTGAACTTACCATTTGGCAAGTCTACATCTCACACATCTTCACATAATTGTTTTTAAAAAAGGTACTAGTGTGAATATTTAAAAAACGAGAGGGTCATAAATTAAGTATAATAGTTCTTAGAGAGGATAAGTGTAATTAACCAAAAAAAGAAAACACAAGCATCAGGAGAAACCCAAATTCTCTGGGAATCACATTGACTGGAGAGAGATGAGTGTAAGCCGAATTGAGCTCCCAACCATGAGATAAATTTAGTAGTTTACATTTTTCCTCTTTTATTATTCATCTCCTCATTTATTCCGTGGTTTTAGGATTAAAAATAGTTGCTCAGAAAAACATTTTAAAAAAGAGGTAAAAAAAAAACACACACAAATCATACTTGACCCCACATAAACATTAAAAAAAGGAAAAAAAAAAAACAAACAAACCAATGATGACCATTTCAATCCTCCCATTGAGAACGGTTTTGTTAGCCTAAAAGAGTAGTAAAAAAATTTTAAAAAAAAAATGTGAAAGAAAAGTGAAGTTGAATCATCCAGTCATCCATCCATCAAGGAAAGAGACTTCGGTTGTGTCCCAAAGAAGAAAACAGACAAAAATGTTCATTCTATTTCCCTGCAGAATTGTACCTCATTCTCCTTATCCTTGTTCACTTTCTTCATTACTTGGTATGCATGAACCAATAACCAACCAATTCAAAAGTTAGCCCAGTGATCATCTTTGTACCTCTTCCTCGTTATTTCAATCGACTTCATTAATAGTATGGACACCGATAAAGAAAAACCCATTCCAGAAGATCAAAATAATGTTGATGATCAGAAGAAGCAGCCGCAAGATCTTCAAGATGCAGCAAATCATGCTCCGCTATCTACCACCACTGAAACTCCAGTTTCACCTCCACCGCCATCTGAAACAACTCAAGTTGACGTTGGTGATGGTGAAGGTGATGTCGCCAAAGGATTGCCGGAGTCAGAAGAAGTTGTGCCAACAACATCAGAAGAAGATCAACAACAACAAGAGGCTTCTCCATTATCCCCGCCACCTGATCTCCCCAAGGTATCCCAAGAAATCGATCATTATATCACATCATTATTATCATCACTAAAACAAGATGTATCTTCCTCTTCTTCTGCGCCTGAGACGGTCCCCATATGTGTCGAACAATTTGCTGTTCTTTTTGAGGCCAAGATTGATGAGTATGATTCCGTTGATTCCCCCGTGAAATGGAACCGCCTCACCGATGAGGATTCCGAATCATTTCTCGATGCAATTCACCGCATCTCCAAGCTGTACTCTGCACTCTGTGAATTCTCTTCTGATTGTCAATTCGCCTATTCTATCAACCGCATTGGAACCGTGCTTCAGCGTGCTATGTCATATCTCGAGGAGGAATTCAGGTTCCTGATGGAAGATTACAAGATTCCTGACTCAGATTATCACCAGAATCCCGTGCCACCTGAGAAGCTCAATGATCAACATCTTCCCGAGGGAGACGAAACACCAGAACAAAATCAAGGCTCTGAGGAAAAAGACGACGATGATCATCTTCCTCGCCCCACAAATCAAGAAGAAAATGTCGATATTTGCAGGCCTGAAATTGGGTACTCAGACGAGGGATTATCCAACCTGAGGAAGTTATCAAAAGCCATGATACAGGGGGGATACGAGACGGAATGTTGCCAGGTATATTTTATCACCAGGAGGAATGCCCTGGAGGAAACTCTCCATAAATTTGGGTCTGAAAAGCATAGTATCGATGACGTCGTCCAGAAGATGAATTGGGAATCCCTGGAAAGAGAAATCATGGCGTGGATCAAGACATTCAAACAATGTGCCAACAGCGAGTTTCCTAGGGAAAGAAAGATCTCGGATTTTGTTTTCCATGACTATCCTCAGGTCTCTGAATCCATTTTCTCCACCCTGACAAAAGGCGTCATAGTAGAGCTTGTCAATTTCTCCGAAGCCGTGGCCATGACCAAGCGTGCTGCAGAGAAACTCTTTAAGTTCCTGGACATTTACGAGACCCTCAGAGACGTACTTCCTACCGTCGACAACTTGTTTCCGAAAGAATCGGTGCATTTAGAGGAAATCAAGTCTGAGGCGACCCTAACACGGAGCCGGCTCGGGGAAGCCATGGTTTACATATTTTGCGAGCTGGAAAACTCCATTAAAGCTGATACGGGTAAAACTCCGGTTCCCGGTGGAGCTGTCCATCCCTTAACTCGTTACACCATCAACTATCTAAAATATGCCTGTGAGTATAAAGACACACTGGAGCAAGTTTTTCGGGAGCATCAAAAGATTGAAAGGGCAGATTCCACCGCCGGATCAGACTTTGACTACAATACATCCGGTAGCACCACCAGTGGGGTCTTCGAAAATAACAGCAGCAACAACAACAATAAGAATAGCAATGATCAGAAAATACAAATATCTCCTTTCCAGTCTCAGTTATTAACAGTGATGGATCTGCTGGATCAAAACCTGGAAATCAAATCGAAACTATACAAGGATCTTTCACTGAGTTCGATTTTCATGATGAACAACGGAAGGTACATTTTGCAGAAAGTCAGGGGATCTCCAGAGGTGAGCAGTTTGATGGGCGACGCTTGGTGCCGGAAAAGATCATCAGATCTCCGGCAGTATCACAAAAATTACCAGCGGGAAACATGGGGAAAACTTTTGCACTGCCTAATGAACCATGAAGGGTTGAACGTGAATGGAAAAGTGGTGAAGCCGGTGCTGAAAGAGCGGTTCAAGAGTTTTAATGCTATGTTCGACGAGATTCATAAGACGCAGAGTGGATGGGTAGTTAGTGACGAACAACTCCAGTCCGAACTCCGGGTTTCCATTTCCAATATGGTTATTCCGGCATACCGGGCGTTCCTGGCTAGGTACGGTCAGACGTTGACACCGGGCAGACAGACGGAGAAATACGTCAAGCACCAGCCCGAAGAAATTGAGGAATTGGTTGATGAATTGTTCGACGGTAATGCCGCCAACCCGGCTGGAAGAAGAAAGTTATGAAACACGCAAATTTATTTGTTGTCCTCAACGGTGGTCACCCAAGGGTGCAAAAATTTTCTCTTTTTTATTTTTTTTCTTCTTTCTTCTTTTGAAGAATATTATTACTGACGAGTTGTTGTCAAAAAGGTTTAAACAAGTTGGAATCTTGATCAAATTCCATGAGGTTAATTTTTATTATTTTATTTTTCTTGTCATTATGCTTATAGTTAACGAGACTCCACCCCAGCTTTGTTAATTAGACTTCTTTCTTGTATTATTCTTTTGATTATTGGTGAGGTTATTGGATAACAAGATGTTACCTTTTTTGACAAATATTTTCAGGGCATTTGTTGCTCTAGTTAAAACACTAAATGAAATTTTATTTTTAGACATGATAGTATGTTTCCCTGTTCAATTTTATTACATTTTGAAAGAAAAAAATGATCCATCCACAGGGTTAGTTGTCGCAGAATAAACAACACATTTCATAGCATCTACTTGCTTAGTTGCCAAATCTCATATATATTAAAGAAGAGTTTATGAAATGACAAGTATACTTGCGGTGCTCATAATTGTTTCTTGACATTTTGTAACTTTGTTATCCTTTTTGACACCCAGAGCTGATTTATACACTATTCCATAGGTTTTGTGTTGTAAGAGATTTGAGTGATAGCAACTTGATACAAAGAGCTTATTTCTACACCAATCTACAACGTCTGTGTTGTAGAAGACATGAGAATATAGCAACTTGATACAAAACTATTCGTAGTGACATATCTTGGCCAGCAAATATTGGGTTATACAATGTTAGATCCTAACAAGTGGTAGATAGAGCTATAAAAAATTGTAAGTTGAACCATCTGATTCTTCTTGGTGAGTTATAGTATCATTCATTACTAGCTACGTCAGGAGTTGTGTATTCGTATTTTCGTCTATTCAAAATACGAGAACTTAAACAATGGTTGTTGAGAAAGATTTTTATTGTAAGTTTTGGGCATTGAATCACATTTTTCCTTTTTCCCATTCCGGATTTATTTATTGGGGTCGATACAAAATACTTAAAAATGTGCGGGTGTAGTATTGGTTAGTATTATAATTTATAAAACATTTTTTTGTATGATTTGGTTGTGGTGTGATATCATTTTTTTTCTTCTTTTTTTCCTAAAATTGATTCTGATAGACTACAAATAAGCAGGGACGGAACCGGGGGAGCGAGGGTGGTCGGCCAACCCTACGGTCGGCAAATTTTTTTAAAAATTATCTTATAATTTTTAAAATGTTTTCGAAAAAAAAATTTACTGCAAATAAATATGAACTTCACTTTTTATCATGGGTGGATTTAGGTGGACCCTCACTGGTCCCATCTTAATCCATCATTATATATGTATATATTCATAATTATTATTGTAGTTATTTTATCTTAAGTCATAGTTTATGTTTTTTTTCTTTGGCATTTTTGGGCTAGAATTTTTGCACATATTATTTTCTCTTCATTATGTATTGGGCCAATTAAAATTAGACCAATTCAAAGCTAAATCTTTACAGATTATGTCATAAATTATTTTAAAAAAATACTAAATTATAAAGTATTTTGAGTTTTAGGTAAACTAGTGAGATACACATTAATTTCGTAATGGAATCATCGTCTATCACGTAGTATTGATCACCTTCATTTTTTACCAAAATTTCTCTCATATCCTAATTAAATATTTCTATGTTTTGAAGTATAAGAAAAAGAAAAATATGAAAGAGAAAGATGAATAAAAAACTTTGATATCAAAATGAGCTTTGTGAACAATATGTAAAAATTAATTTTTTAATAATATATTACGCCCTCAATAATTTTCCTTCTAGATCCACTAATGTTTTTTATTCTCTCCGGTCCTTATTATAATGCATTTTCATTTCGTCATAAATTTCACTTAGGATGATTTTTTAATTAGAAAAAAACTTTGAAAATATATTTTCACGTTCGTCGTATTTTTCTAATTATTGTGAAATATTTTCAAGATTTTTATTTCGATTAGAAAGACATCTTAGATAAAATTTATGACGAAATTAAAATGTGGACGGGAGGGAGTATTACTCAAGTTGATATGGAATACATCAGGCTAGCCAGGGTGATCGGATTTTGGGCAGGGACGGCATTGTCGCTCTTTAATGGTGATTGCTTTGGTGGATGCCAACGTCACTATGGTTCCTTTTGTATTTCAATAAGAATTCGTGGATGGCAGTATCGAGAGGATTGGTGCATGATGAGTTTGGGAGATGAGTGGCATGGTTTGTGATAAATATAAACTTTTGTTTTATTGTAGAAAGTTTTAAGGTTTATTATTTCAAGGATTACAACTTGTCTGGGAAGTTTGAGCTTGACTGTCAAAGTGCTTTTGACAATGGTAACACATATAGACAATAAGATCCGTGTTAATGACCTTGTAGTTCGAACAATTAAATAATTGTTCCTCTGTGACTAGGAGATTGAGTTGAAACGTGTTCATATGAAAATTAGGCTGGAAAAACTTTTATGGTTACTGTAGCGATGGTGGAATCAATCGGTTTCAAGAGATTGGATGATCCATCCGATGGGTTAAATTACAAATTGCGACACAGTGTCGTTGGTTTTTATCACCAACACTTTCTTCATGTGTAAGTTCTTTTCATTTTATACTCTCTCTGTCCCAAAATTATTGTCTAGTTTGATATTTTACTTTTAGTACAATTTGAACTAGAAATGAAAATCTAAATTGGACAATAATTATAGGTCGGAGGGAATATTAGGTTAAGATAATTTTTTAGTTAAATTTGACTCTTTACTTTTAAACCTATTTATCTTCTTTTTATTGGCCTCGTGTTCTTTATTCATTTGATATAGTATTAACGGTGTCCAGTTTCTATTAGTATGCAGATTTTAGTCCAGTCCTATATATAACGGTTTTCATGGGGGACAACAGAAAATGTTGAGAAAAGACATTGGCGAGCATGGAATCAACTTGCGTATCTGACAGAAGAAAATGAATTGGGATTTTGATGCCTTAGAGATAACGTAAAAGCCTTTTCTTTGAAGCTCTGGTGGAAATGGAGGAACCGACAAGGGATTTGGAAAAATTTTTTGCACTGAATTTCTGCCGCAACAAAGGAAAAGACATATTGGAAGAGAATTCTGAAAATTGATGATTTTGATTGTAAACAAACTAAGGTGATTCTGGAAAGAGGAAATATATCATTCTAGTATGATGGTTGGCTTGAATCGGGGTAACTGGCTACTCACAAAAAATGTTGAGTAATCCACCTTATGAACACCTTCAGGTTAGAGAATTCTTTGAATGTAAGGAATTTTTTCTATTTTATTTTTCAAATTACTTGCAGCCGTAGGTTAAGCAGAAATTGGAGGGTATGAATCTGCAATTTACAATGAAAGATGATCGCCGTAATTGGAAACCCTTGGCGACAGGGAACTTCGAGCTCTTAGCAGCATACAAAGCATTGAGGCAACACCGCGAGAATGATAATTTCATCAAAAAAATTTGGAATAAGTTTACTCCTTTAAAAATCTCTTTCTTCTATTGGAAACTCTATAATAATTTGGTGCCTTTTCCTTAGAATTTTGCAGAAAATAGATTTTACTCAAAACCTTCAATATGCCCTTTTTGTCTTCAATCGGAAGAAAGCATTCAACATGTTTTCTTAGAATGCAGGTTCATGCGAAAGGTATGACTTCATTTTTCATATTAAGCATTAGAATGCCTTCCAATGCAGGGTTGTGGAACTACTTGAATTCTTGGTACATTGTTGGAGGGAAAAAATCAATAAAATGAGTTGGATGCACATATTGCTGGCTTTCATTATATGGGAACTTTGGAAAAGTAGGAATAAATGTGTGATGGAGGGCCAAAAATTTTGCTTGGATTCAAAAGGTTAGGATAAATGTATCAATTGTTTTAAATCTTCATGAATTATATCCACTTTCTGTAAATGAGCAATGGGACAGAAAGCATCTTTGAGTAAATATTAAAGCGCAAAAGCGAAAAAAATGTAGATCTGTATCTTGGACGCCACCCATTGCTAGACAGATAATCCTTAATACCGACGGATCAGCGTATGGAGCACCAGGGCAAGCGGGTTCGGGCTATGTGGTGAGAGACGAACATGGGAGATTTATTAGAGCTGAAAGTAACCACATGGGAGAAGGTTATAGCATCACGGCAGAGATTGAAGGTATTCTAAATAGAATCAAATGGTGTGAAGACCAATGCTTCAAGAATGTGCAAATTTATACAGATAATCAAGTGGTTTCTCAATTGTTGACAAATGATAAGATCTTCCCGTGGCAACACCATCAAAATTTACGAGAAATAAAAAATATCATGGAGCGAAATGGATTCAAAATTCAGCATATTTCCAGAGAAATCAATTATGTAACGGATAATCTATCAAAGCAAGCCTCTAGAGGGACCTCTATATAATATGATAGGTTTTTGGACCTACCAAGATTTTTGAGAGGATTGTTATATCTAGACCAAAGATCTTTTCTTTATCTTAGAATAAAATAAATAGCTTAGGCAATATAAAATTGACAAAAAGACTGTTGGGTAGGAGGGGGGGTTTATAACCCTTTGTAAAACAGTTCATAGCTTTTTATACATTTTTAATAATAGCTTTAGGGAAAGAATTGTCAAGAGATAATAGTACATCCATGTAAGACAATCTCTTAGAATAGAATGTTAAGAATCGTTATGGTGTTCATTAGAAGAACTTTTGTGAGACGGTCTCTATTTTGATTTGGGTAAGTCTTAAGCACTGACTTTATAATTTTTATTTTTAAATTAATAAAATCGGGGATGCCCACTAGTACCGCCCTAGTTCTGCTAAAAAAAAAAAAAAGACCAGAAGGAGTGCTATTTAAAAACTGAATTGTATAATAAATTAAGTAACAGCAAAACTGAAAAGATAAGAAATAAAAATCATTTATTGCTTATTTCAGTACTACTTAATAGATTCGACATTTCTAATTTATAATTAAACATTCAAAATCTAGAATTTATTACTCCATTTCCGTATATTCTTAAAAGTAAAAAATGGAGAGATATCCTTTATTGTAAAAAAAAATAAAATAATTCGTAATAAATTTTGAGATTTGCAGTAAAATAGTTTTAAATCTTGAAATTTAAAATTGATTAATTATTTTGGGATTAAGAAGGGACTATTCTCTGGGACCCAAAACAATGATCGAATTTAGATTTTCAGTTAAGCTAGACTACTTATTATCAAATAGTTTTGTATTAACAGTACTTTGAACTTGTGTGAGGGAAGGCAATGATAATATTTGATTTCGTTTCTAATACCGTGTTGTCTTTAAAATTAAAGGTAGAAGATTTTTTTTTTACCTAGTAATGAAATTATAAATTATGCCAAGTAATGATAATCCCACCTAATTACTTCATTGTATTTTTAATTTTTTATCTTAAAATTCATTAATTAGGAAAAAAAACAAAATTTAAGTTGTAAGAAGAATCTTTTAACAAAGTTGAAACTGGTAATGCAATATTATTATTTTTATTAAAAATTATTGTGATTTTTTCTTTTTTTTGTGGACGAACGGAATACGTACCTAAATATGAATCTGCGTTGCCACATCTCATCAAAGGAAGGAAATACTAACAGTTTATGTTTGACAATAAAAACTGGAGTGTTTAATAGCAGTAAATCTTGAAAAAGATTAAAAAAAAAAAAGAAAAATGAAAATCAAGTGTCGTCTCCGCCACCCAAAACCCAAAACACTGGCATAACCCGCCCAACTCAATTACCCCTTTCTGGACAAGAAAAATTCCCAGATTCTTTTTCACCAAAACTCAACTGCGTGTCTGCGACTACGAGAGTAGTAGTAATACAGTGCCTTGCTTCATTCTTCCAAGAAAGAAGAACACAACCCTGCTGCTGAACCTGAGACTTCCCCACCATTACTTTTCTTTTTCCCCCCTTCCCTTCCTAGCTTCCATTATCGTCCCTTTCTCTCACACCTCATTTTGTTTATGTCCCTTATTTAACCCAGCATACAAAGTGTTTGTTTTTTTTCCTTTCAATTTTTTTTTTTTTTATGTAACCTGGCTGACACTCTTGCTCGGACGTCGACGATGAGGAGGAGAAGGTGCACCAGACTTCTTCCCGTTCTGTACTTGCTTTGAATTTCTCCTCCCGCCATCATCTCAGCCGTCGCTCTTCACTTGGTTTGTCTCTCCTTCTCCCGGACCTCTTATCTTCTCCTTCAATTATTATTATTATTATTTTTTAATTCTGAGATTCATCAGTTGTTTCTTTCTTCTTGTTGTTGGGGGCTTTTCCCTGTTATGCTGTCTGTTCCTGGTTCTAGGGTTTTGGTCCGCATGCCGGGACTTACATTTTTGGTACTATACAAATAGGTTCCATCCCTTTTCGTCTTACTGATTGTCAATGTATTCTAATCTAGCTTTCCCCTTCTGGAATTTGAGTATTTGCTTCCCCACTTTCTACAGTATCACTTTATTCATTTTTGTTTTATATTTGATACAACCACCGCAATCACTTGTTTCAATGTTGACCTGCTGTCCCTTCTCGTTCAGCCCTTGTTATGTACTTGCCTGCCTTGTTAGGAACTGATTACAAAGTGTTTCCAACTCATCCCTAAATTTTGTTGGCTTTGCTGGATTTTTCTAAAGCAATTACTTGCTTCCCAAAATGATGTCTAATCAATTCCCACCAGCCCCAACCCTCTGTAATTGTGAATTGCTTATTTCTCCTAACCATTTTTTGAGTCAATTCAATTGCGTTTGCATCTCTTTAATGCCTAACCCAATGAACTTGATTGATTATTTACTTTTTTTGGCCTCCAAACATTCCACCTCTATCTCGGACAACATGCCTTTTCGATTGCTGATTGTTTGTTTGCAAGCACACCTGGTGGTTGCATAAGATTTTTTTTTTTTTTTTTAATTTTTTGTTTGTGTAATTTGACTTCACGATACCAAGAGAATCCACATATCAGCTAGCCATTGCGGCACTTGTAGTGGCAGTTTTGCGGTACATGATGTGAATATGTTATGAATGCTGTTCTAGAGGACAATTTGGTCATTCCACTTGGTTTCATATTATTCTCACCTCGCATCTCATCATCAGATAATCCTTACCACTTGGATGTTTTGGTTCTTGTGCAAGTTACTGATATGTTGTGTTCTTCTCTTTCATTCTTATTTTCATGAATCTGTGCTATGCTAATTGTGAATTTTAGTTGTCATATTCCAGAATGTGGTTTCACATTTTCTTTTTTTTGATGTATGTATTGTTTTCCATGCAGAGGGTGTCTTTGCCATTATCATTCCTCTTCATCAGTGCATTTATTGCTCACGGTGGTGGTGAAATCATGGGAACCACATTCAATACTCAGATTTTGGTGGAGAAGCTGGCAAGGATGAATTGTTCACAGCAAAGTATTGAGAGTATCCTTGGCTTTTCTATGGTGGTGGCCAGTTGGCCAGTTGCATGCCGTTCTCCTTGTTTCCTTATCATTGCAATTGTCGATAATTTTGATATTTTTTTTCCTTAAAGCAATTAAGCGCTATCACATTGGTGTATTTTTCACATGCACAAAGCCAAACAAGTTGTTGAAACATGGGATAGACAGTTTCATTGTTCTCCTCGTGAGCAGAGATTGGCTTTTCTATATCTTGCAAATGACATACTTCAGAATAGCAGGCGAAAGGGTTCAGAGTTTGTTGGTGAGTTCTGGAAGGTTCTCCCTGATGCACTTCGAGATGTGATTGAAAGTGAAGACGAGTTTGCAAGGAATGCAGCTATAAGGATGGTAAGCTTTTTTAAAGTGCCTGTTGAATATAGTATTTGTGTTTTACCCATTGGTTTTGTACTATTCTATAAATTTTCCTGTGTTTCTGATGTTTATTCTAGCTTTGATTCTTTCCAATGCGTGACCTAATCCATCGTTTATTTGCAAACAAATTATGCTTGTCTGTAGGCAGAGTTTTCAGATTCTAATACTGGTTATTCACTGCATATCAATAAAAAGGAAAATAAGGAAATAGGAGGAAAGGTTTCTATCTATCATCTTGATTTTTCATTAAATGTTGTATTGATAGGATGATTTCAGGTCTACACTATGGCTTAATAAAATAAAAATAAAAATAAAGAAAGTAAATCAATATTTTTGCTAATGCAAGGTGATTATTATATGAGGAAGACTGGAATGCTAAATTGTATGTTCTGAATGCTTTAAGAGATAACAATTTTAGTCAATTTTGACAAAAAAAAGCAGAAGAATCTTTGTAGTATTCATATGTTATTAAATGTTGAAGTGGTGGCAACTTTAATAGTGTCTTCCCTTTAAAATCAAATGTAGAGGTAACCTTGATCAGCTGTTATTATTCAAATTGTTTGCTTATGGTGTTTCGCTCAAGTCAATTTTATTAAATGCAGGTTAGTATATGGGAGGAGAGAAAGGTCTTTGGTTCTCGAGGGCATATTCTGAAAGAAGAGTTTGTAGGAAAGCAAGCTGATAATGGTAATAGGGAAGGGAAACATCACACAATGTACAAACTGGTACTTGCATTTCTCTTTGTCCAATTTATGTATATTGTAAGTCCTATAATAGAAATTTTTGCAGGTGGGATGAGTCATTTTTGTTTATGCTTTCTGTTGTCTTTTCAAGCAGAGACAAGTAGCTGGAAGTGCTTTGGACAGAATAGTTTCAAGTTATCAAATTGTTTCTGGTGGGCAAGTGAATGAAGATTCTGTAATGTCGAAATGCAGGAATGCAATAAGCTGTATTGAGAAAGTTGGCCAGGAAGTTGGAGGTGATTCTAGATCAGGTCGGTAGCAGGTTTCTAAGTGGTCTTTTTATATACATGCCAAACTAGATATTCTGATCGAGCCATCAACAGCAAGTCTTTATTCCACTATGTGGGGTCGGCTTCTTGATTTGGACTACACAAGTTCAAATTAATAATTAATGAAGAAAGTAGGGAAAAGATGGGAAAGATGTGCCCTACATAACTGAAATAAACAGCTTGATCTTTTTGGTTAATCTTAAGTGTGGTATAGGGGAGATCTATACTAGTTTATTGGGGAAGCTTGGTTGCAGTGTTGTAAAAGTACAGGACGCAAACCAGCTGAAAATTTAGGCTTCAACCGTTCAAGAGCTTTCAGGTTGACTCGGGGTGATTTTGTTATTGTTATTATCACCATCGTCATGATGACATCATCATCATCATCATCATGATGTTCATTCTTTTTTTCTTTAGCAAAAAATTGTTTCAAACCCCGGAATTTGACTGGTGTCGTTGGTTCTGTCTTTCTCAATCCAGACTGAAGTACTGAACACACTACTTCCCTGTCAAACCAATGGGTCCTCTCTGGGTTACAACACTGATACAACGGTTCTCTTGATTTGTATACAGGGCCACTTAATTCTGGATCAGTTAGTGTGGATGAGGTTAAGGGGCAGCTTTCCGTATTGAGGGACTGTATTGAGCAGCTGACTTCGATTGAGTCATTAAGGGCTAATCTCGTGACATATCTGAGAGAGGCTCTTCAGGAGCAGGTTTTATTATAGTGTTGCCAGATACAGGCTTAAATTTTCTGTAAATGAAGTATTCTTGATGTTTTTATTCTTATTTACTAATTAAAGGTTTGCCTTTTAGGAGTATAAACTTGATCAAGTGCGCAATCAGCTGCAGGTAATTCAGTACGCTGCAACTTTGTTTCCAGAAAAGTTATTGTGTAAATCAAACAGTCCTGGAGATTGTTTTGATTAAGACAGGAGATGGATATCTTCCTATCTGTCATGTGCCCTCATATTAATTTAGTGATGAATAGAAAACATTTCACTGGAATTTATGGGATGTGGTCCAGACCATGGGGGTAGTCTTTTACCCGCAAAAGCATATTTTGAGTTATTGTGTACAACAACATAGCCGGTACATTCCCCGCTTCATTGGGTCTGGAGGGGGTTATGCAGTCTTACCTTTGTATTTCAACGTAGAGAGGCTGTTAAAGTACGCCCCTACATGGATTGGTGTGTTTGATGGATTGATTTCCTGCCACTCTCTAAATAAAGAAGCACCGGAATTCAATCGAGTCATTTTGATCTAGTCCATTATTACTATAAAGCTGAAAGAATTGTCAATGTGGATGCTCCAGTTCCATTGGCGATGGACAATGAGTTATTTTGCATCTTAAATGTATATTATTGCAGGTTTTGTTTTTGACCTTTCTTTGTGAATAATTTTATTTTATTTTCTTCCTTTTAGGCTGCTCATGTCCACTCTGAGCAGGCGGATGATATCTGCAGACGGTTCATAAGCAGCGACAGTGGTGCTGAACAAGACTGCAAGGAAACTCACCTTTCTCCACCCCTTGATTTTGCATCATCTGGAAATAAAGAGCAATCGGCTCCTGTAATGTACAGCGGACAGGTCTCATATAGTGAAAAACCAGTTGAAGAAGAACCAAAGTCTGCTGCTGCTGCTGTGGCTGCAAAGCTAACAGCATCATCGTCCTCAGCGCAGATGTTGACTTATGTACTATCTTCCCTGGCATCCGAGGGCGTTATAGGAAATCATGCGAAAGAATCCTCTTCTTCCTCTGGCGATTATCTTCACTCTGAAAAACGGCCTAAGCTTGAGAACAATGACCATACCTTGTATATCCCTCAGAACCCTCAAGGCCATCAGACGGCGGTTCCACCTTATTCCCAACCAGAGCAACCTCCACTTCCGCCCTCATCTCCTCCACCATTGCCACCTCTTCCACCGATGCAGCCATATCCTGTACCACAATATATGCCATCTGCTGCTGCAATGAGTACTGGACCTTATGGATATGGAGCAATTCAGCAGCTACAGTCGTCACCTAGTTATCCTCCTCCTGGTCCTCCAGGTAATGGGTTCCCGGCCTCAGTCCCGGTTCCGTCAGGAAGTGCATACCAGAACTATCCTGCTGATGGTGGTAATAGCTTCTATAGTCAGCCGATGGCCCCTGTAACTCGTCAGTGAGTTTAGTATTATTATTTCTTTTCCTCATCGCTGCATCGCTTAGGGAGCTAACAACATTTCAGGACAAAGAGCATTCGTGTTGGGGGGCTCTTTCTGCATTTATAAGTTGAAAGTTTGTAGGGATTTTTGAACAGGAACATTGTTTGGGGAGTTGTTTTTTCTTTTGACTTGGTAGAGAACAAAAACATGGTGATGGAATACAATTGGGGGAGGGAGAAGGGGGTGTCGAAGTTTTGAATCTTGGTATACTTCCCCTTTTGAATTTAGAATATTGTAAGTAATGTGTAATCTTTATTGTTGGTTTTGAAAGAGGGGTAAAATGAAAACTTTTGGTGTGGGGAAAAGGAAAATGGGTAGTCTAGCAAGTTTCCTTCCCCATATTTATTTTTATTTGATGTGAGTGAGTGTGTATGGATGAGTAATATAGTTCAAGTCTGTTGTTTTGTTGTACCGGAAATCGGAGGAGCAATTTGATTGTGTTTCATCAATGAAGACCGGAGATGAGAAAGAGAGAGAGATAGGGGTGTTTGATTGGTTCAGGCTGAGAGGAGGGAAAAGGCAATTTTGGAATGGCAAAAAAAGTATTCAAATAGCTTCCTCTGTTCCAAACTCATTAATTCTTATAAGTGAAAATTAGTGTGACGCAAAAGCTGCAGTGTGATACATACCGGGAAATACATGTAGGATCTTATATGTATGACACTGGTAATTAATGGTGATATTATCTACGAATTATATAAACGTAACCCTGACCGAAATAGTAGTACCGCATATAATTGGATTCGTTAATTCAGCTCTGCTTCCTTCCTTCCTATTAACCTACTCCATGTCTCAAAAATGGTGCTGGTCCTCATACTTTTTTCTTCTTATCTTACTTTTAATGTCTACAGGCCGAATGAGAAATTAAACTAAAACAGGGTTATTTAAATTTGAGTTACAAAACGTTTAGTTCTTAACAGGAAAGCTTACCTCTAAAAAATCAAAATCAAATGTTTTTTTTTTTCTTTTTGTTTTTCCATTGGAGGTACCTCGCTACTCGGTGAATTGTAGGCGGTATCTTAATGGGTGAGACAGCCGGCAGACAGCTGGCCAAAATATTTAAGATTGTTCCTTGTCTATAACGAAATTTGAACCCTTGACATACAATTAAGAGTGAAAGAGTCCCTTCCACTCTATCAAAACCATTTTAGTTGGAGGATATGAAATTATGAATACATAAACGAACCAGTCTACCACTAAATTTTACTCCTGCGTATTACTGACTCAAGAAAAAAAAAAACAAAATAAAAATACGTGGCGTACTTCACCAATTATAGAATAAATTATTTTATTAATTTTTTTCATAATAATAATAAAAAATTCAAAAGCAGCAGTGGTTCGGCTTGAAATCGGAGTTTTTTGTTTTGAATTATGTCGGCAGCTCTCAGCAGCAGCCCACAACCCAACACTGTAATCAAAATTTCATCCCAATTTCAGAAATAGAAAGGGTGGGGGGATTTTTATTTCATAATTATTTATTTAAAAAAATACTTTATTAGTTTCAACTGCTGCTGCTAATTAAAGAGGTCGGAGTTTCTGGTGGTCAATGCCGGAGGAGGACTTGGTGGAGCTCAAGTTCCGTTTGTACGATGGATCAGACATCGGTCCTTTCCGATACTCGCCGGCTTCTACCGTTGCTATGCTCAAGGAACGTGTCCTCTCCGAGTGGCCTAAAGGTCCTTTCTTCTTTTCCCTTTCTTTCTTTTGTTTGTTGGAAAAATTAGGGTTTTAATTAATTGATTCTTTCTTATAAAGCATGTCCCAACTTTGGTACGCATCACTAGTATCTGATTATACATCACATAATTCTGGTGGAGGAAAAAATCTCTTCTGTTTACGTGGTGCTTCATTTGATGGCTACCTGGAGAATTTTCTTCGGAGATTTTAACGTTAATTCCTACCTTCCTCTTAAATTTTAATCTGAATGTTAGGGAGATGGGATGATAGTCGACATCTTTTAGCCTGATATCTACGGAAGTGGAAGGGAAAGCTTAGACCTCAATTGTTTTATCAACTTGTCCCTTTTTGCCATGTGTGAGACTCTGGGCTTTACCTGTGGATCATTTAAAGTTCATGTCCCCTTGTAAGGTTTGTCTTATCGTGATTTTGGTGTATGTAGAGACGGGGCGGGGGAATAATTGCTCAAGAGATACCATCCATCACCTGGACATGAAAAAGCCTGAACTTTTATTTATAATGACTTCTGTTTTTAAGCTTCTGCTAGGATTTTTTTTTTTAAAAAAAATATTATGGGAAAGTAGAATATCAATTACGCTGACTGTGATTTGCTTCTTGAAATGTAAATTATGCAGAAGTTAGGATCAGACGTCCCCTCTCTTGAGTATGTTGTTTGTCTTAGCTTTTTTTGTTTTCGCTTGGACCTCTCCCCCAATTTTGCTTCTGACCAGTTGATGTGTTCTCACAGATAAGAAAATCGCGCCTAAGTCCGCTAATGATGTCAAATTGATATGTGCCGGGAAAATACTGGAAAACAACATGACTGTTGGCCAGTGCAAGATGCCTTTTGGAGACTTACCCAATGGCGGAATCACAATGCATGCTGTTGTTCAGCCATCTTTAACTAAAGCAAGGACAGGTCGTTCCCCTTATAACTATCTCTTTATCCCCCAAACTAAAGTTCAGGCTTTCTTTGCCATGGAACTGTGGCTTTAATTTTTCATTGTTTTGACTTGATTATTTATGCATTGTGTTCCCATTTTATGTTGGTAAAGTGACAGTTTCCTTGGCTTCTGGGTTTATATCTTTCATTCCAAGTCTTTTTTCGCTGTTTGATGTTAAGGTTGATAAATAAAAGAAAACTACTCCCTCTGTCCTGAATGATTGTCCAGTTTGGGTTTTCACTTTTAGTTCAAATTGTACTCAAAATGAAAATCCGAACTGGATGATCATATTGGGACAGAGGGAGTACTTTTGAATGATGATGGCGTAGGAGTACCCGTTAGATTTATAGCAACTTCTGAGGATATTGTGCCAGCTTCACGTGAACCCCTTTTGAAGACTGAATTGGAGTGAAATGTGATGGTTATGTGGAATACAAATGATACATTTAGATCTTAGTGTAATAAGTTTTTCATAGTTGTAGTTGCTTCAATGTCTTATTTTTCAGATTTGACCTTGAGAGGTCAAAGGAAGAAGCCGCTGTCTCAATCTATCATCAGTTACTGTTGAAGTTTAGATTGAGATTGCTGCTTTAATTATTCTTATTATTATCAGTTAGAGACTTGACAGGGAGATAAGTTTAATCTTTATTACCTGAAGTACTTTCTTAGGGTTCATTTGATGTCTTTTAGACAGAATTGTGCTGTTCTTTTTCTTGTTAGACGAGCATTCTTCTTCTATATCTTCATTATTGAGACAAACTTACTGTTGTATATTTCTAGCAGAGTCTTTATTACCGCTGATGTAGTGTTTTTGTCCTGGATCCAACAGAAAAGAAGGTCGATGAGACTCCAAAGAAAGGCATATGTACCTGTTCCATATTGTGAGATTGTAAGTTTGTCTTGTGGAATTTATAGGAGAAAAAGGAGATTTGTAATCATTGATGAACTACCTCATTGTTATATGTAATTGGTCAGACAGTTTCCATGTTATAAAGATGTATGCATTCCGTAGGCTTTGGTCTTTCTTTTCCCATCCGTATTTGTAGCTGCAGAGTCACTCATCATGAATTCAGACCTGTTGCTGATAGTTCCACTGGAATATGGTGTTTAGATCGGTGCAGATTTCGATGGTGTACATGAAGTTGCTTCCTTCTAATGCCCCGTTGGCGCTCTTTTAGTGGAAGCATGTGAATTGATTATCCCCTTACAATTTTTGTTCCCCGCACATTTGGTTGCCATCTCGCAAGAAAGGTGTCATCATCCTTCTGCTGTGTTTTCGACATGTCAAATTTGTATTTGTATAATTTAGCAACAATGTTATTTGAAAGTTTGGGCGTACAGAGATGTGGATTAAAAAATGAGGAGCATCCTTTCTCCGGTATACCCTTTAAAGGTTCCAGATTTAGTGAAGCTATATTGGTTTTCCAGCTTTTCCTGCCACAAGCGTCAAGTCAAGTTAATATCTTGTCACCAATTAACATCTGCTAACCCATCGAATGGTATGGTGCCTTGAACAAATGCGAATATTATTAGGTTTCTGTTGCATACACGAGGGGATATATAGGGTTTGGGTATATAATATTTGAATTGTAGTAAATAATGAAATTTTCCTAACTAATCCTACATAATTCCTACTTACAAGAAAGTAGAAACCCCTTTGTTGACAGAGTGAAAAAGGTCAAGATTAAGATTACCCATATCATCACGGGAGCAAACTTCAAAGACAAAGAAACAAGGAGAGCTGAACAGAAGTCGAGATAAATCATTATAGGACTCTCAAAGTCTTCATCAGCATCTCCATGCAGAAGCAGCAAGGATGGCTCTGTCCTGCCATCCCAGAAGCAAGCAACCTTTGTCCTCTGTCAACCTGTAACCATCACAGGAATACAATCCCAACAATATTTTTGATTGAGTAACTGCATTGGTACTCAGAGGTACCCCTTTGAACCCTTTCCCTTCCATGATCTTCCTCCATTTGTCCAACCTCTCGTGTCTTGCGGTCCTCTCAACACCCTCATGCGCCACAATGTTCCTAATCTCTGGTGCAAATATGTACTGCTCCACCTTGGCTCTCTGTGCAGAATCCGGGGGAAAGGTTGCGTCCAAGGAGTCAAATATGGCCGAATAGTAATGCAAAGCCTCGAGAAATCTGCCCAAGAAGTAAGGCCCGTTGTGGCTGGCCTCTTGCTCAACAATGGTCACGACGTTCGGCGCTTGATCTCTGATCATTCCTAGAAGATTACCGAGGGAGTTGACAGGCACGAGATGCAGCCGGTTCACTGAGTTGACTGCCAGCGCCTCGCCTACTCTTCTGTTGAACATGTGTGGTTTTAGGTCTTCCAGCTGTTCTGCAACTGGATGAAACTCAAAGGGGATGTGAAGAGAGTGAGCTAGCTCTGTCAAGCATCTGCCGGTCTCCCTCACGCCCTCGGGAGAGGGCCCTACGCCAGTTATTCTTAAAAATGGAGCACCGCCGGGCCTAGCTGCCAGAGCTTGCATGAAAGCCGGCCATTGGTAGCCTTGCAGGATGTCAAGATCAATTACGTGTACTCTCTCTTCGGCTTCAAAGGCCTCAAAGATGGCTTGATTAGCTGTGAAATGAGCAAATTTGATGTAGGGACAAGCTTGGTATAGTATCTGGTAAATCTTTAGGATTTCAAGAGAGTTTGGAGGGAAAGGTGTAAATGGTTTTGGACCAGAAGAAGAGGAGGACGAGGTAGTAGCAGTAGTGCTATTATTAGTAGGTTTTGAAGCTGCTGTTAAGGTGGCTGCAAGCCTTGCACCTAAGGCTTCAGCAAAGCAGGAAGCCACACGCTGCATTGAATCTCCAAGTGGTGTGACAACCCTATTGAGATGGTGAAGGTATCTTCTGGCCAACATGTAGTCTTCTTTTGCTACTGCTTCTGCGCAGGCGAGGAGAAGATGAACCAGGCGCAATCCGCTGTCCTGTTCCTGTGGGTATGTAACTATTCTCATGAAATCATAAACAGTATGGAGAAAAAAAGACACTACTCTGTGTTGCCTGTTATGATATTTGTAAATATATATTCTTACGGACGATATCTATAGATACATTCTGGATTCATGTAGGTACAGGATCTTCTTGTCAGTAGTATGACAAAAAAAAAAAAAAGGAAAAAAAAAAGAAAAAAGAAAGAATAAGTCTACAGTTCCACCGTTTCACCAATACTCGATCTGCATATTTGGTTTGTTCTGAGAAAATGAATTGAGTTCCAATCCAAACCCAGTTAACAGTTAACTTCAGTTAGGCTATTACATAACTCACATGGATTATGTAGCAACATCTTATTTAATTATTCCCTTCAGATTTGTTGCATAAGATGCGAAATGAAAATACTGGTGAAAAGAGAAGGCAAAGTTTGTTTCAGTTACCTGTTCTGGTCCGAAAGAAAGAGGAACCATCAAGGTGGAACCGGTCATGTTCTGCATCGGCTGCGGCTGCTGCAGTTGCTGAGTTTGATGATGATGATGCTGTTGCTGCTGCTTTCGCTGCTGCTGCTGTTGCTTCTCATGCTGCCTTTCCTGTTGTAATTGATGGATTAATGGCGCCCCGTTGCTGCTGGGGCTCATCGGATAACTAACACTGGTGGTATCATTATTGGAAGAACTTTCTTGGGTGGATGACAAGAGTGAACCAGAGCAGCGGGAGATGGCAGCCGAAGCATCAGGCATTATCAGGCACTCTAACAACTCAGGAACCGATGAAAAATCAAAACAATCATGTGATGAAGAAATCCCCCCAACTTCATCATTGTCTTTGTCAAGATCATCTAAGAATTCGAGAGCAGGCAAGGAGAGAGACTCGATCTCCATGTACTGATTGGTTGGGGAGTTCATGAGAACCCTGTGAATAGGGCTCATGCCCTTGATGTTGTTGTTGTTCCCGCCTTTAAAACCACCAATGTAATAGTTACTGTTGGGTGTGGCGCTGTTGTAAGGTTGGGGGAGGGGTGAGCGTACTGGGGATGACAAGGACATGATGACGCTGTGGGCAGAAGGACTAGGACAGGGGGAGCAACCCATGGGAATTGGATGATGGGCATCGTCGTAGCTAATCAGACAGTGGGTTCCACCATCATCGTCATTGTCCAGGCAGCAGGATTGATGAGGGTGATTATGATTAGGGAAACAGGATGAGGAAGGATGGGACTGAACAGGAGGGAGGTTCCTGACAGGAGAAGATACCATGAAGTCACCTTCAAGCTGATCAGCAAAAAACTCCCACAGAGAATGTTCAGCTGCGGCGGCAGACTGATTAATGTTTTCAATCACCCCCTTCTCATCATCATCCAGCTGTGGCTGTTGATTACGAGGAGGAGGAATCAGGCTGGTTTCCATCTTGGGGATTTGGTCATTGGTGATGATGCTGCAACTATTGTTCTTCTGATCATGGCCCTTGACAACCACACTAGTAATTGTGGCGGTGATATTATTAGTAGTAGTGTTACCGTTTGAAATACTGCTGCTGATTTGGAAGGCCCCAACTTCACTGCTTTTCAAACTCCCCATGCTCTTTCTGTAGCTGAGCACATCAGCTTACTGATCATTTACGTATAATAATATGGTGATAGGAATAATATTCACAGTTGGATTGGTTGTTTTTGCGAATTTGGAATTTGGATGGGGTGCATTAGCATATAATGGGGATGGCAGGCAATTTCAGAGTTTGTCTCATCTCTCTCCAGTTAATCCCACAAAAAAAAAATTGTTTTGGCTGCTTTGGCTAAGATGGAAACATTTATTAGGACCAAGACAACTATACTTTTTTAAAAATCACAAGGCTTTTAAAAATTAATCAAAAGGTTTTTGTGTTTTTTATTTTCATTGCCACCCCATCGGATCTTGTACAAAATCATAATCATTTAGGCCAACATTTTTAATTTTATGCTCAGTGTGAATCCATACATAACTACATCATCATCTGTCTATACAAACTTTTTAAATTTTTATTTTTTTTTTAACACAAACATGTGATTATTACACCTTTCGTTCCAAAAAAAAAAATAGTTCACTGCGATTCTTTTTTTTTGGTAAATTAAAAAAAGTAAAATAAATTTAAAAAAGAAACAGTGACACACCCATACTTTGCTTTTCTTTTTTTTTTTTTGGTAAATCACATACTTTGTTTTATTAGACTCATCGTGTGAATTCCCCCACACTCTCGCACACGAAAATAGTAATACATTAACCAAAAAAACACATAATTTAAAAAAGAAAGAGAGGGAGTTCTGTTTTGTTGTTTAGCAAAATCAGCGGCCCCCACCATCGTTGGGCCGGCCCAACAAGAACAAGGACTTTTACAATGTGTCGTCTCGTGATTTCATTTGATAATAATATTTTATTTGAGAATTTTGGCAACTTTCCGCTTTCATTGTTTGACGCCTTCGAAAATTCCTTCTCCTTTCTTTTTTCTTTTCTTCTTGAGATTAAAAATTAATACTCCCTCCGTCCCATAATTATTGTCCAATTTAAATTTTTAATTTTAGTTCAAATTATACTAAAAATAAAATCTCAATCTGGACAATAATTTTGAGAAAGAGTGAGTAATAATAACAAATGCCCCTTTATTACCATACTACTATAGTTTGTGAAATCTGGTGATAATAGCTTCTTTACTTGTATAATCTTTCTATTAACATTATTGCTCCGGCTGACTCTTATTATAAGACATTTTGATATTATCTTAGACTTCATCTAAGATATATATTTTTAATTAAAATAAAAATCTTAAAAATATTTCCGAATAATTAGGAGAATGCAACGAATGTAAAAATATAGTTTTAAGATTTTTTCTTAAATTAAAAAAATATCTTATGTGAAACCTATGACAAAATCAAAATGACTTATAATAAGGATCGGAGGGAATATTATTTCTGGTTCGACTTTGTAACTTTGCTTAATTGTTAACGAGTCTCTTTGCTTAATTGTTACACTGTAATTAAATGGTCCGCTGACTGTGCAGAACTTTTATCTAATAGCAATTCATTTAGAAACTGAGGGAGTTCGTATACACTGAAAAGGAAAGAGAAAATGAAAAATATGATACATATATAGAGTTTATGTGGCACGGTTAACCTTGAAATGCCCGGGTACGTAGTGAAGTGGAAGGAACACAAAGATAGTAAATCTCATAGTTCCAGTGTAAGATTAATCAAGTTTGTAAGATTTCTGTGGGTCGACAAAATTTGCATAGATAATGTAAAAAATGAAATTTTTTTCTTCGACATTGAAAACCAATGAACTAGGAATTAGCCGAGTTTAGGGTGGGATGTTGCCGAATTTTATGGTCTCAAAAAAATGATTTTTTTTTAATTATACTAAATAAAATAAGATTACACGACAAAAGAAAAGTTTTTTTTAAAAAAAAACTAATATAAAAGTTATGAGATGTGATAAAGTAACAGAATGATTGAAAACGTTACGCAATTTAAATACGGAGTGAGTCATATAGTTTTCCTAGTTTGTATCGACTTGGGTATATAAACCCCAAAAAGCACTTCGATCATTCATTCTCCACATATTAAACAAAATGAAGGGGATGGTACGCAATGAATTATAGACGTGAGGATCAATGAGAGAGTGTGGTGTGGAGTAGAGAACAAAACACACAACAAACTCAAAAGACGAAGGGATACTTACCAAATCTACATTTAAATAATTTGGAAAGGGGAGATGAAATTGAGGACGAGGGAAGCTTTGGGATAACGTAAATTAAGTTGTACTAATTCCAAATCAATCAACTGATTACTACTTCTTGTTCGTCGTATTCACCACCTCAACTCCACTACATGTGTTTTGATCGTGGACAAGTTTGGGGTACATCGGCAACCCCGTCGTCTCATCCAACGTCGGTGGCGTCGCCTTTAACTTTTTATTTACTAATAACTCTATTAGACGTAAAGTACGTGTGTGCGCCCCTTCGGATTTCCCAATTCAAATTGTCCTTTTTTGTGTTTGTCATTCATTTATCTTTTAAAATTCTCCAATATAATACAGTACAAAATTCAAAACAAAATGTGGATTATTTTTGTGGGACGGAAGTAGTAACATTATATTTCTGTTCCAAAAGTAAAATAATACTAGTGATTCAAAAAACTCAAATGTAACCTACTCCCTCTTATTCTTAAATTTAAGGATTTTTTATTTGTCCTGAATTTCATGTAGTACATATTTTTAATTGATAAAAAAAACCTTAAAAATATTTATTGACAGTCAAGAGAACACAACGAATGTGAAAATATATTTTTAAAAACTTTCTTTTAATTAAAAATACATACGAGGTGAATTTTAAGACAAATATTGCCTTGTATTAAGAACCAGAGGGAGTATTTTTTTAATTTTTTAAGGCAGTAAGATCAATATCTCCCCTGTCAGTTTTGCTCCTAATCCTCACATTTTATTTTCTTTCCGCCACTTTATTCCTCTCTGATTTTATGAATTACTCTCTCTATCCCATAATGATAGTCCAGTTTGGTTTTTTATTTCTAGTTTAAATTGTACTAAAAATGAAATTTCAAACTGGACAATAATTTTGGGACGGAGGAAGTATATTTTTTCTATCTCTACACATTGATGCTCTTTTTTCCTTTTTAAATACTAAAGTTGTCTCTATAATCGATCATCATTATTTACTAAAAATGCGACCATACCTATCTGGGTTTTTGTTTGTCGTGGGTTCCGGGTGGCAAATAAGCAGAAGAGAGGACTCAAAGTATTCGTTACATTGAGAGGCCATGTATGCTGGTTTGCTGATGTCCACTGGGCAATTCTTAATGGGTTTTGTGTTGAGAACTGCCGTTCTCAATTCTGGACGGCCTTGTTCCTTTCCCCTTTCACCTAATTAATTTTTGAGGAAAAGTACCTGTTTCACCTAATTAATTACTTCATCAGTTCTCACTTCTCAGATAACTGTTCAATTTCAATTCTCATTTTTTTAGTGTACGGAGTATAATATTATTAGTGTACTAAAACTCAAAATGTCAATCATGATAATCATTTATGGGATTATAGAAGAAATACTAATGTTATAAATCCTGTTCGTGCATGCATTTGTTGGGAACGGAATACTTGGGCTGTGGTTGGACTACTTTCATTCTTTTTTTCTTAATTTATGTCATGTGGTTTAATCAATCAAGTTTTATCACAATATATGTATATTCGTGCATTAAATTTTGAAATGCTGATAGGAGAGAGTGATGTCGATTGACTAGTGTTTTGCGTAACCCGTTGTAAGTTGTAACCTTTTATATTGTATTTCTGTTGTCCAAAATTATTGTGTAGTTTGGATTTTCACTTATAATGCAAATTGAATTAGAAATGAAAATACAAATTAGACAATACTTTTGAAATGGAGGGAATATATCATAAGTATTAAATTTCTTTTAAAGGATACCCAGATACCTATATTACACTCTATTATATTCACGTAGTATTTTAATTTTTTGAGACTAATCTTAAACAGAAAAGAAAGGAGATTAATGTGTGTGTGTGTGTTGGGGGAGGGGAGCGATCATCCAAGAGAAAATTGGTGGGGGCGCATCCGTCGATTCTCCGACTTTAATTTTTGATTTTGTAGCAGCGAATATTTACGTATTCTTTGACGGGGATCTTCTGAATTCAATTTGATTTATTTTCCTGGCGGTGATTTTAAGGTAATGTTTCAATTTGATTTAGTTTATGATTTCAATTTGATTTAATTTAAATCTCATCGGCTATCTCGTATGAATTGGAACCTCACCAACAATAGCGTATAAATGGTTTCACAACAATGAGATTTATTGCATTTTTTGTGTTTGTTTTGGTCTGACAGATGAATTGTTCAGAAGGAAGATTTGCTGCCATTGTTTCTTATTCAAGATAAGAATTAGATGATGAAAGCATCGTTAATCTAGGAGGATTTGACGAAAGTGTCGTTTCTGTTTGCGGCGAACATGAATTTCTTTACTTTTGGTCTCCTTTCAATATTATGAATATTTTTGATAAATTTTTAAGGTCATTTACTGCGATTCCTGTATATTTTCTGCCATGAGCATTGTAGTTTCATAAGATAAACATTTTGAATTTTAGATGAACTGTAGTTCATGAAGAAGTACAATATTAATTTGTTATACTGCTATGAGTATTGTAGTTTCGTGAGATAAATATACTGTTATTGTACGTTGTTTTTCCCCTTTTCCTGTGACTAACAAAAAATGCAGGCCAAGATGCACATCGTAGTTTTACAGGATGAGCACGATGCAGTACAAGATGCACTTTCATGTCTGTTTAGAGTTTAGGGTTTAGGGAGAATGGGGATTTAAGCATTTCAATTATAGGTTAGGGTTTAGTTTGTGCGGTAAAACAATTAACTTTTAAATTTTTTTAAGCCGATTAGGCTATACGAGACACTAGTTTAATCGGCTTAAATAAATTTCAACCAAAATTAAAAAAATTAAAGAATATGCATTTTTCGTGTCGGTTTAGGGTTTAGGGTTAAGGATTTAGGAGGGTTTAAACATTTCAATTATATGTTAGGGTCTAGTTTCTGCCGGGAAATGATAAACCTTTTAAATTTTTTTAAATCATAAATTTTTTTAACCAAATTATAAAAAAAATTTAAAAAATTCATCTCTGTGTCAGTTTAGGGTTTAAGCATTTCAATTATAGGTTTGGGTCTAGCTTCTGCAAGAAAACGATTAATCTTTTAAATTTTTTTAAACCAATTACGTTAGGGTCTCGTTTAGCCTAATCGGTTTTAAAAAAATTTCAACCAAATTAAAAAAAAATTAAAAAATTCACAATATGAAATGAGCAAGACACTCTATGAGGATGAACATCACAAGATGAACAATAATCTATATGAAATGAACAAGACACTCTCGGATGATGAACATGACATGATGGACAATAATCCATATAAAGGAGCAAGACATTCTCATATGATGAACAATCATATATATTGAAATATACAACTAATCACCATTGGATGAACATCACATGTCGGGTCATTTGAGTCTGACAATTCATTTATTATAGGTTTGACTCTCATTCTTCTACTGTAACAATTGATGGATGAACATCAATTTTCTTAAAATTCATATATGCACAAGAATAAGCTCCAAATCGCGAAGAACTATTATGTCAATAAAACTTTAGGTACTTTAAACAATGTTCGAGTTACTTCAACAATTGAAAATAATAAATAAATGTAAAGGTTTGTTGAAGAAATATATAACAGCAAGCAAATTCACACCGAAAAAGTTTAGATCTACGAATATTCGACGGAAAAATAAAAATAGAAGAAAAAAAAAATCACCAGAGTCTATGGATTTTGCAGAGATGTACCGCGGAGATGATGATATGTGATGAAGATATGCGAATTTGAACGCAACGATTCGCCGGAATGAGGTTTCGAAGATTTTGGATGAATTTCGCCGGAAGAAATAACGACGCCGAGAGAAGATTTGGGGAGAAAAGCCTGGATTATTATTTTCTCTTCTTCAGAAAATCATGCTTATGTATATTTTTTCGATGCGGTGTCATTTTTGTAATTTATAGAAAATTGAGTGCAAATGGAGCATGTGATATTAAAACCCGGGAGCTCTGGGTGTCCAATATATTAATTGGGTAGGGGGGAAGGGGTCCATCTGAAGATCCAAAACAAAATGGAAATAATGAATGTGATCCAAAACATCCACCACCACTACAAGCTTCCAAAATGGCTTCACATGATGGAGGACTCTTATTGTTCTATTTTATTAGGACATTAAAACACAATCCTCCGCACACACAACACCCTCCATACACTCTGCAGACATTAGTTGTTGAGGTAGACTAGTAAATTGGCTTTTTTGGGAACTTAATTATAATTATATGTCGAGGGGAGAAAAAAAGAATGAATTGAATGATGCAAAGATGAAAATGGGTGAGGAGTTAGGAAGAAGGGTTGTGATGGCGTTATTAGTAGCAGGTTGTTTGTGGGTATTATTAACATGGGGGGTGGTTGGGGGAGGAGTTGAAGCAGTTAGAACCATCAACGTTGGGAGTAGTGCTCCTCACATCACTGTAATGGGTATGGTTTACTGTGACATTTGCTACAACAATTCCTTCTCCACCCACAGCTTTTTCTTGCCAGGTAATTTTTTTTTTTTGGTTAGTCTTCTTCTTCCTCTGTTAATAATTAGTCCATGATGATACATACTATATCCTTCCAAGCCTCGTGTATCTTCTAAATTTAATTCGGTTGGAGAATTATGTATATACACGGCCTCATCATATCTTATTCTTTGATTTGATGCGCTAGCTAATATTAGAAAAATGTTTTATATATATAAAAAAACACGCACACACACACACACGCACACAGGGGTGGAAGTGAGAATAGATTGCAAATTCAAGGCACATTCTGCCACAACTTCCGAAGACATCACGTTTTCAGTGAACCGAAGCACCAACAGGTATGGAATTTACAAGCTCCAAATCGGGTCCGTGGATGGGGTCAATTGTGCCGCCGGCTTCGGCAACTCCTGCCGCGCTACTCTACTCTCCCCCTCCACCGCCGCCGCCGCTTGCAGTGTCCCCGGTTCCACCACCACCTCCGATGAAATTACCATCGAATCCACACTCTCCAACACTTGCATTTATAGCCTCACCGCTTTGAACTATAGACCTCCGTCTCTAAACCTCACCCTCTGTCCTCCTCCCTACTAGCTACTAGCTACCTACCACCACTTTCTACTTTTCTTTTCTTTTCTTTTTTGTATCGAGTGGTATTTGTACTGTTATTATTAATTCGTTATTATTATCGATACATTGCTATCTATATATTACAATGAGCCAATGACCCCAAAAAAATAAAAAATAAAAAAAAAAACGAATAAAAAGGGTCATTGATGCTACAAAATCGTTATTTGTCTTAAGACAATGTACTGTACTATATTGTTAAATTATTAATTTACACGAATGTGCACAGGCTTAACAACTGTCTCCTCATTATTTTTGTTAGTAGTAGTAATGGTGGTGTGTTGTAAAGTCATGAGCTAGTGATATATCTACAATATCGAAAACAAACCAATTAATCATTCGCGTGCTTTAAAGGATTAATATTATTACTTTTATTCCAAAACATAGTCTCAAAATTTCATAATTCAAAAAATGTGAACTATTTTTTTGAGTCTAGACAAATTATTGACATTTTGTATTTGGTTGATGAACAGTAAGCAGGGGTATAACTGTATTGTTATTATTAATAGTATGGGCAGGCAACAAACTGATGAGCGTGGTGCCGCACTTTTTCCTGGAAACGAAAACAAAGCATAAGTGCTTAACCAAACATGTGTCAATCAATCCTAGGATGTTATGCGAAAAGAATAAACAATTTTTATCCTTATTACAAAAAAAAATGGAAAAGACATAGAAATGAAACCAAACATGTTTTCCAAGATTGTATATAAATGGTCCGCAGAATGGATGAAACAACTTTTACCCTAAAAAAAAAAAATGAAAACATCTCCTTACATTGAGCCGAAAGATAGTAAGTGGACTCATCCGCCAAAACGGTGCTTTTAGTAGCAATCCGGCCTGCTAAGACTTCAGCCACCAAAATTTCACCAAAATGTGCAATAGTAATAATGGACTGCGAGTTTACGGGCTAATGGACCGCGAGTTTCAAACAAATGGGCTGGGATTCCTCCACCACAAAATTTTTGGTCCGTGTCCAACTTAATAAAACTATAGGCTCCAAAACCCTAGTCCCCCCCGATTGTATAAAAACATTCCGCACATGTTCGCTCTTCATTTTACCGCCGCTACAACAGAATTGCAGATCATCCCCGGTAACCCCAATGGTGAGATCTCCCGCCGGTCTTCTCCCCCTTTTCACGCTTGCTTGCCTTTTTCTCTTTTCTTTGCTCTTAGACTGACTGTCATTCGGGTACTCAGGCTGCGAGAATAATTAGGGTTTTTGTTTGCTTGTTTGTTTCGGTTTCAGGCTCCAAAGAGGGGAGTGAAGGCACCAGCTGCTGTCGCCAAGAAGAAAACCGTATGTTTATTTGTTTTCATTTTACTCCAATGAACAACTTTATGCGGTTTTGTTTTATTATTATGATTTTTTTTTATTCTGATTTTCTTATTGTGATTCAAATTATTATGCAGGAGAAGGTTGTAAATCCATTGTTCGAGAAAAGGCCGAAGCAATTCGGGATTGGAGGTGCGTTGCCACCCAAGAAGGATCTGACTAGGTTTGTGAAATGGCCGCTGAACGTAAGGATTCAGAGGAAGAAGCGGGTTCTCAGGCAGCGGCTCAAGGTCCCACCTGCTCTCAACCAGTTCTCCAAAACTCTTGACAAAAATTTAGGTACTTATCTCTTACTCTTTCTTATATTGTCATGATTCTACGCTGCAAATATCTTTCGGTTGTTGCAACACGTCCTTATCTTTCACTTGTTCATCAATTTGGAAGCTTTGATAATTTTGTTGGACTAAAGTTTATTTTCATTAGTTCGTGTTGATGTTAAGCCTCACATGTTTAGACGTTTTGCTTCTGTATTGTGGGTGTGTATTTTCACTGCGTCTTAGTCTTATTGTCCAAATAATGTGTTTGTTTGACGGATATAACATGTTTGAACAAACTTTCTAATCCTGTTGCAATTGTGTTCTTCTTTTCTCCCTCCCTCCCAACCAAAAAAAAAAAAAAAATTGCCTGTGTACATTGTAAAACTTTGTTTTATGCAAACAGGTCAGCTTAAGGTTCATGTCAAACTTAGTGTTGCATTAAACTTAGTGTCTGCTTAAGCTTTATTGATACTATTCAATTTTGATGTGCAGCCACCAATCTCTTTAAGATGCTGCTTAAGTATAGGCCAGAGGACAAAGCAGCAAAGAAGGAGAGGTTACTGAAAAGGGCCCAAGCTGAGGCCGAAGGAAAGACTTCTGAGGCCAAGAAGCCTATTGTGGTCAAATATGGTCTGAAGCATGTGACCTATCTGGTCGAGCAGGTTCTGATCTTATCCTTTTCTGGTTTTTCCTTTTGGCCAATATTACTGTCCTTTCTTGTTTCATTTTATTGGAAGTAGCAACCTGTTCAATAGGCATGTCGTTTTTCTGCAGAACAAAGCTCAATTGGTTGTTATTGCTCATGATGTCGATCCGATTGAGTTGGTTGTTTGGCTTCCTGCCTTATGTCGGAAAATGGAAATCCCCTACTGTATTGTGAAGGGAAAAGCACGATTGGGCAGCGTAAGTTTCATTCTTTGATTCCCCCGCTTCTCCCTTTGTGGGGCCATGTAACTTTTAAATGCTTGTTTTTTTTTTGTTTTTCTTATTTTTTTTTAAAAATTATTGTAGCTTGGATAGTTGATTGATTGAATGTTGGCTTTGATTTTTTTGTAGATTGTTCACAAGAAAACCGCATCGGTGTTGTGCTTGACATCTGTCAAGAATGAAGATAAATTGGAGTTCAGCAGGATCTTGGAGGCTATTAAGGTGGTACCATGTTTTATGTTTATACTTTGGAATATTGATGCCTCGTTCATTCATCACTAGCCGGTTTAGATTTTATAGAGTTGATTGTATAATCTACAAGTGGTATTAAGACTATGTAATAATCTTGCTTTATGTTGTTTTGACAGGCTAACTTCAATGATAAGTTTGAGGAGAACAGGAAAAAGTGGGGTGGTGGAATCATGGGGTCAAAATCCCAAGCTAAAACTAAGGCAAAGGAGAAGCTTCTTGCTAAAGAACTAGCTCAAAGGCTGTCTTAGGGAGATTAGTGGTTTTCTAATTATTGTATCCCTTTGGAGTTTGGATTATAGGCTCTAAGCCCCCCGCCTGTTTTGTCGGTTTGCTTTTAAAGTTTTGCAGCATAGACATACAAATATATAATCTATGTTTGACGTTTTATTCAGGATCATGTTTTGGTTTCAGAGTATTGTTTTGTTATGGATGAAGTTTGTGGTAAACGTAAGTAACTTGTTATTGTTAAGTGCTGGCTAAAGAGAAAAAGTTCTAGCAGTTTTTAACAGCCTTGCGGTTGGTTGGGTAACTTTATTTCTAACTGGATCAGGTACAGGGCATGTTTTCCGATGTGCAGATTTTGATGGTCAGGCCTTTCTTTTTTGAACACTTAATTAAGGTTTATACATAGTGCCTTTTGAGGTGGTGTTAAAGAAAACTTTGCATGTGAAACTGAAGGTATCCATTTTAATTGAGTAATGGATGAGATGCCAATGTTAGCCTATCTGTATGGAATGAAATGCGAATTGTACATATTTCTGATAGTCCCTCTCTCTCTCTCTCCCCGCCTGTTAACTAATGTTACAATCTTCAATCTTTTCTTTTCTATGTAAATACAAGAATTCTTCTTTGTTAATACGGGACCAACTAAAGAAACGTGAAGTCACATGAATCTACCACCAGATGAGCTGAATTGGGTTGGTCAGGAATGCATTCGCAATGGCATATCTATGTGTCCACTCCACACAGGTAGGCCAGATAAAACTATACACATCACCGGGCAACAAAACCGGTAGATATTGAGCACTTGTTCATCTCCCTTGGTTTTTCCGAAACCTTGCGAATCAACAAGGTAGAGTAGTAGCACTTGGCATGTGCGTGAAAGGACGCCATCCCCAGCACTCGTGGCGGCGATAAGAGAGGCTAGTTGGAGAGTTTTGGAATGGGGGAACATAGGGAAGGGGCATCATGGGCTTGGGTTGCATATAACAAAACAAAGGGAGTGTGGTGGTTTGGGTAGAAGTTGTGGTGGGTGGAAAGAAGAGATACAGAACCGTGAATGGCGGCAAAGATTGTGAGAAGGATAATTAGGTGGGGAATGAGAGTAGTACCATCATTCATGTTGAAGGTGGGATTCCACAATGACTGGGATTCGGTCTTTCTCCGATGAAGGAGAAAAGCAAAGATGAATTGTCCACAGTGGTGACTTTATTCCAGGGGATTGAATTATTAGGGGGTAAGAAGATGATGAAGCCTGCGGTGTGCTGGCTGAGATTATTCATTATTGGATTTTTTTGGGGGGTGTGTATAGAGAGCCTCATAGCTCGACTGAAGCATTTTGGTGAACAGTTGAGGGGCGTTCCCTGAGATACACACACAAAATGTGCGTGAGAATGAGAGAAATGAACGGGGCCAAAAAGTCCCGGGTCGTGGAGCGGGTTGGACGGATGTGTCGTCATCTGTGACCAAAACAAGCTTTTCAAGGAATTGGAAATACCGGCAACCCCAAAAAATGAAATTATTAAAATAGTCTGCTGACTTCGCTGACTTCTACTACTGCTACTACTACTACTGAATTCAAAAGAAGAAATAGAGAAAAAGCAGTGCGATACGATATTGTAGAGAGAGAGAGAGAGAGAGTTTTTGTTTGTTTGTTTTTTTTTTTTTGTGTTGGTGATGACGATGATGATGATATGAAATCATAAAGTCAGAACGTTTTCATCTGATATTTTTAATTCCTTTTTTTTTTTTTTTTGTATTTCGTTCTTACGGTTATCGGTAGAGGATAAGAAGAAGAAGAGGAAGAAGCAGCAGCAGCAGAGAAGGAGGCGGAGGAAATGGCGGCGGCTCTGATGAATGGTTGGTGTTTGAATAACAAGAGTATGATGATGGTGATTCCAAGTAGCAGTAATAATTCTCCCCCATTTACTACTCATCCTTCCATTTCCATACCTCCTCCTCTCTTCCTACTCTCTTATAAATCTTCTCCCCCAAATAATCATAATTATTATTATTATTATTATTATAATTACATTAATATCCCCTCCATTAATAATAATATTATTACTACTGCTCACCGTCTTCGTCTTGAATCCCATCAGATCTTCCTCTACTCCTCCTCCCGCTCTTTACTCTCCCTTTTCAAGGTCAACTCTTCCTCCTCTTTTCCTCCTCCCCTTTTCCCTTCCCTTGGTCGCCTCCCCACCTCCGCCATTATGGAAGACGATTTCCATTCCCCAACTTCCTTTCCCGGTATCCACGACCTCAACGGCAAGCGCATCTCCACCTCCGATCATCTCCGTCATGTTGACTCCATGTCCATCTTGCCCTCTGGTGCCGGCCGCATTTCCAAGCTCAACGCCCTCATCCTTGGCGATTCCCTTGCTTCCGAGGAGGATGATCTCATTTTCCCCAGTCCCTCCTTCTCCTCCCAGGCTCTCGTTCCTTCCCCCCAAAAGGTCTCCCTCCCTCCCTCCTTCTGTTGATTTACTATTTCTTTTTTTATTTTTATTTTTTATTGTGCGTGAATATATATCTACTTGTCGTTTCTGTTATATACTTATGATGGTATAGTAATACTCGTTCAACACAACTGGCTATGATGCATGATTAACCACTCTTTATCATCCAATGCTTTTGTATGCTTTCTCTGATTACACTAGAATCTGCCTATGCTTTCATTGGTTCAATTTACTCTGAAATACACGGCGCTCCTCCTCCTCGTCAATGCCAACATCTTCAACTCTTTGTGTTTCAACTTTGCCCATCCCCTGACATTAAAATATCACTGTTTAACTTTTCATTAAAATGTTATGTCATTTTTTTCTCCCAGATTTTTTATGTGTTTTTTCCTTGGATCATGATAACAACCACCACCGCTAGGTATGCTAATTAGTGGATAACTCGTCCATTGCCTGGCAGAATACATTACTAGATTAGAATCAACAATGAGGTGTGGTTGGGACTCATCAAAACTCCCAACACTGATACGACATTTGTTCACTAGGATAGCTTTTTCCAACTCATTTTATATCATCACCTGTTTTTTTTTTTTTTTTGGCAAACATGAGTAAGATGACACTATTTTTTAGTATCTTGTGTTAATGTTCAACTTTTATAAGTTTGCTTGGTGATACAATGATGAGGGACTTATCAATGACTGATACTGACATCTGGCCTAAGTAGGTACAGTCTTTGATTGATCTCATTATGTATGAGTTTCAAACATTTATACGGTCATGTTTGGTGTCTACATTGTTGATCCTTTGTGCATCAGTTCAAGTGGGGTGAAGACAATGAATTTGCTCCTCATTGCTGAATGCCTTAGCCAAGTCATCTCGTTATCCCTAAAATTACTCAAGGTTGACTGTCTATAGTATCTTGAGATTTTTTAATGAGAAGCCCATCCCCTAGTTGGTTATGGAATGAGCTTAAGATGAGGCAACTGGATTCCAGCCAGCCCATTGTCAACTTATGTAATATTTGGACACTTCATGAACAGGCATTAAAAAATCTCTGTAGTCTGTACTGTTTTTTCCCCCCCCTTTTTTTTCCAAAATTATTATTTATGGAAAAAGTGCAGTGTTTTTTTCCTGTTGTTACTTGCTATGCTAATATTACTGATTTCATTCCTTTTGATTGTGAAAATGAAAAAAAAAAAATTTATATCTTTCAGTATATGGAGATGTACAGCAGGTCAATTAAAGACCCTGCCGGATTCTGGTCAGATATAGCCTCAGATTTCTACTGGAAAACTAGGTGGGGCCCTCAGGTATACTCGGAGAATTTGGACATCCGAAAAGGGAATATCAAGATCGAGGTGTGTCCTCTATGTTACCTCTTTTAATCTCTCCTTTTGATTTTCTTATTTTGGCTGGTGGTACATAACAGTAAGATATACTGTAATGTTCTACTACTAACATATACTCTGCTATTTCTGTTCCTGAACAGTGGTTCAAAGGTGGTATCACCAACATATGTTATAACTGTTTAGATAGACACGTCGAATCTGGAAATGGAGATAAAGTTGCCTTTTTTTGGGAAGGAAATGAACCTGGTTTTGACGCTATGTTGACTTACAGTCAACTGCTTTCCAGAGTCTGCCAGGTCTTTTACTATCGAGCAGTTTGAGTTAATTGTTTATTTTAGTTTCCTCATCTCCTTAGCTGTAATTTTATTATCAAGTAATAGGATGGTGAAACTTTCCTTTTTGTTTTTTCTTTTTGAAAACAGCTTGCCAACTACTTGAAAGACGTTGGCATCTGCAAAGGAGATGCAGTGATCATTTATTTGCCCATGCTAATGGAGCTGCCAATTGCCATGCTGGCTTGCAGTCGTATTGGTGCTGTTCATTCGGTACACCCTGAAATCTGATGCCATCTCTCTCTTTTTTTCGGATCAATCTTCTCTAGTGCTCAGTTGGCTCTTTTGCATAATAGGTTGTTTTTGCTGGATTTTCTGCTGAATCCCTGGCCCAGAGAATTATGGATTGCAAACCCAAGGTCGTAATAACCTGTAATGCTGTTCAGAGAGGATCCAAAATTATTTATCTTAAAGATATTGTTGATGCAGCCCTTACAGAATCTGCAGAAAATGGCGTTGCTGTGGGTGAGACACTTTGGTCGTAGAGTGTGAATTTTTTTTTTTTTTTTTTCCTTCTTTCGTTGTCACCTTGTTTTGAGGAGAGCTAAGTTTCTTATGCTGCTTATACTGATTCCGTATTGCAGATGTATGCTTGACCTATGCAAATGAATTGGCTATGAAGAAAGAATCTACAAAGTGGAAAGAGGGAAGAGATATTTGGTGGCAGGTCATTTAGCTAAAACAGAATTAAGATTTTAGTTTACTGTTTTCTGGGTTGATGAAACATTTGATCATCTTAACAAAATCTTCAATCACGGAGCAAAGTAATAGCCCCAAATTAAAGTAAAGTTTTCCCTTGCACTGCTAGACATCTGCAATTAATTGGTACAATATCAAAGTTGCATTGTGTCACTTCTTCCTTCAAAAGATAACTCCAACTCTTACCAACAATAGCTGTCCAATTGTTTATGCCTGGTTCCTGCTAAATATGTTGAACCTTTCGTGGGTTTAGGAACTTACATTTTGAATTACTCTTTCTTTGCCTATCTCAATTGTTATTATTCAGGATGTTGTTCCAAACCATCCCTCTGCATGTGACATTGAATGGGTTGATGCGGAAGATCCACTTTTCTTACTCTACACTAGTGGGAGCACTGGAAAGCCTAAGGTAGGAAAGTTTCTTTAAGTTTTGAACACTTTCATTTCTTTCACATCTATGGTTTCTGAGAAGAAGTTTCTTTTGAATCCAAAAGGGAGTCCTTCATACTACTGGAGGATACATGGTGTACACTGCGACAACTTTCAAATACGCATTTGACTACAAGCCATCGGATGTATACTGGTAATGTTTTTCAGTCTCTCTATACCCTTTTAAGTGTTTTATTTTTATTTTTATTTTCTTTTTACTCTCTTCACATGCTTTTGTTAAGCAGGTGTACAGCAGATTGTGGATGGATTACTGGTCACAGCTATGTTACTTATGGACCCCTGCTTAATGGAGCAACTGTTGTAGTTTTTGAAGGGGTAGGCCATTTAAGATCTTTACTTGCATATTAGTTTTTTTCCTAACTTTAATAACTTAAGGAATCGCATTAGAACTATTCTCAAGGCTGGCTCTGTAAATGCTAGATCCAGGCTTCAGGTCATCTTTTGTGTTGAAGATGAATAAAATGATATACAACTGTTGAGTTTTTGGAGCGAGAACCAGATTTTGACTAAATGCATTGTGCTTCTTGCAGGCGCCTAATTATCCAAATGCTGGACGATGCTGGGAAATTGTAGACAAATTCAAGGTCTCAATATTCTATACTGCCCCCACATTGGTGCGGTCTCTCATGCGTGAAGGGGATCAGGTTAGGATGTATCCACTTATCATACCGTGCATATTATTCGTTTCATATTTATGATGCAATTGCTACTGCTCTCTCTCTCTCTCTCTCTCTCTCTCTCTCTAGAAAAGAGAAAAACTTTCAAATGTAGATTTACTTCATAGACTCAGCTGTCAGTGGGTGGTGGGGAACTATAATTTATTTTCATTTTGTGCTCATGCTTATATATATGAAGAGAAAAAGAACACGCTGTCGCTCCATTTATGTTCAATCTTATATTATTTATGTAGTAACGTTTTCTTGCAAGTTGCAACTATGGGACAAGATATTACAGTTACCGTTTCTCTATAAACCAGCTTTTTCTACTTTTTCTCCCTGCACAAATGCTAATTTTGGTTTCTTTTTCCTCACATGCTAACACAGCATGTCAAGCGTTATTCACGCAAATCCTTGCGAGTGCTTGGAAGTGTGGGCGAACCAATCAATCCAAGTGCATGGAGGTTTTTGTCTACAGAATCCAAGTTTTCCTCCTCCCCCTCCCCCCTAAATGATCAAATTATGTATAGCTTACTTCCGTTTTGGTTTTTTTTATCAGATGGTTCTTCAATGTGGTTGGAGATTCAAGGTGCCCTATTTCTGATACTTGGTGGCAAACGGAGACTGGGGGTTTCCTGGTATTTTTCGAAATTCATCCTCAACCCGTGTATCTGACAATTTCTGCTTGCCTAACTCTATGTTGCACCTATTGACCCATTTCAGATTACTCCCTTACCTGGTGCGTGGCCTCAGAAACCCGGATCTGCAACATTCCCTTTTTTCGGAGTTCAGGTACCTGCCACAATTTATATCTGGTATTATGCTTATTCAGGTTACCGCCCCACCGTTGAAGAATTCATATTGAAAAGAAGTAATAATCCTGAAGTATCTTTAGCTTGGCTGCGTCATATTTAACATCTCTATTTTATATAAGTTGAATAGATATCTAGCATTCAGTGTACTCAGAGAATATCATGGAGGAATAGGCAGCTTTCTTTAAATAAAAATCCTTCAATTTGCTATTTTTTGTTGCAGCCTGTCATAGTCGATGAGAAGGGTGTTGAAATTGAGGGTGAGTGCAGTGGATATTTGTGTGTGAAAGCTTCATGGCCTGGTGCATTTCGAACTCTTTACGGGGACCATGAAAGATATGAAACTACATACTTCAGTGCATTTCCTGGCTATTATTTTAGTGGTGATGGCTGCAGCAGGTACTCTGTGCATCTGTAATACGTGAAAACATCTTTCTCAGCAAGAGATATATTTTTCCATATTGTAGACAAACATTAGAATTCAGTTATGCAACATCTTAAAACTTGATATTCTAAGTAAATTTACTGTTCCCGGTTTAATGAATTTCACCAGGGACAAGGATGGTTACCACTGGCTCACTGGAAGAGTTGATGATGTTATTAATGTTAGGTACATTCTCAAAATAATAGTTTCCACTTTTTGATTCATTGAAATTTATATTTAATTGTTGATTATGCCTCCCTGGATGGGAATTCATTTTAAGTATTGTTTACTTTGGTTTTTTAAAAAGTATTCTTTACTTAAGACTACCGAGATCTTGACTATTACGCATTTTTTTATTGCGCACTCCACATGAATTTTAGTGGGCATCGTATTGGAACGGCAGAGGTTGAATCAGCTCTAGTTTCACACCCGCAGTGTGCCGAAGCTGCTGTGGTTGGTGTTGAACACGAGGTATATCTTCTATGATAACTTCCTTTCTCAGTGTCAGATGAGCAAAAGAATCCTTGTTCCTGTACAACAGACTGCCTTATGTTTCTGTATTCACATGTTATTAGGTCAAAGGACAAGGTATATATGCATTTGTTAGTCTAGTGGAAGGTGTTCCATACAGTGAAGAGCTCCGCAAAAGCCTCATAACGACGGTGAGAAACCAGGTATGTCACAAACCATTATTCTCGATCCGTTCGTTGAATAAGCATGATCGTTGTTCTGTCTTCATGGGGCAAATGCATCTTCTTGTAGAGGTCTTCCTGCAGAGGTCAATTTACTCACGTTTAATGAAGAGTGCACTCTTAATTGCATTTGAGGTCTCATTGTTTCTATGATGAGGATGTAGATTTGACCAGGTTGGATATTGAATTTGATTAGGGTACCTTTGAACTTATCCTCTTCATATTCCTGTTGGAATATGCGAGGAGGTTAGAGGAATTCTGATATCTGTACGTCATGCAGACTCCTGTCTTTGGATGCTGTAGGCCAAATAATCCGCTGAACTATGATGCGGGCCCTCCTTGTGAACTGGGATATAATTGAACGTTGATTGTCTTTTCATGTTTGATATATATATCAATCATCTATTGTGTTATTTGAAAGTGTAGAATTATTAGAATAATGTCTGCTACTTCATCACGTGCCAGATTGGAGCATTTGCAGCACCAGACAAAATTCATTGGGCACCTGGTCTTCCAAAGACGAGAAGTGGCAAGATCATGAGAAGAATTTTGAGAAAAATTGCTTCAAGGCAATTGAATGAACTCGGGGACACAAGCACGCTTGCGGATCCTAGCGTCGTTGATCAACTTATAGCTCTATCAGATGCCTAATCCCTATCTTCCAACTTCGAGAGAATTTCTGCCCATGCAAACCCATGTTGAGAAAAAAAAGTATGACAAAGCTCGCTTTTTTATTTTACTGAAAAGTTGGAAGCGCACTTTTCTTCCTTTCTGTTTTACATTATGTGCTTTTTCGGAAAGCTTATTTTCCTTCGACTGAGTCCATTATATATGTTGTATAGGGGTTGGCACACACATAGAAAGATAGTTTTGGCTGTTTTGCCATTGGTCACCAGTTCGTCCCGTTATTTATGTGTCAAAGGACGTGCCATAATTAGTGGGCGTTCTTTTATTAATGATGCCGTAAATAGCATGATGTTGCTGACAATGTATCAATCCAGATTTCTCATACAAATAAATCATTTTTTTCTTATACCACATCATTTACAACTAAATCATTTTTACGATGAAGTGAGGTTGGTTATATTGTGTACACGAGAGGTATAAAAGGGGAAAGATAGATAAAATGATGTTTACAGGTGAAATGGTACATTGATTACGAATTTGAAACAGTGTCACTGATGACATCCGCTTGCTCACTGAGTGAGATTTCATCGTCAAGAACACAATGTCTTCTCCAAAAGTTCCTGCAGCTGTCCATTCTTGTATGCCTCTGTTAACACCCAATTCAAGAATATAAGCGCAAACAAGTTTGGCATATCAGAACAAACCAACATGCAGATGAATCATTCCAAAAAATAATTAATAATAACCCAAAACAACAAACAGAAAATAAGGCAACATCAACTAACCAGTCGAAACTAGCATAGTTCAATCACCAATAACTCAGTAGTCAATGTAAAACCATTTCAATCAATATGGTAAATTATCTAATTAACAACTCTCTTAAATTGATGGACTGAATTTCCTCACCGCACACATAACCACTGTAGAGTCGCATAAATTTTTAGTAAATGGGTCAAAATGCGCCCTGAATGTAAAACCAGTTCAGAATCTCTAAATGGAAATACTGGATTCCCATATTTGCCTACGGGATGTTGGGGAGTTTGCGCCTTGTTGAAGATCAAATAGTAGCCTCTTGGTACACTTGATTCATGCAGCCTCCAAGCAAGCTAAGCTAATGGATTCCATAGCTTATAGTAAAAAGTACTATCTCAATAAATTTTCTTTTTCAGATACCTCAGGAAAGAGAAATAGTTTGGAAATTTATAAAACGAATTGGCAGAGTAAGTAAACAATTAGTAAGGCAGCCAAATGCACCACCGGAATTATAGCATCTAGTAGTAGAAGTCATACTCACCCACGGTGATGTCACAGCCACCAAAGAACTCGCCGTCGATGTAGAGCTGAGGGAAAGTTGGCCAACTAGAATACTCCTTCAATCCCTGACGTAACACCTCGTTCTCAAGAATATTAATGGTCTCAAAAGGGGCATTGAGGGACCTCAGTATCTGCACCACTGTGTTTGAAAACCCACACTGTGGAAATTCTTTAGTTCCCTTCATGAATAGAACAATCTTTTGAGATGTTACAACCTTATCTAATGTCGTCTTCAGCTCTGGTGTTAGGGCTGCAAATGAACCAGAGCAATAAAAAAGAAATAAATGCACAATTAGGATTATGATTCAATCTGTAGGAAAGAAACAAACCAAGACCACAGAGTTACTAGAATTGTACACACTGCTTGTAGTGACTCCCTCCATCCCAAATGAATATACACAGATACAGATGAAAAGAAAAGTAAACACTATCGCGGAACACATAATTTCAATTCATCATTAAGGGCCACATTGTAAGATGTCCAAGAATGGAAAATTAGGTAAAGCCTGTTCATCTGAGACAAATAGTGTATACAAGTAATTTTTTTGGGTGGCAAGCTTCATAAAAAAATATAAACTACAACGTCGCGGTTACCACTTTTAACAATCCATTTCTTCGATGGGGGGATTGATCATTTTGAACACTAGTATTATCGTCTCATAAATTTTCAAAAAACAAACACGAAAAACTGATGATCGAGATTTTAAGGTGGGTTTAATAACTACCAAAATCATTTACTAAACGCGAAAAGTTAGAACAATAGACTGGAATTACAAGATTATACAGAGTAGTAAAAAGCAAACCCTGTAAATGTTTGAAGCGCATACCAGATAAGCATCGGAATCGGAAGGATGTGGTGGAAATTATTTTCGGGCGGAATCTTAGGGAAAGAACCGGTCCTGCAACTCCCAAGGAAGTCTTCGAAACAGCTTTCAGAACTCCACCGCCGGCGGCTGCGACAGCGTTTATTGGGGTCGAAGAATCGAGAACAGACGTCCTGAGAGGCAAACAACCGTGAGAAGCTAAGATTTGGGAAGAGAATTGAAGAGCCATGTTTTTTTTTTTTTTTTTTCTTTTCCTTGGGACCAACCAAACTCACTCCAGATTCAACTTTCGCATAATTCAAAACCACTTGTCAGGCTGTAAAATTCAATGATTTTTTTTTTAAGGTCATATTCGTATGGAATCAAAAAAATACTATTATAGCCATGAAAATTTGACAAATTTTTTTTTAAAAAATAATGTAGCTTTGGATGCCCCTTGGGACAAAATAATGTAGCTGAATTTTAATTATTCTTTAATTATTGATTGAAGATAAAGCCGTAAAAGTAAGTTACAAATGATCCATTCACTCTTAAATTTATATGTAAAATTTTTTCTATACAAGTCATTATCCATAATACTAGACACTCTCCAAAGAAAAGAAGTATTGTCCACCAAAGAACTATTGAAAGTATCTGAATTAATATTGAGATGAGTTTTAAAATAATAATAAATGTTATAATGTTGTATATGTATAATATAACGAACTTTTTGTTTTGGTATTTTTCTGATTTGAAGAGGGAAAAAAAATGGATGTGAGTTGGAGGAAATTTTTTTTTTTCTTAATGATGTTTTAAAACTCATTCTGTCCAAAAACAAATACACTTTGGAAGAGAATAGTTTATTTGGAAGGATAATAAAGTTATTTGGTAAGTATTTTTATTTTACTATTTGAAATTGAACGATTTTTTGGGATAATAATATATTTTTTTTAACAAAAAAATTAGACTATTTTTGTTTTAAGAAGACAAAAAGGAATACTTAAAGCTTGTGATTAAGGTTTGTCCATTTACAATTTCCATTATCGATCCAAACTTAAAATTCAGGTCAGATAATTATTTGGGTACCGAAGGACTTTTTTTTTTTCTTTTTCTCTTTTGGTTTTATATAAAAATAGAAAACAGAGCTCTGTTCGTACATTTTCAGGACTGCTGACTTTGGTATCGGACAGAGTATGAATATTAGTTAGTTGAATTAGTATTTACTAATAAAAATTGAAAAACAATTTGGGCTGAAATTATTTTTTTTTCTGCTTACGGAGTAGAGTACATCGATCAGACTCTTCTTACTAAAGAGAAAGAAGGATCAGCCGCATCTCAACTCTTTTTTTTTTTTTTTTTAATAAAAAAAATAAAAATACAAAATTGAAAAAATAAAGAAAAGGAGAACCACAAATCCCTCCCTTGACGTTCCGGTGAGAGCTAAAGGTTTACCGACGATGATGCCGCCGACCGGTGATTTGGTTTAAGGCAGAATTGGGAGGAAATGGAGCCTCAGATAAAGGTGGTGGCGGAAGCAGTTCACCTGTTAAACCACGACACTCAGTCCTGCAACCGCGTGGCCGCCAATCAATGGCTGGTCCAGTTTCAGCACAGCCCCGCCGCTTGGGAGGTTGCCACCTCCATTCTCACTTCCGCTCTACCACCTTCTCCTTCCCCGCATTTTGAGGTCGAGTTCTTCGCCGCTCAGATTCTCAAGCGCAAGGTATATCTATATCCTTTTCCTTCTTTTTGTTACTTCTTCTGTTTGCCTCTTTCATTAATTGCCCGTTTCGCCTGTTTTTATCTTGTTACCAGTTAGTCTGGCGCGGGGGGAGGTAGAGTTCTCAATTTAGATTATGTTAGGGATTACTTACTAGAAAATTTTAGTTTGACTGCAGAGTATCACGTACACAGATTAAGAAGGGAACTGCATAATTTTGAATTTTGTAACACACATTAAGGAGGTGATTATGGAGTTTTGAAATTTCCACTCTCATTAAGTAGGTGCATTATCAACGCTCACTGTCATTCTAAGTGCTACACGGAATGCCAGTGAGCGTTTCTCAGTTTTTTTTTTTATACAGGTTTGCAATGCTCACATGCTGTGTTATGATGACTTAGGAATAAGAAGGCAATCAGGAGATTAGAAATGGCTTGGAAATAAATATTTGGAATTTTTTTAAAAATCAAACATAGCTGAAACAATGTGTTTTCTTATAGTATGAAGACAGGCACCATGTGGCCGGATTAAGTTGTCATGATGGTTCCAGTCACACACCTTGTTTTTCATAGACTACTTGTGTATTGAGATGTCAAGAAAGACAAGGACTACTTGTGTTTCTTCTTTTCTTTGGGTGTCTATTTCCAGCACACTACCCATTAGCCGCTGATTTACCAATTCAAGCACTGGGTTGTTTTGTATAATACTTTCATGTGCGTATATTCTGTCTCTCTAATCACACATTGCACATATGTCTTTGGGGCCAATTCAATTCCCAGATCCAAAATGAAGGACATTATCTGCAATCTGAAGCTAAAGATACGCTGCTGAATGCTCTGCTTGCGGCTGCTAAAAGGTTTAGTTGCGGTCCACCTCAGGTGATCTCACCACCTTTTCTTCAAACTGAATATGTGATTCGTTTGTAACTACATTTTATTTTTTAGTTTGATTCTGACTCAATATTCGCTTCTTTTCATGTACCAGCTCTTGACTCAAATCTGTCTTGCTCTCTCCACGCTTTTAATTCATGCTGTCGATCGCGGGAAACCTTTTGAGAAGCTTTTTTACAGTCTACAGAATCTGCAAAGCCAAGAAGGTGGTGACAACGCTATCCTCGAGATGCTCACTGTCTTACCAGAGGTCATCGAGGATCATACTACCCATTACTGTAAAAGTTTGACTTCTCGTTATGAATGTGAACAACAGGTGCAAATTCATGGCCAGTGGACTCCTTTTGTTTTTTTAGCTGGCAAAAGTTATTATGCGATCTCTCTTTTCTTCTCACTTTGTTTTTTTTTTGTTAAGATAGCTTCTCTCGCATACCCCAGTGGTTATTGAATTCCTTCTACATCAATCTGAAAAGACAGTTGCTGGTGCTGTTCAATTCCCTGACAACAATAGAAAAATATTACGATGCTTGTTAAGTTGGGTAAGATGGTTTTCAACTTTGCTTAGATAAAATCCACAACCAAACTTAGAAACATTGATACTATATATTTTTATTTTTAAAAATGATCTGATGTAATTCCAGTTAGATCCCTTATAGATGTTTATGAGAATTTTGTTTGAATGCAATATCGAAATCTAGCATGGTTGGTGGAAATATGATTATTGTCGCTTTCTTTTGTCAAAGTGACCGCCATTTTGTTTTCTGTGCTTGTAGGTTCGTGCAGGGTGCTTTTCAGAAATACCGGCCACCTCATTGCCTTCACATCCACTTGTTAATTTTGTTTTCAACGCTTTGCAAGTAATGCTTTACTTTTTTCCTCGAGTATTTGGAAGCTTTTTCTGTAGACATTACGATAACAATGACAACTATTTATCCTTCTCCAGGCATCATCTGCATTTGATCTGGCTATAGAAGTTCTTGTCGAATTTATTTGCCGGCATGAGGTAGAAAATTGTAGTGATTATTACATGTGTAACTCATAGATCTTCTAGACAGTGGGAAATTATAAAGATTTTGCAGACACTAATTTATCGTTATGGAATTTGTTTTACAGGCCTCCTAGATAGTTTGCTTTTCTGGTTTCGCCATTCATTTATTCTCTTGCCCTTCAAGTTGTGTAATCCATTAAAGTTGTTAACTTTGGAAGAATTAATTATCTTAATCAGTTACCGAACAGAATCAATGTATGACAAAGTAGGAGTTGATTTTGAATTAGGGTGAATCTTCAATTTGATGTTCTTGGATTCTTTGAAAATGTTAGAAATATAGACTATCTGCTTTCGGAATTAACACCATTCTCATTTAAACTTGGTATTTTCTTTTCGGTGCAGGGTTTACCTCAAGCTTTATTATCCAGAATTGGATTTTTGAGGGAAGTTCTTCTTCTTCCAGCTCTTAGTAGTCGAGATGAGAAAGTGATTACTGGTATTGCTTGCTTGTTGTCAGAAATCGGCCAGGCTGTGAGTATTAAAGATTTTCCTTTTGTAGGACTTGTATCTCTTTTCTTGTTTTTATTTTTGTTGGAATAGAATCCAAAGTCCCATTCTACACTTGGGTTAACACCAAGAAATTCAGTGGTGAAATGTCGAAGAATAAAACTACAGTGTGATGCAAACTGACTTGGATTTTCATTATCGGGATTTCTTGTAGGCTCCATCTTTGATTGTAAAAGCAAGTCCGGAAGCCCTGCTGCTCGTTGATTCTCTATTAAGGTTAGATATCTAGTCACGGCTGTGCTCCGGGAGTACATGTTACTTAATTTTACTTTAAACAACGTGTTTTATTCTAGTTTGATGTTGTAATTTATTTTATTGATGTTTCTTATGTGCAGTTGTGTAGCTTTTCCAGGTGAAGATTGGGAAATTGCAGATTCAACCTTGCAGTTTTGGTATAAACAATTTGTCAATTTTGCTTTTTACACTTTCTCATTGGTCCATTATTTTTTGTGAGAAATGTGTTTGTATTTTCTCTTGAGGCCTTGTTTTAACTAAATGTAGTTAAGTATTCATCAGGAGAAGTATTAACGTTTTCATGTCTTTGTAGAAATTCAGCACATTTAAACCCTCTATCTATGCTGTGAATGTCAGGTCAACTCTTGCAGCTTGTATTCTAGTGCCTGATATAAGTATTGTAGGAGGTGGAAAGGATTTTCAAGAATTATTTTTTCCAGTTTACTTGGCGTTGCTTGATGCTCTTCTCTTCCGTGCACAGGTTCGCTATTTCTTTCCGAACTTTTTTTTGGGCAGATTTCTATGCTTAATGTGTAATGAGGTCGTTCGTAGAAATTTCTGGCATATCAACCTTTAGATTATACATCTTTCAGAAAAGCCTTGGGTTATTGGTGGTGCTGGAAGATCTTGAAAAATTCACGATGACTTACCATTTATTCAAATGCCTTCTGTGATTAGTGACTTTTCTTATTAGTTACACTGTATTGTCTATTTTTTCTGCTTAATTTGTACATTTACCATCTTGTATCTTCCTTTGACGTGTACACCCTGATTTTCCTTGACAACCATTTTGTACCTTCCTTTACTTTGTTCCACTCGTGATGGATTAATTCTGTATGGAAGGTGGATGATTCTACATTTAACGATGATGGGGAAACTGTCGATCTTCCTGACAACCTTCTTCAGTTTAGAATGAACTTGGTGGAACTTCTGGTAGATATTTGTCAGCTATTAGGCTCTGCTGCATTTTTGCAGAAGGTACTACTTTCTTGATTTTATTTCAAACTTACTCGTGAGTTACTATCACAGTTTGGGTGTAAATGAAATCATAAATATTTGTTGGTTATAGTACTGGTGTACTGCAGTTATTGACTGTTAATGTGGTAATTGTGAGGCTTAATCTATGATTTTTATTCCGTTTCTGCTATATTTTCTTTATCGATCCAGTTTCAGCAATCTTATTTACATTTAACTGTTTGCTTCTTGTGTAGTCTCATACAGTTTTTTCCCAGTTAGAAGGGAAGAAACTATAGAGCCAAGAACTCAAATTAAGAGAGATTGGGGTAGACCTTAAAAAACTTGGAAGAAAAACTAAAAAAAAAATAAGACTTGAAACATTGAAATTTGAATTATGATGTGTGTATTGATCGAGCAAATAGAGGGAGAAAGGCTTGTTGTTGTTGTTGTTGTTGTTGTTTTAAAGCACCATGGGGTCCAAACCTGGGTGTTCGGCTTGCACGTCTCTTTTCTAATTATGCTAGTTTAACCCTCGCCTGTGCTGTTCTATGAGCCTGATCACCAATTGAACCAGAACGTGTGTCGCCTTATGGTGTCAGGACATTTCCAAACTAGTAGGATTCTCATTGTGTTTGTCCATTATGTAAAGTTATTATTTTGTACTGTTTTGTTGTTGTATTTTACCTTTTGGGTTTGGCAATTTTTTTGTAATTAAATTTTCACTCTGATATTCAATGCTAACTTCCAGTTTCTTAAAAATCAGATATTTTTGGGTGGATGGATGTCTTTAAACGCTCAGATACCTTGGAAAGAGGTGGAATCCAAAATGTTTGCCTTTAATGTGGTGAGTGAAGAAGAGTATATAAACAGAGTTCATTTTTGTAGGTTAGGTGTTCAACCTAATTAATACGGGCCTCCGTTTTTGGTTGAGATATTTTCCTTCTTTCTCTTTTCAGGTTTCTGAAGTTGTCATTAGAGATAATCCAAACTTGGATTTGTCTATTCTATTTAAATTGGTGACCACATTGTCCAGTCAAACATCTGAGGGACTGAAGGGATTCATGCTTCTGGTACACAGAATACTTGTTTAATGTGCTCTACTGTATGATTTTACTATGCTATACTGGTGCATTCGGTTTCCTAATCTGGTTATGTTCTACATTTTTCACTTTTAGGTTTATAAATCAGTTGCTGATGTTGTTAATTCCTATTCAAAGTGGATGCCTGCATTCTTGACAAACCCCAGACCATTATTGTAAGAGTTTCACTCTTTTCTTCTTCCTCATAAGGTGATACTGCTCCTTGCTACGTGAAACATTTGTATTTTGGATATTTGTGGCTCTGGCAAATGGAGAAGAACCAAAGCAATTAGTGAACGATAATTTGTAGATTGCTCTCTGACTAGTCCTCTTATTTTATTTATATACATAATTATCATTTGTGTTTGTTATGAGTGCTCTCCAGGAAATTTAGTCACTTATAAAATGACCGCCTTATATGAATTTTTTGTGTCTACGGATGTGTCAAGAAAATATCTGGGCCCTTTCACAAAGCAAAAAAAGTGCATGCACCACCTCTAAAGCGGACTCTTTAAATGTATTTACTACATTCATTGATCTATCATGTTGATTAATTTATTATTTCGACATTTTCTTGTTTGCAAAAAATGTATTTACTTTGTTTTGTCCGAAACAGAGCCTTAACTGATTTGCTATTTTCAGATTATTTCTTGCCACTGGGATATCGAAACCTTTCTGTTCAACTGCTTGTTCGTGTGCGTTGCGCAAGGTTTGTGAGGAGGCTGTTACAGTCATGCATGAACCTTCAAACTTGGAAATCCTAATCTGGATTGGAGAGGTCCGTATTCCTCTGTTCTTGGAACTTTCACTTCAATAAGTAGGTTATGGGACTTGTTAATAAAATTCTAAACCAATCTAAGAATCTATTTGGAACACATGCTTTTACCCAGGTAGACAAAGCATTGTTCTGAAGAATCTCTGATTAGAGAGAAAATTTACATTTGTTATTCTTTTCGCTCCAAGAAAAGTGCTCTTTTCTTCACAGATTTGACGTCAAACCTTTCAAACTTGTGTCAGGACACAATGATTGCCTAGTGTGAATAGTTGTTGGACCTTTTTATCATTGTCTTCCATTGAATTTCCATGTTTCACTAGTGAGGTAGTCATATTGCATACTTTGAAGCTATTAATTATTCTAATATCATCTGGTCGTATTTGTATCATGTCAAGTATTGCTAAGGCTCAACATGCCATATTATGCTACTACTCTGAATATTAATTAGTTAGGTACCAGTTCCAAAACTTTTTTCCTCTTTCCTGGACTTCATGTTTTTTAATCCTTTTACAATAAATTCCTGATTCGCAGCAAGTGGAAGAGAAGCATTTTTCTGCAGAGAGTGAGGAAGAAGTAGTTGGTGCAATCACCCTAGTTGTTGGTTCTCTTCCTGGAAAGGAGCTGAAGACTAGTTTGTTTCTTCGATTACTTTCACCAAGCATTGAATCCATTGGGAAGCTGGTGAGTTCTTAGATGTTTATCCAAGCCTTTATCCTAATGATGGTGATAGATGATCACTCAGTTGTCTTGCTGGTATTTCATCAGTCTTACATTTGTGGAAACCAGAGACCGTTCTGTTCAATTAACACATAGTGGAATTGAAACTTTAAAGTGCACAACACTCATAAATCAAGCAAGTAAATACTGTCTATTATCTGACTTGACTGTTAAACTCCGCTTCTTGGTATAGTTGGGGATGTTAGTTTTAGGAAAGACTAATGTAATATTTAGTTTTCGTGATTTTTTCGTGTGATTCATGGCTGTTTTATTGGCATTGCTGCCTATTTTGTGATAGAACTTCTCTCCAAAACAACGGGCCTTCATCTCACTATGGGTTGCAATCATTTGTCAACGCCGTGCTCCATTGATACACATAGCTTCATGTGATTGAACTTCTATATCTAAAAAAATTCAAAAGTAAAACATTCGAATCTTCTTTTAAATTTTACATGTAAGATGGTTATGGCTACAAAACCTATATATCTTGAACTTTATTGTGGGGCTGTTTGTGGTTAAATCTAGTGTCAATATCAGACTTTCACTTTCATTGAGTTGTCTTTGCTTTACTTCAGATCAGTGAAGATCAAGATCGTTCTTTGAGGCAAGATCCGGCTTTTTATACCCAGCTAATCTACTCTGCCAAAAGAGGACTTTATAGGTTTGACCATTTGGCTTCAGACTTGTCACTTCTCTTGAGATGATTTTGTTCTCCATTGCTTTATCTTGATGCTTAATTCTGAATCTTCTGGGAATTGTTCCTCGGTTTTAATTGATTTTGTCTCAACAAATTGTAACCGTTAGAAATAACTGAATATAGTTGATCCGGTCGCCTGTTGGGAACTGTAACTGATTAAGATTATGAGTTTACCCGCTTGCCGTTTACATTTATTTTGGTGCTTTTGAATTTTGAATCTTAGTAATTGAATGCAAAAGACTAGTTTCGAATTATTTCAGGCTTTCAGCTACACCTGCTACATTTGGAAGAATGAACTTGCAAATCTGTTTCCTGCTTCATCTGTTTGCATTTAACTAAAATGCTCTTGATTCTTTTTTATGTCAGAATGGGAATTGTGTTTAACTATCTAGCTACAAATATTTCAAGTGGTCCAGCTTTAGATGATTCTGTACTTGTGCTGCTGGGGGTTTTTTGGCCAGTGCTTGAGAAAGTCTTCCACTCTGAACACATTGAGAATTCAAGTTTGTCTACTGCAGCTTGCAGGGCTCTTTCGCAAGCAATCAAGTCATCAGGTAATTTTTGTTCATCTACTTCTCTTTTCTGGATGTCTAAACAAAATGGACATTGATTCATACCGTACTTCAAATCTTCTGAAATTTAATTTTGTTTGTATGAGTTAAAAGGTATCTGTTGAATCTTTCGATTCTTTCATTGCATTCCTTGTTATTTTTCTTTATGCAGCTCATCATTTTGTTACGTTACTGCCCCAAGTATTAGACTGTCTGACCAGCAATTTCACTAGTTTCCCAAGTCATGACTGCTACATCAGAACAGGTAAAATGCCTAGTGTAAATGAGATTTCGCTTTTCTGGGTATAATTTGCAGAAACATCTCAAAAATTTCCCTGTAATCTACAGTTGTAGATGTTTCTCGAAAGAAGTTCTTTTTTCTTATTCTAATTGTTCAAAATGTGTGAATATATTTTTGGTTTGTTTTCTTGACCCCCCAGACCCCAACCGAGTTGGGAATATACTGGGTATGTTTTTGATGTTGTTGTTGTTATTTATGGGTATGAAAGAGTTAAAAACTTGATGACAGAAATATAAAAGAAGTTCCTTTGGAAAATTTATTTAACATACTAGTAGTATTTTAGATGTTGACCTTTTAATACACTCGTGTACATTAAAAGATTTCCTTATTTTCCCGAGAATGAATATATATAGTATTTCAATTTGTTCAATTTTTTTTATGGTTATAATTTAGTCCATGAATTTGTGATATTATTTCACATAAAGAAATTTTAATTTTTTTAAACCGTGTAATTTAATTCAAGTCTCAATTTCATTACTCGCTTTAGACATCCTCTATGACATTAAACGACGCTCCTCAAACTGAAGAGTTTTGTGAAAAAGAATGTTAAGATATTGAGATTTTTGAAGAGGATATGTAAATTCTTCAAGTTGCTTAAATGTACTAGTTATTTCCAAATTGGGGACATGTTTGCTCGTGCAATCATTATTAGCTTAGTTGCTCCTTTGGATACAATCTGTGCATTATTTACCCTTTTTACCAGAATTAGCTTCCTTTTTATAATGTATCATAAAACTTTCGTTTTCAGTTGCTTTATCAATGTTTTTTCAGCTTCAATCATTATTGAAGAGTTTGGGAGTAGGGAAGAATACGGGCATCTCTTTATCAGTACTTTGGAGAGGTTTACCCAAGCTTCATCAATAAAAGCTCTCACTTCTTCTTACATATGCGACCAAGAGCCTGATTTGGTGGAAGCCTACACGAATTTTGCATCTTCATTTGTCAGGAGCTTGTCAAAGGTTTCTTATTGCCCCACTCTCCTATGCATTCGTCCTAATTTATTTGTCTGGCCTTTTCATTTTTAACGTTCCTGTTTTCTTTGGTTTTGCAATTGAAATGTGACCTATCTCAGGACATATTGGCTGCCTCTGGATCTATTCTTGAAACATCTTTTCAGAAAGCTGCTATATCATGTACAGCTATGCATCGAGGTGCAGCCCTTGCAGCAATGTCATTTATGTCCTGCCTTTTGGAGAGTGGTCTGACATCTTTGCTGGAATCTGAAGCAGCTTGTTGTGATGAAAAATCTATGGGTGTCATGACAATACAGGTCGTCTCTCACAATGGCGAGGGGCTTGTGTCAAATCTCATTTATGCTTTACTTGGTATTTCAGCACTGTCAAGGGTTCACAAAACTGCCACAATTTTACAAGAAGCTGCTGCATTGTGCAGTTTAAGCGAGAGAATGATGATGCCCGGAACAATTCTTGGTTGGGAGTCATTGCACGGATGGCTATACTCCGCGATGCAAACTCTACCGACTGAGTACTTGAGGCCAGGAGAAGCGGAAACTTTTGTGCCGATGTGGTTGGAGGCCCTTACTGCTGCAGCTTCAGACTATGTGGAGAGCAGACGGAAAAATGGTGTAAATTATGATCATGGTCTGTTAAATGGCAAAGGAGGAAGGGTTCTAAAGCGTTTAGTTCGAGACTTCGCGGATAGCCATCGTCATTCCCCAAACCCAACATAATATTTCTAGTGGATGGGGTTCCGAGTCTGTCGTTGGTCATGCTGGTGAGCTTGCAGCTTAGATTGGAATGGAGAAGTCTGTTTTCATGGCCCAAATTTGGTTTTAAAGGCCGAGCAAGCATGCAACCAAGCTTTAGTGTGTAAAAAGTGCAGAAGCATTTTGAGCTTCCCAACCAGCTCCGGTCGACAAGGAAGACAAGAAGTTATGGATGAAATGAGGAAACTTATTAGTGCCTTTCAGCGTCGGAGAGATCTCTCTCATCATTTCACACAAGTGCCCAAATTTTGTAAAGTAGTTGTTTTTGTAAATTTGGACTCGGTAAAAAGTTGGCCCTGTAGTGATTACTTCCATCACATCCTGCTCATGTGGAATTGAGTAATTATCTGGTGCGGCCACGCCATCCTGCTTGGTGCAGTAGTAGTATGACACTTAAAAAAAGGGAGGAAGGGGGGAGGGGGCAAAGTTACAATTGGTTTTTCGGGTTAGAGGTATATCATCATAAAAATTTATTTTGTTCCCATCGGTCGGCGGCACCACAAAGTTGATGATCTGACTCTAATCTAAATAATAAGTTCGCATGTAAAATTGCATTGCGCCCAATTTGGCCTCTAGATGACACTTTTGAGTGCCTCAAGTACAGGAAAATTTGAAAATGTCCTTTTTGTTTCCCCTTGACAAACATGGGTACCTTGTTGGTAATTATTTAAAATTACTGATAATAACTAACCAACAGTAGAAAAGAAAACTGGAATCGGGAAACAAACTTTTGTGTAAGGAAAAATACAGATGTACATACTAATAATAGATACAAAAGGATCTGAATAAATGCATTTTCTACGCTCCTATCTATACTCATGTGAAAGTTTTAGGACCTCAAAAGCTCATCAAGTTTGGGATGCTGATAGAAAAGCTAGTATTTGATTAAGGCCGGCAGAGAGCTATAGAGTTCCGCAAGACAGTTGAATATCCAATTCAGTAACTGCTCACTTGGCAGCTCCAAAAGAAGTTCAGCCTGGACAAAAGAGCACCCAACCACGCAAAGCAAAACAAGAAGTTAACTTCAATTTTACACTAGAATCGTCGGAAGAAAGAAAAAGAGCTAATGTTCGTCATTCTTGACAACAGCATTACTCACGTTCTAATTTATCTAAGCATACAATATTATCACCAGAATGGCCAGAATTAAGTTCTGGATTCTGTCCTATTAACTCGGTCAATCTCCCAGATAAACTACTTTGTTGAGCAGAGTTCATAGCAACTGTAACAATGCATGGAAGTGATGTTATCTAGAGAAATTAACCAGAGAAAAGGAAGAGATTCCAATTTACCTTAATTAAGCCATCCTCAAAAGCAAGAGAATTCCTGTGTGTGTCGGACACCATCGAATCAATTATTAGCTTGAAAACCATTTTGTTCATGTTTGTTTTGAAGCCAACTATCTTTCCGGATGAATATATCCTCGTAATTCCCAACTCCGCAGCCATCCTCTTCACATACAGTTTTTTTAACAGGATTTCCATGGAGTAAGGCTCTTTTCCATACTGATGACGAAGGCTCTCAGTGAACTGTATCAAACTCCATATATCTATCCTGGCAGCTCTTTCGGCCTCGTTAATTATTTCCATGGGATTCTCCAGATAATGTATGTACTCCGAAGGCAGGTGGGGATTTATATTTAGATCAAGCTAACAAAAACAATCAAAAAAAGAAAAATAAATAAGTCGATCCCTGAAATGTACTTCAAATAATCATCGATGGAAAAAAAAAAACACTAGGATTACGTGGCCCAAATCATGGCTCGACTAAACCCTCTTTTTGAAGGAGAGCATGTAAATAAATACCTGCACTGACTGGTAAGGAACTGGAGTAATACGATGCTCATCAACCTGAAACCAAATAATTAGGTCTTAGAAGTTCTCACCATCTTCTAAAACTTCAATGGTGCAAGATGCAGGAGATATAAACAACAGACCTTTGACAGGCTCTCAAACAGCATCTCGAAGAAAAGATCAATGCCCACATTTCCAACATCTCCTGTTTGTTGTTCACCAAAGATATTTCCAAAGCCTCTAATTGCCATGTCTCTCTCAGCTAGCTGGAAACCCTGGCCAAGATTGCGACACTCCTCAAGGGCAGCAAGCCTCTCCTAATGGTAAAACATAAACAATTACACTCAATGTTAGATGGTAATGAGCAACAGGCCAATTGGGAGAAAAAAATCGGGGAAGGGTTGGTATTACATTAATTCCAACTACACCCCCAAAAAAAAAAAAGAACAAGAAAACAAAAAAACTTACTAATGCCTGATCGGAAAGCAGAGACTTATCAGGATAAAACAAATATGCATGAGCCTCTTTATCGGCCCGGCCAACTCTTCCACGCAACTGATACAACTGAGCAAGACCAAATTGCTGAACATCTTGAATTATGATTGTGTTTGCATTTTGAATATCTAGCCCACTTTCAACTATGTTGGTGCATATGAGAATCCTGATTTCTCCTAATGCAAATCCTTCCATAGTTTCCTCAAGCTGTTTTGAGTATTGCTTTCCATGTGCAACAGCTGTTTCAGCATTCGGAAATGACTCCTCAAGAAAGTCCTTGACTTCGTCAAGCCCTTTAATTCGGGGTAAAACATAAAAGATCTGTCCACCTCGATCCAGCTCATACTTTATGGCTGATATGACCTTTTCTTTACTAAATGCTGAAAGATGGGTTTTAATTGGAACTCTTTCAGGCGGAGGTGTTGTAATTAAACTAGCATCACGAAAACCAGTCAATGCTAAATAGAGGGTACGGGGAATAGGGGTGGCTGAAAGTGTCAATACATCAACGGAGGTTTTAAACGAAGCAATCTTTTCCTTTTGCTTCACTCCAAATCTCTGTTCCTCATCAACCACAAGAAGACCAAGATTATTATACACCACTCCATTACCAAGTAATGCATGAGTACCCACCACAATGTCCACTTGCCCATGTCTAATCATGTGCAGATATTCCTCCTTCTCTGACTTGGACTTCCACATAAGAAAGTTAAAACAAGGATTAATTAGCAATGTTTTAGACCCATGAGGACGAATAGTTGAAATGTGGAGACTAACAGTCTTAAAGACAAAAACTTCATGGTACAAATAAGTTTGTCATATAATCCTTGTGATAACTGTTAAAGAAGGGTCATAATGAGATACAGATTAAATGTAGAAAATTTTATTGACTGGACAAGCTAGGAAAAGACAACAAAATCCATGTGAATATTTTACCGCCTTCAGCAATTCACACTTCATATTAAATGCAAAAATGCTGTTTTAAAATGAAGAAACCCAATAACTAAAGATAAACAGGTGAAACATCAGAAATCCAATGACTAAAGAGACAAATTTTAACATTTTGTTTCCCTTCTCCGCAGAAGGTATGGAAGCTCATTAGATTATGTCAGTCCAAAAGAACATGTAACAGATAATGTTGCTTCCAAGAAAACACAAATTTTGTCAAATTGGCTGTACCTGAAATCGACTTAAAAGTCCAACTTTAATGTCTGGATATCTTGAAAAGCGCTCAGAGATAACATCATAGTGCTGTTTAGCCAGAACTATTGTAGGTGCAAGAACCATAGCTTGCTTCCCTGATGAAACCACACAAAAGATGGCACGCAGAGCAACTTCAGTTTTACCAAAACCAACATCTCCACATATTAATCTGTCCATAGGGTTTTCTCGCTCAGTCAAGTCCTTTTCAACATCCATTATCGCCTGATATAATGAATCAAAAAATTAGGCACTAGGGGGAGTCGTTTGACTTCAACACAGGCCCAGCTCTGTGAAGAATTTGACAATGTCCGTTCAGCCAATTGTAAAGTTTATACTAGGATATGCAAGGCCAACAGTACAATTGTGTCCTCCAAAAACTAGGTATATGATGAAACGTTCAGAAGAAATAACTAAGTCTGAATGGAAATATACAAAAAAGCTGAAAATGATAGTCATTAACTAAACCAGACCTGCTCCTGATCTGGTGTTGGTTTATAAGGAAATTGAGATGCGAATTCAGTCATGGCAGGTGTTTTGGGGTAAGGAGGACGCCTTTGTTTGAGCCTGTGTATATAGAGCTCCATCAAGTCAACCACCATTTTCTGAACTGCAACCTTTCCCTTCAACCTTCTCCTTTCCCAAGCGCTTGGATCGCTTAGTTTGCTCAAAGTACGAGGCCTTCTAGATTCATTTGGTCTGAAAACAGACATGTTTAATAACACAGGCATTAGTGTACACCCTACAACAATTAACCCTCTTTTCCTTTAGCCCTTTTTCAAGTGATTGGGGCAGATTTCTCATAGAGGACGAATCCTTCTTCTGCCCTTGTTGATAAAAATTCCCGCTAAGCCTTTTTATGCTGAAGAAAACAACCTACAATATCTGGAAATCTTTCTATTGGGAAATCTCCCTTTTTGTTGAACCTATAAGCAACATTCCCAATTTTTAAAAACAAAGTAAGGCTCCCATTACAGTTATTATAATTATTACTTCAGGCATGGAATGGTTAATCAAAACATTTCAAGTTCGGAAAGGAAAATGCTGTAGGGGTTCATTAAAAATGCAAGAGAATAAAAAAGGAAAAAAAAAAAAAAACCACTTACAAATTATAGCGGTAGAGCATGCGAGAGGCTTGCTTGACAGGAAGTTTAGCCATACCATCAGCATACTCAATGAACAAATACTCAACAGGACGCTGGTCAGCGGTGGAGAAGTCGAATTTAATAGCAATAAACCGGCCGATACCCACCTTCTTATGGACCACATAATCTCCAGGACGGAGAGTGTAAGGATCAACCTTGTACCCGAAAGAACCGCCGGCGCCGCCTTTGAGCTTCTGTAAACCCCTTTCCTGCTGCTCCTTAACAAGGCGAATGTACTTGTCGGCGTCCTCCGGCGGGGGCCTGAAATCCCTTCTCTTACAGTGCTCCCGGACAATTCTGTCATTGAGCAGAGTAATGGGGTCGTTTTCTAAACTCTTGTCTCGGGTGGTCGGGATGGCTGGCCGCGACGGAGATGGCGGCGGCAATCTGGTTTTAGTGGTGGAGGCGGCGGTTGAGGCTCCAGCCAATGAAGACGAAGCCAACAGAAAATTGTATCCATTTGTGCGGAGGAGGAAGATAGAACGATTGCAGTGATTATAATGACTCCATTTGCGGATGTAATTGGAGAAACCCAATCCAGATATGCGCCAACTTTGAAGATTCTGGTCAACTATATTTTCGGGATTTTTGGAGGGAAAGAGGAGGTACGTTGCTGCTCCGGCCATCATCCGTTATTATTCATCATCAGCATTTCCCTTCTTTTTTTTTTATTTATTGATCAACAAAAAAATATTTCATTTATTATTTCGTCTCCAAAAAAAAAGAAAAAAAAATTTGATATTTATTTTCTTTATCACTTCGCCTTTTTCTTAATTTTTTTAAACTTTTATTAAAAGAATTTCTAATCCTACGTTATTCTTTTTACCTAATCATATAGTGGTAAATCCATACTTCATTTTTTCCGTTTTTAACATTCATTTTTCTCTACTTTTTCACAAAATATATTAAAGCCAACTATCTATCTAATACTAGTAATTTTTCTTTTTTATTTTTTATTAGTTTCAATGCACTTAATCAATGACAATTCTAAATTTCCAATCACTACTACCATAATGCCAAAGGCAAAAATAAAGGAAACCAATATGTGCAGTGCTCGTAATAATTATGGTGAACAAAACCAGTGGGACTCAGTTTTCACTCTGATGATATCAACAAAAACATGTTCCTCCAACACAGTGAAACATTGATTGCCACATCACTTTTACCATACATTTCCAAGGGAATGTAAAATACAGCTGCTGTTTATACATTTATCAAGCAGCTGGCCTTACTGACTGAACAACTTGGATATTTAACCAGGAGTGAAAAAGCACACTCAACATATAAAAAATAAAATCGTGAAAAAAACAATTAAAAAAATAACAATAACAATCGTGGTTGCGCTTTACTTCGAAGACCTGAAGAGTTGGCTTCCGAGTGTCACGACTGGGGTCCCCTCCCCCATGATCGTTGTTAAGCTCATCTCTTTTTCAAGTATCCGGTCCAGTTCCAATACTGCATAACTCATCACTGGGCGCCTCTCGCTGGATGGGTCTACACTGCTGACTATCAACTGTATGAATTCTTCCATACCTTCTGTGGTGAAACTATTAGCCAGCCTCTGATCAATGATGATTGCTAAATCCCCTGATTCCTGATAGTTTTGCAACTGCAAAATGCAAAGTTGATCAGTCATTTGCGTGCAGAAAAAAAAAATGAAGTTTAATTATCCAGCCTACAGATGGATATCACATCGTCAACAAGGGCAAGTTGTGCTCTTTCTCAAGGGGAAAAATAAAATAAAATACTTGTTCGTGAAAATAATATGCAAGCAAAAGATACCCATTCCACAAGGTTTTGGTTAGGGTCTGAAGCAAGTAAATCCAGCGCTTCTCTCCCACTCACTAACTCCAGAAGAAATACACCAAAACTGTATACGTCACTTTTCTCAGAAAAATGTCTGAACTCTTTTACCCTACAAGTATCAAGTCACAATGAAATCCTGTAACACAACAATATCCCAGCAGAAAAAAGGAAACTTAAGAGAGAAAGAAAAAAAGAAAAAGGAAAAATAAAAAGAGGGAGTCCTACTCTGGTGCGAGGAACACCTCATCTGTTGTCACTTCAGAAGATGAGCCCCCAATTTCAAATCTTCCAAGGAAATTCCGTAATCCTGCATCTGCAACCTTTGCTACAAAATTTTCATCCACAAGAACATTTGATGTCTTAAAGTCTTTGTGTAGTAAGCGAGGGCTAAGTGAGTGAATGTGAGCCAGACCTGCATGTAATATCATACAATTGCAGCTTCAATTAAACGATTTCTAAAAGCATCTAGTAAGATGCTTCTTACCCACCCCCCTTTTGACAAACATAAGCGGCAATGGATACAAAAGAATTTCAGGTGATCAGCAATTTTACAAGCTACTATTTCCAAGGTCAAGATAAACTAATACTAGGAAAGCAAAAAATGCTCACTGGTTTTGCAAAGGATCACCTTTTGCTGCCCCCAGAGCTATAGAAAGCCTGTGCTTGAATTCAAGCTTCTCAGTTGATATCTGTCCAGCTCCTGCAGCAATTAACTACTCAGGATCAATAAAATGAATGCACATTCTTGCAACTGATAACTACCATCAGAGATTACCTACACTTCTAGTTCCCTTTTCAAAGTTAAGGTGCGAAACTTTATTGAAGTAATATGCATAAATTCAACGAAAGAAATATAATAACTTGTAAATTTTTTTCAACGGAATATTTTGAACAAAAAAAGAAAGAAAGGCCAAACCAGTTCATGTCAAAGTTGGTCTGCTTTTTCCATGCTGGAAAGAAAAATCGGCAACTAAAAGGATATTTACCATACAAATGAATTGAAACACTGCCATTGGGAATGTATTCGTACACCAGAATCTGTTGACCATTTTCCTGGCAATAACCTAACAGAGTAACAAGATTCCGGTGCTGGATTGATGAAAGATATCGGACCTATAAGAAAATTACAAAGGAAAAGAAAAGCATCGGAAACAGAAGAAGATAAAACATCAAGAAAAATAATCCTCAAGCACAGCAGAAAACAGCAGATAAGGTGAGAATGGAATGGATCCTAGGGGTTGTGATGGTAAAGACTGATATACCTCCTCAACGAAATCCGGAGTGGGAGGGCTATGTCGCCTTTTTATTGCCACAAGCATCCCGTCTTGAAGTAAACCCTTGTACACCTCGCCAAATTTCCCTTGCCCAATCAATCCTTTATCACTAAAATTATTGGTAGCCACAAACAATTCCTCAATCTCAAATCGTCTAGCATCTCTCAAGGTGAATTCGATCCCAGTAGTTCGTCCAGCTGCCGCAGGCAGATGTTCAAAGAAGAATTAGATATGGCATTAGGGGGTTGGTAGCTAAAAGAGAAGAAATAAAAAGAAGAAAAACCACCAAGGAAGGAAAAGATCACAAGTGGAGACACCTTGAACTGAAGGATCAGAAGATCCCGTCTCAGAAGTTCTGGAAATGGTCCTAGCGCTAAAAAACCAGAACCTTATGACTAAGATCACAATCCCCACCAATGCCACGGCTCCTGCAGCACCTCCAAGGATGGCTGCAAGAGTCCTTGACATTTGGTCAGGCAGCCACTTGAGTAATAAAACTTGATGAATATCTGGTACATATCATGACACGCTGAACATGATAGCAAACAAAGAAGCAATCAGGAAGGGAAAGGCATAGTATTTCAGTAAATGACTACTGGCCACATGGGCCCAACAAAAAAAAAAAAAAAAAGAACAACCAGCAAGCAAGTTACGATTAAAGATTTGAAGAAAGATCGGGAGGAAGAAAGAAGCACCAGGCAATTGTGGAAGAAACCCAACTTCATTTGCGGCGGGGAAGTTGGAAGTGGGCAGCAAGATGGAAATTCAGGGCAGAATCCTCAAGCGTTGTGGGGAAGTTGGAAGTGAGTGAGTAAATGAGTAGCTGGGGCTAACGGGAAGCAGGGAAAACTGAAGCCGGAATCCACAGAATTGGGGGGAATCTGACATTCATCAATTCCTGGAAAGTGGACGATTTTTGTGTTTCAGTGAGGGAGTGAGTATGCGATGCAGGTGCTTGTTCGGATCTGGACATCAAAATGATACTCCTAATAGGAATAGAATTCAGCCCAGCGGTCAATCTCAATCAATTACAGATAGATACATTCCATTCCAACGCACCACCACCGCACCACCGCAATTAAATAATGAATCCAAATCCAACCCAACCCCCATTTTTTAAAAAAGTTTTTCTATGGTTTTGGCTTGGGATATCCAAAATTGGGAGTAGTAATTAAAGTATCACAATCCAATCCAAACCAAACCAATGACTGATTTCCGAAGAACACAGCAGTGGAACTCTACCGTTGTGTGTTTGTCGGTATGCACAAGAAGTAGTAGTTAGTATAGTAAGCAAAAGAAAGGTGAGCTGTGGTGGATTTTGGTGGTACCGACGACCCAAGGAGGAGGGGGTCGGAGTAAAAATTCAATTAATAATAGTATCAATTAAAGTATTCAAGACTATTTATTATTATTATTATCCTTTTTACCCTATTAAAGCAGAATAAAGGATGCTGATGTGGCAACTTCTTATTAAAAATTTTTGGCTCCAAATGCACCATATTACATTAACCATTCTGCCACGTGTCATCCTTTTTTTAAAGAAAAAAAAATTCTTATCCAGAAAAACAAAAGCTACTTTACGAAAATAGCTACACAATTTTAACTCCTAACATTTATCATTTATCAATCAAATTAAAATAGTATTTAAATTTGTTTATAAACTTATCCCCTTTATTACTCCATATTCTTTTGTATGATTTCTGAATCGTTGTACTTTTCAATATTTTTTCTCCTTTGGCAGATGATTTTTTTATTTTTATAATTATTTTTTGCTAAAAATGAAAAAAAAAAAACAAATGTGTAGCTATTTTATTTTTTCCAAATCAAGAATTCATTTATCTATTAACATAAATCCCTTTTACCTATTAAAGCATAATACAGGATGTTGATGTGGCAACTTCTTATTAAAAATTTTTGGCTCCAAACGCACCATATTACATTAACCATTCTGCCACGTGTCATCCCTTTTTAAAGAAAAAAAAAATTCTTATCCAGAAAAACAAAAGCTACTTTACGAAAATAGCTACACAATTTTAACTCCTAACATTTATCATTTATCAATCAAATTAAAATAGTATTTAAATTTGTTTATAAACTTATCCCCTTTATTACTCCATATTCTTTTGTATGATTTCTGAATCGTTGTACTTTTCAATATTTTTTCTCCTTTGGCAGATGATTTTTTTATTTTTATAATTATTTTTTGCTAAAAATGAAAAAAAAAAAAAACAAATGTGTAGCTATTTTATTTTTTCCAAATCGAGAATTCATTTATCTATTAACATAAATCCCTTTTACCTATTAAAGCATAATACAGGATGTTGATGTGGCAACTTCTTATTAAAAATTTTTGGCTCCAAACGCACCATATTACATTAACCATTCTGCCACGTGTCATCCCTTTTTAAAGAAAAAAAAAATTCTTATCCAGAAAAACAAAAGCTACTTTACGAAAATAGCTACATAATTTTAACTCCTAACATTTATCATTTATCAATCAAATTAAAATAATATTTAAATTTATCCATAAACTTATCCCCTTTATTACTCCATATTCTTTTGTATGATTTCTGAATCGTTGTACTTTTCAATACACTTTTGATCCCCTAGGTTTAGGGGGTAGCAAGCTCGAGTCACCATGTATTTTTAATTGACAAAAATAGTCCCCTAAAATATTTTTCTCATCAATTTTAATCTATTTAACAGAACTTTTACAATATTGACGGAAGAAGTCTACTCTCCGTTAATAACAAAATATTTTATTAATTTTTTTGATTGTGGGCCTCACATTCATTTGACTTAAAAAAGAAAAACTTAAATAAAAATAAAGAAAAAACTTTTCTTTCCTCCTCCTCCCTCCCTCACCGTCCGGCCGTACCACCACAACCACTGACCGCCGCCACCAGTTCCGCCTTCTCCACCTTACTTTCCCCTGCCATCGCCTTTCTCCACCTTAATTTCGCCGTAGTATTATTCCTCCTCATCAATCATCAACCAAAAACCCTTAAAATTGTATGGAACTCTGATCTCTTTGTTCGATTTTGATGGTGGGCGTCGCTGCTCTGTTGCAGGTAGGGCTGGCAATCTCTGACACAACTCGAAATTTCGACACGAATCTGACACGAAATAAATGGATTAGGGTGGAGATTTTGGACCCGTATAATAAACAGGTCGGGTTAGAGTTGACCCGTTTATTATACGGGTCAGGTTCGGGTCAACCCACCCGGTTTACCAGTTACCCGCATAAATGTAATTTATACTCACTCTTTTCCAAAATTATTGTCCAGTTTGAGATTTCACTTTTAGTACAATTTGAACTAGAAATGAAAATACAAACTAGACAATAATTATGGGACGGAGGGAGTATCATTTTATGGGTAACTTTGGAAATATACATCAAAATTTTACCCTAATTTTTACGGGTGATTCACTCCCGAAGCTCACTTTCAGTCTTTGTCTCTCAAACTTCAAGTTCAGAGGCATCAGAGCTCAGATTAGCGGCGGCCAACCAGAAAAAAGTGAAAACACCCAAAATCTTCCAAATCTTCATTCCATTACATCAATATATTTTGGATCTGGCTCATCCTTTGATCTATTGATGTTCATTTAGTTCTTTTTCATTGACTATAAATTGTGAATTTTCTCGAAACACTGTCACCCGCCGCTCTCTTTCCTCTCGTCTGTCGGGTTTCTTTTTCGTTGGGGCTTACAGTTCACCTTTTGACTCATTCCTTTGGTGGAGGTCTTTTTGGGTTTCGACCGATCTATCATTGATTGATTTTTTGTTTTTGTTTTTTTTGTTTTCCTACTTCAGTGAAAGTCCGAGGTCGGCTATCGATTAAGATAGAATACTAGATTTTTGTTTTTTTTTTGTTTGAATTTTTCTGGCCTCAGTTTTGTTTATTTATATTTTTTGTTGGAAAGAAGTCTGGATTGAATTTATTTTAAATTCCCATGTTGATTATTTGGGTTATTTGGATTGCATATGGTGTTAAAATAGATGTGCTAATAATGTTTAGGATTGTAAGTCTTTGGTTTGTAGAATCTGGCAAACTAATAAGCAAAACGATGTTAACTTTTTCAGATCTAATGATAGTATTGGATGTAGAATCAGTTCTAAAAAGATGCTAGTCTTCTTGAATCATTCATTTTTTCCCCCTCAAACAGTGGCTTTTACGGAAATGCTAGTCTTCATTGCTTCTTCATGTGTATTTTTGCCTTCTTTTATTTTTTATTTTTGCTAGCATGTGATTTACAGTCAGTTTGAAGAATGAATTGAATTCTACTTTTTGTAATCAAAATTTTTTTTTACGAGTTGAACGGTCGGCTCACGAGTGACCGGATTATTTTCAGGTCGGGTTAGGATTTACAAAAATGATTTATTTATTCAGGTCGGGTCTGGGTTGGTTTTATTTTCTTTTTGGGTCTAACCCGAACTCGACACGAATTGCCAACCCTAGTTGGAGGTGGCCAAAACCGCGTTGGAAGTCGCCGACTTTACATGGACGGCCGTTGAGGGATGCCGCCATCACAATCTCCACCAGTTGGAATCCCTGCGGGCAGAGAATTGTCGCCTCAGGATTTTACTGGAAGAACAAAAGCTCAAACTCCTGGAATCTTGCCCGCCTGACGTTCGATGGGAATTGAAGAATTCCAGCGGGTGCGGTCATCAACTCCCTGTTTCTTCCGTGGAGGATGAATGAAATTGAAACAGAGGATTATGTAATTGTGAACGAGGGAGAAGTGGTGGAGGGGATTGAGAATTTCATAGCGCAATGCGTGGTTTTGGATCCAAAAGCCAGGGATTTGGCGCCAGGGAAGCTTCAGAAAGCCATAACCAAAACGATGGTTGTGGAAAGTAAGGTGGAGAAGGTGATGCACAGTGTTTGTGGGTGACCCGAGACGGCAAACGGATTACGATTAATTGAACTCGTGTTTTGCCCAAATGCGGCAGGTTGGCGGAATCCGACCAAAACCAGAACCACCACCACCAAACATGGCTTCAAAGTTCTTGATCAAAATCAGAATTACAAAAAAGAATACCGAACAAAAGAAATTAGCTTAACAGGTGAATTCAAATTCGTGTTTGTCGTGAGAGAATAAATTGAACAATTCGATTGAGATTCAAGAATTAAAAGTGGGGTTCACCGGGGGCGACGGCGAGGAGAAGCAGAGGCGAGGAGTACGGGTAAAGAAAAATAAAAGTCCGTTTTTTGTTCCTCTTTTTTTTATTCCAATTTTGGTTTTTTTAATTTTTTTTTTTTGCTGGTCAAAGAATGGGTCTCACAAATAGTATAGAAATGAATATAATAAAAAAAATTGACGCATTGTCAAATATTTGATGGGATTGTTTTTATCAATTGAAAATTCATGGTGATTCGATTTTGTTACCGTCAAAAGTTGGGAGACGAAAAGTGCATCCCGTCCCAAAAAAAATTAGAAACAACGATCTTAAATCATGCTTACTTGGAACGAAAACAAACGCAAACAGGGCTATTCTAACCATTCCTGTAATTCTTTTGATACTATTATTAACGCACATACACATTATACATATATAATATAATATATAATTGTTACTAGCATTTGGAGTAGATTGGACGGTTTTTACTCTATTCATTTGAATTCAATAGAAACAATTTTCTTTTCTAGGCGTTTCGAAATTTAATAAGTTTTTTTAAGATTTAAAATGAATTTTTTTCAGAACAAATTATATTTTATTCCTGACTTTTGACTTAAGCTACTATAAATCTTTCGAGTTTGAGTAATATTATCATATATCCCAATCAAATACCCCCTTAACATAGTAACATCATTATCAATTTTATGAAAACGGTTCAAAATACACTCTAACCTATATTTTTTACATTATACAATTCACAATATTTTTAAAAATATATCCTAAATTAAGTCTAAAAAAATTCTCCATATCAATCCTTTTACATTAACGTGCTTAAATAATAAATTTTTAAAATTAATTATATCTTATATTCCCTCCATCCTGAAATTACTATCCAATTTGGATTTTCAATTTTAATTCAAATTACACAAAAAAAAAAAATCAAATTGGACAATAATTTTTGGAACATAAGAAGTATATATTTTTTTTGAAGCACAATCAACTTATATCACTATTACTGATTGATGAACTTTCATTTATTAAATTAAGTTATAAGTAAATGTGAAAATAATAAATTAAATAAATTTCATTTTTTTATGGTGAAAGAACAAAGAAAATATATAAAATAAACTAGAAAAAAAGAAGAAAATGAAGAATATGTAAACCATAATCATTTAACCAGAACTTGGGGATTATAAAAGATCACTGCTAAATTCGATGGGTAAAATATAGTTCGCCATTATTTTTTTTTTTAAGAAAAACAAGGCCTAGTTCAATCAACAATGATATATCTAGAGACTAAATACAGTAAAAATATATAGTGATAAATAAAAAGATAAATACATCATTCACTTATTAAACATGTCTATTTATTAATTAAGGATAGAAATATAATTTTAAGAGAAAAATAAAACTTCAACGGAAAAATAACAAAAAATTAAAAGTCATGATTAATCCACATCAATCACTATATTTTGTCACTATTTTTATTCACTATATATATCATATATATATATATGATATATTTATTAATAAACAATTCTGAAAAAAAAACCATTTAAAAAAGCTACGGAACACAATTATTAGAGGTCACGAAATACTAACTTTGAATATTAACACCTTCAAACAGCAAAAAAACTTCTACAAGGGGAAAAAAGAATGATTAAGATTTACAATGAGAAACCATAAATGCAAATGAGAACTAGCAGGGCATGGCTCATTGTTTGGAAGTCTTCCCACCTACCTTTCCATTTCAACAGTGTTCAAGAAATTGCACCACCACCACCATGCTGTCTGGCTTTTATGACAAGCTCCTCTGTGGTGGTGCCAATTATCTCATTGGCCCGCTTTAGACCAACACAGTAGTACCTTCCAATCGTATCCTATTTCACATGTCACAAAAGTGTAATTCATGGTTAACTAATTCTATCAGCGTTTCAGTATACGAAAACTGTAATTTGAACAGTGTACTAACTGGTTGGTTCAAATATGGTTTGTTGGGAGAGTCTTGAAACCCATATTTGGGTAACTGATTTCCCAACAGAAACCCGAACATAATTTACTCTCGAGCACATCTGTACTTTCCTATTCTGGCCACCCAATTAGTTTTATCTATGCTTTCTTGAATGTTCAAGAAACTGTTATCCAATTGTACATGAAAAAAAAAGCACGGCCTTGAACAGGAAAATGAACTTACCCGAGAAACAATCCCCAACTTTTCCAATTTCTGTACAGCATCATCAACATCAAAATTGCAGCTCTCCCCAAATTCTTCTTTTATCAGTTCCTCACAGCGCAGATCAAGATCCTGTCTCAACAAGAAGAGTGTAAATAGATTTTTTTAAAAAAATAAAAAAATAAATAAAAAAATAAAAAATAGCTCATACAAGGAAAAGAATATGAATGCTATCAACCTGTAATGTAGCTTTACCCTGTTCCATTAATATGAAGAATGAAATTATCACCTCCTTCACCTGCAAATTGGACAGATTTCTGAGCTAATTACTGGATCATGTTGACCTCAATCCTTCTATTTAAAAAAAAAAAATTTAAAAGAAGAGATGGACACTATATTCTAAAGGGATATGGAACATAAATGGCTAACAGTGAAGTAATGTAGATAAATGGCTTTCAAGAAGGATAGGACCTAATGGCAGAGCTGCTGATGTAAGAGTTTATCACAATTTTTTCCCTTAATTTAGCTGAATATGTAAATGTATCGGGATAACAGTGAAGTTATGTAGTTTGTTCTAAGGTACTTTATATCTCTTCAATTTTGGTGTCCATATGGATAGGATGAGTCAGATGAGTTTGTAAGAAACGTGCTTTTGTGCTTTTGGTGTTCGTATATAAAGTTTTTACATTTTCACCAAAAAAAAAAGTGCACCAATATTCTTAGAAACACTTCGGAATTGGTATTTGAAAGACAAATACTTGCAACTATGACAAATCATCAGATATCACAAACTAAAAGCATAAATGCACTTCGCACAGAAAAGCGTTGTAGAAGCCCAATGAATTTCAACACCCATTTAGTTTGATGGCATACACCAAAGTAAGCAGTCATTTTCACTCTCCTTAACTACCTAAAATAAACACAATGACAGGGTTGCTAAATGATAGGAAAGAAGAATTTTAAGCAGGTAGCTCACTTCTTGTTGAATAACATCATCACACAAATGAAGAAGAGTGCCCTTTCCACTATCCAATTGCTTATCATACATAGATTGAGTAATCATGTTCTGATATGTAGCCATATTTTGTTGGAACCTGCAAAGTGAGACGAAAATATAATACAACCTCAACAAAAGTGTTCTTTTAGATAAATCCAAAAAATGCAAGATCAAGCATCAATTCATACATTAATCATCGTGATATGCAACACATATGGACCATATGAGAAAAAACACACCGGCATACAAAATAAACTACCGTAGCAGAGGCAACCAACAAATTATGGAACCTAAGCATCATGTAAACTTGTACATTGAAGTCAAAGATACATGAAACATGAAAAGATAGAAACATTTCAACAGATGACTTACGTGAAATACGTCTTCGCACAATAACCAAGCACTGTCGAAAGAATAGCAAAAAGGACCCATAGATCCCCTTTAGGCATGTCAAGAGAACCCACAACAGCAACCTGGCAGAGGAACACATTTAAACTAAAATTCATGAAAAACAAATAATTCTGAAGGAATGTAGAGATACCAAAGAGAACTAACCAGCCCAACCACAGCAGAAATAAGGAATTTAACCCAATCCATGGGTGTCAGACTTGGGTTTTTCTTCTCTGGCTATCACACAGGGAAGGAGAAATGAGTCAACAACAGAGCAAAAAGAGACAACTCATTCAGGCAAACAAAAATAGGCAGTAAACAAGCTCACCAATACTATTTCCATATCAGCCATTGGAATATTTTTGAAATGTTTTACGAATATTCCTCGTTCAGGTTTTAGCTTAGTACCTGCTCGCCTGGCACATTAAAAAACTTTTTATACATAGAAAATTATAGAGAGCTTTCAGAGGCACTCAGACCTATGCAACGTGTTAATCATACAAATCTGATCCAGCATAATTTAGTATAACATTGTAAAATTCTATGCACCTGTTTCTATTTACAATCATGATCTACACTTTTTTTCCCGGGGAAGGGGGCGTGGTTTAGGGGTGGTTTCTTTTTTCCTTTAATAATAGCAAAAGGATGGAGAGGGCGGGCCCTAAAAGCAGGGGTGAGAAACGATTTCATTTTTGGATAGAGAATTATCAGGGGCTGTTGTCAAAATTATTAGAAGGTAGATTTGGGGAAACCAAATAGAAAACGTGACGATTTTTGGGGGGAAACAGCACTACAGAGGCACTCATCCACCATATCACATTCAAATAATTGTTAAAGGTTTTGTAAGAGCATGAATCTCAGTAAAGAAAATTATACACAAGAATGGAAACAGTACCTGTACACAACAATTATCCTATCAAAGGTAGGTTCTTGAATTGTTATCTTGCTCAGCAGGCTACCAAAACTATAAAAGGATACAAAACAAAAGGAGGAAAAATAAAACTGGTTAACGAACTTCTGTACAAATGCCCCAACACACACACGCACACGCACAAACACAAACACACGCACGCGCGCATATATATATATCATCTTTAATGCATTTCTTTTCCAGGTGCTAAGATTAAAACCCAGAACCACAGTTACAATCTGCCGCCCTTGCAACATCACTCTTCCCTACACACGCATATAATCCTCATAATCTGCAGAACGCTCCAATTTGAAGCTACACAATTGATAAATGAAAGGACCTCATGGTAAAACCAACAGAAAAGGACCACCTTTTGGTTTCTGACACAACTCCACAAAGCTCAGACATGAAGAACTCATTTTGATTCTCTTTCGAAATTTAAAAAAGCATTGCTTTCCCTAGAAATTACATTATGCATACACATTGGAAGTATCATCTATTCATCTGGAGAATGCTAAATGTCCAATGGATTAGAAGAAAACTACATCATCAACTTCATAGATAAAGGCAGAAAACCAAACTGAATAAAAGAAAAAAAAATAAATTAAAAACCTGAGCTCCATGTTCTCGAGACGAATTCGTTCAACAAACATGTCGTCTTCTTCATGTTCAGCAGTAATCTCATCATTTTTCTTAGCATCCTTTTTGGATCGAGAGATTGATCTTTTGGACAATAATTTTTCCAACCTGCACATGGGTTAGATACAAAGGCTGAAGCCAAAGAGTGTTACAATCAAGCCAAGCAAAATACATATCAAACAAAGAGTACTTCTAGAAAGCAGCATCATACTCAAATCTTTCATTTTAAGTCCCTCAAGTAAGGGCGAAAGATTGCATGAGGCTCCCATGATTGTGGGATGCAGAAGCATAAGGTCAACGAAGCTACTTCCGCAGATGGTTTTTCCTATGTCAATTAATCTCATATCCTCTCTTCATACATGGAAACTGCTAAACTAGCCAGAGTAGTGCAGCAAGATTGAATGTAGCTTACTTAGTTGTTCTCAAAATCCAATTCCAAAGGCGTGCAATAAGCATGTCGACTTTCTCCATAAAAAAGTAATCAGTGGTCCGATCAATTCCAATGCCACGCCTGAATATAACATACTGATGAAGAAAAGTATGTTATAAAAAGTTTAGTTGAATGCTCGAACCCATTTTACATCACACCAAATCCAAAACAAACAATCACCATCCATACCTTATCAGCAAAGTCTGGAAGATTTTCATGGGGATGCTCCTCAAAATATCTCCTCAAGAGTTTCTTGTCAAGCTGCATCCATCCAACATATGCACGTGGCAAGAGAGGTGACTCGTATAAGCACAATCAATTTGTACACAACATAATCAAACATTCAGTCAGATCATGATGGATTGGGTGCAGACCTTAGATTCATCAACAACAATTGGAAGATTTAGAAGATATTGGCCAGAATGAGCAACATCGATTTCATCATCAGTGGCTACTTTGAAATTGCTCTTATCCATCACCTAAATAAAATAATGATGATGGTAATAATAATAAACAAAAGCATTGGAACTCCCTTATGGTGGGGGACGGAAAACGCAATAGAGAAGTGCAAAAGAAAAGCAAGCACAATGCATACCTGAAATAAGTATGACAAGAAGTTTTGCTCAAGAATGTCGATTTCATCCTGAGACAAATTCTGCTGCTCTAATTTCTGAGCGCCGTGGACGGGATCAAAGAGAGAGTAGAGTTGCTGCAAGTTCAATCATCAAATAAAGGAATGAGGACATGAGGAATAGAAGAAAAGCCAGAAAATGAAACAAAAAGAAAAGGGTATTACCATGAGATCTTCAAACTGTAGAAGGTACCAGGCTCGAATAGTGTACTCCACCCTCTTGCACAGCTTCAAAAACTCGGAGCGATCAGAGGTATGTTCTGGGAATATAATAAACAGGGAAAGTAAGGGATTGAACCAACAAACAACGAGACGCAGGGAGCCAGAGACTGAGGAGGAGGATAAAAAAGAAATTACCAATAAGGTTAGCCAAGGTCATGATAAGCTTGGGCTTGAGAATTGGGATGACCGATTCCCGCTCCAGTCGTATCACTTCCGTTTTCTTCTTCTTCTTCTGGTGGTGGAGGTCCTCCGGTACCACGACGCCGGCCATTTCGATACAATCACCGACACCCCAAACCCTGCTACAAACAAGCCCTAAACCCGCGTCCCGCGAATTCAATTCGTGACCGTCCAACCTCCTCCTGCTCTCGGGGTCACTAATTCCTTACTTGCCTATGAATCATTACAATCGAATTCGAATCAAACTTACCTTCACACAAACGGATACGAAGCAGTAGTCATATAACTTTATTAATAAAACACAAAAAAATAAATAAATAACCGGAACTCCAATCACCGTTAGCCTTATGAGTTACCGATAGGTGACGATACTCCGGCGGGCGGGATTTGCAAAGCACCACACAGAATTAAACACAGTATGTCTAATAAAATACAATCACGGAAAGACGGTTACTGTATACTACTGCTAATATGGATTTTTTTTTTCATTTTCATTATTTAATAAATTAATTTATTACGTATATATTCCTCGAAAATCGCTAAGTACTTTGTAGAAATGATTTAGGCTCTGTTTGGTTGGACTGAATTGGACCAAACCAATTCCAATTCTTGTGTTTGACTGATAAAAATAGAGTTTCTGGAATTGGAATTACAATGCAAGATGGAGCTTAATTCTTTATTTTCAATTCTTTTGTGGGAGGAAATAATTACAATTCAGATTCTACAACTTTAATAAAAATTCGCGGACCAACTTATGGGTTAAAAACGGGTCGTTTTTGGAGGTTGTATGGATAATTCGGGCGTGTGCTTGCACGCTCTACGAAAGGAAGGCCATTTCGGGACATTCCCAAGTCCCCACGCACAGAAATCCTCTTTCAATTTTGTTTTTTTTTAAAAAAATTAATTTCATTTTTTAAAATCTTTTCTCATATTTTTATTTGGCTACTTTGAAATCTTTTATGTTTTTTTCCTCTTTTGCTTAGGAAATACTTTATTTTTTTTATCATCAAAATAAAACATAAAACTTACAAATAATTACCAGACCCTTATATTTGGAAAAATTTTATGTTTTGTCAATATTCTCCAAAATATATCCATACTAAAACATATAAGTAAAGGTATAATTAACTATTTTAACTTAGGTAAAATTATTTTATATTATAGTAATTGATCAATTTAGCAAGGTAAAAATAATCATACCGAGTACAAACTAATAATAAATATACTTATTATACATGAATATAAGATTTGATATTAAATACTAAGAAAATTATTAGCATATACAAATTAATGTCAAACTATAATTCTATAAATAAATGAACATTGATATGCATAAACTGAATTTTATGTTAAATATAATTTCTTTCTACTAAAAAATAAAAAAAGAATAAAAAAAATTGAAATTAAAATTGTACGTGAAAATTTATAAAATGGAGAGAAATATGGACGTTGTATTTGTTACTTGTTTATGTGTTGAGTGAATACTTTAATTAGCTTATTAATATTTCTTACGTAATAAAAAAAAGTTTTCCATAAGTATGTATCTACTAAATAAATCATAAAATTGATATATAAATTAAAAACAAATTATTTTTTAGAAAAAGTAAAAATTGCATTAGTTAAACAAAAAAAGGTAATTGTTTTATATATGCATAATAGTGTAATTAATTACTTTTGCAGAAGAAAAAATAAGTTATTTTTCTATTTTTGAAATGAATTAAATTGTATTTGTTAGATATAACAAACTAAGTTCAATTCTAGAGTATCTAAAATTTCATGCATCCAAACGCAAGAATTGGTATTATAACCTTAATTTTAATCAATTTTCAAGATCTCTCAAACAAAATAATTATGATTGAATTACAATTCTAATATCTCATTTACCATATCCATATCCAAATTTCTTTTTTGGTTCATAATATTAATCGTTTGGTCCATTATATTTATATTTTCATTTAATTTGGTCCTTTTTACTTTTCTTGGCATTTTCCATTTCGACATTTTCGGGTTAACTAATTACAGGGCTAGTCAATAGGGATATTTTCGATAACTCAATTTTATTTTGTAAAAAAAAAAATACAATTCATAGAATCACATAAAAATAATATAATAATGGATAAATTATTAAAGTATTTAAAAATAAAAAAATTCAAAAATCAAATTTATGTTTTTCAATATCGCATGACTTTTTTTCATTGAACCTATAAAATTCTACCTTTTTCCCCTCCTTTCACTTTTATCTGTATTTAAAAATGAAAATTGTGAAAAAGTGCTTAAACATTGAGTTTAACAGCATTTGTAGTTGAAAATTAAGTTTGACCGTGGTTAGGATAAAAGTAAAAATAAAAAAAAGTGATTGTCAAATGTAACTTGATTTTATTTCTCGCAGTTTGTGAAAATTACTATACTTGAATCTTAAACCTTCGTATCTTTCATTCTTTTATACGATTGACTCTCTTTTTATCATTTATCACAAATTTTTTTAAAATTACAATGAAAACATTCACTGCTTATTGATATTTTGCAATAGGGGAGAACCTAAAACACGAAAAGTAGGAAAATATAAGTCGTCAGCATCCCAATAAGTGATTTTATGAGAGAATTATTTGCAGTTAGGCACACTTGTTTATCAATCTTCTCCTTAGTTCTGCTTTCATTTCTTTCTAATGCAATGTAGATTCAAGAGTATTTCTAATTAAAAGACAAGTATGATTATAATGAAATTAAAATATCTTTCAGTTCTTTGAAAAATGATATTATTTTGATTTGGTATCTTTAATCTATAATTTATCTATCTATAATAATAATAATAACCTCCATTATAGCAAAACCATGTTTTTCCTAAAATTCCAAGTGTCACTCTTTGTTTAAAATTCTCCCACCCTAATCCCCAAGAAAAAAACAAAAATTAAAAAAAAAGGAAGTATTATCTTTTTCAAAAAAAAAAAGAAAGAAACTGCCCCTTTATAATCCACGTTTCCCCAAATAATAATAATAATAATAATAATAATAATAATAATAATAATAATAATAATAATAATAATAATAATAATAATAACCCCTATTATACCAAAAATCATGTTTCGCCTAAAATTCCAAGTGTCACTCTTTGCTTAAAATTCTCCCACCCTAATCCCCATGAAAAAAACAAAAAACAAAAAAAAGGAAGTATTATCTTTTTCAAAAAGAAAAAAAAAAAGAAAAAAAAGAAACGGTAATCATTATCCCCCCTTTATAATCCACGTTTCCCAAATATTCCAATTATTATAAACCTTAAAAGTTACTCCATCCATATTTTCATTAAAACTTCTGATACCGTTTCATCTAATTAAAATAAAATAAAATAAAAAGAAAAGAAAACCTCAAAAAATAACTTCCTTATAAAAGTCACTCTCATTATAATCCGCGTTTTCCAAATATTCCGATTATTATAAATCCTAAAAGTTGCACATCCATATTTTCATCAAAACTTCTGATACCATTTCATCCAATTAATAATAAAATAAAAAAATAGAAAAGAAAACCTCCGAAAATAACTTTATTGTCATAGTCAGTCTCACTATAATCCACGTTTCCCAAATATTTCAATTATTATAAACCTTAAAAGTTGCTCCATCCAAATTTTTATTAAAACTTCCGATACTCATCCAATTAAAATAAAATTAAAAAAAAAGAAAGAAAAGAAACCTCTGAAAATAACCTCCTTCTCAAACTCACTCTCACTATCCCCCTCTCCCCCTCCCTCGAAAAAAAACTCTCTCAAACAATATCTCGCTCTCTCCTTATCTTTATCAAATCGTAGAAGACTCCGCAAAATCTCAGCAAATTGAATCTATCTATTTGCTTTGCCTTTTGGATATATGTTTTTCTCAAACAAACCTTATTTTAGGTTTAAGTAGGTTTAAGTTCTACTCCTTCTGTCTCTAAATTATTATCCAGTTTGGATTTTCACTTTTAGTTCAATTTGCACTAAAAATAAAAATCCAAATTAAACAATAATTTTGAAATGCAAGATGTAAAACATAGTTTGTGGTTTGTTAGTCCCGTTTCTTCTTCTTCGATCGATTGGAAGTGGCAAACTCCGAGAACAAGCAGCATCAAGGATATTAGTTCCATTGAATTTTCTTTTCTTTTTATGACTCTTTCAATATTTACTTTTTAATTTCACTCGATAAAAATAAAATTATCGACTGAAAAATTCCACCGGCCGTCTTGGGACAGAAAAAAATCGCCGGCCATCTACCTTTTATCTTGCGCCATTGTCTCCGTTGGCCGGCCGATGCCTTTTCGATTGCTCAAATCTGACAAATTCCCAATGCTTAAACGTCGTTTTCTTCACTTCTGAAGCATTTACCGTCATCCAGTGTAATTGGAATCGAAATCTGATGAAACTCCTTTATATTGATGATGATCGGAGCTGCTCAATTCCCATATATATCATCGGATGCTCTGCTGCCTTCATATTGTAATTCCCTATATATTGCTCAATGCTCTGCCGTGTAATCGAACATCTTCATTTCATCACTTTCTTTATGTCTTGATCTCTATTATGGTCATGGAGGATGTGCGCCGCCTAAAAGAATCTGTTGTATTGAATGAACAACAAGTTGTTCGATATAGGGTTTAGCCGCCGTAAGAATTAGTGTGTTCGGTTCAATCAACATGACTTGCGTAATCTGAAATACCGAAAATTAGGGCGGTAAGTTCATTGGAAGATTTGGATAATGGACGGAATCATAGTTTATAATTTGATTGGATGAGATACTTTATTAGTTCTTAACTTTAGTGTTATACTATGGAAAAATTGGCTGATCTACCCAAAGGTTGACATGCGTTGTCAATTTTACCCTATTTTTTTTCGGCTAACCAATATTACCCTAAACTATCCAGCCGTTAGCCGATTTTGTCTAATTTGCAAATTTTCGTTTAGATTAACACCGTTAGTTTTAATTATAAAAAATACCCTAATAGTTTTAAAAATTATAAAAATGACCCCAAAAATTTGTAAAAATAACCAAATAGTCTTTTTTCACTTTTTTTTATTTAATTTTTTCTGTTTTCAATTTCTTTTCACTATTTCTCATAACTATGAAAATATATTATATAATCTTTTAAAAAAAAGCTATTTATTTTTAAAACACTATTGTGCAAATTTATAGATATGCATATTCATAACTCATGGTTGATTTACATAAACATATTACTTTTTTAATAATATGGTTTAACAGTAATGATATTATTTTTTTAATCTATTTTTTTCAATCTAAAAAATAAGTTTATTTAACTAAACCTAATTTTGCAAAAAAATAAAACATTTAGCATAGATTAAATTTTTTTTATTGGTATACTTTAATGTATTATTATAATATAATTTAACATAATTTCGATTGTATTGTAAAATTAAAAAAATAATTAAACTAAAATATACATTTTCTTTAAAAGGCCAAGTACAAACAGAAAATAAAAAAAAGTGGTATAAAATATTTTATAAAAAATATGTATATTTATCATTGCGAGAGTTTAACATTTCGTGATAATTTTTTGAGATATTAACATCTAACTTTAGCACGAATTTTTTTAATAATAATAAAATAAATCTGCTCCAGTACTGGACTCCACCTTTTTTTAAAAAAAAAGATCGCCCCAGTGAGAATTGAGGCATCGGACACAGTAATAATCATCTCCCCTCTTAAATTACCTGACCATCCAACTCAACCCTCTCACCTTTAGTAAACCATGCATAAATGTTGATAAAATCACTCTCTCGTTAAAAATCCTTGGTGAGAATCAATCTTATATCTACTATCATGAAGCTCAACACCCTAAACACTAGATTGTATACTATATTTTAGTTTAGTAATTTTTTGAATTGGATAATACAATCTATAGTTTTTTTATTCAACTTGTAATAAATTAAAATATACTAATATATTAATTTTTAATCTATGCTAAATGTTTTACTTTTTTTTTTGTAAAAAATCAGTTTTTAGTCAAAAAATATTATTCTTTAAATTGAAAAAAGGATTAAAAAAACTAATATCATTATTGTCAAGTTATATTATTAAAAAATTAATATGTTTATGTAAATCAACCATGAGTTACAAATATACATATCTATAAATTTGCACAGTAGTGTTTAAAAATAAATAGTTTTTTTTAAAAGATCATATAATATATTTTTATAGTTATGAGAAATAATAAAAATAAATAGAAAACAGAAAAAATTAAATAAAAAGTGTAAAAAGACTGTTTGGTTATTTTTACAAATTTTTAGGGTCATTTTTATAATTTTCAAAACTATTAAAGTATTTTTTTGTAATTAAAACTAACAGAATTCCGTTAATTTAAACAGAAATTGGCCAATTGGACAAAATCGGCTAACGATTGGATAACTTAAGGTAATATTGGCTAATCCAAAAGAATAAGGTAGAATTGACAACGCATGTTAACTTTTGGGTAGATCGGCCAAATTTTCCCATATCCCATCCATTATAAGATAATTCCTTTATTCCATCAATGACATAAATTATCAATGACAGAATCTTTCCCCAATTAGAAAAATTATATTCTCCCTCTTAAATAAATTATGGAATGGGGTGGAGTTTTTAGTTTAAAATTCAAAAATTTTAAATGAATGAGCCCTATCTTCGAATTTCAGTAATCCGTTATACTAACCATTACTTTGGATAACACTTCATTGGATTAGATCAGGTTGTTCAAAAAATCATTTTGAAATGGGTCCTATATTCCACGTATCTCTCTCATTGAATGTTGCCCTCATCTCTTTCCTCAAATCTCATAGTTTGCCTCAAATTCTAATCACATCTCTATTGTCTCACTCCTCTATAATCTCCTTCATTCTCTCTTTGATTTTGCCATCGACTAACGCCCGCCACAGATGCCGTCCCGCTTTGCTTTTGCCCTATGAGTGGCCACCGCTGCAACCTCACTTTGCTTGCCGCCTAACCAAGATCACGGATTCCGCCTCAATTTCTTATTATTTGATAAGTGATTTGTCATCGGCTTGATCGCCTCTATTCCCCTCCAGTACCATTCAGAACCCGTACAGCAGAGGTATTTTCTCTGTTCTCATTGTCCTAGCGAATTGTGATTCCCTTATTACGGATTGATTGGTTCCTTTTTATAGTTGGTTTTTCTATTGTGTGGCTAATTACTTTTAAAATTCATGAAAACTTTATATGTTTTCGCCACTTCAAAATATTTTGTAATTTTGAAGGAGATTTGGGACATTTGATTTGTTGCTCTGAACATTAATTTTTGTTAGAATTTCTTATTGTTACGCCAGTCTTATGTTTCCTTTTCTATTTTTGCCTTCACTTTTTGACATCGGTGTATATAGAGGAATCCACATTATGCCTGAGTAGGTTGTAGTATACCCCTGTACATTATATATAGTATAAATCTCTGTGAATAAAGCCTCAAGTAATGGGTTGATAAGTTTTGCAATTGTCTATATAGTTTATGGTTCGCCACTAAGATTGGATTTTTGAATGTTATTTTAGTTTTGAATAAAACCACTCTTAGTGTTATTTAAAGAATAGATATTTTAATATAATCTCTTTTCTTAATGCAAGTATCTTTTTCCAGGGTCTAATTGATCACTTGTCCTTTTTTTCTTCCTTTTCTTTTGGTTATATCAAGGTGGATTCATGTATGCTTATCTTAGAGTGATTGTAGTAGACTAGCGAATGAAAATTATAAGTTTGCCGGTGAAACTGGTATTTTTGTTTGGTTTTGATTCGTTTTAATATTGGACTAATCAATATTACAAAACTGTTTGTACTCTTTCGTACTGTGAAGAGGTTGGCATCCGTTGCACCCAACGTTTAATTTGTTTTGTTTTACCACCAAAAATATATTTTTGGTTTAATTAGAATTGGAGTCCGACTTGGCTTGGTATTGAGAAGCTTTTTGCATGTTGCCCAATTTCCTACATTTTTGGAGAGTTAATTGACCCCATTTGATGATTAGTTTTACGGGAAAATAAGCTAGGGAGTAGGAGTTTTATTATGATTAGAAGTTAGGCAAGTATACTACGGGTTGTATTCTTGTATGATTAAAGAAGTGGATTTCTTCTACCTTCATAGAATCCTAAAGGAACTCTACTTCCATTTCTTTCGCACAAAACCAAGGACGGCCTATTCTTCTATTTAAGCAGCTGAGCGCAAGAGAGAAAGAGAACCTCAATTCATCATCATCGATATCATTCATTTTTCTTTATTTTTGGTCTTTTCTTTCATGTATTTTTATCATGTTTTTCTAGTATAGTCTAGCCTAGTTTTTCGCCTATTTTTCTTTATAGAAATTGAACCTTAAGTCCTCAATAAAAAAAAAAAATTCTTCCTTTCATTTTTTATTATGGGATCTGATCTTAGTAACCCTAGGGATCCGATCTATACTTCTTCTCTATATAATAGGTCGCATAGTAATTCCCAATCTCCATATTCTTATAGTCCATCACCACTTGGTGGGTATATCTCTCAACAGCCCGCAGTTCCACATGTAGGACCTAATTCTTTGGGGGCTGAAAATAATATCGGATGGCAGGCTACCCTTGATGGCCGCTTTCCTCAATTTTATGGTCAACATGGCGCGAAACAGCAATCTAGTTGTATTGACGGACGGCGTGATGGGTCTATGGTGCAAGATCCCTCAAGATTCTTGGGGCTGCCTGCTGTTGGTAATTCAAATGCTACACATGAATTTTACAATATGCTAATTAGTGAAAACATGGTGCAACAACTGCTGGTTTTGTCGCCGCAACAACAGGCAAGTTCAGGCGCAAGCGCATCCGCAGGTTCTGTAGCCGCAACATCAGCAATTGCAGATGCATGCACTTCAGCAACAACAGGTGTCGCCGGTGCAACGTCAGCAAGTTCTGTTGTAGGCGCAACCACATCAGGTTATGTCACCGCAGCATCAACAAATTCTGTTGCAGGCACAACCACAGCAAGTTTTGTCACAACAATCAGCAAGTTCAGATGCAGGTGTTGCAACAGTTGCAGTTACAGCAGGTAGTGCCGCAGGTACAGAATCTGCAGGTGGTACAACAAACTCAGCAGACGCAAGAAGCAAGTGAAAATTCAGTTGCAACAGCAGACTAGCTGCAAGAAAATTTTGTGACAGATTTATCGTCAATACCCGGAAGGCTACCTAGTGATTTTGATGCTGAATGTGGCAAGCTTAGGGAAAGCCTGCAGAAAGAGTTTGAGCACCCTCAACAAGCGTTTGTTGCTGCAAATGAATAGGTGTTGCAGCCATTAAATACAATGGCGATTATTAAAACTATAGTTGTTACTAAACATTGTGTGCATACTGATTCGTTTTGTTTGCCTAATGAATCTGTCATTGTTGAAAACGAGTTTGTTGAGGTTAAGTACAGGAGATCTTGTGAGTCTTCTAGCAGCGACAATGATATTGAGGAGATTATTTGTGACAGCTGCAACAATGTTTCACCTGCAAAGATAATTCTGTTTGCCCAAGTGTCGACGAAATTAAGGGCGAGCAAGAGCAAGGCCAAGTGACAATTCCTGATGCCAGTTTATCTATGATAGCTGAACCGGCACAATGCTTAGTCGCTGATGTTCCAAAAGAAGCAGCAGCAGACCAACAGGTTGGACTTTCTAATGATGGCTTCCAAAATTGGTGGTGCAACAGTAGTGCTGAATTGGTTAATGATGTAACAGATTCCATGCCGGTTAAGCAGAAGTTTAATCATGCCAGGCTTTACGACAAGAGAGGTTCTGCCAACAGAAGAAGCAGGCAGAATAAAGGGAATCCAATACAGCATGGTTTTCATGTTGCAGAAAAAGTCGACGACGGTTCTCAATTACGTGGCATTGATTTTGGTGGTGGCAACAATAATTACACTTATTTAGATTATGGTGCTGCTGTCGAATGGAGGATTGATTTGGCTAAAGATCGTGAGTTACTGAAGTCCTTGATTGGCCGAAAAAAGAAGCGTTCTGCAAGAGATCAGTCGAAGATGCTTACATCTTCCGTTATGCGGCCTAGCAGAATCAAGGCATTTGGGGCCGAGGTTGTCGTTGCTAAGTTTAGTAGTGATTCGGCTAAGATCAATAATGATGTGATTATTCAGGGTGCAGCCGACCAAGAGAAAGAATCTGCTGTTGCAGGGTCAAAGGGCGATGATAAAGCTGGCGACGATCAAGCAAGTTCTGTTGCAGATGCTAGTAAGTTGTCGACGATTAATGAAGCAGTTGAAAGTATCACTGCAACATCAAGCTGTCGGGTTCGGAATGATAATGGATGCCAGAATAGTGGTTCTCCTGCACATGAGGGTCAATTCCAGCAAGCTCATAAAGTTCATCTCGGCAATATTGTTAACCATACTTGGCGTTCAAGAAGTTCTGGCACAACATGTGATTTTCGAAGGAGACGTCCAACATCTCCGCGAAGTAAGCATCATTCTGCTCCTCATTTTGCATGGGTGCAATGATATGTCATTTCTTTAGCAGGTTGGCGCTATGTCGATGTTAGTGCCATGCTGAATGCATATTATTGGTGACAATGTGCTAATCAACGTCCACATCTCATTCCATTCCATATGGACGTTCGAGGGGCTTTATGTTAGCACCAAAAATATATTTTTGGTTTAATTAGAATTGGAGTCCGGCTTGGCTTGGTATTGGCAAGCTTCTTGCATGTTGTCCAATTTCCTACATTTTTGGAAAGTTAATTGACCCCATTTGATGATTAGTTTTACGGGAAAACGAGCTGGGGAGTAGGAGTTTTATTATGATTGGAAGTTAGTCAAGTATACTACGGGTTGTATTCTTATATGATCAAAGAAGTGCCGTAGTATTCTTATATCATACAAGAATAAACCAAAGTGAACCTTAAGTCCTCAATTATAGGTTCGAGGCCGATTTTAGAACACATCCACAATCGCTTGATTTTGTATTTTTTAGGAGATTTTCACCCCCTCTTTCTCACGCTTTAGGGTGATTTTTTCGGCACAAACATTTTGATAAGAGTTATTGTTGTTTGATGTGCAGAATCGGTCGAAAGTGGGATTAGTGGCTAAAATATTGGGTTTTATAGAAAAATATGATTAATCGTGGATTGGAGTTCCCATATGGATTGATTAGAGTCAAGGTTAGTTATATACTTTTATCAAAATTATTGGTTTTTCAACTTTTGATCTTAACCTGCTAGATAACACTTCTATTGGGGTTTTTTTTTTTTTTCTCGAAAGTTCGAAGTAATTTATTGTTAGTTTTATCAAACGATGGATATTGTGCAACAAAATGCAATACTTCTTTATGCACAGGACTTCAAACCAGGAAATTGGTTGGAACCCATTACATCAGAAAGAGCTCCATTTTCCGTTCCAGGGAGGATTGCATTTGAATGTCCTTCACTTCCATTGTGATCAGCTGGCTCACGGTTAGGATACTTCTTCTTTTTTTTTTTTTAATCTACTTCATCTTTCTGAAAAGTAGTCTATAAACGAATTTGAGCTTTGTTATAAAAATAATACAAAAATATCAAAATTTCAATGTAAACAATTTTTTACTTGGGACATGAGTAATAACACGGTGACTCTGTTTTATACATATACAATGTATATAATTCTTTTTTTTTTCCGTAGTTTATATATTTTCCTTTGAATAAGAAAAATTATTGCAAAATCATATTTTGATCAGTGATTTTATGTCCGTTCTTCCAATCTTGATTTCATATTTCAACATATAAAATCTTTTATACTTTTCTCAATCTTTGTTTTAGGTATTTTCTTCCAAAAGATATTATGTAGATGGGATCGTTACCCCAAAAGTTTTTGTCAAATTTGGTGCTTTATTTATGTTCTTTACTCGGGATTTGCATTGGTAAGGTCTTCTTTCTGTTTCTCCCCCAAACCAAAATTTATCTATTCAACAACGAGCTTAATTGGCCCATTAAATAGTTTTTTTTATTTTTTATTGTGGATTAGTAATTATGGCGAGAACAAAACATGGGGGCATGGCGAGGAAGGAGTGTAGGGAGAATGGATCCATGACTGTAAGAAAAATGGATTTATGTTCATTCCTAATTTTTTATGAGTTTAGTAAAATTTATACTGAAAGTGGCAAAAGGAGAAATTGTTCTTTTCTTAATGATAGTTTCTTCTTTATTTTTTTTTAGTAAATTATTGGTGATAGTGGATTTGACGTTCGTTTCACGTCTACGTGCAGATTAGCCAAAATTTACATGCATTTTATGCAAAGGGACGAAGACAACAACAAACTAAAATGAAGCCGGTATATTTTAATAAATTCTATAATTTCTTTTCAAGAGGAGTAAATTCTATAATTATACTTACATAAAGTTCTGTATGAACATGAATCCCTTGAAAAATTTGTATAGTTAGCAATACACTACGAAATAGTTATACTGTTTTTAGTTATAACTCCTTTTAATTTGTTTCAGTTTTTCATGGCACAATTACTAAAAAAGAATGGTATACGTTCAGCTATATTACTGTGAAAGCAAAATATGAAAGCATCATTTTTTTTTGGTTCAACTCACTGTAAAAAAAAAAACAAAAATAGCAGGCAAAACAATTACATATTTTCGACCTATCAAAAATACAAAACCTTTTAAGCAGTACGTTTTCGAGAGACATGCTATTAAGAAAATAAAGAGGACTGAGACCCATTGATGACCCTTTCGTTTTCGAGTGGCTATAAAAAATGAAGATTGGAAAGTGAAAATAAAGACGAAATTACAAGTTTTTAAGCTACCAAAAATTTGTAATCTTTTTCATTTTATTTTATTTTATTTTTGTTTTTTTTACAAAAAAAATTCTAATTCCACAACGGTAGTTCTGCTCCAATTGTAAAATAACTATCAGGAAAAAAATAATTTTTTAATATTTAAGTATCCTATCATTTTACTTTTCATGTTTTAATATAGAAAAAAATATAATTTTCTAAGATTAACGATATCATTTTCTCGTAAAAAATTATCAACCAATCACAACTATTCCTTTTTTTTGGTACAATAACTATTCATTAATTGAGACACCATCAAGACAATTATATATATTCTGATTAATTAGACCATCAAGGAAATTGCATACTCTTATTGATTAATGACTAAGATAATATTAGTTTTGAAAAAAATCAAATCCAAAAGATTGTAATTCATAACAAATCTAAAAAATTTAGAATTTAAATAACTGTTCTATATGAAAAATATGTTGATAATTATTCAGAAATCTAATATATTTAAAAGATAATAAGCAAAGTGACAAATTGTTGAAGATAAAAATGAAAATGGAATGACATGCTAGTTCTTTTCTTCTTTTTTTTTTAACGTGCTGAAAAAAATAACTAAAATGAAAACCAAAATCTTTACAGATTTTTAACCTACCAAAGACTTGAAAAATTTTAAGCAAGATGGTGTAGAGTGATGTGCTATTAAAAATGAAAATGAAGATGGAATAAGACTCGCTATTTTTTCTTTCTCATTCATTTGGTTTAATGGGTTGTTAAAAAAACTAAAATAGCAGCCAAAATCATTGCAAAATAACTTGCTGTTAAAGATGAAAATAAATATGAAATGAGACTTTCCATCTTCTTTTTTTTTTTGGTTCAACAGGCTGCCAAAAGTATTAAAATAGTAGCCAAAACTATTATTGGTATTTAACCTACCAAAGACTCAGAATCTTTTAAAAGACACAATGCAGAGTATATGGTATTAAAGATGAAAATAAAAATGTAATGAAACCTATTCCAAGAATTTTTATAATTAGATAGAAATATCAAAAAAAATTTCTTTAGAAAAGTAAGTAGTGCTTGGTTCTTTTTTTGGTTCAATAGGCTATCAAATATTCTAAGTAATAGCCAAAATCATTGCAGGTTTTTAACCTACCAAATACACGAAGCCTAAGCTTGACGATACAGAGTAACATGATGTTAAAGATAAAAATAAAGATAAAATGAGCCCGACCAGTTCATTTTATTCTTTTCTGTTTGGTTCAACGGATTTGCCAAAAATACAAAAAATAACTGCTAAAATTATTTTAGATGTTTAAACTATCAAAGAATTGGAACCTTTTAAGTGTGACGATACAAGGTGGCATACTGTTAAACATGAAAATGAAGATTGAATTAGACCTTTAAATTTTTTCTTGTTTAATGGACTGTTAAAAAAATACTAAAATAACAAACAAAGCCATTGCAATTTTTTAATTTACCAAAGACTTAGAATTTTTTTAAGTAAGATGATGGAGAGTAATATACTGTTAAAGATTTAAAGAATAAGACGGAATAAGACCATCTGGAAGACAGCTTTTTCATAATTAAATAACAGTAACGAAGAAATTCTCTTTGGGCGAATCATGTGTTCTTTTTTGTTTTTTTGGTTCAATGAACTGTCAGAAATATTAAGAGAAAAAAATATTTTTATAATGTTTAAATATCCTACCATTTTACTTTTTTATGTTTTATTATAGAAAAAGTATAATTTTCTGAAGTTAATGACATCAGTTTCTCGCCAAAAATTATTCAACCAATCAAAATTATTCCTTTTTTTTGGTACAATAACTATCCAATAATTGATGCACCTCACGAGCATAATACTAGTCCATCAAGACAATTATTTATTGGTATATAACCCCTATTATTCTGATTAATTAGACCATCAAGAAAATTGCATACTCTTATTGATTAATGACTAAGATAATGTTAGTTTTGAAAAAAAATCAAATCCGAAAGATTGTAACTTCATAACAAATCTGTAAATTTAGAATTTAAATAACTATTCTATATGAAAAATATGTGGATAATTATTTTAGAAATCTAATATATTTAAATAAAAGATAATGAGCAAAGTAACAAATTGTTAAAGATAAAAATGAAAATGGAATGACGAGCCAATTCTTTTTTTTGTTTCTTTCTTTTTTTAACGTGCTGTCAAAAATACTAAAATAACAACCAAAATTTTTACAGATTTTTAACCTATCAAAACCTTGAAAAATTTTAAGTAGGACGGTGCAGAGTGATATGTTATTAAAGATGAAAATGAAGATGGAATAATACTCGCTGGTTTTTTTTTTCATTTATTTCGTTTAACGGGCTATTAAAAATACTAAAATAGCAGCCAAAGTCATTACAAAATAACGTACTGTTAACGATAAAAATATATATGAAATGAGACTTTCCTTTTTTTTTTTTTAATTCAACGGGCTGCCAAGAGTATTAAAATAGCAACCAAAACCATTGTAGGTATTTAACCGATCAAAACTTAGAATCTTTTAAGCGACACAATGCAGAGTATATGAAATTAAAGATGAAAATAAAAAATGTTATGAAACCCGCTCCAAAAATTTTCATAATTAGATAGAAAAATCAAAAAATTTCTCTTTAGAAAAATAAGTAGTGCTTGGTTCTTTTTTTGGTTCAACAGACTATCAAATGGTCTAAGTAATATCCAAAATCATTGCAGGTTTTTAACCTACCAAATACTTGAAGCCTAAGCATGGCGATACAGAGTGAATGATCTTAAAGATAAAAATGAAGATAAAATGAGCCCAGCCAGTTCATTTTATTCTTTTCTGTTTGGTTGAACGGGTTTGTCAAATTGCTAAAAATAACGGCTAAAATTATTTTAGATTTTTAAACTATCAAAGAATTGGAACCTTTTAAGTGTAGCGATACAAAGTGGCATACTGTTAACATGAAAGTGAAGATTGAAGTAGACCCATAATTTTTTTCTTGTTTAATGGACTGTTAAAAATACTAAAATAGCAGACAAAGTCATTGTAAGCTTTTAATCTACCAAAGACTTAGAATTTTTTAAGTAAGATGATGGAGAGTGACATGCTGTTAAAGATTTAGTGAAAAAGACGGAATAAGACCAGCAGGAATGCGACCCTTTCATAATTAAATAACAATAATAAAGAAATTCTTTTTGGGCAAGTAATTCTTTGTTCTTTTTTGTTTTTTTAGTTTAACGAACAGTCAGAAATATTAAGAGAAAAAAATAATATTTTTTTAATATTAAAGTATCCTACTATTTTATTTTTCGTGTTTTAATATTGAAAAAGTATAATTTTCTAAAGTTAATGACATTATTTTTTGCTAAAAAAATTATTCAACCAATCAAAACTATTCCTTTTTTGTTTTGGTACAATAACTATTCAATAATTGATACACCTCATGAGCATAATTCCAGCCCGTCAAGACAATTATTTATTGGGATACAACCCATGATATTCTGATTAATTAGACCATCATTTAAATTGCATACTCTTGTTGATTAATGACTAAGGCAATGTTAGTTTTGAAAAAAAATCAAATCCCAAAGATTGTAACTTTATAACAAACCTGTAAATTTAGAATTTAAACAACTTTTCTTTATGAAAAATATGTGGATAATATATTTAAATAAAAGATAATGAGCAAAGCGACAAATTGTTAAAGATAAAAATGAAAATGGAACGACGAGGCAGTTCTTTTTTTCTATTTTTTAACGTGCTGTCAAAAATACTAAAATAACAACCCAAATTTTTACAGATTTTTAACCTACCAAAGACTTGAAATATTTTAAGCAGGACGGTACAAAGTGATATTCTATTAAAGATGAAAATGAAGATGGAATAAAACTCGTTAGTTTTTCTTTTTCATTTATTTGGTCCACAGGCTGTTAAAAATACTAAAATAGCAGCCAAAGTAATTGCAAATTAACGTGCTGTTAAAAATGAAAATAAATATGAAATAAGACTTTCCTTTTTCTTTCTTTTTTGGGTTCAAAGGGCTGCTAAAAGCATTAAAATAACAGCCAAAACCATTGTAGTTATTTAACCTACCAAAGACTCAGAATCTTTTAAGCTACACAATGCCGAGTATATGCTATTAAAGATGAAAATAAAAATGTAATGAAACCAGCTGCAAGAATTTTCATAATTAGATAGAACTATAAAAAAATTTCTCTTTAGAAAATTAAGTAGTGCTTGATTTTTTTTTCGGTTCAACAGGCTATCAAATGTTCTAAGTAATAGCCAAAATCGTTACAGGTTTTTAACATACCAAATACTCAAAGCCTAAGTATGACGATATATAGTAACATGCTGTTAAACACAAAAATGAAGATAAAAGGAGACCAGCCAGTTCATTTTATTCTTTTCTGTTTGGTTCAATGGGTTTGCCATGCTAAAAATTAGCTGTTGAAATTATTATATATTTTTAAGATATCAAAAAATTGGAACCTTTTGAGTGGGACGATACAGAGTGATATATTGTTAAACCTGAAAATGAAGATTGAATTAAACCTACAATTTGTTTTTGTTTAACAGACTGTTAAAAACACTAAAATAGCAGACAAAGCTATTGCAAGCTTTTAATCTACCAAAGACTTAGAATTTTTTAAGTAAAATGATGGAGAGTGACATGATGTTAAAGATTTAAGGCAAAAAAGGGAATAAGACCAACCGGAGGACGGCCCTTTCATAATTAAATAACAGTAGTGAAGAAATTCTCTCTGGGCAAGTAATTCTTTGTGTTTTTTTTTTTTTGCTTCAACGAACTGTCAGAAATATTAAATTAACAGACAAAACTATTGCATTGTTTTAAACTATCACAAACTCATAACCTTTTAATGACGTCGGTGCATAGTGACATCTTGTTAAAGATGAAAATAAAGATGAAATGAGACTCCCCTTTTTTTTTTTTGAATTGATATATTACCAAGTGTATTTGGATGTGATGGTCGATTTTTTATCTAATGATAACCCAATGAAAACATAGTTAATTTCAATCTCTTTCAATATGTCACTTAAAATGATTATTTTAATTTTTTCAAAGTTAATTGTGCGTATGGATATTAATCTTATAACATAAGAGTGCCGGTTAAACTTAAGCGAAGGTAATTCTGAATCGTTGCATATTTTGCGACGATAACCAATTAAAGCATTGGGCAATCGCTCTCGCAGGCAATATTGTCGGACCCGGACCGGAAGACGAATCGATGAAATTAAGGGGTCACTGGGGCATTGGGTCAACCCGTTAGCCCGGGACCAAAAAAAACGAATTTGAGTGGTATGACGTCATATATAATTTTAAAATTTAAAATATAAAATATGTGAAATCTAAAGTTATTAGTATTAAATTATTAATTTTTTTAAAATTTAAATAAAACATAACAATTTAAAGGTAAGATGAGACAAAAAAATTAATTTAAATATATAACTTTAGAGTTTTAATATTTAATTTAACTAATTTAAGGTAATCTTATTTAAAGAATAATGTATTTCACATTTTAATTTTGATAATCATTGATATAAGATCAAAATATTGGTCTCAAAAAACTATAAAACTTAAATTAAGAGTTTACAAAACAAGAAAACAAAAAAAGGGGCTACAACGCAAAAAAGGAAAAAGTCAATACAAGGGAAAAAGACAAAACCGGTTCAATTTGGGTCCCAGTCGAACCGCAAGTTTGACCGAGTTTTGACCGATTTGTAAAAAGTTTGGTTTTTAGTATAAATGGGACAAGCAACGTGACCAGTTTACGGTTGAACTGTCCGACCGGCTTGTCCAGTCCAATTTTACCACAGTGCTTGCAGGTGGCTCATTTTTTCATCGCCCAATCTTTACACATGTCCAGCTATACGTTACTTTTTCCAGGGTAAAATCTAGAGCAGGTCTTAAAATCCTTATTTATAACAAGAACAGTAAATTCTGCACAACGAAGACAAATGTAGTTTATAAGGAAATCCTCGAGAACATCTAACGTTATTGTGAATATTTTTATTACTATTTTTTTCTACTTTTTAAATTTAGATCACAATTGTGTGATTTTATCCCATATTATCTGTTTTGCACAACTATCAAATTTATTACACATGTACCGTTTTATACATGTTATAACAATATCTAAATGAATTCATACAAATATAAATCTTTCTCTGTTATTGATGCCACAATTTTTTTGTAATTTAATATATCTGAATTCAGTTTTCGGCATGTAATAAAGCACATATTTCCTTAAATTTTGTATATTTTACGTTTTGATTAATCTGTTCATTGAAATATTTTAAAGGAATCAAATCTGTCTTAATCGTGCAACGCACGGGGGCACAATACTAGTAAAAATGAATGTACATATTTTTGAATTATCTATTACTTTATGCTTTATTTACGTCTTAAAAAGGACAATTAACATTTGTATAACTCAAAACAATTCAGGGATTAAAGCCCAAAACCCTTGCAAATGCACGGGTCCAAAACCTAGTTTAAATCTAATTACATTCCATATTCAGTTTTATGATAGTATTTTAAATATCTATGGAGAGGGGTATTTTTGTATTTTCATATTTTTAACAAGTTATGTAGAATAAAATCAAGTTGCGGTTTAACAGTACCCTTAAAAATGGTATTACATGGGACCCACATGTGAAAAAATTTATGCCACCGAATTAAAAATAATTGAATCTAGTACCATTGAAAACTTAAATCTCACCATAAAAATTATTATACTGAAAATATCAAAACTAAAACAATTTTTCAGGAGCACCAAAAGTTCCCCCCAAATCACCTACCTCTAAGATCATATACATTCTTCCATTTAGAGTGCCTTCCCTTCTCTTCTATGTACAAAGTCCCACCCCCCAAAAAATAATAATAAAGCAAAAAAGAAAAGGTTAAAAAAAAAAACAAACCAAAACAAAACTGGAGTGTTTTCCTTCCCCTTTTCGTTGCTTACTACTACCATTACTGATTCCACGACCTTAGATATCCAGAATTCTGATGATGAGCCACACTCACCCAATCCAAGTTGTTATTATTCCTCCTCCCTGCAACAACCCCGACGCTAACTTCATGACGGCTCAAGTAAACAAGCGGTGAATGATCAATTGACGAGTGTTGTAGAATGTTATCCCCACTGCTCATCAGTGTCGCGCCACCACCAGTGTACACCTCAGAAGTCTGCAAGACACGTTCTGTTGCATTCCCCATTGATCCATATGGGAGAGAGCTAGGGTTAGGGGTGGAAGCGGCTGGTACCGGCCCAGTCATGACACAGCGCATTCCACTACACTCTGACAAAACACTAAACAAACTCTGGTCCAAGTTATTTTGATACCCAACACTACTACTTCTACTAAAACCACCACCACTTTCCATACCAGACCACCCACCAACCCTGCCTCGATTCTCTCCTGTATACCAACTCTGGTGGCTCAGCAGGCCACCTCCATCATTCAAGTGAGATTCAGAAGGTACTACGAGCCCGCGAACTGACCCTACACCCCAATTCTCCCCCACGTCAACAGGAGGAGGCAGCTGCTGCTTCGTAATGGAGTACCTTCCATCGCTAGGATGATACTCACAATTCTGAATGTTATTTTCCCCATACATATCATTCACCCTTTTCTGCCTCATCTCAGGTGGAAGTGGGAGATCAACCTGATCCTTGAAATCAGACAGAATTAAATGTCCATTCTCCAACATTAGATTGTCTGGTTCATGAAACTCCAACCCCATTCTTTTCTGCTCTTGAGGATGATAAGGTAATCCACCACCATGCACCTTGAACAAAGACTCGAGTGATTCACTCCGATCCTGAGATGGAAAACCACCGAAAAACGATGAATTTTCAGGCTGCCTATGATGCAGCTGCTGCTTCTTCCCATCATTCTTTTCCTGCAGAGCACCTTGTTGCTGATTATTTGTGAAGGAACCATATACAGACAAATCATCAAGTTGTCCATCCAAGAGCTCCCTCCTAGTACCTTGTCCCTGACCCACTTGTCCTCCGCTCATCGCCTGCGTTTGATCAAGTGAAAAATCGCCTGACGAGCTATACTGATGACCTAAACCGGCAGGGTGCGGATGGTAGAATGATCCAGGCACACCTACCGCAGACCAAACCTCATCAGAAGAATCACAGCGATTCCCTTGAGTAACTGAAGCAGGGATATCCATGTCCATGTGGTTCGTATTACCCGAGTAGTCTGACAAAATTAGGGCAGGATCAACTGCTTTTGCAGTTATGATGTTATCACGAGGTTCCACAGACATGTCAGAATGAAGTCCACAATTAATTAATTCCACTTTTTCCGCATCATAATCTTCTTCAGCAGAGCATGTATCAGATGACTCAGATCCAACATCCCTTTCCAAGCTATCAGCCCCATGATATGATGTTCGCCCGTCATGTATGTCTTCAGCTGTCTTCTCTTCTCCAGTCTAATATATAGATATAAAAAGAATCGAAATAAGACCAAACATCCATTTAGCCAAGGGACAAACTGTACAGACATCCAGAATGCTTACAAGAGAAGCTCCTAACTTCCATTAGATAATAACAATACACACACAGACTTTCGGTGCGTGGACAGCAGCCAGCAGCAGCGATAAAATGATGAGAACAGCAGATACAACTAATAGAGAATACAGAGTAACCAACCTCTACAGACGCAGCCATTACTTCATATCCAACTTCATTAGCCAGTTGAACCTCAAGCTCATTATTGGTGATATCCAACGTGTCAACCTGAACATCGATTGACACAATGCATAACTACAAAGATGCAGATTTATTTCTACTAAAAGAATACAACACTATCAGATAATGTTGGAAACCAACACAACTTACATTAATATCAATAGAAAAGGCAACAAAAGCTACACATCTAATACCAAACTCTAACCTCTTGAGCACTTGAAATGGGTGACAATGATGGTTCTACGCTATCTATCAGCTTCGCTGATGATAAATTAATAGTGCTGTCATTCTCACCATCCTGTTCAGCCAAGTAAACTATAATGTCAACATTACAACATACACTATGCTGGTTTGGCTATAAGGAGACTGAGAATGTTCAACATAAAGCAACAATCGCAGCCAAACATGGAGACTAACTCAAGGAATGGAACAGGGGAAAAAAAAACCTCAATTTGGACTTTCAGTGTTTCTTCCAATTCTTGACACACAGACTTCACCAACTTTTTCACTTGTGACTTCCTTTCCGTCCAATTAGCAAAGCCAGCCGGAACATCTTTATTTGCCAATTGAAACCTGCTTAAAATTTATAGTGACTGTTATAATAAGAAAAGAGTAGTGATAGATATAGGGAAAAATTGCAAAGGAAAACTTACAAGGAATGATGTGTCATTCATCAAAACTATGCACTAAGCTTAAATGCTTAAACCCCGAATAGAAAGTTTTAAAAAGAAAAGGCTATGATCAATTCCTTGTCATTTTTTCCTTGCACTAATCATTATCCATAAGAAAAATAAAAATAACAAGGCAATCTCAAGCACATACAAAACTGGGGCTTTTAACCAAATCTGAGCCAAAAGACCACTAACCAATAATCGTGCAACTTCTGCCTCTCTTCTTCCTCGAATACTTCAAATGGCTGTACATGAAGAGTATCAAGATTACCTAAAACATTGTTCAAAGATCTATGTTGAATGCTATTGCTAGTATGCTTCATTGTTCTCTTGATCCGTCGATGTTGTTCTTTGCTAACCTAAAAGTACAAGGAAGAAAAAAGAGTCGACGAATGAGAGACAGTAAAACAATGATCAACTTTCAAACAACAATTGAAAGATATTTAAACAAAGCTCCATGAAAAACAAAAGCAAGAATATCAAGCAAGGAAAGCATCGCACTAAATGTGGCACAACAAACAACCTTGATATAAGACATATATTTAGCACCATCACCAAGCTGAATATTGCGCTTCTGCACCTTCTCTCCTTTCTTGGACATCACTGCCACCTTTGAACTATCAGACAAGTTGTTAACATTGCTGTCTGAGAAGACCTTCCTGGACAATTACGAAAAAATGAAAATAAAAATTCAAATACTGAAATAAACCATGTTAGCATCAAGAGAGCATCACTAATTGAAAGATAGACCTAAATTCAGCACAAAATAACTCTGCACGACCTTCTTCCTTTTCCTGATGTGTTAGCCTCACCTAGGGGAAGGCCAAAAAAAGGAATAACCAAATACATACATACCTTCCCTGAGAATCCCCAGAAATATGAACATTATTGTAGTTACTACATGCCCTCTCAGAAGTGGCCCAAGAAGAGGAGTCTGGTGTGGCAACACCATCATCCACAGGATCATGAGTCACAGTACTATGCAAGTGCATTCTCACTTCAATCTGCTTTCTAGACCTGCAATACATTTTTCCGATATTCAATCGGATATAAAGCACAACCAGGCTTCGCAGAAGAGACTAAATTGAAATGCAAATGAGATGCTGACAGAATCCAACAAGCTGCAACACAATCGTCACAGTGTTACAGGCATTTCTACACATGAAGTAGAATATAACCATTTCAAGTGATGTTGATGCAATAATAATATATGGGTGATATTTCAATCCATTTAGACAGACACAAATATAAAATATTCTCCCAGTTAGACGGCTATTCAAAAGGCGAGTGATCTTTAACAATAAGATACAAGAGGAACACTCATTCATCAAGTTTCTATAGGAACTATCCCACAGCAGGTAAGAAAATGTGTGTCTTGAAGAACAAGAAACATTAGATGAAAAAGGAAATCAATGCATCTCCTCAGAACAAGTAGTTCAATTTAATTGCTGAAGTAAGCAGGGAAATAAGAACACCAAGAGCTAAAGACATGTCAACTCCAACAAAAGTTACATTATTTTACCCAAGGACCCACTAATCTTGTAACTTATAAAGTTGTCATATCCAGGGTCTACCAAAAATGACAAACATTAGTACAAGAGCAACATATAAATCTCACTAACTTGCAGATATTGTGCAGAATTTCCTCATCAGAATCCTTGCATTTATCAAACGTGTCCTTCCACCTCTGTAAACTCTCAATCATACTGCCATGAAACCATTAAACTAAATAAGGTGATTTTAAAACTTAAAGCAAACTGAGGGCATCTTCTCCTTCCTATTTGAGATAAGTTCACTAAACCATACTTAAGCAGAGTCATGCTTGTTCAAACACGTGAACAATCCAACTATAAAAGGCAATATCACTCATCTATTAAGATTAAGCGCTCAAAAGAATACTTACTCATTGTGATATTTATGTAACTCGGAGAAGTAAGTATTCCTATTAGCCTTGATTTGTTGCTCCTGCATAAGAATGTCATCGGGATGGAGCTTACCAGAGCACAGTGAAGAACCCCTGCAAAGAGCTAAATATTTTAGGATAAACAAGAAAATCAGCAATCATCAATAACTACAATACACCAAAGACCACACCAAAAGAGATAAATACAATCACAATAACACACTAATCTACAGTAGCAGAACTGCATGTAACTAAACTTTAGGATTAAAACTCCCTAAAAAAGCTGCAAGAAAAAGTAAAAAGATTAATCTTGTATGAATAACAAGAAAACTTCAGTCCAACAAGACTCAGTATTGGATATTACTACAAGATGTCTCACCCAAAACCACATACACATTATTGAAGAAAATAAAAGGATGCCATCAGATATAGCAGACTGAACCACAAGTGAAATAAAAAATCAAACATCAGAAAGAAAACACAAGTCAACTTCCTTCACCATATAACAATAAAGTAAAAATATTCTTTAACCAAAAAAAAACAGTAAAAATATTCATATCAAGCCGTAACCTTTATCGCAAAAAACATCGAGAAAGTCCATATACAGTGAGTTTCAGTTTCAAGTTGATATCAAACTTTTAGCAAGGTCATGAAAACTACAAATATGATATGATATAACTTGCCATTTGAGAAATGGATTTCCAAAGTGAAAATTATCTCCAGAAAGGAGTTCCTTTACAGCTTCATCTGGCTCAACTCCTCCAGGCAGATATTGAGTTAATAGATTTCTCTCCGCGTCAGAAATATGAGAACACCATACCTAACAACATTTCAATTCATAATACATAAATAAGTCGGCCATTATTTGTAACCAAATAGAGGAAGAGAGGAAACGCCAACAATTACCTCGTATGAAAGAACACCTGCAAAGTCTTTCAATTCAAATGTTTCATTAGGAACAGTAATAATGTCAGCCAAGCTTTCATAGCTGTGAGAACCAGCATCAACAAAGGGAACCAAGTCCCGCCGCAATATACCAATCTGTTCCTTCTTGGCAACCACACTCTTGTTCTTGTCATCCCACTCCAGAGATATATTATATCTCACATTTAAATCATCCCTTGGAGGTCCTGATTTCTTCCTTTTAGAATGGAATTGCTCTCTCTGCTCCCGAAAAGAGCAACCAACAAAAGTGCTGGAATTAAGACGTCTTTTCCTCTGATCAGCTGCCATATGGTATAAATTTCAAAAGTAATGACAGAGCATCATCCACATGAAAGAGAATATCAGGAGCTTAATCAACCGATTTCCTTGTGCACTCAGCCTGTAAGTACAAAGGGGGAAAAAAAATTAACTTAACCAGCTACAAATTACATCATCGTTATTCAAGCCTCAGAAATATGAACTAGGTTACTGTCAGGATTAGGCAGGGGTTAAAACATGGGAACTTGCAACCAAAAACGCAGGATACTTGTGGCCAGCAATATCCCCAAAATACGAAAAAAAAAAAAAAAAAAGAAAAGAAAAAAACCATAAATCCCAGTTTGTATGAATAAAAATTTCAAGAAAGCCTTGGGAAATAAGTAAAAACATGGACAATGATGTCTAGATTGAATAGGACAATTTCTTTTTTCTTTCTATGCGGGAAAAAGCAGGGCCAAAAGCGGAATCATTGTAATGGAAAAAATATTAAAAGAGGTAACATTGGCGGCACCACACGAAAAATGACATTTTTACAGCAAAGGACACAAACAAGAACTGCTCATTCATCTAATGGCACCAACAGTTGGGGGTGGGCTAATTCAGACCCACGAACATGGAACGCGACGTTCGCCTGATTGAATCATGTCTGGGTGAATAGGATTGAAGAAATTCAATAACATATGAAACTGCACAAGTGAGGAACATGGCCATAAGCAAACAGAATTCCAAGGCTTTTAAATGGAAGAATACAACTAAATACAGCCACTTTGCATATAGAAAAAAGTCAGGATAAAGAAGAAACACATCATGGCGTCGCTGACAGGTTCTGAAACTGGAAAGAAACCAACAATCTAAAAAGCTAAAAAAAAAAAGAAAAAGAAAAACTGACTAATAAATTGGGCGTCAAACAATACAGGGCATTCCAGCAGCAAAGCGCGAAACAATAATTAAAACTCGGTGACAACAAAATAATCAATAAAGCAAGAGTTCATTAATTAAAAGACGAATTAAGAAAGGCGGAAGAAGAATACCCGTAGAAGCGGTTGAAGGGGGCAAAACAAAATAGACCGGGAACCGTGAATCAGAAGGGATTGGGGCTTAGGTGCTTCTTCTTTTTTTAATGAAGGGGGAGGAAATCAAAAGAAAACATCATGTCATTTAGATTCGAAAGAAGTAAGAAAGAAACGGCGGTGGTGAGCGACGTGCGTTATCCGATTGGTAAAACAGCGGAGGGGAAGGGGAGATAGGGAGAGAGAGAGAGAAAGCGAATAAATATGAGAGAAATCCCCAAAAAAAAAACACACACACACACACACAAGAAGAAGAAGAGAAAAGGAGAGGAGAGAATCGAGTGAGCGGAAGAAGTACTGCTTACACCGATTTTTGGAATCCTATTTGCCATTTAATCCACTTTTAGCCCTCTATTCTTCTCCCTAATTCATCAATCGGCCCCGTAAACAAGTGGATTTCCCTTTTAGTCCTACCAGTTTACCCTTCTTCTATTTTAGTCCATAATATTCAGAACATTTCATTGGGGGCCGTACACTTATACCACAAAAAAGTTTTTATTAAAATTAGATTTATTGTGAGAAAGGTATTGAAAGACTGATCATCAAATCAGATGAGTTCGGTATTGAAGTCGTGGCGCGCAGAAGTGCAGGTTTGGAATAGCATTGTGGAAGATTTGAATGGCCAGTAAATACGAGAATCATAAAAAATGTTCAAGTCCTGTGTCCACCAGAGAATGAGGGAGATAGATTCTCATGCTTCAGGGAATCAAGACTGTAATATCTTTTGATAAACTCTTGGGAAGAACGGGGATAACTCAGGTGTCTTGTCTCATTTGATGCGAAGCACTAATTATGGATTAAGGGGTGAATACAAATGATGCATTTGATAGATCTACCGAAATGGCGGTTGTATGACGAATGATACGTGATCCTCAAAAGTGCTTGGCTAGAAAGTTTTATTTTGAATATTGGCTACTGTATGATCACAGGGTGGAATTGTGGGATTTATTTTATGATATTTGATTACAGTAAGTTAGACCATTTAAACTTAAAATTGGAAGTATAGTGGATGAATCAATGAGCCTAAAATGCTATTGATTTTATCTAAGTTGTAGCAACTCTATGACATACAATGTGATTTTTGCCCAATGCTTTGAATGTTAAAAAAAAGAAAAGTAAATAACAGGAATAACTCTCTTTAAGGTAATCAAGGGCTTGTTTGTCTAACACTTCTTTTGTATTTTTGTCTCATTTTACCTCTTAAAACATCTTTCAAACACAAATCCCAATACTATCTAAATAATTTTTTAATTTACCTTTTAAAAAAAATTCCAAAAATTATTTTTATACAATTTTCATCCACCACCATCGGACCACCTCCACCACCACCCGCCGCCACCGGACATCCCGCCACCGCCGCCAGACCACCGCCGACTGGTGGTGGCGGCGGCGGCGGTGGAGGTGGTTCAGTGGTGGTCTAAAAATATTTTTAGTTTATTTAAAATATCACCCGAACAACTTTTTAAATTTTATCTCAAACCACATTTTAAATCACATCTTAAACTCAATTCAAAAACCAAAATAAAAACTAAAACAAAATTTTTGTCAAAAAAACCACAAATATCTCATTATCTAATCAGAGTGTCGCGCAACAAGAATAAACTCTCTTAAGGTATTCAAATATTTCGTCGTCTAATTAGATTGATGTGCACGAACGCACTAACGAGCTTCCCACCTTGTCTACTATCCAGCGAAACCACAATAAAAAAAAAATAAAAGAGCTTGAAATTCCACCGTCCTGAACCCTAAATCAACTAGGGTTGCTAACGGTGGCGGAGGTAGGGTGTGGCCAACCGGTGCGGCCGCACCCTCTCCCTTTTTATTTTTTTAATAGTTATATTATAATTATTAAAAAATATATATGATTTGTTTATTTCATACCCTTTCTAAAATTTTTACGATATTAATTATAAATTTTTTAGTCAATTTGCATACAAAAACTTGAAATAATGTTTTTTTTTATACTCAATATATGTAAATTTTAAATAAAAATATATAAAATAGCAAAGTTTTACCTAACGAAAAGTATTAATTTGTATTTTTTGAATGAAATGTAAATATCCATTCACTAATAAGAGATTATGTAGCCAAAATAAATAATAAAAATTTCATTTGATCAAATAGGCCCAAATTTGCACAAAAATAAAGCCCAAAATCAGAGTTTAATGTGCTAAAGAGTTAATTTAAAAGCTAAAAATGTAAAAATAATCAGATCTTTTATACCATGTGAACAATAGAAAATGATACAATATGAAATTTCAGATAATTTTATGTTTTTTTTGCATCTTAAGAATCATGTTTTTTTTTTCCCTTATATGAAATCCTTATCAAATTTAGAACATTTTGTTCTAAAATTTTCTATAAAAATACATATAATAAAAAATAAATTTGAACCACGTAACGTTATAAATTCTAATTTAAATAATGTGTGAAATATTAATGAAATGGTTCTTTATATTTTGTTGTAATTTTTGGAATGAGAAAAAAATGTAAATTAGGCTTTTAGAAAAATAATATATTTAAAAAAGAAAAAAATTAGTACACTTGCTCTTTAGATTTTATTTCGCAACCCCATGGCTCCGCATAAGCCCTAATTGATTATTTGGGTTCAGGGATTGTTCTAGTCATGTTAATTTACTAATTTGGATCATTACATTTTCAGCAGAAGGCAATTTAACTCCCAGCTTGGTAAATCAGGCATTCCTTTTATTTTTACCGTGAAAATTAAAATCAGAATGTAATCGGCGAGTAGGGAAGTCTCAAGAGGAACTAATATTTTACAAGACCATCATTACTTTAGGATTGGCATTAAAGAGAAATCATCTATCTTATTATGCGGTAGAAAGACTGAAACAATCTCAATACATACCCGACAAAGCACGACCGAAGCAAGAAAAGTTTAAAAGCAATGGCGATACAAAAATGACCATGGTACTAAGCTACATCATCAGAATCCATGACAGTTCTAGCCTGGTAACGCCTGCCTGGTGGTTTCAGGGAGCTCTTATCAGCAAGCACCCTTGTTTCGCTTCCAACTTCGTCTATTACGGAGTCTTCATCATCATCCAGACTAACATCACCACAACAACCAGCGACACTCAGAGCAAAAACTCTGCCCTTTGACTCTTCTTCCTCTTTAATTATTGAACTACTACTACTTTGAGCTTTCTTTCTTGGATGGAATGTCAGTGGTTGCCGAAAAATTTCACTGTCAACTTGTGATTTTGTTGATGATATTGGTTTGTTCAGCATCTTAAGGAAGTCCAGGTTGGCCTTCCGATTAGAAGCTTCATTCATGTCATCAGATGAATCTAGATTGTATCGCATATACCTAGTTGGGTTCCTCAAATAATCTGGAACAACACGAGTACATACCTCTTTAATTAAAAAGACACATCCCCACTTCCACCATCATCAAGCAATCCGGCAGCATCTTTTTCTTTTCAGGAAGCTGATTTTTGAGGGAACAAGCTGGATGCTGCCTCATCTGTTTCTGCTGCTCCACAAAAAGCCAAGTATTGATTATGATCACAAGGTAAAATCATAATAGTTTCTTCTTCTATTGGTACAGTAACAGCCGTATCTGAAGAACTATCTTTAGCTGGTGATGAAGATTGTTCTTCATAGAAGCGGACACGTTTTGAGGGCTTCTCATCAGCGAAACTTTCTCGCTTTTTCAAAATGGGCTTAGGAGGAACAATATTATCCGAATGATTTAAAGTATGTAGATTACCAGCTGTAGGGACAGCAGCCTCCGTGTCTTCTCTACGTCTAAGTCTAGCAGCAACATGGTTGGCCTGAGGATCTCTAGCGGTGTGTTTGAAGAAACTTCGAAGTTCATTATGATCATTCACATCAATTCCATATTCGACCCTGCTTACAACCACTTTGTCAAATTCATCTTCCTCTTCCTGCAGCAACAGAACAATAGAAAATTGTAAGGAGATAACATCGCTGTGAAGTTCTTTGTTTGCATGTTCAAACTATGTTTTTATGTCAAAACACAAATGGTTTCTAAATAGTTTGTTTTACAATTTTATTTATTTTCTTCTTTTTTTGGGCATGATCCCACCAGTACCACCATCTTACACATAATCACTTAACACAATAGAGTACTAATTGTATGCATCTAAAGTTAACATTATGCAAGTTAGTTAATTTTCAAAAATCAGAATATCTTCAAAAAACAAAAAGCTTGCCCTTAATCAGAATATCTAAACCAAATACACAAGGTGATATTAATTCAAACCCTAGATGAAAGGAATCAATCACAAGATTATTCGGAATCCTGATTCCTAAATATGACAGCAACACAAGTGCAATTAAAAAAATTGAGAGTGGGCAGAAGTGTATGTGGCATATTTTAAAACAAGAAACTCTATTCCAAAATTACCTTACCTCATTGTCCAGAGTGCAGTCGAGACCAATTGGGGACCGAATTTCCCAAAACGGATCCCATCCATCATTTTTCCCCTTCTTCGACATCATTAGATTTCAGGTGCTGTTGTCATCGAGTTCATAGGGTACCGGTTAAGCGTAATCTGGTCGGCCATGGTGGAGACTAGTTCGGGTAGGAGAAGGGTCTGGGGTGTTAGTTTTAGAGTCTATGTTCTATTCTTTCTTCTCAATCTCTTCGTCAGTCAAACACCAAAGAGAAGCCAAAGGGAATGCCGACGATGAAGAATTGGCGGTTAAAGATAGAAGCTACCCGAATGTCTTATCGACCCGGACCCTAAAACTCTCTTCTATTATTTGTGCTACTAACAGAAACACTCCCCGTTAGTAGTTTTGACTCCACCCCAATTACTTACTGAATATTGTGCGATTATTTTATTGTTTATATACCGACTTAATGAGATCCGAAAGATAGGTAGGCCACCGCCTTTTGGTTCATTTGGCCCAAATCCTAAGGGTGTGACATTGTTAGCTAATAGCCCAACTGCCCAAGTAATCGAAAACGTCTTCGTCCGTAGTTGGCTATTAAGTCTTGTATAATAATACTAAAGTCCCAAGTTAGCTATAAGATAGGATGTATTCGAGTCGAGTCGAGCCCGAATAGTAAAACACTTGAACTCAACTCGAATATTTTCTATTCGAGCTCGATGCGTATAAATTATCAAACTCGACTCGTTAATAAATTTAATGAGCTCGTACTCGATTCGAACTCGACTAGATAATCTAATTTTTTATCTCTAATTTTCTAAAATATTTTTTCCCATGAAAATAAGAGTAGCTAAATACCTTTACAAGAATCATTTGGCAGATTTTATGGCATCCTTAGCTGCTAATTATTTAGGGGCTTGCAAGGGTTCATCGATCCACCGCCTGACATTTTACAATGGTTAGAACACAATTTTATTGGTGTTTCTTATCCGCAAAATATATCAATTTAACTTTATAAACTTTGCCTCATTTATTGTACTAAAAAAATATTAGCTCTAACCTTTGAGTCATTTCCAAAAGTTTGAGTTTTCGTCATTCTTACACCCATGAATTTGCATAAGGAAGTGTAGTGGCTAAGATAAATGACAAGAAGAATAAGTGGATAGATCTGTAATTGAAACAGATCATTCAAAGAAGTTCAGGGGAGTTGATGTTTCGAAGACTAAAATGGAAGAAGTTTGATGGGAACGAGGAAGAAGAGGGGTCGACTTCTTTTGGAAAATGGAACTTGTTTGATTTCGAGGAAAGCACAATTAGTAAATTTTTTGTTTTAGGGTTTGTTGCGATAAAAATTAGTGTTTAATTTTGAAGCCTTAATCTATATATATATATATATATATATATATTAATAGAGGATGAAAAATGCTTATATGGCACGAAATTGAGAAACCCAATTAAGTTGACGTAAAAAAATAGATATTGTTAAAATATATTAAAAGTTTACGATCTGACTTAAGATAAAAAAAATCTAAATATTTGGTTGCATCAAATCTTTCAAAAAATCTAAAGATGATAAGATAATTAAGATTTTTTTAAAAAACAAATTTTAAATAATTTGTTAAAGATTAATTAAATTTGAGAAGTTGATAAAATTGTAGTTAATTGTTTCAAAGGTAAAAATGAATGACAACTTTTTTTTAAAATTATTTTAATTCCGAAATATAGGTATGTCTATTAAGAAATAACGTATAAAATTTGCAGCAAACCAAACCAAAAAATAATGTGATTATTTTTTATTTTTAATCTTCTTTCATATTTTAATAATATCTCAAATTTTACTGACTATTTCATAATTTAATAACTATTAGTGAATATTTTATTACTTAAAACTTTTCAAATTTTCAGTTTTTTTTTATAAATTTAATATTTAAACTCCAGTAATTTTCTTTTCAAATTTTAAATTTGATCCCTTTAATAATAGTTAAACTCTATTAAATTTTGTTATTTCCTCCGTTTCAAAAAAATAATCCTAATTTAGTTTTGAGATTTATACTAAAAATAGTATAAATTTAAAAACTCAATATGTAATTTTTTTTGGGACAGAGGCAATAGTATTTGACGAGTACACCACTCATCTCTCTACCGAACACATTTTACATCTATCGTGTATTTCCCGTGTAACGCACGTGGTAAAGAACACATTTTACATCTATCGTGGTGAACACCACTACTGAATTAAAAATGTTGATTAAGCAATTACACGGCAAACAATTAGTTAATTTTTACAATAAATTAATTTTTATTATTTATATTTTGAATTGAACTTTCAACAGTTATAAACCTCTTAATGAATTAAGCAACGCTAAAACTGTAATAAAAATTAGCTTATTGTTTACCCGTAACTACTTAATAAATTCAACATTTTTACTATTGTATAAAAACATGAGTTCACGAAACAAAGGCTTACTTTGAGTATTTTGAATACAAAAAATCTATAAAACCAAGTTTGGACTCCCAGTCTTTGGGAATCTATTTGAGCCTTAAAACTGTCGCTGAGGATGTTATTATTATTACAAACACCAAGCAAAATAAATTACTACTGTATAAATCATACTACTATAACATTAACTAAGTGTAACGGGTTTGGTACCAAAACTTCCACATAAAGTGGAGATATCTTATTCCCCCAAACCTCCTCAATAACTTGTTTACCAAACCAAAAGCAGCTTTATTAATATCGTCGACCAGCGGAAGTTGACATGAGAACTCGACTGGGCTTCTTTCCCTTCTTACCCATCCCCATCTTATTATTACTACTATCATTCACCTCATTACCATGCTCCTCCGGTTTTCCTCTTGAGGATGCCGATGCTACACTAGCAAATGACGGACCACTGTTGCTGCTGCCGCAGCCGCCACTGTTGCTCCTCCTTCCAACTTCTAGAACGAGTACAACTCAATGATTAGAATGCCAATCTCAAAGATTTGTAATACAAATCTTAAAAAACTATTTTTTATGAGACGGAGGTGGTATAATTTTTCTGCTAATCTTTTGAAAAAAGAGTGACAATAGAAAGAATGAATAATGTTTTGACACTCAAGAAATCACAGCAAAACCCTTCATCGTTGTAACATTTATTTTTAAGTTATGCATTTGATTCTTTCTTATCTATAAGCATGCATGTATATCATCAACAACTGAACCATTTTGCCGAATGATTCATTGTCCGCATCATTCATTATACGAAGAAAACACTATGGGAAAGAGAGTCCGGTTCTAGGAAACGTTCATATCCAGTACTTATCATACCATTTGGGCAAGACGAATCACTGCCGTCTGTTTTCAAAGTAGGAGAATCATGCCCGGCTGCAAATCCCAGACGAGCAACATTTGAGAAGGATTGCCTCTCCCCAACTATATTTGGAGGGCTTGACGAAATTGCAGGAGAAGATCCCAAAGCTTCATGAATATCAAGTACAAACAAAGAAATAACCATATAAGCAATGATGATACAAAGATAACGAGAAATAAGAACAGAACTTGCATCGTTCGTGCCATTATATAATAACTTCATCCGCGAAATTATCATCCACATGCAAATTGAAGTTACTGATTGAAGCATTTACCATGGCAATTTCATTAATGAAGTTAGAGATTTGCATGCAAGTGGAACAAAATCGACATTTATCATGGTTTCAAAATGAAGCATTCTGAAATAACAGATATAGCTGGTTGGTCACCTTCGAAGTCATCCATGGAGAAGGTTGTAGGTGATTCATCGTAAGAATTTTCCACTAACTTAACAGTTATGGGCATATACTGTAAACCAGTAGCTTCGGCCTTGATTTTTTCATAATGTTCCTGTAAGCAAATCAGTAACAAATAAACACCTCACCGACAATAACTTCACTGATAAAGAGACCCATACAAACTAGAAGCAACTTAAACTCAAACTAGCAAAGCACCATTTAGGGGGAAACAGCAGGATTGCAGCTGCAATAACAGCAGAAACTACTTCAAAATGTCATATACCTTCCTAGCAAGCCTCTTCCTTTGCTTTTCCCTTTTGATGATTTCATCCATGAAGGGTAAAAGAGCACCAGCAGGCAGCACCTCAGTAAGATCAATCTCACAGAACTGTAAGTATAAATAACAAATACAAGTGATTATGTCAAGGAAATTCTTTCAAATAGAGAAAAAGAATAAAATAAAACTAAAAATACAGTATTCTCAATTTGGAAGGTACCTGAAACGTAGCTGTCAAAGAAAAATGACTTAGATAGCGATATCTTTTTCTCATTGCTTCTGACTGTGTCACAGATTCTAGTTGCAATATCTTACCAGTAATCCTGTTTTAATAAGCACTTGGAATATCAATACCTCTATAATGGCCCGACATAATATATGAAAATTTCAACCAAGAAAAAAAAGTACCAAAACTGTTTCACAACTGAGCAGTTTGAAAATTGAAGATTCCACATACCTATTTGGAAGCCTGTCGTAGCTCCCATAATGGTTTAACAGGCACTTCATGTTTAACGGATGAAGGATAATATTCTGCCCATCAACTGCCTGAATCACAACAAGCAGGCACCATAAGCAATATGCAGATAATGCATGACAACCCCATGAACATTTACTGTATTACATGTAGGGGTGTAAACGCGCCGAGCCGAGCGCGAGTTTTCTCCTGTTCGAGCTCGGCTCGTGTCATATTTTAAAGGACTCGAACTCGGCTCGAGCTCGACCGAGCCGTCATTTTATGAACTCGAGCTCGGCTCGGTCAATTTATAATGAGCTCGAGCTCGGCTCGTTAAACTCGAAATCCAAGCTGTTTCCACACTCTGAGAAGAATCAACTATGGGAGGAATAAGCCGGTAGAATCAACAAATTCCAATTCCAGCAAAGTCAAAAATAATTACAAGCCAACAAAAGAAAAGAAATTTAAGAAACAAACATTATCCATAAAATCACAAAGGGCCAAAAATTACATAGAAAAGTGAATCTAGAGAAAATAAAGAAACGAGAGGAGAGTTACATTCGGAAAAAAAAAAAAAAAAACGGGAGGAGAGGAGAGAGATAGAGAACAAATTCCTTTAACCAACTCCTTCATGGTTGTGTTCCAAATTCTCATGGTGAGTAAAATAAAATATAGCAAATGGGTTTGTCCTTGACTAAAAAAAATTGTCAAAACCCTACCAAGCTTGGGCATTTGAATCAGTTCAAAAAGAAAAACTTGGATTCATGAATATGGGGATGAAATCGGCTGATTGAATGTGGCGATTAAACCAGCCGGATTTAGATGGGAGAAAAGAGATATGATTGCTGGTGAGAGATCTGAGTTTTTGAGTGAGGAGAGAGAGGAAGTAAAAGAATTTTTAGGAAGATGCGATGGAGGAAAAGAGAGAAAGGGGAAAAAGAGAAGAAAAAGGACATGAGCCACGTGAAAAGGGTTTTAATAATTTAATATAGTAAATAAATAAGAATGGACCCAGGATAATATTAATTATTTAACATATCTATGTATTGGCTCGGTTGGCTCGACGAGCCACCGAGCAAGCATAGCCAAGGATCGAGCTCGACTCGTCCAAATAATTAACTAGCTCGAATTCGGCTCGAGCTCGGTCAACTTCGAGCTCGAGCGAGTTTTGACCGAGCCGGCTCGCGAATAGCTTGCGAGCGGCTCGGCTCATTTACAGCCCTAATTACATATAAGCAAGAAACTTATCCAGATGAAAAGACCAACAATGATAACACTAGTAGAAAAGATACAACGTGAAACCTGGTAAAAATGGTATGAATCTCTGGTCTTTGCATCATTGGAACCATCAACAACTTGTGTTTGTGGACTCTTATAATTTTCTTCAACTAAAGCCCGCTGGACTTCAACTTCACTGTAGTCATCATCCAATGATTCCGGTACACCAGAAGATTCAGTCAAGCTAGTTGATTTAGAGGGCAAATGGCTAGAAGGTCTGGCAGTGTTACCCGGCCCAGAAAATGTCAGTGAAGGAGAATGGAGCAGTCCACAAGCCATGCGGCCGTCAGAAAGCTGACAACGCTCTTTCCAATATTTTGTTCGCTGCTCCAAAAGCCTAATTGCAGCACAGACATACGGAAGTTTCTCCAAATCATCAACTAGGCCTGAATCTGCCCTTGCTAACCAACTATCCAGATCAGACATTGCTTCCCTAACAGACACACTGACGTCGGAAGTAAATGTAAACTTAGAGAAGGAATCTCGATGAACTTCATCAAATGCAATTAACCCTTCATTATTTTTCAGCGATAAAACAAAAGACTCTTTATGACGGGTTAACAGCCAAAATTCTATAGCATCACCAACATTGTATTTCTTCACATTCTCAATATGGATGGTAAAGAGATCTTTTGAAGATATCATCATAAAACATAACGGACACTTCTTGATGTATTCAGCTTTATGATCATCATCTGCCCCCAACATCAAATACTGTAAAACACATGGAAAACAATAGATGTGACCGCATGATGTTATCTGTGGACAGAGAGGGTAGTCCAAACATATTGGACACTGTACTCGGACTGGCGCACAGTACTTGAGACATATAATGTCCTCCCACTGTAACATTTTGTCTGGATCCATCATTTCAGGCTCATAGTTACCTGAATCCAACATGACAAACTTATAATTTGCTTGAATAAACAAATCTTTGTTGTATGGCTTCCTTCTCTGCTGTCTTCTGGGAGGTGGGACCCAATACCGAGGGTGTGACCGCGAAATGGAATCATAATGAAAATTCAGCAAATGGTTACCACTAACCACCGGTGATTTCCTTCCAGATGAACTCGCAAAACCACCTCGAGAAGCAGAAACCTGACCCGTGTTAGGGGTAACAGATGATTTTGGTGATCTGGATTCCGCTTGATCAGCAATTCCATAATCGAAGCCCTTACATTTATCGGACACTGAACTGCGGTCAGGTTGTGGTTTGTTCTGTTCATTTACCTATTAAAAACATAAGTTGGGAGAGTGGGTGACATGAAAACATGGGTAAAAAGCTAAGTAAACTAAGACAAGTAAACAGTGAAGAAGGCAAGCATTTGAAATTTAGACCTTTGTGGTGGGAGATCCATCATGATCTGCTGGGGTGGATAGAGATCCTGCAGCATAAATCATAAATCCAGTTTAACAGCATATCTTCTGACAGCAGTATTAGTGAACGACAATATGAGACATTGAAAAAAAAGCAGCGCGTGAGAAAGAGAATCCCATAAAGAAAATAACAACTCAGAACCGGAAGCTATGGACAGACTAGTTTTTCATTTCTTTCAGAGATGTTTCCGTCAAACCCTTCTACATCCAAATTGAAAACTAACAAAATATTTGGGGATAACTATCCTGATCTCCTCTCATACAGTAGCGCTAGTCCTGCAAAGACCCACATTTTCCAACCCTAAAGTGAAATTTTTGTGTGCTACATTTATTCATGACGTACCCACCCACATAGCCCCCCAAAAATAATTATAATAAAATGAAACTCTTTTTGAGTTCAATAATATAATATTTCAATTTCGATTTTCCAAAGGAAAAAAGTAGGCCTTGGCACCATTCCTCCCTGAATGCTTAGCAAAAATAGACAATTTTACACATTTAAAACAGAAATGAGGGGGATTTTAACAACCAGTCGTGTTTTTTTTACGTACCCTTTTCAGCAAGTGAAAATTAACTCGTAATAATTAGTCAGACAAATTGGAGTCTTGCAGAGCTCGGAATCGTAATTTCTAGGGTTTCGGCAAGAAAGAAAAAAACAAATACATTAATTAAGGAAAAAAAATGCCACCTGAAGAATCGTCGGAACTGGGAGAAGAAGCAGCGGCGGAAGCTGGAGGGGATTGGTGGCGCCACCGTGGTTGTTGGCGGCGATTCTCGGGGAGGAAGCCATGGTTATCTTGGGGAGAAGAGATTGGAAAAGGAGGTGATGAATCTGTTGCTGAACCAAGTTTATGAGAAGGCAAGATGGACATCCAAACTTCCTTTCAAAAACCCACAAAGTTGTGCAGAGGCAAAAATCCACGCGCACTGTCCAACCGAATGAATCACCGGAACTCCTTAATGACCCGCTCTGCTTGGCGTCCTGCTTTCTCTATTTTTCTAGACATTTTTCTTTTTTCCAAAAATAAATAAATAAATTAGGTTTTCTTTTTTTTTTTTAAGAGAATAAACTAGGGAATTTTTTTTTTCCCTGGAATTATCTTTTGCCGCACAAACCAATTAGATAAATGATTAGATACGTGTCAATTATTTCATTAAGTCTAATGACTAATAGCACATAAAAATTTTTGTCGTATGAATATCTAATTTGTGGGAGAAAAAAAGATCGTTATATGTGGACAAAAAAATGCACCCCGCTATTTTAAAAAAAAAAAAAAAATTTGTAACGATCGAAAGCAATATAATTATCATAAACAAATCCGCAATAACAAGTTTGAGCGGATTTATGCATGAGTTTCTCCATAAAAGACTTTCAGAGATATCTCTATTGTGCCCATGTTAGACTGAGAGCTTGACTAAAGACTCTTTAAAACGTAATGCAAGTTTTATGGAAAAATCAGTGTTCATATCCAAAACTTTGAGCACATCGTCAATTATAACTTATTGATTTCTGGTTAGTCAATTTTATCTTTACTGTTTGAAATTTTTGTCAATTCTACCCAATTGGTTCAATTTTCATTATATTTAACGGATTTTCGTTAGTTTTTAACCAAAAATATCCTGATAGTTTCAATAAATTATAAAAATAACCCTAAAAATATAAAAATAATAAAATAGTCCCTTTTTATTTATTTTTTATTTTATTTTATTTCTCTTTATTACTTTTCATAACCATCAAAATATATTATATGATCTTAAAAAAATAATTATTTATTTTCAAAATCTATTTTTCATTTACAACATATGTGATTTGGGTTGAGGGGTAATTTTGTCATTTTAAATTTTTAAAAATTTTAAATTTTATTTTTTTACTCGTTATTTTTTGAGATTATTTTTCTTATATTTCCTGACTTGTATATATTAATACTAGTATAATTATTAAATTTCAATAATTAACTTACTTTTTTATTTCATAGATTATAAAAAAATTAACATAAAGAAAATGAGGAAGAAAAAATCAAGTTGAAATAAACATGAAAATTAACAGTTTATCATTCTAAACAAAAATCGAAAATATCTTTTAAAAAAATATGCAAAGACAAGTCTTTGCTCCTTGACTTCCTCTAATTCATATATGAGTTATGAAACATAAATTTTACTTGATCTAGCCTAAAATAATTATTTAGTTCGTTGTAATAAAAATAATATAAAAATTAGACAATCATTTGAAACATGACAAGGTGCTAATTTAATTAGTCCACAACGATGCCATTTTTATAAATTTGGTTAACACTATTTTTATTTTTTTAATAATTTTTTTTGGCCGATTGGCGGTTGCTAAACTACATAAATAATTATTGAATTTCATGAAAAAAGATAAATACGTGTGTTTTTTAGCAAAATAATTACTAAATTATACTACATGACTTGTATTATTTTTATTACAAAGAATAAAATAATCATTTTAGGCTTAGATCAAGTAAAATTTATGTTTCGTGACTTACCTATGAAATAGAATAAGTTAAGGAGAAAAGACTTTCCTTTGCAGTTTTTTTGCTTTTTTTAAAGAATGATAAACTATTATTTTCATGTTTATTTCAACTTAAGTTTTTCTTCCTCATTTTCTTTATGTTAAAGTTTTTATAATCTATGAAATGACACGGTAAATTAATTATTAAAATTCAATAATTATTCTAGTATCAATATATACAAGTCATGAAATATATATATATATAAAAGAATCTAAAAAAAGACAAATAAAAAAAATTAAAATTTTAAAATGACAAAATTATCCCTCAACCCAAATAACATGTGTTGCACATGAAAAATAGATTTTGAAAATAAATTATTATTTTCTTAAAGATCATGTAGTATATTTTGATTGTTATGAAAGTAATAAAGAGAAATAAAATGAAATAGAAAAAAATGAATAAAAAGGGACTATTTTGTTGTTTTTACAATTTTTTGAAACTATCGGGGTATTTTTTGTTAAAAATTAATGGAAATCCATTAAGTTTAATGGAAATTAGGCCAATTGGGCAGAATTGACAAAAAAATTTAAACAGTAAGGACAAAATTGACTAACCGAAAATCAATAGGGTCGAATTGACGATGAGCCTAAAGCTTTGGGTATGAATGCCAACAATTTAATTTATTTATTTTCCTTATACTTCAATAAAAGGCACAGTACGCAAAAAAATAATGCTCAAGAAATATTTAAGGACCACCGTCTAATCGATCTCGTCCGTCAGATGGAGTTGACATGATGTCAGCGACTTATTAGGGTTAAAAATAAGATTTACTAAATTCAGCATATTCCGACTTAAAAAAAAAAAAAAAAAAACCCTATGCTTTTGAGGGAAGAAGAAAACCCCCAAACAAGAAAACGACGTGGTACAGCCCCGACATAAAAAAAAAAAAGAAAAAAAGAAAAAAGAGTGAACTTCAAAACAAATCATCAACCTTTAATATATGTTCACTCCAGGTCATTAATTAAATTTATTGGTAATACAGGTTACCTTACTAAAGTTTTAATTCATTTCAGATTATTCTGTTAATTTTGGCCGTTAAATAGTGACGGAAATCCATTTTTCACATGTTTTTGGGTTCAGGAGTATTTTTGTCATTTTATTATTTTTTAAATTTTTTTAATCTTTTAATATATATATATATATATATATATTTTTACAATTCTTCTTCTTATACTTCCTAACTTGTATACACTGGTAGTATAATTCTAAATTTTAAAAATTTATTTTCTTTTTGTATTTTAACTTCTACATTATAAACTTTTTAAAAAAAAATTTAAGAAATGAAGAAGAAAAATTCGAGCTAAAGTAAACATGAAAATTAATAATTTACCATTTTAAACAAAAAGAAAAACTAAAAGAATTAGCTAAGACAAGTTGTTTCTTCTAGGTTATTTAATTTTTTTCAACTCGATTGATTTATTTAATTATTAATTTTCACGTTTCTTATTCCTTTTTTTTTTATAATCTAGAAGTTAAGATACAAATGACAAACAAATTCATTTTTGAAAATTAATTTGTTATTTTTATATTAACTTTAGGATTGCATCAGTTAGGGAGTCGCAAGTTGAAAATAGTGATAGATAATCTATCAACAAATATATTATATTTTTGATGTTCCTTTGTATCTTTCTTTTTTTTTTTTCTCCCTATTGCTGGTGTCTATACTATGATCCATTCAATCAATCCAATTTTGTTTTCGTAGGAATTTCATCCTCTAAGATTTTTAATCAATGATTATATGTAGAGATTACATAATCATAATGCTTGACTTGGAAATTATGGTATCAACATCACATTTCATACTATTTTCACTCAATGAATAAGTGGCTACGGGGATGATGGCTATTGCTAAACTGTATTGACATTGGACAAGTATTTTTGTCCCACAAACACACACAAGTATTTTCCTTTCGATTTTCTTAGGATAATTTGTAATATTCATTTTTTTAAAACAAAACAATTTGGACAATATTCTAATGTTTTTTCCAGAAAAAAATAAAAAACAATTGCTTCGGTTTTTTCCAGAAGCTATTAAGTTTGTTATGAAACGTGTAGTTGAAATTAATTATAACATTCTCAAATATAAAAATCGTAAAAAAAAAATTCAACCGAAACACTGGTCGCGCAACGCGCGACACATATAAGACTAGTATAATATTACAATTAACTTTTCGAGTAATAATCATTATAAAAAAAATACATTCCGCAGATTGATATATATATATATATATGTATATATATATATATAATAAATAGTAAATTGTTTAAATGGTCCTTTGCATTTGCCAAAAAAAATTTAATTTGGTATAATAAAAATTTACTGGTTCGGTCCATTACATTTGTATTTTCTTAGACTAATTTAGTCGTTTTTTACTATTTTGACACTTCGCATTTGGTGGTTATTGGGTTGACCATTTATTAGTCAAGTCACCAAAAGTATTTTATTTTATTTTTTTGTGAAAGGTTAATTGTATTAATCTTCCCACAACTGGAATCAACTTTACAACCTGTTAGCACTATTACAAGTTCAGCTTTTTACATTATATCCTGCTACTAATCTTTTCCACATACTCTGTCTCAGATACTTTCAATTTCCTACAAAACAGTTTAATTCTATACAAAATCTACTGCCTAACTCTTCCAGCTACCACATCAACATTTTCAATTGTGGATCCATGCATTATTGCATTTCTTTGCTGCCAAATATGGTAAACTATTACTGTCAAGCATGCATGTAATATTTTCTGCTTGCCTTTATTCTGGTACCATACTTTCCTCAACCTTCTTTCCCACAACTTCAGTTTCTCAGGTATATTTGGACAATCCAACCACTTCCTTATTCTCTGTACTAAACACGGTGAATAAACACACTTGAAGTACAAGTGATCAAAGCTTTCCTCAGCAGCATCACACAATCTGCATCCAAACGGTTGATTAATGATTTTTAATCTCATCAATCTGTCACCAGTTAGCATCCTTCCTTTCATTGCCATCCACAACATGAAACTGTGCTTAGGCACATTATAGCGTTTCCAAACGAATGGAGCAGCAAAAAATTTCCTCCCTTCTCCTCTTAACCACGAGTATCCAGACCTTATTGTGTATACTCCTGTATTTTTTTGCTATCCATTTCCCATTATTAAACCCTGTCTTTAAATTTCTTTCACCCGCATTAGATTTTTTCAATACCAACAATCAAAACTTGAAGTTTTATACTCCCAAATCGTTGTTCCTTTCAAATAATATTCACGACACCATTTCACCCAAAGATTATCTTTCTTTTCCGCAATATCCCACAATTATTTTCCCAAGGCAATATAGTTCCAAACAGAAGGCTCTTTTAAGTTCAACCTTCCTAAGTTTTTTGGCATACAAATCTCATCGCAAGTCACAAGAGCATAAGCTCCCATCTTCCTTTTTTCCCCATAAAACTTCTCTACATACTCAAACTACTTGCACCATAATACTCATAGGAATCATGAATATGGAAGACCAATACATATGCAAGGTTAAGAGGACTAAGTTTACCAGGACAGTCCTGCCAACATATGACAGATGACGAGTAGTCCAACACTTTATACGAGAAGTAATCTTGTCAACCAGTACTTGATAATCCATTGCTATCCATCTTGTTGGGGATATCGGAACACCCAAGTATCTCATTGGGAAGGTTCCTTTCCCAAAAGCCCGTGATCTTCTGAATCTCCACCTGAGTTGCTTCATCTACCCCACCACAGAACACTTGGGATTTATTCAAGTTAGCCTTCAGTCCAGAAACTTTAGAGAATTGTTTCGGTACCTTCCTAACTCTTGTTACAGTTCCCAATTCAACTTTACACAAGATGATAAGATCATCCGCAAAGTATAAATTGGTGATCTGTAACATGTGACATTTCGGATGAAAGTGAAATCCACCTAGCATTACTTCATATTTAAACAGCCTACTTAGGTATTCCATACACAAAACAAACACCAAAGGAGAGAGAGGATCACCCTGTCTAATCCCCCCCTGTCCTTCAAAATAACCTGTCAATCCCCCATTTATAGACAGTGAATAGCTGCAAGTAGAAATACACTGCATAATCCACTGGACAAATTTACCTGGGAATTTATACGAGTATAACAACTCTTTCAAAAATTCCCACGAGATTGAGTCATACATCTTCTGCAGGTCAACCTTCATTACACACCGGGGGGAGCGTTTTACCTATTAAAAAGCTTGACCATTTCTTGAGTTAATAATACATTGTGTATTATCAACCTCTCCTTGACAAATGTACTTTGGTTCTGTTCACTAAGCAAGGTAACACCCTAGCTAATCTTAGGCTCAAAATCTTAGTAATACATTTGTAGAATGTATTACAACACAATATGGGCCTAAAATCTGCTGCTGTTTGTGGATTCTCCTTCTTTGGAATCAATGCAATCACCGTTGCATTGACTTGCTTCAGTAACTTTCCAGATTGAAAGAATTCTAGTACTGCTTTGGTTGTTACCTTACCAACTACATCCCAGGTTCGCTCGTAAAAGCCGCTATTAAAACCATCCGGGACAGGACTTTTGGTTTCATTAATCGAAAACATGATTGTTTTTATCTCATCCACTGTGACATCTTCTATAAGGTCCATTTGCTGCTGAACTGTAAGCCTATACCCCATCTCACTGATTTCCTCTTTTACTGAAATCCCTAGCCACTTTCTTCCCCAACAACTACTTGTAGTAATTCAGAAAGTGCTCTTGAACCTCTTCCCACTCATTAATCACTGCCCCTTTTTCATTCATAAATGAAAGAATCTGATTCCTTTTCTGTTTTTGTCGGACAGTTGCATGAAAATATGCCGAGTTCGTGTCACCTTTCTGCAACCAAGATTCCTTAACCTTTTGTTGCCAAAAACTGTATTGCTGATTTCCATATATAGTTGTACTGCTTCTTTTTCCTGGTGTTGCAGAGTCTCATCATGAGGATCCAGTTGCAACTGCTTCTGAATTCCTTCCAGTTGCTGATGGCTTAACAGTGCCTGGGTTTTAATATCAGCGAATTTCCTTTTATTCAAATCTCTGAGTAGAGGCTTCAATCGTTTCTGCTTAGACACCAGCTAAAATTACTTGGATTCTTTCCAACCACGCTCCACCAACGATTTATATTCATCTGCTTCTGTCCACATATTTAAAAATCAAAAGAACTTCCTATTTAGGCACTCCTGATATGTCCAATTGATTAACAATGGACAATGATCAGAAATGCCCTCAGGTAGAACTGTGACAAAGCTCTCATCAAACTTTTGCATCCATCCACTATTGACCAGAACCCTATCCAATGTCGCACATATTCGACTTAATCCCATCTTCTTGTTATTCCAAGTGTAACTCCCCCCATGAGTAAGTAAATGCCATAATTGGCATTCATCAATTGCCAACCTAAAATCCCCCGTCTCCGATGCCGTAACAGGAACACCACCTATCTTCTCTTCTTGGCAAAGGACATTATTAAAGTCCTCAGCCACTACCCAAGCACATGGCACAGTTTTGCCAATTCTTATCAGGTCATTCTACATCTGTGACCTTTCATTTCTCCCATTCGCACCATAAACCACCGTCATTAGAAATTGCCTATCATAGATTATGTCTTTTACTGCACAGTGAATATATTATTCAGCTACTTCCAATATCTCCATCTTTACATCTTCATCCTTCCACATTATTATGATCCTACTTCTGCCCCCATGCATACCATTACTCATATATTTATACTCAGACCACCATTGCTTCATAATATCCACTATTTTCCCTTCTTTAAGCTTCAATTCAACTAGCCCTATTATACTTGCTTTATTCATAGAGAGAAGGGTCTTCAACTCTCTGTGTTTCAGGGGGTGGTGCCGCCCCGTAGGATTCCATATCAACATGTTATTCATAAGGGGGATCCCCCTGAACATCCATTCTTGCCCTCTCCTTATTCACCCATCTTCTATAGTCTTCCACAGGGTTACCATTTATTATCACTAGACCTGGTCCCTCTACGATTTCCTTTCCATGCTCGTTTGACTCCTTCTTGCCTTCTTGATCAGTTGTTTTCATCATATTTCCTGCTCTGCTACTTTTATCTTGTACTTCTCCCTGCTTTGTGACCCAAGCTTGTTTCAGTGGCTTACTACATTTGGTACTCTCATGCCCATACCCCTTGCATTGAGAACACCTAATAGGTTTCCATTCGTACACTATTGCTTGCTCATTTACCACACCATACTCATCTTCGAACCATAATTGGTCTGGAAGTGCTTCAGAAATCTCCATTTCAATAAGAATTCTAGTAAAATCAACTTTTTGTTTTGCAGCTGTCATATAATCCATCTTGATTGGCTTACCAATTGTACTTACAATCCTGCTTAGAGTTTTGGGATTTCAATACTTGAGCTTCAACCCAGACAGCTGCACCCAGATTGGAACACTCATTATCTCCTCCATTTTGAACCCCTCATCCACAAACCAGTTTTTGACTATAAGGGGTTTGTTATCAAATTGATGATATTGATACTTTAGAACAGACTCCTTACCATCAATACTCTTGAACCTTACTACAAACACCCCGTTAGACAGTAATATCACCTTATCCACACCATGCCGACCCCAATTCCTCCTAATATAACCATTAATGATGCTATAAGGGGGATGACTATCTAACACATAGCATACAATTGAAGATTTCCAGTAACTAATTTCATCCTCCACATCATGTTTTAAAACCTTAGCTACTTTTTTGGTATTAACAACCGCAAGATCTACATATTCCAAATCCACTGGAATATCCTCAAATAAGGACTTCCAGTTCATTCCCTCATCCTTTCTATCCACAGGCAAATTAAGACCACTCCCAGTACCAGACGTTACAATTTTCTGAACAGACAGTTCTTCAAGCATCGAATTCAATTGAATTGAAGGAGATTTCACAGGAAATTTGATATCTCTTATCAGAGTTCGAAGTCCTAATTCCTCCTCTTCCTCCACAGATCTTTGCGAACATCTACCAACTTCGATCTTCGCACTTCCATCTGCAGCCACCACTGATTTCATAAGAGGCTTTGCGACCGCTTTCTTCCCCTTGGTTGGTCTTGCCATGGCTACGATGATCCTATCGACCCACAAAGGAGAAAATTACTAGACACGTAGTATACGGTGAAATCGCCCACAACGATTGTAAATTTTTTTAAATTAATATTTATTTTTTCAAAAAAAATAAAATTTGATTAAATTATATTCAACATATTATATTGATTTATAATAAATGTTTTAAAAAATTAAAATTCAAAAATCAATTTTTTTTTTTCCACAATCTTATTCCCCGGTCAAACACGTTCCCATTCCCAAAAGAGAAAAAAGTTATAGAATAAGATTAATAATAAAGGACTTGGATGTGGGGCCCACCGGATAAAAAATATACCAGATTTTGGATTTTTTTTTTTTAATTTGTTCCAATTTCCATTTCAGCCCCAATTCTCACCTCCCCAATCCCTCTCTCCTCCACTGCCGGTCACCACCATGACAAAACCTCCACTGTCACCCTCCTCCTAGTTTCTACACCAATCGGCCACCACGTTTCTGCTCCAAATCGTCAACCACCATCAACTCAAGCAATCTCAATATCACCCGAGTCATTACTAACTTTTTCCTTCTAAAATCGGTACCATTAGCATCTTCGGTAACTTCGGGATTCGGCTCGAATTAACATCATTGGCGAAACAGGTGCATTAGGGCCGTATATTAGCCTCCCTAAGAGGTAAGGATTCTGAACATTCGGTTATCCATTCCTATTTTGAATTACGCATTAAGTAATTGGTGAGCTAGAACAATAGCTATTTAGCCAACCCTTAGATCCTTGAGTTGCATGCAATGTATATATGTTAGAGATTGTTAAATGATGCATTTTGGTGGTCTAGTAATTTGTTTTGAAAACTTAGCTGTAGCTTAGAAATCATCGCACATAAAAAGGAATTTGAAACTGGATGCAATCTTAGAGTTCAGAACAAAAAGAAATTTTCAGATTCTAGCATTGAACTCCGAGACTTCGAATTTCCGTAGTTTTCGATTATCTCTGTCCGAAGTTTCATTGCTTTTGATCACCGTACTTCAAGGTTTAATCCTCTTTTTACTGTTGGTTAAACGGATCTTCGGATCGTTAAAAAACTTGATTAAAGTTCACTGATTGCTTGCTGAAAATGCAGAAAAATCAAATTAGAGTCCTCTATTGAAGGATCTGTTTCCTCTAGTTCGTGAACCCTTCTCCTGAATTTCTTTTTATGAATTCCTTCCTTTTTTATTTCAGTTTTTACGTCTCTTTCATACGTATTCTTGGTTGTTTCTGAATAAGGATTTGGAATGACCTATTGGTAACTGAAATTCTGGTAGGTGCCACTGTTTTTGGGGAATTGTTTCTCCCATTTCTCGAACTGTTTTATGAGACTTCTTTTAATGAATGTCTTCTATGTTTATTGGGGTTTATTGAAAATTTTATGGATTGTAAATTGGAGCTGTAGATTGCCCAAAAATTGGGTTTGAACTTGACTCACTGCATCTTTAATTTATGGAATGTCAGTGAATATCCGCTTCACACAGTTTTGAGTATCTCCTCTCTTAAAGCATCGACCTCTCTTAAGATGGTGGCTGGCCATCAAGGATCTCAGTCAGTTAACCGAAAGAAGGGAAAAAAAGAAGTTCCCAATCAGTGAATGATTAAAATAAATATAAAGACAGAACCCAAAATTTCAAGTTAATATGTTGTGATGCTAGTAATGTGTTTATCTGACTCCTTCGTTTCAGTATCTAGCTTTAGCTTCTGAACCTGTCATGTAAAGGAATGGGATACCCATAGTAATACCTAGGTCTTAGACATACTAATTGTATTCCATTAATAATGTTAATGTTGGCAAAAAGTACCGAAGAGAGGATCAAATGTTTACTATTGGACATCATCATATGAACTCCCTTTGAATAGGAACGACTCTGTCTCCTTATTTATTTCTGATGAAGAATACCTTGTATAAAAGTTTTCACTTTCACACTTTATTGTACATGACAATTTGAGACATGGGTTCTTCTTTTTCCTGGAAAAAGAAACTTTTGGAGAGATTTTGTATATCATGTAAAATTGGCATTGCCTTTGATACTACTCGTGAGTCGTGTTCATCGTACATCTTTGTACAATTCTGATATATAATTTGTGCAGATTCTTGTGAAGCTCAGTCTCTTGGTGTTGAGGTAGCACTTATCTGGCCTTTAATGAACTCCGTTGAAAAGGGCGGCATTTTTATCTACAAGTTTCAATGAATCGTGATCATTACCAAGTATCATCAGCCCATGTGCTGAATGGTCGAACCTCCCAATCTTCTCAGGGTGGGCACCCTAATTTCCCTGGTCATTTCCAGTTAGCACAACCCCACGCCACTCATCATCCACACTCCCAACTCCAAATTTCTGTTACTGCCATTGCCAACTCACTGGGTGGCTCGACCCCTGGAATTGTTTCTTCTGCATCAAGTGGGAAGAAGACTTCCATGCTCTCTCACAGAGCTGGTCCATCACGGCTTTCTGGTGCTGGTGCCACTGGTGGAAGTGGAGGTTCCCCATTTGGGCATGGTCAAGGTGGCGCTGCTTCCCCTTTGAAAACAATGGAATTAGCCCCTGCTGTCCGTAGGAAGAAACGTAAGCTACCTGAGAATGAGATCCCTGGCAAAGTAGCCACATCCTTACCCGAATCTGCCCTTTACAGCCACTTGTGTGAAGTCGAGTCTCATATTGATGCTCTCCTTGTCAGGAAGAAGACTGAAATTGCAGAATCTCTTAAGAACAACCCTCCTTGCATCCAGAAGATGCTTAGACTTTATGTGTTTAACACCTTTGAGAATCAGGCTGATGAAAATATGACTGAGAGGAAAACCGATCCTCCCTCTTGGTCACTTAAAATATTCGGCAGGATTTTGGAAGATGGTAGTAATCCTGCTAGAGTCAGTGCATCATGGGGATGGTATCCCAAGTTCTCCTCATTCTTTAGGAAAATCACTATATATCTTGACCAGAATCTGTATCCTGATAATCATGTCATTTTGTGGGAGAAGTCTCGATCAGATACACTTCATGAAGGCTTTGAAATCAGGAGAAAAGGAGACAAGGAGTTCACTGCAATCATTAGACTAGAGATGGATTTTGTGCCGGAGAAATTTAGACTTTCACCAGCATTGCAAGAAGTTCTAGGACTTGAGGTTGAAACCCGACCGCGAATTATGACAGCACTCTGGCACTATGTAAGAACTCGGAAGTTACAGTTACCTGATGACACGTCCACGTTCGTGTGTGATCCACCTCTGCGGAAAGTTTTTGGTGAAGACCGCTTGAAGTTTGCTGTAGCCTCCCAGAAGATATCTCAGCATTTAACTTCACCAAAACCAATACATTTGGAACATAAACTTAAGCTATCCGGCAATTCTCCAGCTGGAAATAATTGTTATGATGTGTTGGTTGACATTCCTATCCAACCGGAGAAGGAGCTGTTAGGTTTCATTTCTGATGTGGAGAATGACGAGGAGATAGAAGCTTTGGATGAAGCTATTTTTTCGGTTATAAAAGATATCCACGAGCATACTCGCAAGCGAGCTTTCTTTCTAGGATTCAGTCATTCTCCTGCTGAATTCATTAACGCCTTACTTGCTTCTCAAGCCAGAGATTTGAAGGTTGCCAGTGGTGATACGAGTCAAACTACCGAGAATGAACAGCGCTCTGAGTTTTATACTCAACCATGGTAAAGTGCTTTTGTTTCAGCTACTCCTAGTACAAGTTCATAATTGAAAAGTTTGCTGTGTGTTTCATAGTCAAATGTGTTTTATTCTCATGTTATAATGAAGGTGGTAATTGATTGAAATTCCAGTTCTACTTTAATGACAATTACGTTTATATTGTTGCGATCATCATGGGGACGGTATTCATGTTTTATAAACAGAGGTTTGCATTGATGCAGCTTGGTAGTTCGTTATTAAATATATCTAATTTGAGCTTGCAATGGGATATTTATTGATCAGAAGGATAGTCTTTTAGGACTTCTGCAGGTACTTGTTTTAGTTGTCTCCCTTTGAGCTTTTGATTCAAGGTGGTTTATCATGGTGTTACTCGTAAATTTTTTACCAACAAAAGAACCCATATGAGGAGATGTGAAAAAAATTGATTTGTGACAATATCATTAGTCTTTATTTCTTTGAAGCTTCAATGTGGATATACTAATTCTGATATTTTCCTAAGTCGCAGGATTGAAGATGCTGTGATACGGTACCTGAATCGGAAGCCATCTCCATTAGGTAGCGACCCCTCCTCTCGATTCAAATGATAAGGAACTCCACTTATAAGGCTGTAACTTTGTTGATTGACAAAATTGGTTCCTTCATCTTGTAATGATGTATTTGTAGGCTTTTAGGTTAAATTCTTTTCAGGTTAGAATATGTTCTTTGGAGCACGCGCATTACATTGTAGTTTGGAAAAGCGTTTATGCCTGTTTGTCTATCTGAAACTTCATATCAAGGCTCAGACGGAAAAATTGGTGGTTCTACCTATAGTTTTACCTTGTTGTCAATCTTACCCTGTAGATTTTAAGTTAGTCAATTTTGTCCTTTATGTTTGAACTTTTCGCCATTTCGTCCAATTGGTCAATTTCTGTTGAATTTAACGGCTTTCCGTTAATTTTTTTAGCAAAAACACCCTAATAGTTTCAAAAAGTTATAAAAATAACTCATAAAATATGTGAAAATAACAAAACAATCGATTGTCACTTTTTATTTATTTATTTCTTTTTATTATATTTCATAACTATTAAAATATATTATATGATCTTTTAAACAAATATTTATTTATTTTCAAATTCTTTTTTTTTATATGCAAAAACATGTGAGTTGGGTTTAGGGTAATTTCATCGTATTATATATATATATATATATTTATTTATTTATTTATATTTGAAATTTTAAAATTTTTTATTTCGATTTTTATTTTTTTACAATTTTTCTTTTTATACTTCGTAACGTGTATATATTGGTATTACTACAATTACTAAATTTCAAGAAATAATCTACCTTTTGTATTTCCACTTTTATGTTATAAAAAATATAAAAAGTTACACTGGTAAAGAGTACATGTATTGATCTTTGTCATAAAATTTAATAATTATTTATATAGTTTAGGCATCGGCAAATTAAAAATAATAATTACCATTAAGAATAAGAATAGTTTTAACCAAATTCATAGAAAAATTCATTGTTGTGGGCTGATTAAATTAGCACTATCTTCTGTTTCAAATGATTGTTTAATTTCTATATTATTTTTAATACAATGAACAAAATAATCATTTTAAGATAGACCAAGTAAAATTTATATTTCGTAAGACGAAAGTTACCTATGTATTACAAGGAGTCAAGGAGGAAAGATTTGTCTTAGCGGATTCTTTACGGTTTTTTGTTTTTAATTTTTGTTTAAAAGGATAAACTATTAATTTTTATCGATTTTTTCTTCTTCATTTTCTTTATTTAAAACTTTTATAATATAAAAGTTGAAAAAGATAAAATTAGTTCTTGAAATTAGTAATTATAGTGGTACTAACATATAATGTCAGGATGTACAAGAAGAATCATAATAAACAAAGAACAAAAAAATTAAAAAATTTAAAGTTTTCTTTTTTAATATATATATATATATATATAACATGATGAATTTTCCCTTGGTAAGTGAAAAAATAAATAAATGTTTTTATAGTTATGAGGAAGCAGCAAAGAGATATAGGATAAAAAATAAATGAACAAAAATCGAAAAGAGATAGTTTTATTATTTTTACATATTTTAGAAAGTATTTTTATAATTTATCGAAACTATTAAAAACTAACGAAAAGCCGTTAAGTTTAAAAAAATTGAGTCAATTGGACAAAATTGTCTAAAATTTCAAACATAAAGAATAAAATTAGCTAACTAAAAATCTATAGATTAAGATTAATAGCGAAGATAAAGCTACGGGTAGAACCGACAATTTTTCTGGCTTTGATGGGATCATGTTAAAATTCCCTTGGTTATTTACCAATCCGATAGGAAATAGAGCAAACAACAAATCTACTGCAATAAGAACAATTAATGAAAGACCTCAAGTGTTGTATATATTTGGTGAAAACCAAGGTTAATTTGATCAGTGTACAACTTAGGAGAATATTCCTATATGCCATTACAAAATCAAATACACACTTTGACCAGAAAATAATGGAGGGTAATGGAGTGGCTTCTGGGCTAATATATCTAACCCGTTAACAAAAGAATGCATCTTAACTACTATATACACATTTGCACAAGCAAAAAAATGTGGAAATCTATCATACATGATCGCAGGCTACAGAACTTCCAGCGGTTTCTCTCCCTAGGACAGCAGATGCACGCTGCAGCAAAAAATAAGGTCGGTCATTTGGCGGTGATGCTCTGAGGAAGCATTGAAGTTGTTTCTAGCTCCAACAAATTTCCTCCTTCCTCCTCATCCACCGAGAGTCTACTCCAACCAGCGCCTCGTGGGGAGAACAATTTGGCCCGACCAAAACCGCTGCCTCTAAACCCAGTTATTTTGGATGAAACCATTGGCATTACAAGCACAGAAGATGCATGAAGCGAGTTTTCTCCTAATCCCAGTGTTATTGAACAAGCAGCCTGCAAGGAAGGAGGTCAATAATCTATCCTTGTGTAACATCAGCATGAAGAAGATGTATAATAAGTCATTAGTACAACCTTGGCCTTCACAATCAAATTAGCAGCCTTCAACTTCACTGTTCGAGCAAAAGGACTCGCATCTTTGATTTGAGAATCTTCAGGTGGTGTGGCCAGCCTATGTATGCATGAAAGTGCAAAGAGAATTGAAATAGACTATGACTCCTTAAAGTTAAGGATACGGAGCAAATATAATTAAAACATTCCAAGATCATGAAATATTGCAATGTTTTGTACAATACATTTTCATGACATAATTATTGGCATTTTCTCTATTACCATTAAGCTGCATAGAGTGTAAAACCATACCTTTCTGCATCAGTCGAGAGACTAGAAGTAGCAGAAACCAATAAAGTAGCATCCTTGGTTTCCCCTCCTGTACAAGTTTATTGGGTCAAGTAAGTGTGAAACCTAGTACGGGCTAGGATAATGTACATGAATCTAAATTGATTGATACCTTTTGAATCATCAGGTGCAAGCAACGAAATGCCAATGAATACGGAGAAGACCCCGAGGACAAACATTGTCGTCCTTAAAATATCAAACACCTGCTTACAAAAAAACAAAGCATAAAATTATTCCATATTACCTACACTGATATGGGTAAAAAATAAAGGTCACATTTATACCAAAGAGTATCCTACAAGGCTTGCCGCAACAAAAAATTACATTCCAAAATACATTTCTGCTCAACACAGCAGAGGAATAAATCCCCCACCAAAGTGATACTAAAATATGCAAAAATAAGGATAACTCACCACCAAATATCTCAACAAAAACTCCTATGTTAGTCCGCCGCGGACTGAACAAAATGTTTTAGAAATTAGACCTCATGTCACGTACACTACTTCGGTTGGTTGCACTTACAGATAACGAGAGGAGATATGGCAAGAATCGCCAAATCACAGTAATAACTTTATGTTAGATTATTTGCAGTTGACAGATAAGAGTACCCATCTTTCTATATTTTTGGGGTGGGTGGCAAGGAATAAATGAAAGACAAGGAGGGCGGGGCAACAAACCTGATACTCTTGAAAATACACGAAACCTGTACAAATGGAGAAAAAGGTCCAAACTATCTGAAACATTGGGACAATGAGTATTGCATCGAACAAAGACAGTCCCTCATTTAATCTGGCCATCTGCAAGAAGAGGCAAACTGCGTAAGAATCAGAAAGGTAACTTCTACGGATAGTTTTCTGATCATTTAATAAAGCATACATAAGACACGAAAATGATTACCCAAAATCCAGCTGTACTAAGAAACAACAAAACCAAGGAGTACATGAACCAGCTATGCAATTGATAGCCACTTGAAAATGACAATCTTAAGAGGTTTGATCTGGAAGTGAACGCAGAAAGCACGTCAGAGAAATGGCAATCTTAAAATTCTAGCACAAAATGACAGCGCTAGATAAAAATGAAGAACATAAAATAGAGTAGTAAGTTAAAAAAGTGAAATGGGAGAGTGAGATAAAATGACATAAAAATCACAATTTATCAGCATGCATTTTATAAAAGATGTGACTTGTGATTTCGTCTTTTTATCAACAAAACATCCTTCACCCTCTCCATCATCAATCAAAAGAAAAAGTATGTAAACTCACAGGGATTTAGCAAACAAAACTGAACATGATCCTACAGCACCAGAGACAACAGCATAAGAAAAAGGGAGCAACATTTGCCAATACTGTTTAAGGTCTTGGCTGGGTACAGCAAGGAGAAACTCTCCCCTTCTTCAAATTCCAAGATTGATCAAAACCAAGAAACGAAAAAGAAGCTGTTTCAGTTAAATAGAACTGATAACACAAATGAGATAGTAAACAAGTGAACCACTTTTAGCTGTCTCACCGGTATAGTGAGTGATGCACAACAACAATGATAATCAGAATCAAACAGTACAGAAGAAAAGGGATGTTGCTGTACTTCTCCACCAACTCCTCTGGCGTGTAAACTGGACAAAACGAACAGGCAAGATTGAAGAATCAAAACAAACTGAAATTACCTAAAATCATGAGTTGGTAACAGCTTTATAATACAAAGATTTTGAGAACTTTTACCTGGCGACTGGTGGTTGCCAAAAGCTACTAAAAGATATTCCCAAGTACAATAAAAGCCGTGGCAATTAGTACTCTGTAATAAGACCAAAAAAAAAAAAAAAAAAAACCCAACAGTTTTATCAAGAGGGAAGAGATCAATAAAAGAAAATATGCAAAAAAAATCGTACATAATTGCTTAGACGTACCTGACGGCTACAGCTTTGTTCAATACAAAATAGGCAAAAGCTATGTTTGAGACGAACTGAACAGACCCCAAAGCAGCAAGGAGTGACTGCAGGTAAGGGAAAACGCAAAAGAAAAGAAAAATAGATTTAAAAGAAGAAAAGAAAAAAGAAAAGGACAGAAATGAATACTGCAGAAAGCATGCCAAAATGTAATACTGCACATCAAGATCAGTTCTTCCAAGTGAGATGAGAGTCAGTATAACAAATACAATCTTACCTGGGCAGCATAGCCAAAAGAAATGAAATTGAGGCAATTTCCAAGCGCAAAAAATAGAATACCTGCAGAATATGAATTCATCAAAACTTTTCAGTATTTCCAAAAAACTTCCACAACCACATCATTTAAAAAAGAGTCATGATAGACTCAACGAAGAGTTTTCACGAATGCCCAACGAGTTACGTGAAGGTTCCACCTATAACTCCACCTCCGGGGGGGAAAAAAAAAAGCCTAAGAGAGAAACATAAGATTGAACCCATAATTCTCCCGCTCCCACCTCAAACCTGAGGCAATTGTCTGATTTATTTGATTGTCACCAACCTCAACGTTCATATTTGGCCTCTTCTCCAGTGACTTCGATGGACTGCAAATCACATCGTATCTCCTCCTTTGAATTCCCCGTCTACATTGATTACCTCAGCCAATCGAAACTCCCCTGCAGATATCCCACCCCAAGCAGTACAGAGCAAACACTCAAAAATTCTTCTCACCCTCACCAATTCCCTCCCCTGCAATGATCAAAAGTTTTTCATACCAAATTGCCAGGGAGACATCGAATTTGACATGTCTATTAGATTTTTTAACATATCAACTAATTATGAGTCTATGGCCTGTAAATTTTTTAAGATTTAATACTCAATCTATAAGTTTAGATTTCTGCCTGAACAACTCGGGATTCAAGAGACATGAACCCGTAATCCATATTTTAACAGTGGCAGCAATGGCAATGGGATTGCTTGAGAGACCTACAGAGGAAGGAAGCAGATTTTGTAATTGATTTGGGAGTTGGGACAGCGGATGTGAGAGGAGATAACGAAGATAATGCTCCTATTACTAAAGTCCTTTTCTTCCTCTCTTCAATTTTTATATTCTGATCTGGATGCTAGCAGGACCTCCACGTGAGTTGTATAGGCATTCATTGAAAAACCTTCGTTGAGACAACAGTTTCCTTCAAAAAAAAAAGAAACATAAATACAGTAACATGAACTTGTGGTTGAGGGTCATACCAACTCTCCAACTGTGGAAAGATATTATAGGTTTGATTAATGGCTTCCCATTTGTTCCACCAATACCTTGCACCGATTGCCTTCCCCTCTACAAGAACAACATAGCAATTATTTACAATAGGCCTCAAAAAAGCATCGAACGCGGAAGTAAAATCCATTAAACAAAGAAAAATGCAAGGTGCAACATTATTTAGGCTAAGAACCGGCAAATGCAACACAAAGAAAGAGATTCCAAGAAATGCACCTCATCACATCAATTTGAAAAATTGAGACACGAGTCTTATGACCGTAATATAGAAAGAAGCCCGTGTGAAAAATTATGGCATTACAATATGTTTGCCAATCGTAATCATGGGTTTTGCAGGTAATAAAGGTCCTTGATCCATAAAGAAAAAATGAAATAAAATAAAATACCAAAATAAAAGAAACCCCAATTTCGGATATCAAACACAACCAAGAACATAAAGAGTAAAAAAAAAAAGGTTGGAAGGATAAGGGGAGCAGAACCTCGTCATGGCCCAATTTAAGAAGGTTGGTGCCGAAATTGATAGCAATGCTGCCAAAAAGATTGATGAAGGCTCCAATAACCCACTCTCCCATGGGATTAATAACCAAAAGTGCTTGTGGAGAGCTTTTTATTATTATTCTTGTAATCCCAGGAGAGGAATTAATCCTAAAACTGAAACCTCGGTAGCAGATTCTCCCAATCAAAGTACAGAATGAATTCTATATCCATCCCCTTCCACTATAATCAGCTGCTGGTTTATCATTCCAAACACTAAATCTCCAAAAATATGCTTCTATCGCAACCTATTTTCCTGAGTTCAGAAAAGGAAAGCAACATATTACATCATTAGAAAAGAAGAATTGCCCAGTATTGAACTAAATGACCCAATATCATCATCGGTATTGTGCTTAATTACGTAGAAGCAGCAGCATAATGAACATGGGTCGCGTCGGATACCTGATAGCATTAATACTTGATCTGATTAAACAACAAAACTATACAACCCAAAAGTGGGTGGGGACAAAAAGAAATGTGAAAATTCAACTGGATCAGTTGAAGAGTTGCATTGCACAGCTCATTAGTATTGCCTGATCTAATCTGGATGGTTTCTTCTAAACTTTTCCATTAAGAAAACAAATTTCACAGACAATAGTAGAAATTTAACAAATTACATTTATAATTGTAGAAACTTTTAAGATGTACCTTTGAGGGGGCAGCTGGCAGGGGCGAAAAATTGATGATGGACTTGCTATATTCGAGGAATTATGGCAACGCCCTTCACCATCTGAAAAAAAACTCCAATAAATTTTACTCTCGAGAGGGAAAAAGAAAAACACCCCCCGGATATTTTCTTACCAAACTTTCAAAATAGGAAAGAAGAGAAAATATGTTGTTGCCAATGGAAGAGGTAAAATAATCCAGAGGTGTGAGGGGAAAGGGAAGGAAATATTTTGAAACTGGTAACGCTATAGAAGTAATAATGGATGCGCAATTTGAGACCTTTCTCCCTCTGAGGGGGGGGGGTCCGGAGGACGATGAAGAAAAGAAAGAACAAAACGACAAGGTGTTAGTAGTGGTGGGGTTGGTCTACATTCTACAATGCCTGCTGTAGAATTTTCTTCCCATTTGGATCTTTCTTTTTACTGCGCCCCACTGTAACTTTTTAGTTTTTTACTTGTTCACCCCTGCCCCTTTTGCTAAGTAACTTTGGTAATTACGAAATATAATTTAATTATGAAGAAGCACATAAAAAATTATTGGTGAAATTATAATTAGGGATAAGGACAATTGACACCAGAGTTATATTCCAAAGACAATTACTCTCTCGATGTTTTCTATAAGGACAAAAACCCCCTCCCCTAAATCACCAGTCAACAGACAAAACACTATTTTCAGCAAAACATTGTCCATGATGTAAACAAAATAAAGTGTATAAAATAAAAAACACCCCTTACAATTATTTTAAAGAAAAAAAATTTAATTATCAAAAAAAAATATCCTTACATTATTTTTCTTAAATTTTTTCACCACTTTCTTTTCCCCTTTCACTTCTAATATCTTCACACGATTTAAATCTCATATAAAATCTCTCTCTCTTTTTTTTTAAGGCTATCTTCGATTGCAAGATTAAGTTTCTTCGTCAAGAGAATATAAAAAAGAATAATGATTAATACAAGGAAAAAATGATAAGGAAAAATTACAAGAAAATGATCTCACACATCCATTATTAAACATGTATAGTAACTATAACGCTTTTTTATGAATCCAAAATCTATGTTGTATTTGTGTTACACTTTTTTTTTTAATAAAAAGCTAATATAGAAAAGTTTGTCAAAAAAATATATGTTAGTTTATTTTTTAGTTTTAATTTTTAAATAACGAGAAAGACATAATAGTTTGTTTTTCAATTGAGTTCATTCAACAAAAACAAAACTTAGTCTTAAAATAAAACAGAAAAAAAAAAAATCGAACCTCCTACTTTGAAAATCTTGCATCAGCTGGCCCAATTTACATAGATTTATTACTTGATCTAACTTTCGTTTCCTTTTCTTTTTCCCCTAAAACAAACCAGGTTTTCAATTTATCAAATAAAAAACCCATTTTAGCAAACTTCAGTAAACAACCAAAAAGGAAAAATATTATTTTTATTTTTTTTTTGGGTTTCTTTTTTTTGTTAGTTTAGGAAGCATTATTTTTTTCCATCCTCCATTGTTTAAATCATGTTTTCTCCGGTGCTAATTGTTAATATACGAGGTTAAAATTTTAATTTTTTAACTTGTTCAATTTGAAATTTTATTATGATATTATCCCGTTAATGACTATTAAATGTGTGTTTATACATATTTTTTTCTTTAACATTATAAAACATATGTGATTGAAACTGTACAACAAAAATTAATGAAAAATATAGTAAGTTTTAGCACCATTTTGATGGTGCATTAGTTTTTTATATGAAAAATGCTAAAAAAAAAATGTATCTTAAAAATAAAGATGAAATGTACAATAACATGACTTTTAGTTGGAAAAATAATATATAAAATTTTTATGAAATGAAACAAGTTGGATGGGCATAGATTTCTTTTAATGAGAAAATTTTTAAATTTTAACACTTACAAATTTTTGATATATATAATACACATATTCCAATAATTTTATTTCACACCCCCAACATAAAATCCTAGCTCCACCACTGGAGGTGGGGACAAATAACTATATATGTATCTTGTTTTATGGTGAGGGGGGTAGTGGGAGTTTCATAAAGATATGATTAGTCCTATTAGTTTTCTCAATTTTATTTTTTGTTTTTATGCTGAAAATGTTAGATGGAACCATCACAATTTTTTCGTCTTTTTACATCTTTGGACGATTGTTTTTGAGTTTGATGTTGTCAAGGGGGTTTTGTCCTTTTGAAAAGACTTGAGAGGGCATTAGTTTTAGGGGCATAATTCGGAGGGTTAATTGTCTTTATCCCTTATAATAATGTGAGAGGGAAACTGAGATTGAACGTATGGGTTGGAAAGTTCTTTTTATTAAGGGGAAAAAAAAACGATGGTTGGGATGAATAGACGAGTTTGTTTTAGATTAATAAATATGTAGAAGATATTTGATTCATCATCCAGAAAAAAAAAAAAAAAGGATTATTGATAACTTATTTGTGTGATGAGATTTTGACTTCAATTCTTAATTATTATCTTTGTCTAATCTTTTTTTTTTAAAAAAAAAAACTACGAGACAGAGATAGTATTAAAATGAGATAGAGACAGCTTATTGAGGCAACGCAAAATGAGATAGAGACAGAGATAGTAAATTATGCAATTTTTTAAATTTCAAAAGTTCATTGTTTTTTTTTTTAAAGGATTAAACTATGAAATTATTTACAATTATATTTTATTAATTTTTTATTCTAAATTATTTCATTAATAAGGGGAAATCTAGTTTTAGAGGGTTAAATAATAGGTGTCTAGAGTTTAAAAATGGCTGAAAAAGTATAAAAAGAATAAAATTAAAGTTTGAATCTTTTAAAAAGAATGATTTCTTCATTTAATATTATTTTATATCTTTTGTAATTTTAATTGTTTTTATTTATTTAATATTATTTTATTCAATTTTAATTTTTTGAAAAAATATATTTTTTATTTCGAAAATGCCTTTGACTTGAATCCAAATATACTCAAACTGCTAGAATAATGTCGAAGGACAAAAAATAGTCACAAATAAAAATATAGAGGATCCTTTTAACCAAATGTATTTGGAGGACTAAAATGTGCAGCATATGTAAAGGACCATTTTCAGCTAGTACCAATTTTTTTCTGTTTAATCAAGTGGATTTATGTGGATTTACTTATGATACAACCTCATTTAATCCTACGGTTGTTAATTTTCCTATGGGTTTTTTTTTAAAAAAAAAAAATCCAATTCAGTGGATACCACTTAAATATGGGTAAAACCTCCCTTACAACTCCTGGTGGGAATCGAACCCTAGTCTATTATCAGGAAGGACAACAACCTAATCACTAAGCTATCATTCAATTCCCTAATTCTATGATTATTATCATAAAACGAAACGTTTAGCCGCTCCCTATATATATATATATATATACATATCTTACTATATTAGAAACAAAAACCACACTTAAGAGAAAGTACCACAATTTGCCATGTGGCATTTTCACATCATATTTTTAAAATAAAATTTTATTTACACATCTCCTAGACTTAAAAGGGAAATACAGTCCAAATCCACCTCCACCTCCTATTTTAGCCAAAAAAAAAAAAAAAAAAAAACGGGTTCTTAAAAAACTCAAATCCTCATCCCCATCTCCACAACAATCGACTTTCTAATCAATCCCTTCTCCACAATAAAAAAAAAAGAAAAAAACAAATTCCTCATCAATCACCAATTGAGAATATATGGTGAAATATACGCCTTTCCTATTAGCATGTTCAATTTTTTCATTAGTGATGATCAACTACATCCTAATCGGATAAAATTTCGACTTTAAAAAATATTCTCTTTACCTCTCTATATAAACACAAAGGAGAAAAAAAAAATTTCATTGATCTTGCTTCGGCCGTTGTGGCGGTGCCATTACAGGTATTAAAATTTAAATGATTTTATTTTCACAAATCATTTGTTTGGCTTTTATTATCTTTTATTTTTCCCGTTCAATAATAGTGTTATTACTATTATTTTTATGCGTCCATCCGTTACAGCTACCGTAACCGTTGTCAAGTAAGATGATGTGATTTCTTATATGGTTAGGTAGCCTATAATTTTTATGATTTTAGTTCTGTTTGGATTGAATTGATTAATTGAGTTTTTGTTACATGGTGTGGTTTTTTAAATTTCTTTTTTTTTATGTTCATTCAATTAGAGTCGTTTTTTTTTTAATTATGGAGTCTTTGTTTTTTTTTTCCGTATATGGTCAGTTATGAAGTGTGTTTTTTCTTTGTCTAATTGCTTTTGATTTTGTTTCATACTCCTAGTTGACCAATTATTATTATTATTATTTTATTTTATTTGCAAATAAAGCGCATTTTTTTTTGTATTCGGGCTTTCAAGAATATACTTTTTTGGATTTGATTTTTGGAC